TTTGGCAATACGTACCGGCTGCCACGACGGAGTGGGGCTGTCATTTTGCAACCGTTAATGTTTCATTCAAGTCCGCGAGCTCCCCGACGAGAGTCGACGAAAATTCGTGGAGGAATCACAAGCACACTGGTCCGTCTCGGTTTTACTGCAAGGCACACATAGTAGCGGGCGTCTGCTGAGAAGCAAACCGACCGACCGGGCGCTCTGCCGGCGCTCGAGGATCTAATATACGCGCGAGCCGCGCGCCCGCTGGCTGCCCTGTTTTCTGACGATCGCCGCCGCCGTCGCTGCAAGCTCACCAGGCATGCGCACCTTTGCTCCTTGCAAGCACGCAGAATCCCAGCCGACGCGCACGCCTGAATCCTCTTCCAGTTGTTTATGTTCCGTGTCGCGATTCGATGATGGCCCTACGCGGCTCTTCCCCCTTTTCTGCTGCTCTGTGCACTGGAGATGCTGGCTCCGCTCGATGCTTTCGCTCACTGGCTCTCGAGTGGCGTTTTCTCGCGGGAGCACGGACGACAACTTGTAATCATACACGTGTTGGCAGGGATTACGCGCAACGGCGACGGCGATTAATTCTAAATAAAAGTGGCGTTGGCAGCCTGCGTCGCTCGTGGCAATTACGATCGAGCTACATTTCCGAAAAATCATAGACATGGACACCCCTAACGTCGCTCCCACATTCGTTCTGAGAAATTCACTTAACCTTTAGAGGGCGGGAAAACCACTAAAGTGGCTCAAAATAATTTCTCAAGTTAGTCTACAAAATAGGATAATTCTAGGGTTTTTGGATATACTGATTACAAATTTGATGTCATAAGTCAAAAATTATGAAACGACCATAAACCAACCCTAAAATAAGGGTAAGCTATGCTTTTAGTCGCGAAAATAATCTCTCTGTAGTATGGGAGTGTGCATATAGTTTCAATGTAAAGACAGAATAGAGTCGTATAAAACTATATAAAGTCATGTAGATTCAAGGTTAAAATTACGAAAAAAAACCATAAAATACCCGAAGGTACTAGCCCCCTGTGCCAAATAAAACAATTTTTCAAAGTGTCAAAATTAGCATCACCCCTGAGGACGGGAAAGCCATTATAGTGGCTCGACCATCGATCGCCACTTCACGTATGAGTATTCTCCGATATTAGACACTCATGTTATGCGTTTCCCATAGAAAATATTGAGCAGTTAAAAATTCCAAATCCCCGTCCTCTAAAGGTTAATATTGTTTGAATATTTGCCTTTGCCGGAAAAAAATTTGTTTACCTCGAGAACCCGTTTATAAACTTTCGAATTCAATAAAAGCGTTGTAAAAGAGAAGCCTCGCAATGAGAAACCTTTCTCCCCCTAGACACGAACGAGGCTATGTAGATGTGGCTCAAGTTCATTCATACTTCTTTATAGATATGAAACCAGACGTCGCAAAAATCACGAAAGCACTTCTCATCGAGCTCTGTTTACAATGCGACAAATCTACGGCCTCTCGTAAGTCAGTATTGGAATTTTCATCTTACGAAAATCAACGACGTCTTATTTCCTGATTAGCCGTAAATTTACACAGCATTTCCGAGATGAATTGAACTTCATTTAGAACATTATGCGAATCAAATTTTTTTAAACTCTAACAGATGGAAAAAATTCTGATACCTCGCAAAAACAAAGAACCAATGATGAAATTTGGCGAGAGAACTTCCGATGCTGGTAATATCCTCGCACAAGTTGTGTGCGGAAGTGATTTGAACTTTGTGTGTGTGAGCGCGTGCGAAATAAACGACTCCTCCGTTAATCAGTGATAGATTATAAGACCTCATCTTTATGAGCTTTTTCGTATTTGTATGAAGCGGGTGTGTATGTGTATGAGAGAGAGAATTTAGATGACGAGTACACGTGAGTTTTTTGCGTGATTCAAGTATTAAAGAAATATTACATTTTTTGTATTATAACAATCAGCGCTGAAAAATTGTTATCGTAATATTTATCGTGATTTCATAGAAAGTGCTCGACAATTTTTTTTAACTTTCATAGATAATATATCACTCGAAAATGAAAAATTTCGATTCACTTACGAGCGACAGCGACATTTATGCACATGCTTTATCGATTGTCGAAAAAAATGATATATACCTGAATATCGAAGAAAGTTTACGCTTCATTTTGTCTCAATTGGAGAGCGTATCTAAGAGGGTCGAAAAAGCACACAATATCAACTAGTATATCTACGTCACGTTCTTCAAGGAACTCTCCTCACAAAAGACCAAACTGCTCGCTTCTTCAAACGCTTGACATCCCGCGCTCGTCCTCAATTCAATGCCAGCGACAAGGTAACCACAGGCTTCGCTCTCAACTTTTGTCGCACTTACTCTTTCCACTTTTCTTTGTTAAAGTTTCCTTTTTACTGTGGATAATTATGTTTCGATTTTGCGAAACGAACTTTTTTCCCTTTCAAGAATTTACAGTGGTTCCTATCTTTTCAAAAAATCTGGCGATTACGTTGTTTCAAAGAAAGGCACAGAAGAAAGTCGACGAAAAAAGAAAAAAAAAGCACCAAATATTTGCAGTTACACGCAGATCTATACACTTGACAAGTCGCCCGTAAGCTTAGTGGCACGACTATCTCACCTGTTCGCTCTGAACGCCGGTTTATACCGCGCGGCCAATCGCTTGCACGATAGCACATTATTGGCTATCCCCTCTCTCTCTCTCTCTCTCTCTCTCTCTCTCTCAGTTGTGCAGGTGTTGCAGTCAAGAACATGAATATATGCCTGGCTTATTTAGTGGAAAGGGGATTCCATATTGTGATTAGAATAGAATTTTTTCATTTTATAAAAAAATGAGAGGTGGAATATTAAAATTCACATGGATCAAAAGTCATTCATATCGGATGTGATTTATATGCAAAATCAAGCATTGACTCTGAAAAATTGGTTAAATAGAAAATAAGATTTCAAGCGATCTACTATTACAGAATTTTTAAGATTTCTTTCAAAAAAAGTCTCAACTTATAAAAATTTGTTTCACGATATTTGGTTTTACCGAACAACCTTACGTCCGTGTGTATACACACACGCGCGCGCGCACACATACACCTGTAGATATATATGTATATATGTATGCACAGAACAAGGAAAAAACAATAATTATGCAGATGAGAATAATTATTAGAAACGCATCATAACCCTTAAACACTATTAGTACGTATATAAATATCGTTGTTATAAATAAATCTTAAAGTTAGGTCTTTCGTAGCAATCCCTTAAGCGAGAAAAAATAATTCAATAAGTTCGCTAGTAGAATCACAGGATAAAAAGTTGTGTTCAATGAAAACGATTCGATAATTTTTCCAAGACTCATTCGTTACGTCAAAAAATTTACTCGCGAAATTATTTTTACAGAGCAATCGATTATATATGATCACGAAAGTCCTTATCAAACGTCATTTGAATGAGAAACTTCGTGGCATTAACGAATCGTTCTTTCACGCTTGTATACCTTATCGTATATTTTCAGGTGACAATTTCAAGTTGGAGCTTCGAGTAAATTACCCCAGTTAGACTATCGTAACGCCTGCTTGGTATTTCTACAATTGGAATATCACCCAGCTTGTTTTATAATATAGTATTGTAAGATTATGTGCATCATTGTTTTGATTGTGTGGAAGTGCACGTCTTTCTCAGCAGTAAGGGAGCAAGGAGTTGACATAATGCTACATACGGAATACTAATAGCAAAAACACTAATTAGTAACATAATGATTGTAGTGAGCTTTAATGATTGTATTCAGACGCTTCTCAAATCAATTTTCTTATTTTGAAGAACTAAGTATCTACTTGAAACTTGATTGAATAAAAAAAAATATTACTGTTACGTAGAGTCGCTCTCGGTACTAACTTTACCTTGTTTGGATTTCGAATTTTTCCAACAGCTGCTTGAGTTTCAACGTCAAGGTTCTAACGTCTAATTTCAAGCGCAAACTTTACTACACTACGCATTTCCATATACGTTAATTAGAGGTTTTCTAAGTAATATTCATAGATGTTTAGAAAAATTATCTAAATTAGTTCATTTCTAAATAATCCAACACAAAAAAAAAGAATCTAACAAAAAAGAACATGACATTCCTTTTAATTAACTTGCAAGTTCAATGTCACTGTAAAGCAAGAGATGTAACGCGTGCGTGTGCTCGTATTTTTTCATGACCTCGATAATTCATAAACGTGGTACAATGAAATCGAGATCCGCGAACTGATGACCAGAACGAAGTCTCATAACTTTTTTGATTATTTTTCATAGCACAAGCGTAGAATACAAAAGAATTTATAGAGACGTCCGGTGACATAAATCGATTGCACGTGATTACGTATATTCTTCCCGGGGATTCATTCGCCATTTGTGGTTTTTCGCCTAGTACATTCGCGTATGCTCAAGACAGGAGAAGAAAAATAGCTTCACAATGAACGATAAGAAAATATAGAGTCAGATAATTTGTCCTGAGGATTCTGAGAATTGTTCGTAACTAGATGTAAGTTTTACCAAAAGTTGTTGATTTTTTATCTAAATTTATTAGCTCGGTAATGAGATATAAGGTTGCTCATTTCTTATCTAAAACTTGACGAAAGCATTAATTTGCATTGTAAGCGATACAATTTGAAGGAATTCTTTATTTTATAAAAAGTACTGTCACTGAAATTTTTCTAATAAATTAAGTGAATCTACATTGAAAGCTTCAACTAAGAAATTTTATAAATTCCTAAACTTCAAGGTTAACAACGGCACGTTGCGAAAAATAAAGTATTTCTAATATTTATTAAATTACTTGAAAATCATCGATATCTACATAATAATTCAAATCATTGTAAGAGTAAAAGCTACATTACACGAACAATTGCATCGAAATGTAGTCGAGCACGAAGCAAACCATGAAACTTCAGCATGGCAAACAGACGTAACTACTCGCACAGAGAAAAGCTCGAGATCAATAAAAAAAGAAGCCTTATATACCTCGTGTGCGTACTCCAGAACCAACAAAATGAAGTAAACAAGCCACCTGTTGATCGATCGGGATAACACAAAAATCGTATCATTCGCGCAACAAGTCCGTATCACCAATTATTCAATCACGGCACACATTCGTCAAGCTCCCGCACTGAACAATTGTCATTCACTAAATAACTTTGCTCGCGGTATCCAGCATTTATAGCCGGCGGGCGTGTGTTCAGACGCTTTATATTGGAGTTAGTTAACCTCGCGCGCGGCTTCGCGTAAACATCATATATTGAGCAACATATATGTGATCTTTTCCCCCTTCTTCGTCCCTACTTCTACTTTTTCATGTCTTTTCGTGCATCATCGTCGGCTCAAATTGCTGCAAGTTTGGAAAAGCTCGAGTGGCGTCTTTGCTCGTAATTTTCTCGTCGTTTTTGCGAAGCGGAGCGCCAAGTTCGCAAGATTGTTTTCACAAACGTGAAAGTAAAATATTTCATAGAAATATAACGCATCCATAATTAAAATCAATCTATTCATCTGCAGTATCGATGGTACGCTTGAGCTTGCGATGTGAAAGTGATTAAAAATCTTGGCACGGTGCTACAATTTCAAAAAAGTAAAGCAGTTTACTCCTGGCGTCTTACTGCTTTGGCAAGTGACTCGCAAAGATATACAATTACCTTTCTCACTCCGAGTTCAATGGCAGTTTGATTAATTTTGCAGGAACGCGTGCCAAAAGTAATCGTGAATACCCCGTTACTAATTCGTTAATTTATATTGGAATGTTTTTATTTGATGATGCGTCGCTTTAGAATTTCAAAAGTATTTTCAAATTTAATTTTATGAATAATTTATTTATAATGTTATTTCTTAAAGAAAAATCTCTAACAACCTTCTTACTTGAATTCTCAAATATTTTAAAAAGATATCTTTGACAACATTTTTTATTTTGAAAAACATATTCTCAATTTCAATGTGACTAAAAATTCAACAATTATTGGCAAGATAAGAAAAATGATTTCACTTGTTACAGTTCGTTACTGAGAATGAATCTAATAACACGGAACATAAATATTTGCAACAATAATTCTATACCATATGCTCGTAACCTCGATGACGCGAATGATTAAAGAAGCACATACATACCTACGTGTGATAATTAGAGATTACAATCTTAAAAGGGGCTAATTCGTGACGAAGATAAAAAATTATTTGATATATCTGATGTAACTGATCTCAGTGCGATATTGAGCTCGTAAAATAATCAATGGAATTAGAATTTGCGAAATTAGACGTGAAATATTCGATTATCCAATGAACGAAATATACTTCTCCGATCACATAAGAGCATGTAGTTTTATCGATCGATAGTATACACCTGATATTTACGATAAAGAAAATTATTTTGTTTTTTTATCAAGTGGCTGGTGATGACGTGACAAAACAGTGTTATGAAACGATCAATGAAAATCTAATAGCGATTAACAATGTAGATTCTCAGAAAATAACACGATTATAACGTCACTTATCACAAATTCGTTAATCTAACAGACGATATGAGATTTTTGCAAATGTCGATTTGATACTTCGAGAAAAGTTTATTTAAATGCTTCAATTAACAAATTTAACGTGCAAAGATATCATATAAAAATTACTTTTTTTACAAAATTATATGCATACCGTGATGCTCATTGCTGATCTTCAATCATAAAAAGAATAATACTTAATGTGCGATCCTAATTATATTTGGTAATATCCATTTCTATATATTTTAGATAAGGTTCAACCCATCAATAAAAATATTTCATAACGTATTCTATTTGCTGTCCTCGAAACCTGAAAACGAAATCTTTGAAATCACAAAGCAAGAAAAAAACTACTTGACATTATTATTACGTCTCACATTTCAATTAAATTCACGATCCAATATCGTGGCGAAACACAGTGGCAAATTAATAATAATCTTGAACAATCGACAGTCAGCGTTCGTATGGAGTGTAAAATAGACCTTTTAGGGGCTTTCTACGTAAGAAGATTGGACGCCGGACGTGTACCGCTGTGAAAAAAAAAATAGTCAAAAAAAAAGATAAAAGATAGTCAAATGATATATTATTGTACTAATAATTTTAATATAATAGATTTATATTTTTTGTCATTGCTCACATTCTGCGCAATCACGAACACACCCACATATTAAACAAACAAAGTGTTTTTTAACTTGATAATTGTCCGTTGTCCGACGTCCGATGTCTCTTTATATAGAAAGTCCCTTAATCCGCAAGCGCTCAAGTAATTACATCGAGCAATGGCCAGACGCGACACGACACGGACCAAGTAAGATTCTTTTTCGACGCGATCGTTTTGCCGGAAAATAGGCTGAAATTTGGTGTGTTCTATATTTTTTTCTGTCGGTTGAGATACATCTTTTTCAAGCCTAGTCCAGTTTGAGCTAGATAAAACTAGTTACTACCATTCGTCTCCTCGCCTATGTATAGCAATTTTTTTCATTTTCCCTTTTTTTTTCGTTGGCACAACCTTGAAGCCTCGAGATTATTCCTTTCTCATTTCATGCACTCGTTACTGAGTCGACATTTCTATACTGACACCTAGGTATAATTTTTTGATTATCATAATTTGTCATCAATTAAACCGGTCAGTGATTGGTCAATTAAATTTGAGCGAGGAAATACTAATTAGTCGTTGCCAAAAGTGGTAGTTGTTTCCGCAACGATAAAATCTCGCTTCTTTTATTTCTTTTTATTATACTAGAGACGTTAAATTGTTGCTCGATTGCACTAACGATCACTGATGATGACTGTGAGCAATGTGCATATATGCCAAGAGATAATCAAAGATGTTCTCCTCGAGTACTGAATATTGTTTGTATTGTGTAAACAATCGTATAGAATAATAGTCGTATTGATAGCGGCATAAAGCACTGGCAAGAGTCATATAATTCATCGATCATAAATCTGCGAGCTTTCGAATGTATACGCATGTGTCCCAACTACTTCCAGTTTATCATATGTATATACAACGTTGTGCGACGTATTATTAGTAGCAGTGACAGTCGAAAAAAAAGCCTTATTCATGTGTGTATTCGACTGATACGTGGAAACTTTCCGTTTTTCCAATGATTAATCCGTGAAATTGCTTAGACAAAATTCGTAAAATGAATCATGAAAGTTTCTGATGTTTGCGCACATCACAAATTTTTCCAATTTTTTTTTAATTTTCGAACAACTTCCCTCGGAATTTGTGTACGAACTTTTTGCGACTTTGCAAAGGTAAATTCAGTATAAAGCGAAATTTCTAAATGAATTATCGTACAATTTATCAATATAGGAATATTTTAGTCAAGCAATTACTATTTCTGTACGAGAAACCAAATATATATACACAGTACACACACATATATATTCTTTCGTTCATATTTTGCAATGCCTAATGGCTTCTAATTAGAATAAAGTCGTGACTTTATTCGACGCTAAGAAATCGACATGCGTCAAATACTTCAAATGCGTTAAATGATGAAGAGAGTAAGGGAAACAAAGTAGAGTGGTGTATCTTCGATATATCGTAGAAATCGAATGAAAAATCGTTTTTTAAAGTTTTCCTACTAATGTGTAAATTATCTTGACAACATCCGCTTGCCCAAGCGACGCATATGACGTTTTCTCAAAACACATTACTTATCCGTTGTCAAACATAAATTAAAGTTTCACTCTAAAAGAAAAAGAATAATTCCCTGGTGGGAACCAGGTAGTCTTGCATTTGGAGGATTTCCAGCCACGCGTTGCAGCAGCACTCGCGAAAATCCGTCGTGAAAGCAACCCCGCTTGCGTAACCGTGCCAAAAAGGTTTCAATGAACTTGTCGATTTGGCATTCGACGGAAAGACCAATGATTATACGTTTGTAAATCAATCCCGAGCACGAGTGACATTTGTCACCCTAGGAGTTGTTTATGCATCAATTACGCAATCACTGTAGACGTACATACTTGCATCGAAAAATTCGATAAATTTATACATAGAGAAGACCGGGACAGGACATACAACCGACGAGGTCGGTTGGCCGATGACTAATAACCCGCGATCGTAACGACAGAGCCCGTCACGGTTGATATCAGTGACGTAGATAAGTCCAAAGACTGTTTATGTTTACTTTCAGTTGAAACGCACCATTTAGCACGGAAATAAGTAAGCTTGAACATTACTCTCACCTATTTCGTCAAAATTTTGTTTCTGAAAAAATTTAATAACTCGTTCAAAATTGACGATCACTCAAGGTAGTTTGTAGAGAATGCTTTTTTAACTATCTATGATTTTCATTTATTTATTTTTGACAATTTATAAGATTATAAGTTGAACATAGAAATTGACGTGGCACACTTGGGGCATGTTGGCCGATAAAAAAGTAAATAACCATGCGAGTTATTTATTAATAAATTGTTTTATAGTGCAAAATGGTTCGGAATTATTAGAGGAGAACGAGTAGAACGTTTACTTCGCCAAATGTCATTATACAAGCAGTCTATGGCATCAAATTTGAGCGTAAGTAACTACGACAAACTACAAGAGATTTTTAAATTCCAGAAATATCTCTGCTAAGATATTACTCCAAAATAACAACGGAGGATTTAGAAAAATACCATAGCAATCCTCAGGCCCATATAAACATTGCAGTGGGAAAAAGGTAAAATAATGAAATATGTATAGTGTGATTAGTTTGACTCTTTTTTTATAGACATGCATCAGTAGAATTATGTATATATATACATACGTAGAGAATGAAATTGGATACGCGTTTTTTTTCTTTTATACTAACAACAAGTTGTTTGACTAGAAAACCATTCGGTCGTGTCGAGAATATAATATCTTTGAAGAACATCTTACCGAAGCAGTTGGCACTGGTTTCTGACAGTGTTTTGGTTATTATTTCTTATGTAGGTATATAAATATGTGACAACGATGCCTGACTAAACGTCAAAATTACTAATGTGCAAAGAATTACTTATTTTTTAGTAGCAATTGTATGAATTCTTCAGTGTGGCAATTGCACGAGAGGAAGAAAAAAAACAGGAGCAATTAGCGCGTGCGGCTCGCCAATGAATTATGCGCGCGAGTCGACGAGAATTAACGGTGTTCTTTTTTTTTTCCTCATGCGCGATTCGCGATGAGTCCTTCGACAAAACCGAAACTAACTGGATAACTCGTTGCTGCTTCTTTTTGTTTCGATTGCTTGGTTAGTGTCGTCGAATGACGCGAGACATTTCGAGAAAAGTGAAACTTTTGTCCAAGTTTCGGAATGAATCGAGTGCCAATGGCGAATCAATTGAGGAGCGATTGACTTTTAATTGCCCGTTGTAATCGAATCGTAAAGTCGTCAACTCCCTTGGCGCTTTAATGGAGAGTTATTGGCAGACTTTTCTAGGAGCTCTTTTCTGTGCATATGCTACGTTTGTTATAATTTCAGTTTCTTTTCTATATACTCGTTGAAGGATATTTTTTACGCAAAACGAAAAAATATTACGGAGATGGATGATCTGATGAGCAACTTGAGTTGTCGCTCGATAATTTAACAATACAACATTTATTTATAAAAAAGAAAATTTTGTGTGTAATCAGCTGTAACAGTGCGTAAATTACACTAATAAAAACTAACACGGACAATGAAATAAATCATTAAAAATAGATTGACGTTATAAGTCGCATTTGGCATAATTTTGATCATAGCTCAGTGTAATGTCTCATTTGTACCAAATGAAAATATGATCGCAGCGACGGGAACGAAATACTGATTTACTGAGTGTACTTGGTGCGCGAAACATACGAGATTTCGATAATGGCACATATTTTTTGGACGACAACTCGGTACGCATACTAAAAGATCGTGGAGTGTAAGAATCAAAATCTGATTGTTGATGGCGTTGTCGTGCGACTCGCCTTCCCGAAATATCTGCGGTTTCGCGATTCCTTAACCATTGTCTTCTTCCGTAATTACCGTCTATGTACAACGATTCATAAGTTGTAAGTGAATACTTAGGAAATTGGCCTTGAGCCGGTAATTTTCGTAAATTTGAGCATGCAATTTGATCATTTATAAGCAGATAAGTAAATATTTCGCCTGAGCGCACGCTGCAACGCAGGTTACATTTCTCCGCGGCACTTTGAAATTCATTGTTCTCGTTTATTGAAAAATTTACTGGCACGTACATAAAAATTGATTTCGCCTATTGCGCATCGCCGGTAAACGCGAGACGCTAAGCTACATATAATCCAGCGCAGCTTTTTACGGCTTTTCAAGAGGACTAAATAAAGCTTTCCCCGAACCTGTAGCTCATTCGCTAGGAGCGCGGTATGCAGAAGAAAAAAAAAATCCGTCCTTGTTTTTGACCCTGAGCAGCTTGCACCGCAAGCCCTGTAATTATCTATCAGCTATTCATTCGGCACGCAGTTTCTCCAATTGTCTTGCTTCTCGTTCGCCATTCACTGAAACTTTCATATTGTACGAAAAGCTTCGCAGATTTGTTTGCTTTTAAGTTGCGTGAAAACGCACTGAGAAAAAGCTGCGGTGAATCGAGAGAAGGATAACATTGAGGAATGTTGATAAGGCTGTTTTCGCGTAATTAATTATCGAGTTAATCTCGCCTAACGGAATCACACGCTGATTAGAAAAAAATTGTTTGCGAAACAACGCCGAAAACTTTTAAATAATAAGTATACGAGACAAAAGCATAGAATGCGATCGATGACACGCAAATCGACTGACTCTTTTTGTTCGAGTGCTCTTGCCCAGCTGACTGATCTATTCGAATCGTACTTCGGCATAATGAATCGTAGCGCGACGATTTTCGAAATGCTCTCGCGGCGGCAGAAAAAAGGGAAGAAACGCGGCGAGAGGCGCGTCTGCAGCTCCAAATTCGGACGGTATAATCGCATTGCGTAGTGCGACAGCAAGTTACAAAGCGCGCGCGTGTAAATCCAGTTGAATCCAGTAAGGACCGAACGGTGAAAAGGCTGCGAGCGACAGAGAGGCGATTCTGTTTCATTCATTTTCCTTTAATTTTTTGGAGAAATTTACACGCGGTCATTATAAGAGTGACGCAATTGATTTTCATTAGCCTTGGAATTTTACTTGGATTAATTGATTTTTGTCCCTTCATTGTCGTTTTCCACTTTTAGGTGGATTTCCCAAACAATAGATAATTTTTTTTTTCATTTTTTTATTATTGAAAATTGTACAAAAAAAATAAGTAGGTATACGATGAGTGGTACGGGAATAGAATAATTTATAAATACATAACAAAATTAGAATGATCTCTATGCTAATTATAAGAATGACGTAATGGAAAGTACTTCAAAAAAGGAATTTTTTTAAAATTCACTATAACTCATCTGGTGAATAATCAATGGCATGTTCAAATAATTTGAAAAGCAATTCATGTTTATTCTGTAGGAAAGTTCGGTTTTCTGGAATTTCAGCGATTTTTTGATAATTTTGTATAACAAAATCTATCGCATATTTTAAAGTTTCTTTCATGTTGTAATTTTCAGCGATTTCCAAAACAAATTTTATATTTGATATTTGAATTGATTTTCGAAGATAGGGTTCAAATTTTTCATGTTTAACGCATTTCGTTTCATTGATAATAAAAAATGTGAATACTGCGTCGTACAAATCTTTAAGGCTGTACATATCAGCCATTTCGAAGATGTCAACAAAGTTGTCCAGGCTGATATTACGCTGCATATAATCATCAAGAATTTTTACCAAATCAAATTGCTGCAAAAAGTGCGCTAGTTGGAATAATTCAATATAATTATTTTCTATTTCACATGTACCGGTATATAAAAATGTTAAAAATATTTCTACAATTTCAGGTTGCCACTCGTTCAAAATTATTTTATTTGACTGCTTTTCAATCATATCTGTTTTAATCATGTTGGCTAGTATCTGGTTTCGCTTGGTAACAATATTTTTGTGAACTTTAAATGATTTGTCCCTTGCTTCAATAGTGAAGTCACTATCTTGTTGACTATTCAATAACAATGTGAAATCTTCAATTACAACTGAAGAAAAATAATCTTTGATATTTATTTCAAAACACACAGTAATTAACTTGTGGCCAGAGGAATCAAATTCGGAATATCCTTGACCTCTAAATACTTTGCTTTCAACTTTAAACAATTGTAATATGCATCTAGATTTAGGAGATGGATGGTTATATGCTGTGATATATACTGTGATTTGTTCGTTCGGTTTGAAATGGAAATCCTTTACAGTTTCTAAACTTATTTCGACATTCTGAAGCCCTGCCGTAAAAGTTGACTCTATGGTCATTTTCAAAATACACTGTCTATTATCATGCAAAGTAAGGACTGGAAATTCTACACTATCCAGGGGAGGCATTACGAATTTCGATTCGAAAGTTAGCGTATGTTCTAAATAAATTTGCTGCTTCACATTACTTATCTCAAATGTCATGTTTTTCTAATTAGGATACTCTAAAAAATAAATTTATTATACTATTGTATATAAATATCATAAGGATCTGCGTTATTCAATATACCTTTTAAATTGAAACAGTACGTTTCGTAGGTTTTCCAGAATTGTATTAATGATTCTGAAAAAAACAGTGTAAATTCAAATATATCACTTTTACAACAATAAAAATATATAAAAATAAATAATTAAAATGTGTTAATTGAATGATATGTATATGTTTCCTTACCACACATATTATTATTGTTTACTATACGTTAAAATTAAAATAACTATGAATGAATCAACATATATGTTGTGTCGTAAGTTTCAACAAGTTTTTTATAAAAGCGTCTCTTTTTAATCACGTGATATTGACCTTATAAAGTGGACAAGAAAATTGAATAATAATGAATTTGGAAAAATAAAAATTTAATAAATACAAAAAATTAATGAATCAAAAACACATTTAAGCGTACATTGAATACATTTTACATAAATAAGATTTGAAAATAATTTATATCAAATAATAACAGATGAAAAATAAAACAAAGACATTATTTAAATTGTATTAAAAATCAAACTTCTTCGTCATAATTTTCATTAAATAATTTTCTCAATTCTTAGCTCAAGAAACGTTAATTAAAGTTTTGAAAGCACAATTAATTCAATTTATAATAAAATATTCACGTATGTTCTTATATTCATGTATTTTATTTCAGATCTAAACGACTGAGAAAAAGAGAAACAAAAAATTGTAATATTGTCATAGGAAATCCTTGCTTTTCTTTATACTATTTCATTTAAAATACTTCTGAAAAATGAATTAATATTTACCTAAAATGGTATACAAACAATTTTACACTGAAGGCACTTATTACCACTATTTAATGATGGCAACCCGCTGGTGTCTGAATATTGACAATGAGAAAGAATGAACCACGAAGACTAAAGTCTAAGCAGCCCAAAGGTGAAATGACTTCGTTTGTTTTTCCTCGTATTGTGTAGATAACTCGAAAACCAATAATAAGTCTAAACGACATATAACAATACGATGAAACATATATATAGGGCAAATTAAGTCAAAGTTATATCTATTATATATGTTTATGTCAATAGATTACGATCTGGTGTACAATTCGATTCATTTATGTACTATTTAATAATGTGAGAACTTTGACGTTACGTATTCCAAATAATATGCGATATTAATTAATTTTTATCAATACTAATGTACATATAAATTTTAATAAGTTATATATATAATATATATATGTACAAAAATTATCATTTGTGATTGATGTTATGTTACAAACATCTTAAAACTAAACTCAATCAATAATTTCATAGGATTTGTATGATCGAAGTTTTTAAACAAAATAAAATTTAATTGTAATCCGTAAAAATTAATTTTTGAATAATTTTTTTATTGCAGAAATATTTATATCATTACATGTGTATCGATATCGAATTATTTAGTTTAATAAAGATACAGTAAGTTTTCTTTTTTTCATTAATTACTTATCACATTTTTTTTGTTATCACGGTGAGATTGGTAAGTGGATAAACTTAAAATTTTACGATTTGCTCAAAACTCATTTCAAATTAACAAAAAATATAAATCGATTTTGATGAAATATAAATGTAAATATTTTATTTCATCAATAAATAAAAAAACAGTGTTTCTTATTCTACAGAAGTTATACATTAAATTCATATTAAATAAATTGACTAGAAATATAGTACAGTCTCATTTTTCGACTAGAAAATATGTTCTTGGCACGCATAAAATGTTTTGCTTCACACTGTATTTTTTGGCAAACTGTCTTTGCTTTCATATTTAATTACTGTTTGTTCAAAGTAGTTTTATTAGAATTTTCAGTTGATAAGCCAGAAAAATTTGTGCATAAGCTTAATGAAGTTACATCATCTATTTTTTGGCGAGTGACCTTTGCTATACCTCTTCGTATGCACTCATTCAAAAGCTTCTCTTCTTCTGCAGTTAGATCTGAATTTTCATCTAAAAATTCTGATGAAGAATGAGGTCTACAAGCATTGTCACCAAGTTTTTCTACATTAGATTCATTAGATTCGTTAGAATTATTTGTTTGCAATGATGATACGTCATTAATATCTTGTCCAGTTATTTTTGCAATTCCTTTCTTAATATATTCATCAAGAATTTGTTCCTCATTTACAGAAAAATAAGTAGATTGATTGAATGCTCCATCACAATCACTGACTTTTCCATGCATTCTCATATTTATACACTCAGACTTTTGATTTTCTAAGCTCTTTGAATTTGATACATTAATTTCAGTTTCTGCTTTATGACCCTGTTCCTCAACATCATCATCATCATCTATTGTTAAAGAACTGAGACTACTTGCTGTAACAGATTGAAATTTTATAGGTGTAGACTCTTCTTTAAAAACTGCCAAATTATCTTCAAAAATACTTTGCTTTAATGAATCTTGTATTGTAGGACAAGATTCTAAAGAATGAGTTTTTTCTCGCTGGAAATATATTTTTTTCTTCAATAATTTTTTATCTTTCTGCAATCCTGAACCAGAAAAAATTAACTGGGCAGGTGAGTCCGGAAGGTCACTTGGAGAAACAACTTCACTGGTTCTTCTGCTAAAATCACTAACTATAGAACTTTGATCGTCTTGCAAAGACTGCTGCTCATAGCCACTTAAAGAACCTAAAGAACTACATCTCGAAAACATTAGTGGAGTTAGTTGTGAATATTTATCTTGATTTCCAAATGTCATCATTTTTTCTTCTTGTTCTTTACTGCTTAATTCTATTGGAGAGTGCGTCGGAGTTACATTAATAACTCTTTCTAATCTCTCTTCATCACATTTTTCATCAAAATCTATTTCATTTGGTAAATAAATTTCTATGTCAGTGTTTTCACACTCCTTTTCTTTGTTTTCTAATTCCATGAAGCTCTGAAAGTGGTTTATTTCTTTTGTTTTCTCTTTTACTAATTCTAATTTTTCATCTGCAGCAGTAAATTCTCTCAATTCTTCCTCAATAGTATCATCTATTCTAATGTCATCAAGTTTTAATAAATCTGAAGTAGATGTAGAAGTAGAAAATTGTAAAGGGGTTTGGAATGGAGTTCCTTCGGTATAGTATGTTATGAGAGTATTTTCTTGTTCGCTATTTATTGAAAAATAATCAAAGTAATCAACTTCTTCAATAACTGAATTCTCTTCAGCATAAAGCAAACTATAATTAATTGGTTGATCAAATTCCACTTCAGTAAATCTAAAGAATGAATGTGATTTTGAGTTGATATTGACTGATGTTGATGCCTGTTTTGATGCATTTCTTGTGATTCTTGTCGTCATCAGCTCTTTTCAATAAAATTTTTGTTAATCCAATGTACTGCAGATAAAAAACTAAAATGACATAATAAATAAAACAATTACTTGTCCAATACTGAATTTAAAAAAATTAATTTTAATTAGCTAGTACGAATACTGCTAACATTTGACTAATTTACAAGGAAAATATAGTACATTATGTACCTTCTTAAGTTTTATTAAAGCTTTCGTTTTATTATTTACACACTACCACTCCATCCTTTAATATCACATTATTGTTTAATTAATTTTCATGTTTGATTTTAGTACATTCATGATTGTAAATTATACTGCTATAGAAAATTTTCTTATTACAATTTTTTCCATGTAACATCTTTACTCTGTGAAAATAAATTTAAGTTATATTTTCGAATTTACAATGTTATTATTATTATTATTATTATTATTATTATTATTATGAAAGTGAAAAAAATAAATGAAAACATTTACTGTACCTTTACCTTTATATTGATAATTAACTTGAACTGAGTTGTTATTTGGCTTAAAGCTAATAAAAACTTCATCATATACTTGCTATGTTAGATTATCATATCATAATGTCTTTTTATATCCTGAAAGTAATGAATAAGATAGTTTATTATACATTATTGCTAGTGTAAACATTCGACAAACTAAGGTTATTTTACAGATGACGGCGTTTGTAGCAAAATATTTAATTATTATCTAATTAAAATACACTCACATTGATCTTCCTTACTTCCATTGCGAAAACACTACATTTTAAACTTTTTAGCTCAGATATTGCAAATAATCGTTTGGCAAAAATAATTATTGAGCCGCAACATCGCGGCTGCTAGATCGACTAGCTGACAAATTCACTGAGCAGCGCTGCCTGACAATCCTGACACTTGTCGCCGAACTTCCGTGCAGTGACGGTATATGAAGTATTGCAACGCCCATGTTTGGCGGGCAGTGTGCCAACGACGTGTGGTTTATCTTTTCAGGAGGACTGTGAAGATGGCCCCCGGGTTTTTATGGGAAATTGCTAGCGAAAATGGGAAAACGGCATTAATTCCGCTAATTGTCCCTGATACTCGTAGTAATTTCCCATTTTCGATTAGTCAACGGGAAATGGGTGAAAATTGGCATTTTCTCTTGGCACCGGAAGTGGCCTCTTTCTCTAATAATTGTTGTTGAATAATTACGATTAATGGCTTAAAATTAAGATTTCAATATCCCCCGTCATACCCCGTATTCGCATTTATGCTAAATGTTACTCATTTTAAATAAAAATTGTTCATAACTTTGATGCTTTGAATGGCGGGAAATCGGTGTCAGTCCGTATTTCTGCGTTCCGTGGTCCAGATAACACAGCTGGTGTCGCATACATGTACTGGACACTTGTTAGAGTCGTCTGCTCTTAAACAATAATAATACCTAATCTGATAATAATACTTTCTTGTACAGTTAACCTCATAAGCCGTGTTTTCGTTTAAACAATTTTCCTTTTGTCGATATTCTATCCAAAATTGAAGAAAATGTAAAAATTAGTAATATGCGGCAGTTAGTCGATAAAACAGGTCAAACGTTTGCTAATCACCAGATATCCCTATATGAGTTCTACATTGCGTAATTATAATAATAAGTAATTCAAATTCTACTCAATTAACCATTCACATTTTATGTACATATACATAAATAATTTTTTCTAAGGTTTTCTATAAGTTTGTCAACATGACAATTTTATAATTAATATTTTAACTATATAAAATAACATAATTCTGAACAAAGTAATAAAAAAATTGAATTGACTAGTTAAAATTGAAAAAAACAATCATTGATCAAAAACTTATAGCTTAGTTTTATATTTGTTGAATTATTTAATAACGAACTTAATTTTACTTCCATTTGAATTACTTATTTTTATAATTACGAATTTGAATTACTTATTATTATAATTGCGCAATTAATGTATCTCATATAGGGATCTGGTGATTAGCAAACGTTTGACCTGTTTTATCGACTAACTGCCGCATATTACTAATTTTTACATTTTCCTCGATTTTGGATAGAAAATCGACAAAAAGAAAATTGTTTCGTAATCCGGGAATAAGGAGCTATCATCCGCTATCGATATTATTTCTTTTTAAACAGCAGAAAAATGTTTAATGCATTTTACGCGCTGTACGAACGCCCGATTTTTTTTCGCAATTTTCTTAAAAATGGAAAATCCGGAAATAAAATTTCAAGCGGAGACATAATCCGGAAAAAGGGAGAGAACGTTTTAGCTCATGAAAACTCAAAAATATGATTAAAAAATTTTTTTGGGCGTCAGATTCACAAGTCTGCCAACATGAGGGTTGCAATGCTTCATATACGGGCATACGGCCCTAACTGGAAATGGAATGCTGAAATATGAACTGACACCGTTTTCTCGCCACTGGCGACACGAAAATTATTAATAATTTTAATTTGAAAATTATGCAGCAAATAGGAAATGCGATTTGAGGGGCTGTCGAGGGAAATTAAAACCTTAATTTTGAGCTAACAAACACAAAAATTCAACAATAATTATTATAGTAAACGAGCCTGTTCATGTACCGAGGAAAATCGTGATTTTCACGCATTTTCCATTGATAAATCGAAAATAGGAAATTATCACCGATATCAGGGATAATTAGGGCAATTAATACCGTTGTCAAAATTATTTCAACAATTTCCCTTACAATCGAGGGGGCTACGTTCACAGTTTTATTTCTGATATGGTAATTGTGTTATATATATCTCTGCATAGGCCAAGATACTGCGCACTTCCAATGCGCAGACTTCACGCTGTGTTGATTATAGTTGTGTGTAGCCAACGAATATATCTAATTCGTTGGTGTAACCTAACCATGGAGGTGTTATGGCAACTGTGTAGCTGTATGTATAAATTACAAAGTGCAGAACCGCTTTGACCAACTCTCATGGTGCTACTTTATGATTAAGAATCAGCTAAATAAATTGTATTAAAACAGTATATCCTTATAAATAAACACTTAGTTAATCAAGCGAAAATGAGAATTGCCGTAGAAGGATGTGCTCACGGTGAATTGGAGATTATTTACAATATAATTTTAGAGTCCGAAAAAAAGGATGGCAAAAAAGTTGATTTACTGCTTTGTTGTGGTGATTTTCAATCTACAAGAAACTGGAAGGATTTACGATGCATGAACGTACCTGATAAATATAAGGATATGGGCACATTTTACAAGTAAGTTAATACTTGGTCAATTCGTTAATTTTTTGCAGATCTCAAACTAAATATCAACAACAAGATCTAGACAAATAAATTTGATTTTCAAACACAATTGCAATCTTTTGTAGGTATTACACTGGTGAAAAAGTAGCACCTTGTTTGACCATATTTATTGGTGGTAATCATGAAGCATCGAATTACTTACAAGAATTAGCATATGGAGGCTGGGTAGCACCTAATATTTATTATTTAGGTTATGCTGGAGTTATAAATGTTGCTGGCATTAGGATTGCAGGCATGTCTGGCATTTTCAAAAGTCATGACTATTATAAAGGTCATTACGAGTATCCTCCCTACAATGATCAGTCGATACGAAGTTGTTATCATGTTAGAAATTTAGAAGTGTTTAGGTTGAAGCAGCTTTCTGGTAATATAGATGCTTTCATGAGTCATGATTGGCCAACAGAAATAACAGATTATGGCAATGTAAAAGCTTTACTAAGACAAAAATCTTTCTTTAGGTATGATCACATCTTATTTTTTTCTTTTTAATACAGTTATTGAAATTTTATTATTAATTTTACAGTGAAGATATTCAAAATAAGACTCTTGGTAATCCTCGTGCTATGGAATTATTGAAAAAGCATTATCCATCATATTGGTTTTCGGCGCATCTGCATTGTAAATTTGCGGCTATTGTTCCAAATGAAAACAATAGTACAAAGCAAACAAAGTTTTTAGCATTAGACAAATGCTTACCAAAGAGAAAGTTTTTGCAGATACTAGAAGTAGAACACGATGAGAGTTTAGATATCAAGCTGTCCTACGATTTGGAATGGCTGGCAATATTATATTTAACTAATCATTTGTTGAGTGTTAAAAGTACTTACTGTTACATGCCACAAGGGGAATCTAATTCAGGACGAATTGTATTCACACCAACGCCAGAGGAAAAAGAAAAGGTTCATCGTAAATTTAATTATGATTTAACTGTACCTCTCAATTTCAAGGCGTCAGTAGAAGTTTACAATCCTGACAATCCAAATACGAGGGTTAGCCAACCAAATTTAGCTGTCAATGACCAAACTACTGAATTTTGCAATAAAGTAGGCATTGATGATCCATTTGCTTTATTGAAAATAGCAAATAATATTATTGAAGATGAGAATAAGAGCAACGAAACGTCGTTCTCGTCGTCGAAATTCAATGATTCCAGCAATAACTTATCTTTCTCCACGGAAGAAGACGACGATTTGCTGAGTTTTGTTATAGACACTACGCCAAGTTATTATCCAATATCAGCAATGACACCATTGAAATTACCTGCTGCTAAAAATGATAGTGCATCTTTTGACGATAGCGAGAGTTCTCAAAAACCAGACCGTTCGGTTTGTAGCAACAATTCGAGAAAAAGTCTTGACGATTTAGAAAAAGAAACTTCTGTTGGTGAGTAAAAACTGATTAAAAAGCAAATTTCTACTTTGTTTAATGTGCAAAGTATTCATAAGATTTGTTATCTTGTTTCAACAGAATCTAAAGACTTAAGTTCTAGTTCGATATTAACATCACCTTTGAGATTACCACCTCCAAAAAATGCAAACGATTCTTTTGAGAATAATGAAAATTCACAAGATCAAGCATCACAGATGAAAAGTCCTAGAAGAAGTATCGACAAAGTTGAAAACGAATCTCTCACGGAACGACCGAACTCGGAACCGAAAAAGTTTAAGAGGCGAAATCAATCCATTTATCTTGCCTCGGATTCGTGATAATTGATGTTTTTTATGTAAAAATTTAAATTTAATTAAAATTGTTATTATAATAATTTTGCAATTATTGCAAAAACCATTATTATTATATGAAACAATTTGCGCAAAAAATTTTTTTATATATTGAGAAGATTATTAATAAAAAACAAATTTTTTTACACAACTGTTTCTTCCTTTTGAAAAAAATGAACGTTTGGATTAACAAAGTATAAAGCCAATTGACTGGTGAGCAAATACAACGTAACGCTTGAATAACTAATATTTTCGAATAATTGACGTAATGCTCATTCAGAGCTGCGCGTGCAAGGCCGCAACGCGAAAATTGCAACTACGATTGAATCATTGGTATCTCAAGAATTTCACGAGCTTTTACATAATAATTCTTGCCGGGTCATCCTATTGCACAATGCTACAATTACAAATTTACGGAAAGTTCATTAACAATTAAATTTAACGCAATATTCGCATAAAGAAACGACAAGAGATGTTTATTCAAAAGAATTTATTATGAACATTGATATAATTATAAGATGTTATAAATATATATTTACAAGAGTGTCGGCAAAGTAAACAATGTATAATAAAGATTTGGCAAAAATACGAGATATGAGTCATTTTTCATGCATGAATGATGAGCGCACAGTAATAACGAGCTCGTATACATATACAACTATATCACATACTTTATAGGATTCAGCTTAACAATATAAAGAAAAAACGTCAAGTCACGTCTCACAGATATTGCCATATTTTTTGTCGTGCAATGATAAATATAATCGTTATAATTTTCTAGTTATTGGATTTCTCTAAGAGATATGAAAAACAAAACGCGTTACAAAATAATGCGTACCTAAGACAAATCGTCAATCAAATAAATTAAAAAAAATGTCAATCAAGTAGATAAAATATAAACCCAGTCAATATGTGAAATTTCATTTCAAGTTAATCTTAAATATAATTTAATTGACTAAACAAAAACGACAAAAATGTAGTAATTTGAACATACCAATAAATACATCGTCAACATACGATTATTACAGGTTCACTGGAGCGTCGGTTGACGTACTCGTATCAGCTTGAAAAAGTATTTGAAATACTTAAGAAGATAGTCTGGGCATAACCGGAACAAAGACATTATAGTCTATGTAAGGTTCAATCAATCAAACGTAGTTCAATGACAGCATCGTTTGAGAATTCAATTTCGGAATCGCGTCGTCGAAAGTTAAGCGAAATTTGTGACAAGCTTTCTTGGAATCACCGTCGCGACCACGATAATCTCGCGAATGAAACGTCGTACGAAAAGTGGCTGCCTCGCTCACAAAGCCGCGTTGCTTTCAACGTCCTTCTTCTTGTTGGGATTAAAGAGCACTTGAATCTCTTCGAGCGTTTTGCCCTTGGTTTCGGGCGTAATCATGTAAACCCAGGTTGTGCCGGCGGCGCAGCAGCCCGAGAAGAACCAAAATGTGGTGTGAATGCCGGCAGCTTGGTTGAGCGCGTGGAAACCGAGACCGACGACGAAAGCGAATACCGAGCCAATGATAATTCCCGAAGCGACGGCCGGGCCCTTGACGTTGGTCGGGAAAATCTCGCCGAGGATGACGTAGGGAATGGTGCCGATCCCGAGCGCCACCATGATCTCGTAGAGGACGAGCGCGGCGACGGGCAGCCAGGTGACGGTCGACACGTCGGCGCGCAGGCTGTACTTCAAGAAGAAGAAGAGGCCGACGAGGGCGAGCGCGAGCGCCGCCGACACGCCGGAGAAGAGAACGAGGACGCGGCGCCCGAGGCGGTCGATCAAGCCCGCGGCCGCCAGACCCGCGGCCAGCTGGGCCACCCCGAGCACGATCACGGCGTACTGCGGCTTCAAGGCGGACTCGCTGTGGCCGAAGATCTCCTGCGTGTACGCGACTATGGCCATGTGTCCCGACAGCTGCTGAGTGACCTTCAGGCTGAGCAGGATCCACAGACCGCGACGGTTGCCCCTGTCGGACACCAGCTCGCGCAGCGCGCTTCTCCCGGAGCGCTGACCCGCGAGCACGGCCTCCCTCATGATCGCCACGTCCTTTATCACGTCACCGGCATTCGAGACTCGTCTCAGCCGCATGAGGCTGCGCACCGCTTCCTCCTCGCGATGCTGGATCAGATAAAAGTACGGCGACTCGGGCATGAACACGAAGGTCGCGACGAAGATCACCGGCAGGCTGAGCGAGGCCACGTTCAGTTGGTCGTAGGTGAGGTAGGCGCCCAAGCTGGTGACGAACAGGCCGCCCAGGTTGGTGCACATCTTGAGCATCGTGCCGAAGGCGCCGCGGATGTCCTTGTCCGCGATCTCGGCCAAGTAGATGACGGCCACGTTGTAGATGCCGCCGTGCGAGATGCCGGCCACGAGCCTGGCCACGTACAGCACGGGGTAGCTGTGCGCGCCGATGATCAGGCCCCAGCCGGCCAGCTGCGGCATGGCGAACGCCAGCAGCGACAGCTTGCGTCCCAGCCGGTCGACCATCAGCGGGCTGAGCAGCGAGCCGAAGATGCCGCCGAGCGTGTACAGCGAGGCGATCCAGGACGCCTGCTGGACCGTCACCGGGAAGCTCGAGCGCGTCGACAGCAGGTGCGGCAGCGCCGGCGACGTCCAGCCGAGGTAGCCGCCGCAGGCCATCACCGCGAAACTCGCTGCAACATTGCCAAGGCTCAGCGCTTTCAGTCGCTCGCTCGCTCGCGCGTCGGCGATGGGGCGGGTATTACGATTTTCAAATCGCTATTCGCGGGCGTGCCCCGAAAGAGAGAGAACAAGACGAATTTACGTATCCCACGAGCAAAGCGTCGTCCATCCTGGGCATCCTAAGCGCGACGCACATTCGCGAACGTAGCGAGACGTTCAAAGATTATTACGATTCAAAGACGTCAGCGGTGCTCTTCGCCGAGACCCGGTTTTCGCGGGCGAAGCCCACGACTAATCCGCAGAACCCCCGCGCGCGCTCGGGATAGCGATTGCGCAATGATAACGAGGCGCTTGGTTTCACTCCTCGCGGTTGCTGCTACTTTTCCATGACCAATCCCGCGCGTCGGACAAAAAGTTCGAGCGTTTTTGTTCTTGCTGCTGGCATTCCCAATTGGCGCTGTTGTTATGCAAAAGTATTATTTTACGACGCTTTTGTTTTTGCCGATTGCTTTTTTTTCTTTTTTTCTTAATAAATGCAATGAATGCATCCAATGCACGTCCAATGTCGGTCAGTCGCCACGGCTAAGCCTGATTTTGGAATTTGTAACGTTATCAATATTGCTTGAATTAGGTAAGATATTAAAAGGCAAAATGACGTGTATATAATATCTCTTTCTTTATTACTTTCGAGATTACTTTCGAGTCGGTTTAATTTGTCATTTACAATTAAAAGCGCGAGTCCAATGCTTTTACTCGAAAGAGCAAATTAAATATTTTAGCATTGTAAATTGATAAATTCAAAGCTATAGCTTCAAAAAAAGGTAAACCGACGTGTGAAGTTCGAGAATCAACTTCCCGGCGCACTTAATTGATTTGTCAATGCTAAGTCTGGGCCGCAGGTGAGATTTCACTGCAAATTTGGGAAAATAACCTCGACCTTCGGGCTTCAAGCCGAATGCGATTCACCGAGGATTTTGTCGTTAGCATGCATTTCATTGACATTCTAAAAATGTTCCGGCAAGGATCAATCGTTAATCACAATTTGCGCGCGCGAGACATCAACGACAGGTGAGCGAGATCAACGTACAGTGGAACCTTGCGGACACACAGCGACGAGCCTCCAACTGTCTTTTCATCCACTTACTGTTATCGTATATACATGAGCGCTTGATGATAAATGGAAGTTGGTTTTATCTTACAACGTGCGGTCCCTACGTTTTAATTTTACCAAGACGAATCTTTTTTTTCTTCTTTGTTTTGTTTTGTTTTGTTTTATTTTTGTTGATCTGACTAATCGCAGTTAAACGATCGCGTTGCATAAGATAAAATTGGAAACGTTTAATTTTTCCCCGAGGTTGAATATTTTATTACCAATGTTATAGTCGACAAAAAAAATAAGGCAAATTATCAGGGTAATTCTCGGCTGTTTCAGCAACGCTAGAGACACTAATCAATGGATTTTTTTCAAACTTCATAATTATTATATATACGAAGGTAAATATTTGTCCTAACTTGTATGTAAAAATATAAATTAGGAAAATTATATTTTAAAAAATAACAACGATAGTGGGATGTAAAAAGTAAATAAAGAAGACGGCGGTCAGCCGGCGAGCGTGTTTGAAGACGTGGGTGGCACAGCGGTCAGTTGATGGCGTATCGCTTACAAATAAATAGTGCTTAATGATCGAAACTCTTAGATTTCTCTGCGATGGGGGTGGGAAATATTCCGTCAATTTCATAACACTGGCGAGCTATACATTCAAAGTATTGTATTACTCTTTATATTCCGATTTTCTTTTTGTTATATATTGATTGTTATTTAATTAATTTTTTATCTAGTTTTTAAGTACCAGTATTGCAAGCTGATCTCTTCAAGCCTTCTCCAATTTTATCATGAATTAAGGAAAATTTTTACCTTCGTGCAATATAATAAGCGTGCAAAATTTGAAAAAAAAATGGATTGTTGAAAGAGCCAAGAAACACCTAGAAGCGCTTTACGCTCTTTCCGAGAAATGACGTAAAAATAATCAGGTAAAAAGTGTACGTCCGCTCGGAATTTTATAATTGCAGACACGCCGCTGAATCGATGACCACGGGTGTATCGTTTGCTTCGATTAACTCATCATTGCACATTGTATATAACTCGATCACCATTCGCAGGAACAATAACAAAGAGTCCGGTCGTAGCCAAACGACGAAAGAAACGGCAGTCTTCGCTTCGTTTCGACGTTAAAAGATACGTGTACCCGCTCTTCAAGCGTTCATCTGCCCGATCATTTATCATGTATGCACTTGGCGATGAATAATTGCACAGAATAGTACCGAGATCGATCTGTTACCGTCGGCCCCTTTTTCGCTCGGCAATGACGCGAACTGCATGGAAAAGTTGCTTGCGCTCGTCATGGCTACGCGTGCGGCTCCGCGAGATGTGAACGAACTGAGGCAAGTTAATAAATGCAGACGGCGCTTACTTCCCGTAAAATTTCGAAATAGCACGGGGAAGGAAGATCATTTTTTTCTTACGGCTGTCGTTACGCACTCAGTGGTCGATCTAATTCCTAGCGACATTTTGTTACATTAATCACCTGCTCGAACGAGATATTTGTTGTCGTGTCGTGGCGCTCGATAATCGAACTCACCACTGATAGCCGCAATGATTTGCAGCCAAATTCCACCCCTTTCGCGACTGCTCGTCGAATCCTGCAGCTCGACCTCTTTGCTCGTCTGCTTTTCCGTCGTGGCATTGCGATCTATGTGCTGCTGCAGGTCGGCTGCGCTCCTCAAACACGGTAACAGATTGATCACGCGCATTTCGATTTCTCAAAAGAACGGGCACATTCGACGCTCGATTCCGCACAGAAGAACCGGCGAGGAAGGTAGACTTCCCGCGCGCAAAAGTGATCGCCAAAAAACTGGGAGAATACCAAGCCGGCGCGACGCTTTTATGCCGACTACGAACTGCGAGAGAGAGAGGAATGCCAAGACACGCTGCTGCCGATTGCAACGTGTGTTTTCCTCTCCTCCTTCTCGCTCCTCCACGGACTTAGTTGTCGTTCAGACACATGTGGCTTTTCCGGGGTTACTCTGTGCCATTTTCAATTATTTCTGGCCAAATTTTCAATACTTAATAGGTCAGCCAAAGATTGGAGAGGAATGTGGTCGATGAAAATGCATTTTTTAACAAATTATTTTTGGGAATTATTTTTTGAGGGGCGGAATCTGTGTTGTAGAAAAAGTATATACACACCCACACACACATATATATATATATTTATTAAAAATTTTACTCTTGAAATGAGTATACAACGAATTTAAGAACTCGATTTTCCTGATTAAGGAATCGCAAAATCATATAAAAAAGAACAGTTCTCATGTTGAGAAGCATTTGGTTAAATAACTGATCCTATGATAATTATAATAATAAGGAAAAAGCCAAAGCTTTTTGAAATAAACATTTTTTTAATAAATATATCTCTGCTGAATGAGGTTTAAGCAGATTTTCCGAAATAGAATTATTTTGTCTTGCATTGGAAAATGCTGACATAAGTAAAATACGTGGATAATAAATAAATAATTACAGCGTGCATCAGATATTTTTTTAAAGCGTGCAAACAAAGCAATTCTCACAGAATTTTCTTTTTCATGTGAAAAAAATGCCGATAAGAATCGAATTGTGATTTAATCGTTGTCGTGTTTATTTTTTCTCGAATAGTAACAGCCGTACGAATAGGATTCGTCGGGGGAGGAGGGGGCGGCGAGGAGAAAAAACATCGTTAAAGTGGAGAAATGCTTTCGTAAATGGATGACGTGTCTTATCAGCAAATCGTCGGGATGAAAAGTGCACGACGAGAGAGAATACATCAGATCGTCAACGTCAAGCATCTCGCATTCTAGAAAAACCAGCATCGTCACCGAGCGAATCTCGAGCGCTTGACATTCCATCGGAAAATTGTAAAGTACGACGTTGTATAATGCCATTCGGACGCGACGCGTATAATCATTCGCGGATCGGCGGATCTTTGCACCCAAAAGTAAACGACTTTGTAATTCGGGTTATTTGCGCGCGCACGAAAGAAAAAAAAAAAGACCGAAAGGATAAGCAGAGCGAGAGTCTCGCGTTACAGAAGAAATATCGCGCGTTTATCGCAGAAAATGCAACGTCGGTTATAAAACCGGCACTATCACCAAAGCAATATTTCTCTCTTTCTCTCCGCGAGCGTTTGTGTAATGAGCCGCTTCAACGCGATTAACATTAACAAGCAGCGGCGTGCTCGAGAAATTTCGGAAGGAATTATAATGTTACTTCGACTGTTGCGAGTGGCGAGTAGTGAGCTGCCGCGAGCGTCGTCGTCAAAGGCGCTCATTCAAAAGTTTTCCAATGTTTTCGCGGGCAATTAGCCCCGCGATAACGACTTGGCCAATGTTCTTCGTCCGAATTTGATTCTCGATGATGCTCTCGATGGCCGCAACGCGCGCGTGCCAAAGTCGACAATATTGAACTACATGTTTTCGACCACTCAAGGTTTTGCCATCTTTTCAATGCTGCGTGTGTCATTCTGTTTTTTTTTTTTATATCCTATTCTACAGCGCGCCACGACGTTGATATCGAAGTGGCGCGGGTGGCAACAATCGAGCGGTCTATGTTGCGATTTCTTTGAGTTCTCCTACATTTGCCATGCCGAATCAAATGAGTTTTAAGATGTTCATGTTTTCAAACCGTCGATATTAATTGCGAGTTAATTTTTCAATGAACAAGTTGAAAGACACTTTGCAACCATACTCAAGCTCAAGCAGGCGCGATAATCAACAAGAATCTCGCTTAACGCAAACAAAAAGGCGTCGACGATATCTCAGCTCAATTAGCATTGATTTCCAATAGCAGAAAAATCTAACGCCACGTGTTCTATTCATTGTCGTACGCTAAATAGATTTATCGAGAGAGAGAGAAGAAGGACCACAAGCAACAATGTGATCAAGTGGTCCGGTGACTTATAGAAAATTGGATCTCGAGTTGTTTTAAAAGGCGCTGGCGCCTATTAAACACGAAAAGACGCGTCTTCACGACGCGTGCAATTTGTCTTCGCGGCGTGTGTTGCAGTCGAGTGCGTTCTATACTGCAGTAACCCAAATGGATCAATCCTCATTTTTTTCACCTTTTTTTCCATCACGAATACGTAATTTCCATGGAATCTCGCACTTCTAATTATCGCCGGATCTATGTAGAAAAAAAATGTGTGTGAATTTCTACATCAATACATAAACTTTCAATAGCAGTCTGTGGTCTCACACTAAAGCATACATTATACGTATTTTGTAAATACTTCAATGTTTCGTTCTATCGATCAGAATTAACAAAACTTTATGGAATGTTTTTTTTTCCTTAGATTATCACGAAAAAAAAATTATCAGCTGCGTTTTCATTTATTTGCAAGCTTAAATATATTTTCCCTAAATTTCTTTGCAACCGTGCAAATGTCAACTATATAGAAATATTGCCAGTTTAGTATCCGAGAACCGCATGTATTTAGCGATTTCATTAAAAAATCGGCGTATAGTTGAGGAAAATCCTACGAAGATGGCGTGATCAATAATTGGTAAACAAAAAATGGCGGGAGCTTCCACAACTTGACTTGAATAAACGGTAACCTTAAAGCGTGCATTTGACCGCATATAAATGCACGTAGTGAATTTTATTAACGCGAGTGAAAATAAATTATTGTAATCGTGAAAAGTTACTAATAGTTTATAAATGTTATGGAAGTGTAATTAGGGAACAGTTGATCAACTGCTTGTTTTTAAGGTGCAGAAAAAATGGAAATAGAAAAGCAAATAATCAAGACGTATAGTAGGAGACAGCCTATTACGAGATACGAGTCCTGTGCCGTGCTTGTACCTAATTATACAAATCCAACACAGGTTCGAGAATCCAGATTGAACGACAAAACTTTAATGATCGACAATTTCGACGATACCTTTGATAGATTAGCCACCGGAGTTGTGTAAGTATATCAATTTATCATAAATCATCAGTTGAGTATGTGTATGCGTACTTTTCAACGTAATAATAACGTATATTATGTTTTCGTAGAGTACCGTCTCCGGAAAATTCATTGGATGAAAATGGAGTTGATAGTAGAAAGAGAAGTGACACTGTTGATATTTTCAAAATGCCATTGCAAGCTAAAAAGAAACCAATACAAAAAGAAAAGCTAAAGAAAAAGGATATGGTTCCAAAAGCTATTGGTGTAAAAAGGAAAAATGTAGTCATTGATAGTGATGATTCTAACTCGAGCGATCAAGAGGAGACTTGCAAAAAACAAGTTGACAATAAAAAGTCCAAAGAGAAAATAAAAAAAGTGGTTAAGCGGAAGAAAAATATGTCTACAGCTAAAGCTGTGGTAGGTGATAAACTTGTTGCCAATGATAGTGTAAATGAAAATGCATCTGATAATTTTGACGATAAGGCAGAAAAAAGCACAAATACTGACAACTTCAAAAAATCAATTGAAGGTTCTGTAAACCAACATGAAATTCAACGCTATTTTCAAGCAAGTACTCCTAGAGTAAATAAAATACAAACTAACATAGATATGCAAAATCTATCTCCTGTAATAATGGATACTGCAAATAAAAGAGTATTACATTTGAGCATTGATGAAGAGCATGCTGAAAATGCTGCACATGATAAACATAATAGAAGTGAAAATTTTAATCAGAATGTAGAGTGTAATCAGAGTAATACCATAAACACAAATGATAATTTTGCAAAACCAAGAGAATTTACAAAAGTTGATCTGTTGAAAACTTTTAAACATCTATGTACAAGTACTCCTAGAGTGAATAAGATTTGCATGCCTGTTAATCTTCAATATTTGTCTCCTATAGCATCAACTAAAGAAAAAAGAATCACTGGTAATGAAAAGTCTTCAACTGTAGATGCAGATACTAAGAATGAACAAAATAGTGATATGGAATCAAATTTCAATGATGTTCAAGTGCTATCTGAACTACTAGTAGAATCTGTACAGTCACCAACTAAACTTAATGAAATTGAACACAGTGTTATCAAAGAAAGTAATGAGCCACTATATCAAGAAAAATCTTATGCAGATCATTCCAAACATCAGGAGTTGCCTGCCTCAAACATACAAATTCAAAATAATAATCGAGATGAAAGCATAAATGGAAATGGTACATCAGAATCTACAGTTGGCAATCAAGATGATTCATTATTAAATGTAGATGATCGATCAAACACAAAACAATTCTTATCTGAAAATACTCAAAATTATGACCATTCTCCTCTCATATTTGATGATTCAGTACATGTTCAAAATGAACTAGGAAAGAGTAATGTAGTTGCAGACATTGACAAAGTGAATGATATTGAAATAAATTTCAATCAGAACTTCTCTAACAATATTGAACAAAAAAATAAAGAATTAGGTAATTCAAAAACTACTGATGTTGACCCACCAATTTCTAAGAATAATAATTTTAATATTTCAACTGAATCCTCATTTTTTCCTGATGATTGGACTAATGATTATGATTCTACTTATGGCTATGAGCAACTCAAAAATAATCTTGAAAAAGATAATACAGTTGACTCTAAGCTCATTCAAGATAAAATTAAAAATTCTTTTAATGGTAGTGAAAATACTAATATAAGTGAAACAAATGTTACTGAAGACAATGAAGGCTTAAATATGTTTGACAATACAGAATTACAATCTGTTAAAGATTATGAGCAAGAAAAAGCAGAAGATACACATTACAATGGAAATGTATTTAAAAATAGGAAAAATGAATTGGATGAACAAGAAAAATATCACAATGATCTAAATATTTCTAATAAGGATTATCACGATTCAACAAATTTAGAAAAAGACAATATACAAAATAGTCAAATTACAGTTGAAGGAAAACAATTTTTACATAGTAGAAATAAAAGTACAAACGAAGATAATCATGATTCAATATATGCAGAAGAAGATATTCAGAGGAGTCAAGTTACAATTGAAGAAAAGCAACTTGAACAAATTGAAGAAAGCAAAGATGTATCACTCCTTAATCAACAAAATGGAAGTTCTACATTATCAATCATTGAGAATTTGGATGATTTTATATCACCTGGTTTCACAGCAAGACCTTCAAAAAGAAGAAAAGTTGATACAAATGAGATTCCAATTTTTCATAATCTGAAAGATGATGAAGCACATGTGCAAAATGAAAAATATTTTCAGCATGAGAATAACAGAAATGTTGTTGCACATATTTCTATGCCTGAAGATTCGATTGGTGAAAGTGTAAATATTGAACCTATTGAAAATACTAACTCAGCCAATCCAGATCAACAGGAAGAGAATAGCCCAAAACTTCCTGACAAAGTATTGCAAATAGTTCTTTCAAGAACAAATAAAAAATATGAATCGCCAATTTTATCTCAAGAAAAACTAATAAAAAAAACACCTGCAAAATATGTATCAGAAATATCTGAAGATTCCAATGATGAAAGTTTTTCTAAAGAAAAGAAACAATCAAATACTATCAGAGTAACAAGAAGATCAGTTAGTGAAGATAAAATGAGGCAGCTTTATGTACAATATCAATGCAAAAATTTAGCTATCTATGCAGTCAGAATAGAAGATCAAAAAGTGAATTTGCCACTGACAAGAAGTTTGAAAAGAAAATCGATAGAAAGTAGCATCTCGAAGGATAACGAGCTCGACAATAGTTTAACTAACGGAAGACTAAGCGAATTCCTTTCGAAATTGAATGATCCCGTGAAAGTGGCGATGAGGCGAAAAACACAAAAAAAATACGATATGCACTTAGCTGCGATTAATGAAAATCAAGCAGGCCAAAATTCTGAGGACGTGAATGGTAAGAAAATAGTGACTTGGAGCAACGGTAAGCGAGTTACTTTCAACGAAAGGGGAGAAAACTCTAAAGAAATCGAATATAATGGTTACGTAAGTCAGCCCATATTTTTAAAACCTGGTAAATCTTGGGCCAGATCATTGTCTATCATCAATCACTTCCATAATGGGAAAAATCTTGACGAGTTAGCTGCTGGTAGGGAAAATTGGAGGCATAGCGTTCAAACTATCTTGAACATGCAACCAGAAGGTAATAATTTTATATACTTACATGTATTTCGATAGTCGATTATCTGTCTTTATTGTTTCAGTGTCTGGTCAAAATAACTTGCAAAACCATGAAGAAACTCGAAGAAAATCACGTGCTTCACGTGTGTCTACGCGAAGAGAATCCAAATCAATGAGGAAATCTTCAATTGCTAGTAACTCACGATCATCTATGAGAATTATACCTAGTGGGAAAATGTCTACTCTCACTAATGATCTGATGAACTCACAGAGGATTAGTTACGTTTCTGACAGATCTAGAGCATCAAAAAAAATGTCTTTGAGTAAGTTATCATTTACTTATAAAAAGCTTCCATGTTTCCAATCTCATTTTTTAATCACATGATGTCAATTAGAAATTCAAAGGGATACTCTCATCGAGACTGAGGATGATCTTATTAGATCTGCCAAGGATATCATTCTGAAACGATGTAAACAAACGTCTTACGAGTCATTTGATGTTTGCTTCCCTAATTCGTAAGTTCACGAGTTTAACAGCATTCCTATTCTTTATTGTGGACGCTAATTTTGTCCATTTCTTATAGATATATAGAAAACTGTCGCAAAATCGGTGAAGGTGTTTACGGAGAAGTATTCCTATATGAGAATGGTTCTGAAAAGTCTGTGATAAAAATAATCCCCATTGAAGGAGATCAACTAGTCAATTGTGAACCGCAAAAGAAATTTCATGAAATTCTTTCGGAAATTATTATTGCCGAGTAGGTATTACATAATTTTTACTACGAAATAGAAATTATTGGATAATTAATTTTTATTTTTAGAGAACTGCACAAACTGAGATCTAATGATCAATTCCATACAAATGATTTTGTTGAAGTCAATAGGATAATGTGCGTTATTGGAAAGTATCCCGAGAAGTTGATAAACCTTTGGGATGCATATGACGAAGCGAAAAAATCTGAAAACGATCGTCCGTCTATGTTTGAGAAGAATCAGTTGTATATAATTTTGGAGCTTGCTCATGGTGGACAAGATCTCGAAGCTTACACATTTCAAAACGCATCAGAGTCTTATGCTATTTTCTTACAAGTAATTAATTACTTATATTAAAAATACAATATTAATTTTAAGTTAAAATTCTATTATTTCAATTCTAATATTCGATTTTTTGCAGACTGCATTAACGCTGGCCGTTGCCGAACAATCTTTGGAATTCGAGCATAGAGATTTACATTGGGGTAATCTTTTGATATCAAAAACAAAGGATAAAGATTCAACTTACAAATTAGGCAACAAAGATATTTCACTGTCAAATAAAGGAGTCAAAGTACAAAGCAAAACTTTTTTTATGATCAATTACAATTTTTTATATGTAAATTTTTATAATATTTTATGCAGGTTACAGTAATTGATTTCACGCTATCGAGAATGTCATATCAAGGTTGTAACATTTTCAATGACTTGTCAACCGACCCTACCTTATTCGAAGCACAAGGAGAATATCAATTCGATATTTATAGGATGATGAGGGATAATGTCAAGTAAGTACTATAACTAGAATATGTTTATAAACTCAAATTTTTATTTTCATACTGATGGTAAATCATAAATTTTAGTGATGATTGGCAACAATTTAATCCATTCACTAATATATTGTGGTTGGATTATATCCTCGATAAAATGATAACCGCAGTAAGGTATAAGAAGAAGACGACAAAAATTCATAAAAATGCTATCGAAGAAATGAAGATCTTGAGAAAAGAAATTTTGTATTATTCAAGCGCTTTTGATTTTGTGACTAATTGTAAAAAGGTTCAAACTTTATTTGACAGTATTTAATGTGCCATTTCGTTGGCTGCCTTATTCATCGTTGCTTATACAAAATTTTAAACCTTGTTATTAACATTTTGTAGTAGCTCTTGTATATATTTATTTTTAATAGGAAATATTTAATCATAGGTTATTGTATTTATCAAAGATTTATATAGATATAAATTTTTTCTACATAGTTGTATTTTGTTTAGACTTAGAATGTTTGACATTCTCGATATGCAAGGTGTAAAGTATCGTCAACCTCATAAATTTCTACGTCGATGCGATCCTGATTCAATATAGTTGATAAAAGCATCTGTTGGATAATCTAAAAATAAAGAACAAACAATTATTTTCAATTGCACTCTTTTAAAATCTTTGAAAAACGTTACCTTTGCTGTCTTATGTCCAATTTTATTTCCATATATTTGGAGTTGTCGCAGCACCCAAATTTTTTTTATAGAATATAGTAGTTCACTACAGCCTTCGTCATTGAAACGATTGTATGATACATCGAGTATTATTATTCTAGAAACTGATATTGCTCTACTTAATGCTCTAGTGGAAATAAATATACTGTTGTAATATTAGATTGTTAAAATAGCGCATTATTTTTAATCATACCTGATACCATGATTAGTGATGATATTGTGTCCTAACAAGAGAGTTTGCAAAGTTGACCCTTGTTGTAACCACTTTGACAATATTTCCATTCCGTGATCACCGATATTATTACAACGGAAATCTAAACATTTCAACGTTCTATTATACTTTGCATCTTCAATCATTGCTTCAATATCGTGACACGAAAAACTAAACTTTTGTAAATATAGCTCTTCCAGCGACGCGTTAGACTGAATAAAAGTAAGAAATTAATAATCATCACATAAAAAAATGTTTATTATTATACATTACTCGCAACATTGATCCGATTGCTTCAGCAATATGTTGACTGTTGAATTTGTAGTACAAACATTCTGTGATAGGTCGACTTAGATCCAAAATTTTCAAACTTTTATTATGGTATTCTTGGTCTGTTCGCAATATAGTAGTAAAATAAATCAAGCTTTCTTCCGTTTGATCGATGTCAGCTACTTCAAGTCGTTCAATATAAATATTTTTTTGCATAGTCAATGCAACTTTCATTGCACCCTAAAATTGTTACTTAATTGTATAGATATGAAGTAAAAATAATATCAAGATGAAACAGTACTTCGTTTCCTATTTTGTTCCCGCTTAATTGCAATACTTTCAATTTCAATTTTTCCCCGTTATTTAGTAAATAACTAATGCCAGATTCTGTGATATTATTGTAACGGCAATCGATTTCCAAGATATGATCATCATTCTATACAAAGATTTATACAGCAAATTAAAAAGAAATTTCTTGATGTTAGATTGGGTTTTCAAGCTTTTTACAATAACGTATTTAATTATATCGATAAATCCAAAAGAGTCAATTTGATTGTAGGATAAATTGATTCTCGTAACATCGTGATTTTTCTTTAAAAAGAGTCGCAAATAGGGAGCGTCCCAACTCTGTAGATACCTTCTGAATAATAATAATATGTTATTTTTTAAAACTCATGTCAACGTTATAATTATTATTTTCATACTTGATTTCCAAGAAAAGATCTCCACCTTTCAATATTAAATTTCGCGTATCGTCCTCATTCTTACGACATTTACTTTCAAAAAAATCATTCTTTATGTATACAACATGAGTGCTGCTGTAAGAGATCGTATCGATGGTTGAATTTGAACGCGATTTTGGTATTGCAATGGTCAATAATCCATAACGGTCGATTTCAACGTCGGTATCTTCCATGTTTTTGTTTTAAACTGTCGCTGCGTTGTGCGGAAGGAAGAAAAAATTCGCAAGTAAACAAGTGTCCTAGCAACGATCAGAGATGACAAGAAATACCATCGACACGGATATTATCCCGTTAGACGAGATGTTCAAAGGTAAATGATGCTTTTGTGTTGCAGAAAATTTATAGTAATAATTAATCTATAAAGCTTATTGTTCGATGGATCCAACGTCACGAGCGATGGGTATTGAATTATTACCTTTGTCGCAAAGTGACAAGTGGCTGAAAGCTGCTAATATATTAGACATGGAAAACGTCACAACCACCGATACTGGACTGTGCTTTTTTAAATTTCAAAAGAGAGCTATCAACTACACGCAATTCCTCGAGTATATTAGTGATTTGGCAAACTTGAAAAAACTTGACTTGGAAGATGTTAAACTTAAGCTGCAGACATGTGACAAACCTATCTACCCTGATGACGTAAAGACGAAAAAGAAAAAACGATAATTTCTTCAGTACTCTTTTGGGTATATGTCACGCTGAAAGCTCTGAAAGATTTTAGTGATTATAAGTTATAAAAGTAACAACACAACAATTATACTAAATCTATATACATACTTTATTTATTAGATTTATTAGATTTCAAGATCAATATTATATTGATATAAATCACTTCAATTTTTTCTTGTTAATAAATACTCTGGACTCGCAATTACATTGCTTCAACAACATTACTATAAATTTCACCGTTACCAATGTTACCAATACCATCAGAAATAGATGTTAGAGCATGAATTTTATTCACAACTTTAAAGCAATTAAACCGTAAATTTAAATCACAAAAAATGAATTTTATAAATAATGAAGTTCCAAATAAATTTATCAATAAGTTCTACGAAAGAGTCTTAAGACACTTGAATCACAAAAGAGTGTCCTTCAATTTTACGAATGTAAGTTTTTTTGTACAATAAAAGACTGCTTTATAAAGCAACATTAATTGGAAATTTCATTTTTGCTGCTTCCGTTGAATATAAAAAATAAGCTTAGGACAAAAATAAAATTGATTTAAAGAACATATTAAGTTCAGCGATGATTTCACCATGTATCAGTGAGAGTTTAAAATAAATAACAGAATTACGTAATTGTAATTGAAAATAGTTCGCGACGAATTTACGTATTTCTCTGGATCCATTTAAATCCCTCGCGGATGTTATTCAAGCTTACTCTTCCAAGGAAACATGCAATAAGCTGATACTCAGGCATTGTGCGTCGTCCGCAAGATCGTGTTGATAAAGATCTTTGATAAGTTATTTGATGTGGTAATTCTTGTAATGAATCGACGACGTTTGTTGCTTGTTCAGTTACCTTGTGTCGACCTTCGCACAATACTTTTGTCGTCAAGCACAAAAGCCACTGCAAGATCTGCAAAATAAAAATATTCATAAAATGCAATGATTTTACGTGTTTGAAACTCAATTAACTCCCTATTTAAATATTTTACCTCGCTACTCGATGGAATTTTTGTGTCTTTTTGAAGCCAAGCATTTGGAGCCCAAAGATACAATTGAATTATAGTACCTGCCATTTCTGTGCTAAGACGCTGAAATGATATTATCTAATTAACATTTAAACCCACAAAATTTTTTAAAATGTACTAAATAAACACTACCTTGTAAGTACTGCGCGATAATATATTTTGCACCAACGCCGAAATGACAGTTGGAATAGCGTCGGGTAGCGGTGGAAGTTCATCTTCTTTATAATCATAATTTTTCAATAAAGCTTTTTCCTTAGCAGTCCCATAAAATGGATTTGTCAAACCGAAAATTTCATAAGCTATTGTACCGACTGTCCAAAGATCCGATTTCGTGTAATTGAGACTGGTAAATGGTCCTGGATCAGCTGTCACAATTTCAGGAGCCATGAGTGCAACATTTCCACCCTTGTCAGTATCATGCGAAGTGTATGGAAGATAAAGACCATGATTGTTGTCTGCTAAACAGCAGCCGAAATCGGTAATAACTAGAGTAGGACAGTTGTCAGTTTCTTCAGATATATCAAGAAGAATGTTGTCAGCTTTAAGATCTCTAAAGAAATGAAAAGAAAAAAATCATTAGAATTATTATTTTATTTGTATTTTGTTGAAGTTGTGTGAGTTTGAATGTACCTATGAGCAATTCCATGTGAATTCATGTGACAAACACCTTCCAGCAATTGAGCAAACAATAGAATGGATTCTCGTACACTGACTTGTCGTTCGGTTACGTATTGTTTCAAAGTGACATCATATCTAAAGATACAAAAAATGTTTCATTTACAATCAACTTTAACTGCAGTGAAAAACAATTATATAACATACCTTTTCATTAGAATGAAGAGACTCATGTTCCTTCCAGATCCTTCAGGATTTAATCGAACTGGTAGAGCATCTGGATACATCTTGATTGAACCAGGTAAATAAGGAACTCGATCAGCAAAAACAGAGTACATAGCTACAATATTAGCATGAGGTGGAAGAGTTCTTTTATTGTCAGCCATTTTCTGCTCCCAATGAGACAATTCCTCATTCCTATAATGTTTCCATGCTGGTACTGTTTCTCTGTACATTGCTCTCAAGATTGCTGTTGCATTTGATTCTGCGTCATAATTGAACATCATTTTAATTGCCAGTGGAAAGGCAGATAGATTATTTGCTCTATCAACTGTAATTTCCTCATTATTTTGGTTTTCATCATTAGTTTTTGAACGAGCTGCATATACTACTGCTGAACATCCTTTAGCTATCAATGGTCCTATTGCAAAATTTTTCAAGTTCAACTGATCTTGATTATTCAAAGTACTTTCATAATTTTTATCATTTCTAGGCTTGTTCCACTGCAATCTCATAACAGCTTCCTAAAAATATATAATCAAAATAGCCACTTTAAAATTAAAATCAACTATTTTTGCTCATTTGAAGTAGAAACCTCACCCTAATTTCCCAGCACACTCCTTCTAATTCATCTTCCTTGGTCAAAATACCAGTGCCAGAAGCTAATGAAATTCCCACAAGTGCAAAGAAAGGAGCTGAATCGCCACCAAAGAGCAATCTGCTGGCAGCACGACGTCTCAGATCGGCAGCCGAGGTGTTCGTGACCCTTTTTAAGACATTGTCAACGAAGAGTCGACGTGCCTGAGCTCCCAGGTAGCCAAACGGAGTGGAGGATGCATTGCCAGTAGCCGCTGATGCCTGGCCCTGGGACTCAGCTGTACAGCAGAAGTCAATGAAAAACAATGTTGCCAATGGTCAAGGACGGACACTTGCCTACTCGTGCAAGGTGTATCTTGTTGTCGTGGGCTCTCGTGGATTGAAATTGCTCCGGCTTCCTGATGAGGCGAAGGAAGAGCCGACCATGGTGCACGAGGCGCTGTGCTGCCGTTCTAATCGACATTTCTCCGCGCTCCGGAGCCGCGAGCGCCCAACGGGCAAAGCCCGGACCCCAGAGAAAGCCTTTGAGGCTTGACACCAGTAATAAATCAATTTTCACTTGTTGCTGTCAACACAACGCACAACAGGTTACGCGAAATAAAGCTTAGCTTGATATTTAATTTTTGTATTGCGGAATAAAAAGGACGGCAAACACGATATAACCTTACCTTTGAAGATGATTACGCGATTAATTTTACGTCGCAGCTGCGCTTGCTCCTGCTGTCAAGGTTTCTCCGCAGCGCCAGAGATATATGACGAGTCGTGTTTTTACATATATAGTACCTATATAGCTGTGATTTCTCTATAACTTGCTGAGGGAATGTTTCGTTGTTGACACGAGAACGGTCGTGAGGTAATTCAACGATTGCATTTTATTATATATATTTACGACATGTTGCTTAGTTTAAAGCAGAAGAACCTGAAGTTCATTGTGCGTATGCGCGGAATTTCGGAGAGGACATTTTTTTAAATAAAAATTTCAACTTTTTTATTTGTAGAAGTATTTTATAAAATATAACAAAAATTTTATTGTAATTTATATACAATTTATTAATCTGTATTTTTATCTTAGATTATTATTTTTAAATTTATGTTACATTTGTACGGATCTCTTAAATTTGTACTTGCTCTCTATTGAAATAGTCGTCTGCTACACTTTAGTTATACGGGTAGCATTTACAAGAACTTGTAGTTTTTATAATAATGTAATAATTGTACACGTTTATTTACAATTAAGATTATTTAAAACTTGTAAAACTCCCAAAACAATTAAATGGATTTCACAATAGTATAATTAAATGAACACGAATCGTTTCATTTTTATATGATTTTATTTTAAAAAACACACGTACCACGTGGTTTTTTCTACGATTTTTGGTTTCCATTCATTGACAAAAAAAGTATTTTGGTAAATAAATTGAATACTAAATTATAACTATCTTATTTTGCAATACATTTTGATACTTTACGTTTGTTAAAAATATAATTAATTTTTTAATCAGCATTACAGGACTGGAACCCTAACCTTTAGATTTGAGTAATAAAATGTTAACAAAACGAATTGTCAATTTGTCTGTCAAGTGCAGAAAACTATTTTCTGCATCTAACTCACATATAGTTGGTGGTTTATATCAAGTTAATGATTTTAGAGGTACAGTAGTCAATTGTAATGTGGGTTTACATTTAACTAAAATAATATACATATTTTAGATCATGCCAAATTGATGTCAAGTAGAGATGATAGAAGCCCTACAACTCAATATAAGGTGTTTGAGCCTAAAAGTTCATCGATAGTTGTGAATTTATTAGAGTTTAACTTCAATGATTCTAATTTAAACAGTTCCGATATTATCAAAGCATTGGTACAGTTAGTGAAGTTATGCAAACAACAATCATGCTCACCAGATAAAGTAGTACATGAAGATTTTTTCAAAAATTTGTGTGATTTGATTAATTCACAGTCTGACAATATGACACTCCCTGATACTGTACAAATTATAAAGCTCTTACACAAATTAAGACTACATAACTCATCAAAAACTTTGTCATATCTTTTACAACATCTTGATACACTAGTGAATCAAGCTTCATTAGCAGATTATAATAAAATATTGTCTGTAATTATGCAAATGCCATCTGTTCCATTAGCACAAGCGATTAAAACCCGCTTGATACAAAAGTTTCTTTTCAAAATATCTACAGGTTTTGATGGAAACAACTTTGAGTTTTTAACAGAAGCTTTCAGATTTGCTTGCTTCAACATACAAGATAAAAAAATTTTGAATATAATAACTCATGCAATTAAAAATAGTAATTTTGACATACAATCACCATATAATATTCTATCATTATTAAAAACTTTGAATGTATCAAATCATTATTCAATGGAATTTGAAGAAATTCTCATAAAAGCTCAAAATGCTTTAATTGTAAACATAGACCAATGTAACAGTAAAGACATTTCAATAATGTTAAGCATGTCTGCTAGGAAAGAAAAATTCAGCAGGTATGTTATAAATTTATAAATGTAAACTTTTAAAGCCATAATGAATTTAAGATTGTTTATTGGAACATTTTTATTTTCAGATTGAAACAGTTTTATAACAAGACACTATATGATAAAATTATTCAAAAATTAATATCAGCTGAGTGTAATTTATCAGAAGGCATAGATTGTTTAAATGCAATTATCAGTGTGAAACACACAAGTAAAGAATTATTAGACTACTTGTCTGGTAAAATTTACGTAGAAAAAGAAATTGATAGGAATACGATTAAAAGTTATGTATCATTCTCAATGCTTGAAGGATTTGCTAATCTTAAGTATAAACCAATTTGGTGGGAAACATTTGAAGATCTTTTTAGAAATATTGATTTTAACAAATATAACATGGAGACATTGTTATATAGAGCTTATCATATGGCATGCCTTGATTATTATCAGCCTGAACTGTTGGAAATTCTTTTTAAGAGAAGCTTTAACTTTAGAGGCAGATATACAACACATCATACTTTTTTACGATTGTATCAAAAATTGAAGACGGTGCCAGGTTACACTGGCCCATTGCCATCACAATTACAGATTCAATCGTTTGAAACTTTGACACGTACGGTTACGGCTTATCCTATATATACAAATCTCAAGGAAGCCTTAGGTGGTGCTGAATATGTGAAAACCAATGTTCGAACTAAATTATATCATCAAATTGGTAAAAAATATATTTACATATTCAAGAATTTAATGAACATGATAAATTCATTAATGATTACAATTTTCAGATCATGTCATAGCTATTCAGCCTGGAGGTGATCCATTTGCTATTAATAGTATTAAAAAACAAGAATCTGCTGAGAACTATAATAGTTTATCAATGGAATATTTAGAAGATTTGAACATTCCTGAAAATTGTCAAGTGTAAGAGTTCACTAATCAGATACTTTGAATATTAATTTTAGTCATATTAACTTCAAAAGTGTCAAATTATTTGCTATCAATTTGACCGGTTACTGTGCAGATATAGGCATTATTTTATTGGAATATTAATAATCTTAATTTATTTATTTCCAGTATTGCTGTAATTTGTGTACCTACCAAGTGGTATGCTAGAAATACAGATCAAATATTAGGAACATTTGCAACTTACATTGAAACTTTAGAAACATTATCTTGCCAAGTGATAACAATATCTGACAGTATATGGCAATCTTTACCAAAAGACTCTAGAACTGCTTTTCTGATGGATGCTATTAAAAGTAAATTAAATGATAACAAACAGAATGTTGAACTTGTATATTAGAATATATTGGACTGACAAAATGTAAGACATATGTTGTACATTGAATATTTCATTAAATGAAATATTAGTTGTATGCATTGGACAATATTAGAAAAATAATTGTGCAATACAAGCAACGACCAAGTTTTGTATATAATAGTGTAGGAAAATAAAGACTTGATATCAAAACATTTATTATAGAATTACATTTAACTTATCTTTAATCGACAATAGAAATTTATTAAAATAAGTGTTATAGAGTTTATATATATCTTATACATAAACTCATACCTTAAACCTTACACCTTGTCTAAATCAGCTCTAGTAATGGTAAAAAGCGTATTCTATGAAATCTTTCGACATTCACCGCGCTTTTTAGTATTCGCGAAAAGCTTACAAGTGAAACAATTTAATACATTACGATACAAGTGCGGGAAATAGATTCTCGCTTCGCTTGGGCGTAAACACCACACGAGACGAGGAACTCTTTCCCGAACATGTGCCGTACCGTATTTTTTGATACGATGTGTGGAAAGTGCGATTTTCAACGCACGTTTTTTGCCGAGCATGCGGGAAAAACGCACTTTCCGCACGGAGTGTCGAAAAAATGTAATTTAATTTAATTTTAAAGCTTTGAATCTTCTTAATTGTTCAAGCTTTCAATTCGAGCTTAAATATTGTTCTGGTTAAGTGTTAAGGTTTATTAATTTTTTTATCGAGTAATAATTAAAAGTGCAATTTTGTAACACCTATTCAGAAAACGATTCACGGTTATTTTCGTTAAATTATGAGAAAGCTAAAATATGAAGAGTCCGAGACATTAAAACTTTTTCTATTTTTACAGAAGTTTATAATCGATCCAAACGCTTTTGATAACCTTTAAAAAATTGAATATTTAACGCTGGTTAAACGTCAATAAGAGAATAAATTTAATAAATGCCTTTCAGTATCGGATTGAGAGGTGTCGACAACGGACACCTGTGCCTTTCGCGTCGCGATAAAGAAAACAAAAGCTATTTGTATCTGTTGCAATGAATAAAGTTGCTCCATATTTCAAATAAAAAGAAATTTATTCATGAAATGAAAATTAATAATTTTTATACGTTATGGATTGTTGAAAACACATAAAATGAATCTAATATTTACGTTTTCCGAAGACTAAAAAGAAAATCAATTTTGCGTCCTCGTACCCTCTCGTTAAGTTAAATTAAGTTAATCTCTGTTCAAATCCACCAGGGTAATTGTATTTCGATCGTCACCTGTGATAATGAAGTCCGTTTTTTCATGATTTTCATCCGGAAAGAATCTTTATTTAAGCACTCAGCCGATCGAACTTTCGAGCTATCGATCTATAAAATTTATTCACGACAATCCTATGCACTTTTGCATGTCTAACTTTATCTGTTCCAGAATTCGAATTCTAAACTCGAGGACTTGAGTTTTTGCAAAAGCTCAATATTTAACAATTATTAAGACTCTTATCATCTTCACAATAATTATAATGTAATTTTTACCGTATCGACGAAAAAAAATAGTAAAAATAACTTTTACGGCTTTCCGACCCCATGAACATTCTTCAGCAGATCCGAGGCATTTTGCAACAATTTCCTTGTTTCGTCATCGTCGCTATTTTGAAATTGCACGAGTATCACCAGATACGTGGTGACCGCACCAGTCATCTAAAAAATACACAATTAGTAAATTGAACGGTTGGAAGCTGTTCGCGCTGAATTCGAATGCTTACGGAAGTCAATAATCCACGATTCAGACAGAACAACCCGCAGGCATTGAATTTCACGGGTCTGTGCAACAGTTGCAAAGCGAATCTTTCCAATTGTTTTCGTACCTGAGGATCCCATTCGCTTGCCAGTGCTTTGCTCACCAATGATCCAGTAACCTGAGCCTTGTATCGAAAAATAATGTCGGCTCTTTATTATACATTTCAAGTGAAATAAATCAGACGAAATTGATAAAAGCCATACCTTGTAGGTGACCATATATGGGGGTTGAACGAACAGCATCATCTTGTAAATGTGAAAGATTATCCAGCCAATCTGACGTATAAAAACGTACGACCGTCTAGTGGAGCTGTTGATCTCGGCGTACAGGAAGTACAGCGTGATGACGAGATGTATCAGGCAGCTGAGCGTGCACAGTAGTAAGATCACGCCGTACGCTTTGTTCACGCGAATGATACTGTCGCAGAGTATCTCGTGCACCGCTATCAGCTGCTCGATCGCCTCGGACGCGCTGCCGCTGCCGCACATTGCACCCGCGAAGACTGCCGCTCGATCGCGCGGCGTACTATCCGCGCGCGCGTCGATCGTACCTTCGCTGGGCTTGACGGCCGCTCGGCTGAAGCGACGTTGTCGATTTCTCGAGTCCGACGGCCCAACGAACGGTCGCCAGACTTCATGTCGCGACCCCCGTGCGGCTGCTCGACAATTGCGATTCGTTACAGGACGACGACCAAAGCTATCCGGATTGATATTCAAAAATTAATTGATTACCAAGACCCATATCCTTGCGAAAGTAGTCGATGATGTCGTTGGTCTTCGTAAGGCACTCGATGGTACTGTTCAGCCTCGAGAATCTTTCGCCGAGGTTCATCAGGATAATGGCGTACTGCATCTGCAGCGCCACAATCACCATGTACATGAAGTACATGGGACTGTAATTGATCGGGCCCTTATCCGTATTTTTCGTGTTGTTCATTTTAGGCATGTACACGATTTTCCAGGAGATATAGTCCAATGTCGATATGCTTATCAAATAGACCATAGTGCAAGCGATCAGGATTATCGACAATTTGCGAAGGTTGATCGTCGGCGTTGTGGAGACGTCCAGCTTGGCATCCGCCTGCGCGTGGGTGTGCAATATATGTGTGTGTGTGTGTGTGAGAAAAAGAGAGAGCAGTGCGCGAGAAATCGCGTCGCGCGCAAACGTTCTCATACCTGGACTATCTTGTCGAGGGCGTGATGCACGTGCTTCCATCGAGTGGACGAGCCGAGAATCGCAAAGATTGTCACGCAGATCACGAAGAACACGTCGCTGCCCGTCACCGCGATCGCCGTCTTCGAGAACAATCTGGTGCTGTTCTGCCAGCCGTCGCGCGTGTCTCGGTATAAGCCCCAGCACTGCGCTGCAGTCAATGCTACCGCCAGCGCAATTCTTATGATTTGCGTATGATTAGGCGTATGATTAGGCGATCGTGCGGCGACATACGACGGTACGGCAATTCGAACGGGGCTTACCCGTAAGCTACGGCCCCCGAATCCACCTTATCGCTGGTTTTGGCTTCTTTGTTCGGTATCAACTTCACGGCCGACAATCCGCAGACTTTGCTCATGTAGTCAGTCGGCACGAGAGTGTAGTATACGTCGGTTTCGATCGCCTCTCGAGCTTTCGCCTCGCAGTTTTGATTCTTCTGCCTCGACAACGCTTCTGAAAGACGCGCATGAAGCAACATTATAACGTATGCATTACGTTCAAATGACTTTACCTACTTTTTTTTAGATTGCGCCAAGCTTCCATCGTTCGATACTGTCCTTTCTGTTGTTCAAATGTAGTTATAATGACAAAGCTTCATAGTTGTGGGTAACACGAGAAAAAGAGTTAAACGGATCCATCTTGATTTGATCATTTATTTATTTATCCAGCCGAGCGGTGGATTTTTACGCGAGTGCGATTATCGTGGTAGCTGTGTTTACGACCGTTTTCATTTTATATCTCAAATGGCAATCTACACGCAAGCTTTATAGATTTTTATTCAAATTATTATTCTATATATATATATATATATATATTCTAAACTAATTCCGCGCTTGGATTACGTTGAGTTATGTATACAAGAATTTACAGGTCCAACAATTATAAAAATACATATATTAAGTAATTCAGCAAATCCAAGCTTGCTAAATCAAAAGTTATCTGCTTCTTGTTTGTATATTTAATTAATATGCAGTTTGATGTTTGAATCAAATCAAAACTGTTATAAGGGAAATAAAATATCCTCAAATGCACTATATATAAAATAATTCTACGACTTGAAATGCTTAATATCCGTCCATATTTAATAGTAAATAATTATTCAATTATATTGATATTTAAATTCAGTAATTATTTCAAATTTAATAACGTTTTGTAAGAAATTTAGTTAGAGATAAATTATTTTGCGATTTTTTTCTAAATCAACCGAACCGTTAGCTGCGTCTGATAATTTTATTTCCTTTCTTTCATATTTGTCCGTGATCTCAAACTTTTCATCGGTTATATCCATATTATGTTAACAAAACTACTGATCATCGCAAATTTTGCAAATTCAGCGCTGTTGTTTCCTAGAATTAATTTTCGAAATCTCAACAATCAACTTTTTCACTATTTAGCCGTGACAATTTGGAAGTTTCATTTAAATTTATAAGTTTAATTAAAAAATTAATGAATTTATACAAGCCGATCATCACTTGACAATATTTTATATGAAATTATCTATTAATTTATAATTTTTTCCAATCTTGATGAAGTTTAAACGAAGGTAAACTTATCACGAATAAGATATTCGATAATTAAAAATATATGCCCGTAGGGAATTGAGTTGAATTGAATTTAATTAAAGTAGGGGATTACTTTATCATATTATTTAGAAGTTATGTACATTGTATGTATGTATGGATTTGACATACGAGGGTGGTCCGATAAGTATTTAGCCTCACCGCCCGATGGCGCCACTCTCGCAAAAGAAATATTATATCACGTACTACAACCTTCTCGATGGTTACTGTCAAGATTTCAGCCGGATCGGAGTTGTAGTTTATTTTTGAGAGCGTGCGAAAGCAAGTGTGTCCGTTGATTTTTGAAAAATGGAAAAAAAGCAGTATCGGTCGGTGATTCGATTCTTGTTTTTGGAAGGGAAATCGCGCAGCGAAATCAAAAAGTGCTTAGATGTTGTGCACGGTGACTCTTCTCCTTCGATGTCGACCGTTAAAAATTGATTTAACGAGTTTTAACGTGGTCGCACGTCGATTTTTGATGAGCCACATGGCGAGCACAAAATGTGATCTACATCGACTATCTGGATAGGGACAAAACGGTCACAGGCTGTACTATGCCGAATTATTGGGCCGATTCGACGTCGAATTGCAGAAAAAACGGGCCCATTTAGCGAAGAAAAGTGCTCTTCTACCATGACAACGCATCGGCTCACACCTCCGCCGTCGCCATAGCCAAATTGGTCGAATTAGGCTACGAACTGCTGCCCCATCCACCGTATTCTCCAGATTTAGCCCCGTGCGCCTTCTTTTTGTTTCCAAACTTGAAAAAGTCAGGGCAGAAATTTGAGTCGAATGAGGAGGTAATCGCTGCCACGGAAACCTACTTTTCAGACCTCGGGGAAACGTATTTTTCAGACAGGTTAAAGAAGTTGGAGCATCGCTGGGCCAAGTGTATGGAACTAAAAGGAGACTATGTTGAAAAATAAAACGCCACTTTTCCAAAATTTTCGTTTTTCTTTTGTAGACTAAGTACTTATCGGACCACCCTCGTATAAATACAAGTGTTGATTAAACTCTAGACTCTAGGTGCTAACGATAATTTGATTCATTATAACTCAAAATCAAATCGTTCACTATACCTCACCTGGTGTATGTATGCATACATATATATATATATGTATATATATATATATGTTAATAACAGTTTCCATGGTGAATAAACACGTGGTTACGTGGTAAAACAGATCGTCTTTAGTTGTAGATGGCGCGAAATTTAACTACCATCACATATAGCAAATGTATAATTATACGTTTTTTTCAACAAATGATTTTTTGCTGGTCGCACGATCTCATTGTTATGCAACATTCACAAGTCTGCGCATCAAATTAACGCGTTGTCTATTGACGCGGAAAGCGTTGAAATATGTGCGATTTCGTCGATATTCGATCGCCTTACAGTTACAAAAACTCAGTTGAAATGCAGAAATGTCGCAAAAAAAAGAAAAGCGAGAAGTAGGCTAGCCGTCACTGCGTATCGACACTCGGTGGTATTGAGATAATCGCCTGTCATTTACGCGTTAAATGCACGAACGTACGTTTTCTTTTAAAGTCTGACAGACTTGCATACATAATGACAGAGTATTTGCATCGAAACACGAATGACTATAACTCGTATCAAGAGTAGACGTTAAGGAAAATGTAAAAATGAAAAGAAAAAGATATCGTGCGATGTACACGTGAATACGTGAAGGAAGGTAAAGATATGTACATATATATAGAGAGGGCATCGCAATCATCGAGTCGAGCATAGCGCCCCCACCATTTTAGTACATTTCACTACTTTTACAACACAACACACATATGACACAGGTCTGGCTGCAGTGTTTGTGTTGATCACGCTCAGTCTGCTGCTTTTTGCTTTTTAGTGTGTTTCTTGACATCCTAGTTGTACGCGACGACAATGGCACCAACGCTCAGCAAACTCGCCACCAGGAAAAGTGTAGCCTCGGTTGCTGCCATAGGTGCTGTTCTTTGGTTGTTAAGTCGTAAACGCAGCAAGAAACGTTACTACTCGAGCAGCAAACCGAAGTCAGTTTCACGCATACATTCATTTTTTTCCTTTCGCTTCCTCTTCTTTTGACTAGTCATCATCGTTTCGATATGGCTACTTAATAACGTGTTATTTTTATAGGAATACTTGGCCACCCAACAATGACGTTCAGTATGTTATCAAGGAGGTGAGTGTTGTCGCGACCCATTAAAATTACTTTGACAATCAAGGTCGAAGATTTATACACACGCGCGCGCATGTACGCACACACACACACAGATGTTTTTTTAATTTTTTTTAGGAGAAGCCTAAGAAACCAAAAGCACATGTGGACAAAGAATTCTTTAAACAGTTGAAACAATTACTTGCAATAGGAATACCTGGAGTGATATCTGTCGAATCAGGCTATGTATTACTGGTGGCTGTTTCTTTGGTTGCAAGGTCCTTGTGTGATCTGTGGCTCATTCACACTGGCACACTCATTGAAACGTAAAATTTTCATTACAACTGTAATTACTGACATTGTAGAAATTATATTACAAACTAATGTTTATTTGCAGATCAATTGTCAACATGGACTTGGATTTGTTTAGGAAACGATTGTTCAGATTCATTGCTACAATGCCAGTGGTAAGTATTAAATATTTCTCTTTCAATTATGTAAATTAATTTTAGGGGTCAAATATAAGAATATCATTCAAAAAAGCACACAGATAAAAACCTGATAGCATTCAAGTTGCATATTTATATATGTACATACATGTATTAATAGTATAAGAATAATTAGTAATTTTATGTTGAAAATATTTCATCAAAGTTATTGTTTCTAAATTGAAATATTAAATTTTAGATATCAGTAGTCAATAATATTCTAAAGTACAGCATTGGAGAAACAAAACTGAGACTAAGGACAAATATAACGCGTTTTTTGCTGGATCAATATTTGAAGTGAGTAGTTTAAACTTTTTGTTTCTGCCTGACCTAGTGTTGTAACAATGACTTACTACATATGCATAAGCGAATTTTCATTTCAAAATCAAGGGAAAGTGATTTTAAACATTGCCTGCTTCTCAGTACAATAAAGATTAAAGGTCATTGTTATAGGTTTACTATATAAATACATTGTATTATTATTTGACTAATTCAATTAGCATTTATCATAATAGTACAATAAAATATTTGCATTATTGCATGTGTCACTAATTTTTTTTTTCAGAGGATTTACATACTACAAGATGAGTAATTTAGATACAAGAATAGCCAATCCTGATCAATTACTGACTGCAGACGTAGACAAATTCTGTGAAAGCTGCACAGACTTATATAGCAATATTGCCAAGCCAACATTGGACATTTTTATTTATGTTTATAGACTTACCTCTACTCTTGGTGGTCAAGTAAGTTTAATAATACATTATTTCTCTCTAATAAACATTGATTAAATTGTTATTAACCATTGCAGACTCCATTTTTAATGTTGACATACCTTCTTGTTGCTGGAACATTCTTAACTCACTTAAGAAAACCTATTGGTACATTGACTGTGAAAGAGCAGAGACTGGAAGGAGAGTACAGACACATTAATTCACGACTCATCACTAACTCTGAAGAAATCGCTTTCTATCAAGGAAACACACGAGAAAAATTAACTCTTCTGGCCAGTTTCCATAAATTGGTGAGTGTTTTTGTTAACATTTCTTTTCTTTAATAATAACGTAATTTAATACTGATGGTATTCGATCAAAATTTTAGGTGTCACATCTCAGACATTTCTTGGAATTCAAAGTAATTATCGGCGTCGTGGATAACTTCATTGGCAAATGTACGTGTATTTTGTTTTTACAATTTTAAACGTTATTAGGATTATTAAAATGATTAATTTTTTCAGATGTCGCGAGCGTTGTTGGATTTTACGCGGTAAGCATACCCTTCTTCAAAAAGGATCATCCACTGTTAACTGGAAGTCCAGACCACAGATTTAAGGCCTATTACACTTATGGACGTATGTTGGTAAAATTAGCTGAAGCAATTGGTAGATTAGTACTGGCTGGTCGTGAAATGACAAGACTTGCTGGATTAACCGCTCGAGTAACTGAGATCCGGAAAGTACTGAGTGACCTGAATGACAACAAGTACGAGAGGACGATGATTACCGATCCTAAAAATAATCCTATCGGATCACCTGGAGCTGGAAAGATACTTGCCAGAGACAATATCATTCGTTTTGAGGCTGTACCCTTGGTTACACCTAACGGCGATGTTCTTATCAAGGAGCTCACTTTCGAGGTTAAATCAGGCATGAATGTACTGGTTTGTGGACCAAATGGTTGTGGAAAAAGTTCGCTCTTTCGTATTTTGGGAGAGGTAGTAAAAATAGCATCGTGGTCTGTCAACTAATTCAATCAAAAGTAACATCAATGATTTTTTCGCAGTTATGGCCTGTATGGGGTGGTGTAATGACGAAACCACCTCGTGGAAAGCTGTTCTACATTCCTCAAAGACCATACATGACATTGGGAACTTTAAGAGATCAGGTAATTTATCCACACACTCGAGCTGAGATGATTAGACGAGGTAACGCCAAAGATGAGGACCTACAAAAGTACCTGGATCTTGTTCAATTGGGACATCTACTGGAGAGAGAAACTGCACCTGGCGAACCCCAAGGTTGGGATGCTGTTGCTGACTGGATGGATGTGCTGTCGGGTGGTGAAAAACAAAGAATAGCGGTCGGTGTCTACAATTGATTTTTCAGAAGTTTTTGCGTGAACGTTCAATTGATATTTAACTTTGTTCATAGATGGCAAGGTTGTTTTACCATAAACCTCAATTCGCTATTCTTGACGAATGTACAAGTGCCGTTAGCGTTGACGTCGAAGACTCGATGTATTCGTACTGCAAGAAGGCTAACATAACTTTATTTACTGTGTCTCATCGACGATCTCTTTGGAAACATCATGAAGTACGTAATTTTAACACATTCGATCTGGCGAGATATACATCTTTTAGAATTTTATTAAAAATTAAACGTTATAATCGCAAAGAACCTATTTTCGTGACAATATCCAATTAAAGGAACTCATACCTAACATAACCTATACATTCGTAGAAACTATTATACTTGATTAATTTTGAGTTTTCATGAAATATTATAATTATTCATTCTTAAGATTGTTTTTCAGGGTACATAGTAAATAAATAATAAAATGTGAATATTAAATAATCATCGATGATTATAAAATCACACAATGTAGACTTCCTTAGATTGATTTCCTTAATTTTTGTCAATATTTATTTTTTAGATAATAAAAAAAATTATTTGATTTATTCACCGAAATGCACATGAAAAAGTCATAAATTTTCAAAATACACCCATCGTGCTAAGGAATATAAAATTGGAATATTAGTAATTTAATAATTGGTTTGTTTGTTTCAATTACAGTACTATCTCCAGATGGATGGACGTGGTAACTACGAGTTCAAACCAATTGAGCCTGATACTGAAGAATTTGGCTCTTAATTTTATATACTTTTGATGGGATGGTACAAGAGAATTTTTTAAGACAATGTCAATTTAGAATAATTATATATGTGTAATGCATTTTTATAAGAGGTTACGGAGTTGATAGTGCAATAGATATGACTCCTATGAGGAGACGAACGTTATTTCAATTTGGGATAAAAAAGGGTTAAAGCAAAAAAGCAACACCAGTTGTCACAGTGCTGAAAAAATAGTATATTTTTGTATCAATGTTTTTATATGTCGCTTTAGATTAATTCTTTTTCTGTTTCTCTTCCTTATGACTATATACATAATTAAATGGTATAATTTTGCAAATGGTTCAAAGAAATTCTATACCATTTCATTTTATTTTTAATTAACTATGTAGATTGTATATAAGATTAATTTTGTAAAATTTAATATTATTTTCTTCTAGCAAACAAGAATTTGATATACAAATGTAGTTGATTTAGAGCTTAAAGAAGATACCACAAGGACTTACAAATAATAGGTTTAATGAATGAATATACTATGCAAATTTAAGTCACAAAGAAAGTGCACAAAGAACTTTTGAAAACGCGATTGTTGCCACTATATTCTACCTAAAAGTAGAGAATTATAAATTTTTAGGTGAAATAAGTATATTGTTCTAACAGTGAATTATTCACCGTATATATATAATGAGAATTATATACAGACTATGAAAAATAGTAAAACATTGAAGAAAAAGACATTGTATATTTTTTACATAAGTTCTAAATAGATACTTTTAGAAATAATGTCATCTGTGTTCTGGCCAAAACGATTTTTTTATTGTTGTTGGAATGGGTGGTCATTGTTATGTGTAGATCGCATTCGTTGTAAATATTAATGTTAAACAACATGTATGTATATGTGGGATTGCTGGACAATAAAAAAATTAATCAATTTAATAAGATTATCAAATTTATAGTGTATTAACTGCCTTTTTCTTAAGTATTAGTACCTACACTTTGAATTCATTTTAAATCAAGTAAAACATAGATGATAAAAATATCAGATACATGTTAGTAGAGGGAGTATCCACGCTATCATTGTTTATTGCGACAATGTATTAATTATTTAAAAAGATGGTATTATTTGTTAATTTTCGTTGTTTAGTTTTGTAAACACAGACAGATTTTAGCATTATTGTGATAAAATAATTACTAATACTTGATAATATAACTATACTAATAAGCAAGTAAATTATAATTACATGACATTTTTTTCGAAATTAATGAAATAAACTTTGTCGACTTGATCTGACATGATATCTTTTTCTACGTGTACCTACAATTTAAAATAAAAAAAATTGTTGAAGAATGTCTCATTTCCACCAAAATTCTCATATATATTTTATAAACGGGCTCTCTAAACACTAAGCTACATCACTGCGTTATCAGGCATTTGAAAAACGAGGATATAGTCAGAGCGCAATGTATAATCAGTTGACACGCTACGCACCAACTTGTAAAAAAAAACAAACATGCAGTATCGTTACCCTCCGGACGCGCAAAAAAGCAGTATTGCTTTTACAAAAAATCCGTTAGCAAAAAAAATATTAATTTCTTTTTCGCACCAAATAAAGAAGAAACAAAAAATTGAAAACTCAAGTATAGCAAACATTGAAAAATCTTTGGTTGTTCCAGTGACGTAGCAACTTGTCCTTAACGCCCCGGCATCATATTGTCGTCACCCCCCACTATGCTTCGCGCAGCGGCAGTTCCAAGAGCTCTCTCACTCTCTCTCTCTTTTTCGTGCAGGCAGCAGTCGTGGTCCCGGCTCCCGGCAGTCAGTCGCTCAGTAGTGTACGCGCCTCGTTCGCTTTCGGGTTGGTTTGGTTGGACGCTCCCGTCGCCGCGCTGTGTGTAGTACGAGTACAAGCACGATCGATCCGTGTGAGACAGTTTATGTTATACTCGTGATGCGCTAGTGTCTCGTTGCTGCTGCTGCTACTGCTGCTGTGCTGCTGCGCCTCTGTTCTCGCCCCGAGTGCGTGCGCTCCGTTACAAACGTGTACTTTAACGGCAAGCGACAACATTGTCACAGTCATCGACGTCATCGTCAACAACAATAATTGGGCGAGAGAGAGAGGGAGCGGGAGTTGAGTGTGAAATGAGCGAGGCGCAAAGTAACAGTTCAACGTCGTCGGGGTGTGGCTGTGTTGGCGATGGATCAACGTCGACGACGGCGATAACGGTCTTGGTGTCGCCGACAACGGGCGGCCAATTCGATGTAACAGTCGAGCGCGGCGACAGCGTCGATAATTTGAAGAAAATCATCTCCAAGAAACTAAAAGTTGCCAAGGAGCGAATCTGCCTTTTACACCGCGAGAGGTGAGTATTTTCATATCTTCTCCTAGTTTCCCTATTTCCGCTGTTTTTCCGCAGAGACGGAGATTATAACGTGCCGCCTTACGTAAGCAGCGTCTCGACCCCCCACACCACACACGAAGTAACTAACGCCGTCCTTTGCGGGCGTCGCCGCCGCCCCGGTTTTTCTCTCATATATACCTCCTCGGCTCGGGCGCTCTTTCTCTCGGGCTTTGCTCTTTTCGCTTTGCAGTGGTGCGCGCGGTGTGGGTGTCTTCGAGTATGTAGGTGGACGCCGCCGCCACCGCACACACCACCACCACGGCTATTCCCGGATCGATGCGCGACATTCTGTTTCTTCGTCTTCTACCTTCGCCTCTGCCGTTAAAACTTGTTGCGACGACGACGACGATGGGCATTCCGTTGTGCCAACACACATAGGCGAGCGCGTTATATACGTGCGAGAGTACGCGTATGCGGCGGCAGAGCGTCCCTCAGGTTGCTGGCCCCCTATAAGTATGTGAGAACGAGAGAGCAGCTGTACGCGAGAGAACCTCTTCTTTGTGCTGTTGCTGCTGCTGCTGCTGCTGCTCGCTGCTCGCTGCTGCTGCAGGTTGTGGGCTGCATCGAACAAGCGCACGCAACGTTGCCACGCGTAAATACCACCAGGCGGACTTCAAAATTATCACTTTGTCGTCCCCCTCCATGGCCAATGTGCTTTCGTCTCTGCTTGATAAGCCGAAGAGGGACCATATCGATTGGGACGCACAACCGTTTTGTTTTTCCAGCCGCAGTGCGTCCGTGTGTGTCAATGACACCAATTGTTTTTTGTCGCCGCGCCGGGCAAAAAGGGAAAAAACGACATTCGTGCCATAAACAGAGAACAATGCGAGCCTCGAGGAATCTCTTGCGTGCTTATTCCGCAAATCGTAGAAAATAATCCATAGAGAGCGAAAGTCCGCTGACTCGCTCTAACCTTGAATATATATACGCATATAGATGTATACGCGCGCGAGTGTTAGTGTGTTCGTGTGTGATTCACGTGTGCGCGCCTACGCAGCCTCCGCTCGCTATACACAATCTCGCGGTGGAACGCGAGAGAGAGAGAGAGAAAGAGAGAGAGGGGAATTTCGGCCTTTCCGGGCGTGTGAGCCTTATAAGCGGCGAGACTTGCTCCCAGCGGCAGGTGCAAGCAGGTCTCTGACGCATACTCTATCTCTCCTGTCTTGCCTGTGCCTGCCGTGCGCTGCCTGCTGCTGCCGTTGCTGCTACTCCTGCTCCTTAGGCACTCTCTCGTCGTCGTGTGAATCAGTCCTGGCTTCTTTTTCTTCTTTTCGCCTTTCTTATTCTTTTTTTCCTTTTTAGGGTGGCTTCTCTTTTCGTATCGAGGGAGAAAAGATTTTTGTTACGTATTGTCCTTTGAGGAATGCAAAGGTCTTTTTTCGTCGGGCGATCGGTAGGTCAACCTCTAACGCGTATATACGGGTGGTAATCAATTGTGTGATTTGAAAAATACGTTTTGTTAATCCGGCATAATCATTAGAGAACATGAGTGTGCCATTGAGAAAAAAAGAAGCATTCTTGAACGTTTGACTTTCAAACCTGCGTGCACTGCAAACAAAAATATTCGTTATTTTGATTATTCACTGGCAAAGATAAGCTGGTTTGTTTGCCTTTTCGACATTCTTCGCATTAAAGCGTCGTGAGTACGACCTTCAAACCTCCCGACAATAACCTCTGGCAAGGACTGGTTGGATTTTCATAAAAGCCTGTCCCTCACTTGTTAAAACCTTTATCTGGCTCGCACTCGGGAATGAGGTATTCGTTGAGCGAAACGATCAGCTGTTAATCCGATTAAGAAAGAAAAAAATAAGGTAACGCGCCGACTATGTATCGCAGTTAAATGACCTACACGGGCAATTGTTTATGGAGGGAAAACGACACACGTACACGCACGCATCTGAGAGACTATAATTAACACTGACCGATAAATCGATTAACGAGTCGACAAGTCGTGTCCTCGTCGGTTTTTTCTTCGCTCTTCTGTAAGATTTTTCCCAAATGCAGGCAAGCCAAGAGTTTGTAACTCCTTCTCGCCGAGGCTAATTTTAGTGTACGAGCGAGCGACGCAAAAGATCCAGCGCGATTTACGGTTCAGCCTTGCTAACCGTTAGCCGCGGCTTGATACCGCAGCGGCGAGCGGTGAAAGAGCTGAACTTTCGGCTCTCTTTTTCGTTCGTCGACGTCGCTCTCTCTCTCTCTCTCTCTCTCTTCAATGAACGACGAACTGGACCCTCGGTGCGCGCGCGCGCTCGACGGATTTTTGTTTTATTTTTCGCGGATCGCGGTGCTGCTTTGCCGCTTTCGCGCGACATTGAATGAACGCGCGCATTGTGTATGCGACTTTCGCAACGCGCGAAATTCTCGTTTAACGAGTGCTGCTCCCGAGCGAGACGTTGCGCAACTTTTCACGTCGCGTACGAGTTGTCGATTACACTTAACGTTTTTAACGAGTCGACGATCGCAAGCGATTTACGAGAAAGTTCATCGACAGTCTTTGGGGCCGACCTTCCCGATTCGACTTTCACGAAATTTCCGCGCCGAAAAATTTTTCGTCGGCAGTGCTCGAAAGTTGGCTGCGTGCGGCGGCGGCCGGGGCACTTTCCCATTCGATGCTTGTTTTTTCGCCGGAGCGGCGCGGTCTCGCGCCGCGGCGTAGTGCCGGAAAAGAAAAGTAGCGGGTCGCTCGCGCGCGCGTTCCGGTTCGTGGTCGTCCGAGCATCCGCCTCCGCGCGGGGAGTTTCGAGAGACAATTTTCGGCGACGCCGCGTGGGCTTGGCTTGATTGCGGATATTTATAGGATCTGACTTTGCTCGCGTTCGCTTTTTTCTCCTCTCTCTCTCTCTCTCTCTCTCTCTCTCTCCCCCTGTCTCTCTCTTTGTTGTACTTTTCGGAGCGTAGCGCGCGCGAAATTGTTTCTCATTCGACGATAGCATGTGCGAATCCGAAGGTCGTCGATGATCGTCGCTTCGTTAAAATGGCACGAGTACCTTTTCGTTTTGAGGTTAACTCCGTAACTTTCTCCCGATGTAACTTCGAAACAATATTGTATAGATATATATACGCTCGACGATGTCGCAATGTCTAACGGCCAATCAGTCGGATGCACAGTCTTCCAAGAGATCCCGTAATAATCCGCGTGCGAGAGAATAAAGGGAGAGAGAACGTGGCCCAAGCAGCGACGCGATTGGCCGTCACATTTCGAATGCAAACGCACGGGGCGGCGACAAGGGGGGCAAGCGTTTTTCGGCGGCGAGCCGCCTCATTATCAATGCCCAAGCGCGCGGTGGTTACGAGCGAGCGCACCACGGACGACGGCAGAGCGTGGGAGGCGGCGGTTTCCTCGGAGCCGTGAAGGAAAATGTCCGTCGCGAGCAGGCTTCTCCGATGCACCGCCGGACGAGGGTCTATTTTCGTGCACCGAGCCATCTGCCTTCGTCCTCTTCGATCATTGTATTATTTCCGTGGCGGAGAGAGCCGTGCACTCGACGTGTCGCAATAGATGCGCTGGCGAGAGCTCGCTCGCGTCCCCTTTATCTCTGCGCGTGCGGAAGGTGAGAGAGAGAGAGAGAGAGAGAGAGAGAGAGAGAGAGAGAGAGAGAGAGAGAGAGAGAGAGAGAGATAAAGACGAAGAGCGCGCCTCGCTTTTCATATGGCGCCCGCCGCCGCTGATGTCGTCGCCGTCACTTGCGAAATGCCATTGCCGGTCGCTCGCCGATAGACGACGGAAGGCGACATAAGCGGTCGTCGATCATCGCGGCGCGCCCTTTATCAGCGTCGGATAAGCCGCTGGCGACCGTCACTCATTCATCGTATTTTTCTTTTGCTTGTGCTGCAGGCAGCTGCGCGAGGGCACGCTGGAGGAAAATCGGCTGCAGGACGGCAGTCGACTGACGCTGCTGCCGAGCGTGGAAACCGGATTGCTGGTAAGTGAGCGGACCCATCATCCACGAGTGCCAGCCGCTCTCGTTTTTATCGAATTCGCTGCGGCGTCGCCACGATGGAAAAAGTGGCGGCGAACGATCCCTTACCCACGGGCCGCCGGCCGGGAGAACGAGAGCTCCGTCGACTCGTGGTCGCGGTCGTCGTCGCCGTCGCGCGGACGCGAGAGCCCGTTACCGAGGCGGGGAGCGCGGCCTCGGCGCGCAGGTCACTTGGTTTCTCGGTCATCCGCGTTACACGCCAGCTCCTTCCGCCGCGCTCTTATCGCCGTCTTTTTTTTTTTTTTTTCGGGGCGCCGTACCGTTATCAATGGCGCGCGCGCGTGGGGTACGGCTTCCGCGTCACCGTAGACGCAGAGAGAGAGAGAGAGAGAGAGAGAGAGAGAGAGGGAGAGAACGCTCGCGCCTTCGTCTTAAAATACGACGCCAGGCTGTTGGCGATGGTTTGACGGAGCGAGCAACGAGCGAGCGAGAGAAACGAGAGCTTCTCGGCAACCGGCACTGGCGGCGGCGGTCTTTATCTTATCGGATCGACGCCGCCGCCGGCAACTGCGCCCACGGAATTCCGCTGACGGCGCGATTACCCACGGCCGACTGCTTTGAAAACGCGCCGTTCCACGGCATTTTCAACTTTGCCCGTGCTCTCTCGCGTTCGGTTCTTGCCTCGGGCCGCGCGCGTTGCCCGCCGATTAGCAGACTCGCGAGCGCGCCAGTTTATTCATCGGCTCATTAGTGCGCAAATCGAATGTCAAGCGGATCGATAAGCCAGCGTCGCCGCCGTGCACGCACGGCGGCGCTCGCTCGCGCTTTATTTATAGGCCGCGCGCGTGCAAATATAGCGGTCGGCGCGGAGCTTTCGTCACGGCGCGCCGTGACGAAAAAGCTCGCTCCTCGGCGCCGTGCCCTCGCGCTCGCTCGCGGTTTCCGCGCGGCACGGAGCAGGCCCAGCTCGTTATCGCCGCGCCGCTTCCATCGCATTCGCGAGGCTCCGAGCGCGCGCTCGATCGATTCGTCGTTGAATTGGCGCGACGCGTTCTCTTCCTCTCCCTCCCCCTCCCCCGCCGCCGGGAAAAAAAAAGAAGGAAAAAGCCGTTCGTCGGCCGGTGCTGCACGCACATGTGGCATCGCCGAAATGCTGCAACTCTCGCTCGCCTGCCGAGGTCATCGCACTTGCGGCACCGGCAGGGGAGCAAAGCGCTGCATACGTGGCTCCGAAACCCTCTCCTCCCGCGCCGCGTCTTTCTCTCTCTCTCTCTCTCTCTCTCTCGCTCGCGCGCGCGCTCCCTCGCTCGCTGGCTCGGCCGTTTTCCAATTCTCTTTTTCTCGAATGTCTCGCGGGAAATAGCGAGCGAGCACGTGTTTCACGGTCCCGATCGACTTCGCCGAGTGGACAGTGCGGACGTTCGGCCCCGAGCACGTTCGCGCATCGTCGACGACGGTCGACGCGCCGGCGGGGCCGTTCGTCGTCGCGCGCGCGGGCGTCGATTTGCAGTAGGGAGGGGAAGAGTCGAGCTTGCGTCCCGAAAAGAAGAAAAAAAAAATGATAAAAAGGAAGGCGCCGTGACGCGCGCGCGTATCAAGCTCTCTGACCCTTCCGACGCTCCCTACCACGTGCTCGCGTTGTTCGCGACGTGGCCAGACCCGGCGGAATTCCCGAAGAGCCCGGGAGGGGAGAGCGATTCGATTACTTCCCGCCGCGCGTCGTACGGCGCAGCCTCACCGCGATATTCTGCGCACTTCGCCGGTGGACGAGCGACCGCCAAGGGAGAGCGAGAGAGAGAGAGGACTAGCAGGATCCGCGCTGGATCTCGCGCGATATTCGACCGATTCGTTTGGCGAGCGGGAGGTCTGCACGCAGCCCCGCAAAAGCTGCCGCGGAGCCCGACCGAAGAAGTCCGTCAGGTGTGCACGTAGGCTTTCGACGAAGAAAGCCCAGCGGGTCTTCTCCGCGACGTGTATCTCTGCGCCGCTGCCGGCGGCAGGCGCGCATATCGATTTACCTCATCTCTCTCTCTCTCTCTTTCTCTGGCTCTCTCCCCTGCCTCTGTGACCCTTCGCTCGCGAATCCTTTGCCCCAGGAGAACGAGAGAGAAAGAGAGAGCGAGAGAGGGGCGAACCCAGACGTTGATGCCTGTCACGGTTCCCGGGGAAGAATTACGACTGTAATTCTTTTTTAATGGGGCTGCTTTCCTTTTTGAGGCCAATTATTTAACTATGACGATTTCCCGCCGCCGTTCTCTAATCACGGTTTAATGGATGAAGACCCTGATTCATTAAAGCTCATTTGACGCGTCAGACTGGACAGTTGAATATTTTTCGTAAATAGACGATGAAAGCCGATCGGCGATAACCGAAGCGCGTTTCTTTTTTTCTATCTCCATTCGCTCGCGCGGTAATACCGGAGCGACGATTTCCGTCGAAATGAAAAATGCTCGATTGCGTCCCGCCCACCGACCCTTTTTTTTTCTTTCTTTTTTTTTTTATTTGCTACGCGGGAGCGTCGCCGCTCGTTATCATTCGACGCGTGAGCCCCGTAATTGGCAGAACGGCTAATATGCATTATAAAAAGCAGTTTCGCGGTCGAGCCGACGATTCGCGCACCTCCGTCAACGGAAACGTCGACCGCTGCTGCCCGGCGCTCGGAGAAAATAGAAAAAAAGTTCAAAGAAAAAACGGCGAACCGGGTCGAGTTTCGAGAGCGCGCGTCAGCGCTCATCGCCGTCCCACACCGGGAGCGCAACCCGCCAACGCGAGGCGTATCACGCGATGGCGCGCATCAAGGTCTCGCGACGTAGGTGTACCTCGCTTCTTCTTCCTCCTTGCTCTGCCCGCTTTCCGCCTTTTTCTTTTGGCCGCGCGCGAGGGTGTTCGATTGCGCAACCGTGCGCGTTTCTCCGCAGGACGACTCCCGTCGGCGCTCCTCGGCTTCCAGCTTGCACTCCTGCCTTCGCGCGACCGGTTTCTCTCTCGCTCAATTGACGCAAGCGAAGGAGATCGCGATTAGCTTTCGGCGCTGTAGCCTTGACGTCACGTTCTCGCACGGACGCACCGAGAACGTGCGCGCATGTTGCCAGTTTTCGAATTCCGCGAGCAGTCTTTTGTGCCTCGGCGGGGATTTTTACACTCTTTAGCCGGTGCACAGTTGGCGCGCGATGCTTGCGTACGCGCTCAAGCGCGTCGTTTTGTTTGGGCAGAAATCACGAAAATTGAACGAGTCGGCGGACGGCTTGGTCGAGCGCCAGCGGATCAACTGATAAATAACCTGATTAATATCGTAGTAATGGCTTCGCGATGACGCGTACGTTCGATGGACGCAAGCTTTACGATTGCGTTCGTTCTCGCTTGTGTTTTAATGATGACTAATTTTTCTTTCACCAGTCACGTTGACACTCTTGTCACATGAATTATACTCGAAGGTGCAATGATTATAGTATTCAAAACGGATCGACATAAACGCTCGAGATAGACTGAAGAGTTAGTAAAGACTTGAAAATAAATGAGAAAAAAATAATCAAAGAAAAAAGAAAATAATACGACATAATAAGAGAGAAAACAATACAAAAATAGCTAGAAAAATAACACGGAGAATGCAAATGATTCTTGAAAAAACATAATAAAAAAAACTGAAAAAACGTCAAACACGTGACCAATAAAGTGAGTGAAAAGGAAAGACTAATAGGATAGACGAAAAAAAAAAATTACCACCATAAATCGCGGAAAACCATCAACAACGTCGAACAAGCGAAGCCAAACGATTGAATCAATGGTAGGGTACACGCGAGATTCACTTGCCCGAACTCCGAGGCACTTCCGCGACAGAAGCCGAAGCTCGCTCGCGCGCCCATCCGTTGCGGTGTGTTGATGACTGAAAGCGTGCCCCCGCGGACGTACGGTGATTCCAACTGACTGGCAAAACAAAAATGAGAAAACGAGAGAGAGAGAGAGAGAGAGAGAGAGAGAGAGAGAGAGAGAGAGAGAGAGAGAAAACAAAAAATAAAAAAAGAAACGATGAATCGCAGGCACAGCGACCGGAGCAGAGCGTGATGCAGGCGCTGGAGAGCCTGAGCGACTCGCAAGTGAACGACTTTCTGTCGGGCAAGGCGCCGCTCAACCTGACCATGCGACTTGGCGACCACATGATGCTCATCCAGCTGCAGCTCTCCACCGTGACGCCAGCGACGGCACAACAGCAGCAGCAGCAGCAGCAGCAGCAGCAGCAGCAGGTGCCCAGCCAACAGACGGAGCTGGTAACGCAACAACCGTCCTTGCCAGTCGAGCCTGCGCCGCCGCCTGCTAGGTATGCCGCCTCACTTTCTCCTCCTGCAGATCCGAACTTTGCTCTCCATCGGCATAGTCTGCTTGGAGATGCGCTCGCGGATGAACCAATTCTGCCGCGCGAGTACTCGACTCGACTGAACACGTCGATTCGCGCGATCACGCGGGTCGCAGACGATTCACGATGCACCCGATCGATATGCATTGAACGCCTAAATGAAATGGCGGGGGGGGGGGGCACATCCATTTGCCAATGGCTGCCTTCCGAGACTTGCAAGTTGGATATATCCATGGATGAGTGCTGTAATTGTAATGCAAATCGATCGACGACGCGGATGCTTTTGAAGAGTGACGTGTGCTTGATGTTACGTGCAAATGCCATTCCTTTGTCCGATGTCATTTCGTTAAGTTTTGAGAACGTAAGGAATTTCGATCCGGTGCAACTTATTATTTTAAGCTTCAAGAAACGATTCAGGACGGCGCGTCAAAATCGAAGTCAAAATTAACAGAAAGCAAAAATGAATAAAGTTCTCTTTCACAGCATCACGTCCAAAGCTCTACTTGGACGAATCCGTAAATAAAAATATCTTCAAGTAACCGTCTCGCGCATCAAAGAAACTAGATAACGATACGAATCGCAAACTCGAAGTTTGAAACTAACAAATTTCGATGCAACTTTGCAGACGTTCCACAGGGGTATTTTCGTCGCTCGGTACGCCAAAGACAACGTCACCCTCAGCAACCTCGCCTTGTCCCTCGCAAATCTCTGTTTCGTCTTCGCTGGTCGGTAATTTGGGCTCGACCAATCCGTTCGTTGCTACCTCGACACCGCCAAGTCTACCGTACTGCACCAGTACTTCGCAACTCCAACAGCAGACTCCGCCGTCGACGCCGCCTGCTACGACGCCGTCGCCGCCTACCGCAGCCCCGACTATAAATCGACGACACCATCGTCATCTACACAACGCAAGGCATTCTTCTTCTCATCATTGCCATCACTATCGTCACATCCACCACATCCGCAGTGCCAGGAAGAATGGACAAGGTAAGTTGATTTTTACGATTCAAGGTGTGTCATTGAATGGCGTCGTTGGCTTCGGCGGACAATGCAGTTTTTCTCGCTATCTCCATTTTCGACTTTACCAAGTTTCGTGTGCGTCAGATTGTGTACAAGACATCTTACAACTGCCGTAAGCCAAAGGAAAATAATTGTAAGAACGCAAGATTGATTTATCAACCCGTATCAATTACAATAATGAAAACAGATCCGCGGATAAAAATATGAGGAAACGTGACGTGGAGCAACGCGTCGTTTCAAATTTTTCGAAAACCGATTCAGCGAAACAAAGCGAAAAGACCCAGCTTACGATATCGGAACGTCGACGCACACATTAAGAAAACAATTTTATCCCCTCCCCCGTAGGCGAGCGAAAGATGTTTTGAAAATGGACACGCGCGTAAACATTGCGGAGATACTGGTTTTCTCACGCGCGTATAAATCACGTTGTGTGCGCGTATTTATCCAGCCCGACGCGATAACATTGACAGTCGAAAGTAAATAGATAAATCTCGCGCTCGCGCGCATAATCGAGCGCGCGTTCGCCGCTACGTGAAATTATGAAAATTCGACGAAACCGTACATGTAGTCGCTCAAAAAAAGCAAAGAACGTAAGGCTAAACGGTCGGCGGTCGTATAGGAACAGGCGGCTATGCCTCCGTGGCACGTAGGGTTTCGAATTAGCCTACTAAAAGAAGGCTTTCAGAGAGGGCGGACGACGACGAGGGTACATTTTTCCGTCTTCTAAATCTTCCTTAATTGTATTTTTCAGCCAAGTCATACTCGACATTGCTGCCGTGCCCGTCCTGCGACTGCAGTCCCGAGATTGACGCCAATTGCGACACCACGACGCCAAAGAAGCAGCAGTGCAATTGTCTGGGCGCCATCAACAGTAGCAGCAACGCTGCGAATAATACGAGCCAGGACCTCATGGCTGCACCGGTGATCGAGGCGACACCGCCTACGACGCCAACCAGTCCCGATGCACCTGCCTCGTCCACCGACGTCGCTGTCTCGGGTGCTACCCTCGACCCGAGAGCGCTTCTCGAAGCCTCGCGAAACCTCACGCAGAAACTTAAGATGCTTTCTTCCGAGGTGCGTATATGCGACGATGATGTACTCTGTCAAACGACGCAATGTTCGCTAAAGCATCAGCCGAAGTTGAAATAACAGCGCTGATCTCCGAGGAAAGAAAAACAGAGCCAATCGTTTTCAATCAACTTGCGACGCGTCGACTCGATACGATGCCTGTTTAAGCGAGTCTTTATCAATAAGACCACTCAAGTTATAGATACGCTTGAAAAACATGACTCAACGTCGTTGGGAACTTTTTAATTTTTTGCCTAAATACTTTTACGCGTAATAGCCTCAAGGTTGAGATTACGAGGAAAATACGACTTAAGTGTCGTCTTTTGTGTCTTTCGAACTCTTTTTGTTCGAAAGCAACGACACTTTTTAACATGACAATAGTAGTATGTTACTTACGTAAATATCACGGTTCGAACTTTGTAACGCAGTTTCGTGTCAAACAAAATATGTGTGAAAGATTGCGTGTACACGTATCATCAGTTCTACAATGATATCACGCACTTACGCATACGCACACTTGCAGCAGGAGAATGCCAAACGCCGCCAAGGAGCGATAATCGAGAGCATGCATCATCACGGCAAAGGCGTGTACACGGGTACATTCAGCGGCACGCTCAATCCAGCGTTACAAGATCGTCACGGACGGCCAAAACGCGATATCAGCACGATCATTCACATACTCAATGATCTGCTTTGCGCGACACCGGCAACAACTGCTGGACACTACAGGTACCATAGGCATCCTACGACGCAGCAGCAGCATCCGCAACAACATCAGCAGCAGCAAAGATCACTGCCACAGATTAGCAGCAGCCAGACAACTAACGCGAACATTGCAGCTAACAGTGTTGGAGCCAGGCAGTGCCCGGGTTCGCCTAAGTCTGGATACTCTAGCGGTAAGTTAACTTTTTTGACTGGTGACTCTATCAAAGAATAAGTGTTTTTTTGACAATCGTTTGTTGTTTCATTCAGAAGAACTTTCCAAAGAAAACGAAGCGACGAAGGGCAAGATGAGGCGGCTACGTTTGGTGATGGAGCAGCGTCGTGAAAAGATGCGCGCGCGACGTCAAGCTCGTGCCGCGCCCTACACAACAAAGTGGGCAGAATTGACACCGACTGAATCGTCGTCGTCGTCTTCATCATCATCATCATCATCCTCAACATCATCATCATCATCATCATCATCTTCGTCGTCATCGTCAGCGTCATCGACATCGTCAAGCCCATCAACGAGTAACAAATCATCGGCTAATGATTCACAAACTGAGTCCGAACTACAACCATGTAGTTCCGAACCGGTGGTCGCTTAACGCACTCGAGTTGCTGCCCGCGCGAGTTTACTGTAATATAAAATAGTGTGTGCGTGCGTGTACTGGTGAGAGACGCTTAATTCTGTTCCTCAAACAAAGAAACAAAAAAAGATATAGAGTAAGCTGTGGCAGTACGACTGCTTTTGGCTTTAATTATTATTAATTAATTCATTCATTACTTCGTTAAAAACAAGACATGAAAAATAATAATATGCCACATGAGAGACTTTTTATACGCGTACACACGTCGAAAGAGGGTCCTAGAGAAAGATGGAAGATTAATGAAAAAATGTATGGAAATTCACTGACATGATTATGCAGGAGACTTCTTCAGTTATAAGTTTCTCTTTCAATTAGGTAGTAAACACACACACACACGTGCGCGCGCACGCGCGCGAAAGCAAACAAGTTGCGCATCATTTCTCTAGTGTCTATAGCCTTAGGTTCTATTTAGGAATGGAATTGTCATTTATCATAGGAGATGAAGAAAAGAAAACTGTGCTATCAAGGAACGCAAAAAAGTGCGTTTTCGTTGGCGTTTGTAACATATACTCGGACACATTGTGCAACGTACCAAAACGATAGGACAATTTTTTTGAGTTCTCTTTGCTGTTTTAGGAACTATGCTGCTGTTGTGTCATGAATTACGGCGTTATGTGTTGTGTGCTTGTGTTAGCCTTGTTGTTACTATTATCGAGCTATTTACTGCGTTTAGGTATCAAATTAGTTAATGAGCATCTCTTGAGTGATCTCTTGTATGTTATTATTATTACTTCGTACTATTATTATTACTTACTTATTTTATTTTCTTCTTCCTTCGTTATCAAGTGTTGGATTGGAGTGATAAACAAAACATAACCAAGCAATTTTTAATGACACCAGTGATCGAGGTTGGAAGAGAACGCATAGAATAATAAGCAATTAATTAAATCTGATTTCTTTTTTTATTTTTAAATTGCCATTTATGTTACATACGATCGTAAAAACTTATCGATGCTTCTTAAATTGCGCTATTACGACTTTTGTTTTTTTTTAATTTATCCTAGTTCTTTGCTGTGTTACACGCAGAACGGACTTGATGACAATACAACTACCGTTACAAAAAATAACGACGATGAAAGAGAAAAAAAAATAGACACGCGCGGGTAACCTCATGGTTCTCACTGATTGCGAGTGCCAAGAGCACATATTGGTCATAAATGAGAAAAACTGTACAGGTTCGGTAAAGAATTGTAATTTTTTAAAGGAAAAATACATAAACATAGTGTTCTATAAGTCGGTAAATTGCACGAGATTGAACATATATGCAGTAAATGTAATAAAAGTTTAGGTTTTTTTTAATTATTTTACGTTAATATTTTTATTGCAGACACAACACGGTCCAAAAATTCATTTGTTACAAAACAACAATGATATACATATATAAATAATAATTATCCTAAACCTTGAAGAATTGCTAGATCATTCAGTGATAATTACTCTAAAGTACCGACGAAAAATTAAAGAATTAATTTCAGATAAAAAGTATTTACAAATAATGTACAATAAACGAAAAAGAAATAGCAGTGCATCGCATATAAAAAATTGAATAAAGAATACGCTAAGAAACGATACAAGTACTTTGAAAAAACAAAATCTTGTCTTTTCATTGCATATCAATCGTCATTATTATTATTATTATTATTTTAATTCCAAAGCAATTTTGGAATGCAATCGCTTACATGCCTAAGTAAAAAATCGTCTGAAAAAGCAGTTTTCGAAGTAAACTTCGAAATGTATTCGGTACATCAAAACATGCAGGTATAACGACATGAAATAAAAAATTTAACTAAGGAGAGATTTCGGAAAAGGCATTACACGTTGGACGAGAACAAGTGGACGGGAAAACGCGCCGCAAAAATTCTTTTTCTCTAAAGTTAAGATAATAATTATGGCACCACGTGAAAAACAGTTAAAATTCAAGAGGAAGGGGTTCAGGTCTGGTCGGAGGAAACTTGGTAGAAAAATTCTAAGGTTTCTTTTTTTTTGGCAGTCAATGTGCGTATCTAATAAAGATTGATTTTCTTGGTGATAGTTTGGCGACACATGTGGCACGTCTTGAGTGGAGCAGCGCAGTTTTCACAAGCACCATGACCACAAAGGAAGGCGACATTACGACGACGTTCCATGCAGATGCTACACAAGTTAGCCTCCTCCAGATCAGCAATTCGAGTTTCGAGGTAGCGTAGACGCTCGAGATCTTTGTCTTTTTCGCGATCTGATTTGTCAGGGTAACCGTTTTTCGCTTTTTCTCGCTCGACTTCTTTTTCTAACTCCTCTCGATTTAACTGGGAGTCTGTAACATCGATAAGTTGGCGGTTACCTTGCAAGCTTGCGAGCGGAATGAGATTTTATATTTCGAGAACAAAATAGTAATTCAATTATGATTTTGAAAGTTGAGAGAGACACTTAAATATCAAGCGAAATAAAAAATATTAATACTGAATATGACTCGTATTGTGACTAAAAAAAACTATTTCGAACTGTTACACTCCTCGCAAAATAGTCGTCTAATTGAGCGGGAAATATGATTCATTTTTTCATTGCAAGTTTAAAATACTGAGTTGCACTGAAAAAATGGAAAACTAAAGCCTTAAATTCACGTTGTTCATTAGTATTAGAAATAATTAAAAACTGCAAGTCAGTCTCTCTCAATCTTAATAAGTAAAAAAATACATTTATATCGATATAAGATGCCCAGTCGCACCTTGATACATCTGCGACTTGCTGAAAGTGCAATCACATTGCGAACAGTTGCTACAACCAACACTACCACCGGGGCCACCCAAAATGTTCTCCCCAGGAAGTCTATGACAACTAGTACAGTCACGATTGGGTGGTTTCCTATCGTCAACCGTTTCAATCTGAAAAATTGGCGGTTCGGCAATCGATCTTTGCGGACGTCTCTGATCCTGGTATGATTTAACAAGATCGGCAAACGGTGCCAGTTCGGTGTCCGCCGTCAACAAATCCATCGGAGTTTTGCCCTTTTGGTTGCGCGTTTGCTCGAGGACAGTTCCGTTCGTGTCGTTGCTCACCAGGAAACACACAAGTGTCAATTCTGTTTTAGCATTCTGCCGCTGCAAATCTTGCCATATCTAAAAATCATAATGAAAAATCAGTTTACTTCCACACTCTTTTTGAATGATATTGAACACTTACCGCATACAAAAGTGGTGATTCTCTCGAGTTTTCAGCGGTGAGTGTACTGTTACCTTGTGATTTGCACTTGATAATAGCGATGTGTAGAGCGGTATCGCCATCCTCGTCGATACTTGTGATATCGGCATTGTGCCCGATCAGCAGCTCGACGATACTCCATTTGCCTTGCGAGGTAGCTAAGTGTAAAGGTGTCTGACGGCGATTATTCTGTAGATCAACACGCGCACGACCCGCCGCTGGCGAGAGGAGAATTGCCGCTACCTCTCGATGTCCATTCAACGAGGCCAAGTGTAAAGCCGCGAAGCCGTCTTCCTTTTTCACGTCCACCAACGGCCGAGCACGGGTTACTAGCCTTTGCATTGCGCTGTGAAATCGAACGATTGACTGCAATATCTGGATGCCAACTCGTAAAAAATCGGATTCTTAGTATTCGTCTATTGAATGTTGTGGCTGTTCTCAATAAAAACTCATATAAAAGATTCACTGTAGCCAAGCTATTAATCATACTTGAAAGATCTTCAGCTCTTGAAAAATAAAATACACGAAGAACAAAGACTCGACAAGAACGTCAGTCTTTCAACGAGTGGTAAAGTCTCAAGAGGGGCCGGGCGTATGAGGAGAAGTAGGCAAATTAATGAAGAGAGTGAATGCCGCGTTCCGAACAAGAGAGAGTAATAAATTAGATAAGCTCAACGAGAAGAATCAACCGAAGCCACCCGCCTACGCGCGAATGACACTATTTTTTATTCCGGGATATGTGCCATAGTATATATACTCACTGTACGTTGCCTTTGAGTGCAGCGTGATGCAAAACATTGAATCCTCTCTTGTTTCTCAACCCAAAATCAATCCTCTCGCACGAACACAAAGCATCTACGATATCTAAGGCATCTTTGCCAATTGCATCGTGCAACGTTGTGTCACCGTAAGAGTCTTGCAAGTTTACGTTGCAATTGTAACGTAAAAGGATCTTGACACATTCCGAGTGTTGCTTGTTTACTGCTACGTGTAACGCGCTGCACTTTCCGTTGTTTATTGCGTCGATTGCTGCACCACGTTGAATTAACAACTCCATTACGTCAGGTTGATTGCTGTGAATTTATTTTTAATGTTTGTATTCTTATTGTGCTTTTTTCTGCGAAAATGGGTAAATAGTTATTTTTTTCCTCGGTAACTTTTTTTTTCATTTTCTATGACTCAGAAAAAGAATTGCAAATAATTATCGCTTTAACGCGGAACATCGTGCTATCGTTTTGACACGGAACGAATTTTAACCAACTGTTAGATCACAAATGACATTTTTATTGAAAATATTTTATATTGACATCGAAATAATACGTTATAATGTGAAATTTTCAAAATGTTTCTTCAGAAAACAAAGCTCACCCAAATGCAGCATAATGCAACGGAGTATCACCATCCTCGTCTACCGCAAAAAGCGAAGCACCAGCGTCCAGCAAGAGTAAGCACAATTGTTTCTGTCCCTGATGTGAGGCAACTTGAAGACAAGTTTTCCGACCACCACCAGGACCACCACGTGCGTCTACTTTACCAGGATATTTCCGTAGGAACTCTTTGATTGCGGGAATACCGTCTTTACCACGAGCCGCATCGCGAAGCAATTTTTCTACCTCTAAGTCACGGTTGTTCTCTTGTGCTGCATCTGTAATTACAAAAAAAATTGAGTTTTACAATGTTCTTTTTGACGGGAACCACGACATATTTACCTCTGTTTGCTTCAACAAAAGAGTTGGCAGCCTCAGAACCAGCCGGAACGAGATTAACGCTTAACGGATTGAACGTCCACGTGTGCCCAGCAAGTTGTATTCTCATGTCGCCGTCGGAATAGATTTTTATTACTTTACCAGTTTTTCCGAGTGCCTGTATAAGATTAGACAACAGCGTTAAGCTCTGCATAACAAAAATAAAGAAGCACGTCAAAGTCAATTGCCTTACCGCTTTCATCACGTCTATCCACTCGCCGTGACCTCTTTGATAGTGCTTCACCGCATTGGCATCTGATTTTATTCTAACTAAATCGCCAACGTTAAAATTCTCACGTAATATAATTTTAGTTAATGCACCTGGGTGGAACGTCCAGCGATTATTACAACCCTCGTATTGCACTCGAATGTCACCCTTGTCCGTAATTCGGTGTACCGTGCCAAGCTATGAAATAAGAATAATTATTTTGAAAAACTTCTTGAAGTACCTCGTGATAACAGTATATTGATCTACCTTTCCGATGTAATCAGCCATCCTTGGATTCCACCCACCATGACCAGCCTGCATTCCCTTAAGTGTGTCAATATTTATCAAAACTTTCACTTTATCTCCAACTACAAAAGTTGTATGACTAGGACTAGGAGGATTGGAAAGATTTGTAGCATTGACAGCATTATTATCGTTCACTGTAGTAACTGTTGGTGACGGTTGTCCCAAAAGTGGTAAATGCTCCTTGTAATAAGCACCTGCTGTGGCTTCTTCGACATAGCAAAGATCAACGCAGCCCTTGTAACCTAATCTATAAACGTTTGTGCTACCACTGGACCAAGTGACAGTTGCCACTGATCTACTGCTCTCATTGTCCCAGCCTCTTATGTCTATAACTCTACCTGTTTTACCTCTGCCACCATCCTGATTGCCCCACTCCCAGTCAGGACCTCTAATCACTTTGGCTCCAATAAAAATACCTTTCAGTGGTATTTTGGTGCAATTTTTCCTAGTTGTCAATTGTACCCTAAAAAAATATTTGATTGATACTTTATATACTATATTACATATAAACAAGCAATGCAGTAATACTAGAATACTCACCCTACAGAATTGACTGTTAAAAACCTTTGAAAGACATGGCTTAAGTCATGCACATCTGACATGTAACATTGTGTACACAAATCATAATCAAAGCACTGTGAACACTTCCACCTTATGCCAATAATGCCATGCGTTTTACAACCGTCACAAATAATATTCGAATGCTTGGCTCCTGCCGCGGCATTATCAAAGACCATCAAGTCGTAGGCATCTTGATAACCAATGCGATAATTGCTTCTAGATCCATGGTCCCATTGTACGATGACAGTCTTGTCAGGAGTTTTCTCGGCGTGATTCGCATTGGCGGGTGGAGGTCCAGCGTTGGCTGGTTTACCGATTTCCACAACTGTACCCGCATGGCCCTCGCCTCCGTCTTGGTCCGACCATTTCCAATCGACTCCTCGGACGACTCGAAGGCCAACCTCCAGCATATTTATAGGCCTTGTTGTAGAAAAATTGTCTAACTTATTATCACTACTGCTGATGATTCATCATTGTTGCACCCGAGGGATTCTCCATCCCTTCTGCGTAGATACTGCTGCACATCATCTACGGTAGCCCATCGATAAGAGCTGCAGCCAAAGAAAATAATGAAATAACATTGTATGCGTGGGTAGGTGCTGATTGAACCAGCAAACAAGAGAAAAATAATCGATTTTGGTTTCTATGTACATTAATTTTAGTCTGCGTGTGTTGCACGTCCGTGTGTGGCAAGAAGAGAAAATCGTCTTATGACATTTTTCAAACACAATATTAATTCACTATATACGTACCTCCTCGTGAATGATACAGCCAAAGACGCGTCCTCAGGATTCGTGAAAGTTCTGACACTTCCTGGTGTTCAACATGTCGAATGAAAAAAAATCGTTCTCTTCCACCGTCTGGACTCGTGAGTCTAGTACCAACGACTTTTTGTGATTCTGACAGAAGCAGTCGGAAAAATTCCGACATTACGCAGCATCACTGCGCTTGACCATTGGCAAAGATTAGGTGGGATATTACTAAACAGTTAAGAGACTAAAGAGCATGAACTAGCTTCAGCAGAAATCAAGAGGTCCGTACGGTGGCGTTCCTAGCGGCCAACCGTAGAACGTCTATTGCAGTCGGGGGAAAGAACTAGTAAGAGTCTTTAAGGGTCTGTCTCCATAGGGCCTGTCCGAGCCGGCCGAGATTTTTTATGGGCACGCCATCTCTATAATTTCGTGTTCAATGGCGAGTTTCATAGTGAATGCGAGAAACGCATCTATGGAGTGGCAGTACCCGTGGTTTGAAGTTTCCTGTCTGGCTGTCTCTATGCTCTGGCTATCCTCCATGTTCCTGCTCCAATTTTCATTCGGTAAGTTCGTAATTAATAATAATTCGTAAATAATTCCTACTTTTATTTTCATAAAATTGCAAGTTTCATAATCCCTTTTTAGAGTCATATGCACGAAGAGTTAGGCTTTCGAAATCCGTCAACTGTCAAATGATAAGTAGTAGCAGCAGCAGCAGTAGTAGTTGTAGTAGCAGTAGTAGCTGAGGGCAGGTGGTAGGTGAGAGAATCACAATGGCAGCCGAAATCAAGCCCGCGCCCGGGATGAACCAGGACAAGTTCAGCTCCAAGAAGCCTATACTTCTGTCGAAGCTCGAAGGTTGCAATGACGACGTCAATGCCGCCGTTATCATTCCCAGGGTTGACGGCGTCATCAGCGTCTGCGACGACAGGTCAGACTCACTTTTCTATTGTGTTTGCAATGCTTCTGATACTCGATGCATATCTATATGATGTATATACGATTAATTTATTTACATCGCATGCTTCTAGCTCGACTCTTATTGGACTCATTGTTTATAATGCAAATAGCAATCGTACAGTCACTTGCATCTTTTGTTAGACTTTTTTCAGACTATTTTTTGCATTGTACATATTTTTTACTCCTATTTTTTCATGTAATATATAATTTAATTAAATTATAGGTAAAACAGCAAGCTTTTTGTTATAAGTAAATAATAATTGTATGACACCTGAACAATCTTTCTTTATCTGCAAGTTCTTAGATAGGATGATTCAGACTGATTGCTTTATCTATCTGGCCTTTAAGCAATGTTTTGCTGTATTTTAGTTATGAATAAATTTTCTAATTACTATTGCAGAACTGTCAGAGTTTGGTTGAAACGTGACTCAGGACAATACTGGCCAAGCGTATGCATGTACATGGTTGCAGCACCAATCTCTCTTGATTTTTGTCCTGAAACCAGACAGCTGTTTGTTGGATTAGATAATGGTAGTATAAATGTATTTATCAAGATCAAATTCATTTATAATTTTTTCAAAAATTGTGAATCAAACGAATTTTTGGTTTTGTAGGAGTTTTTATTGGAAAGCGATTACAATCGTATGACAGCCATTCGAGAATACATGGCTCATCAAGCAAGAGTTGCTGCAGTAGTTTTTTCTTTGAGCTGTGAATGGGTACTTAGTATAGGTAGAGACAAATTGTTCCAGTTCCACAGTACTGAAAATGGAAAGGATCACATCAAATAATATGTTCAATAATCCAAAAGGTAACGTCTACAAAAAGTTGCTGTACCACATGCATGGAACATACACCTACAACATGGTGAGCATTATTAATTTTAAAAATGGTTCAATTTCTGGCATTCGATCAATCTTGGTAGTTGCTACATTATTTTGTATTATTTTCATCAATTTCACGCTTTCATCAATGGCTTTTTGTAAGCCATCGCCATCATCTACTTTTCGTTTCCGACAAAATTTATAGTGTCAAGACCAAGCAATAAGATGCATAACATGAAAAGGTTAGATAGGTTAGAAATAATCAACTACAAGAGGTTTTATTTTATTATTTTAAATTTATTAATAATCATATGTTAAATCATTATCAGATGTTTAAACGTGAGAAAACAACCTAACATCTCGAATAATATTTTTGGCATCATCCCACAGGTGTCTACTGGTGAAACATGCAGCATGCCATTTTTCAACGAGCTCCTTTGTCGCAATAGGAGTTGAAGACGATTTAAGTTCCCTCAAGAATGCCCTCAATTTTCTCAAGGGAACATTAATTACATTCAGGTGAGTTGGCCACAGACTGCGGTATAAATTGCTTTGATGCAAAGACCATCTATTTGTTGTAGCATTATTTGATATGCGATTATCGTCCTCAATCGTGCCCAGGACTCTACATGTGCTTCCTCCAATTGTATTAATTTCTTGCATTATCTTTTTTAATACTAATCTATGGCTCATCATATTGATGTCAATGTCAATTATACCTTCATTCTCGTTGGAAAACCACAGAATGAAATTATGACTTCTCATATTTTCCAAATTGAGATTGACAACACGAAAAGCTACTGGTACGTAGCGACGAAAATCATTTTGCATGATGTACTGAATGGTGAATTTCATTTTCACGTTAAGTTTTTCTTCTTCAAATGGCTTTGAATGTAAAACATTTTTCACAGATAGGTTATTCATTATTAAAGAATACTTTCGGTCAGAATCAATCGGAATTTATTTCTTTATAAAAACTGCCTTGACACAATGAAGGTTCAATGCACACTGTAGTGGGCATGCACGCGTCCTGAAACAAAGAAAATAAAATCACCAATCTCGGCTTTTCATTGGATCATAACCCATTAACGTGCAACATAGGCGGTACAACTGAGCATTGCATACGCTATATATTTTTACTCATTATTTTTCATAAAAAAGTTATATACAATTATTTTTTATTCTAAACTTTGTGTTTATTCGCTGAATTTATAATAAATATTTTTATTTTTACAGATTTTAATTATGAGACTAGATGAACGAAAAGTTATGAGAATTTGGACATTAATGCAGGTTATACTTGTTTCGCTTAAAACATTAAAAGTTATAAAAAAAAAGAAGAAGGCCTTGCGGAGATGGTGGGTGAAGCCACATATCGTACCGAGAATAAGGAATATTATAGGAGCATTTGCTACAGTATGCCAATATTTACAAATCAATGATCACGAAGAGTTTACAAATCAATTTAAGATGACACCAGGCAATTTTCAAGAGTTGTATACGTTAATTGCTGATCAGTTGCAGAAGCAGTATCATATTAGAGAGCCAATTTCTGCATATATTCGACTGGCTATAACAATACAGTAACTATTTATATACAATTATGTCAAGTATTTTCATCTCATAATAAAAATAAATATTAATTTTTATTAAAATTTCAGTTATTTCGTTCAAGGAGGAAATGCTTTAACTTATTGCGCGCACTACCGAATTGGAAAAGCTACATTTTTTAAAATCATACACGAAACGTGCTACGTTATTACTTCAGTTCTGCTGCCAATTTACGTGAAATTTCCCAACGAACGGGATTGGTTACGTATTGCCCAGGAATTTGAAGACAGATGGAATTTTCCGAATTGTGTTGGAGCTCTAGACGGGAAGCACATGCGAATAAAAAGACCAGCTCATGCTGGAAGTGTTTTTTATAACTACAAAAAATTTCATAGTTTAGTTTTGATAGCAATCAGCGATGCACAAAGTAGATTTGTTTGGTTCACCCTTGGTGATGGTGGTAAGAATAAATTTTTTAAAACAATAAAGACAGAGTAATTTAATTAATTTATATGTAATAATTTCTTTATGTTGTAGGTTCGTTCAGCGACTCCAGTGTCTTTCAAAATACTAATTTTTATAACAAAATTTTGAACAATGAATTGAACTTACCTGCTCCAACAAAGTTGCCTAACAGTGACAGCTCATCACCTTTCGTAATAGTCGCTGACGAGATTTTTGGTTTGGGATTTAACTTGATGAAACCGTACAATAGAAGATTGCTGCAGTCAAATCAAGAAAGAATTTTTAATTATAGATTGAGCCGAGCCAGATTCACTATAGAACGTGCATTTGGAATACTTTGTGCAAAATTTCAGTTATTGAATAGTGCTTTAGCTCATAATTTAGATAAGAATAAATTAATTATAAGCGCTTGTTTAGTGTTACATAATTTTTTAATTACGAAAAATGTAATCAACGTTGATGACGATTTTAGACACTTAGATAGGCAAATTAATCAGAATGTTATGCGAAACCCTATTTTTATTCGGCAAAACTTGGCAGAATATTTCAGCAATGAGGGAGCTGTTCCCTGGCAAAATAATTATATTTAAAGATAAATAATCTATATTAACAAAATAGAAATAAGAAGGCAGTTTTTATAAAGAAATAAATTCCGATTGATTCTGATCGATTGACTCCTCCATATTGTGTAGAAACTTGAAAAAAACAAAAAAACAAATGGTATATTAGTTTTAAGTATTTAGTAACAAATACATTAGTCTTAATTTTAGATATTTATGAAAATGAATGCGTAGCAAAGCAGTTCCGATAACCTCAAATTGACAATAGTTCTTCGATTCAATTTGCCATAAATAAAAAATGAGTGGAAACACTGAAAAAGATATACTACTTGATGAAGTTATCATACAAATCGTGAAACCAAATAATTTTATTTACGATAAGTCGAATGATAAATACTATACTGAATTTAGATCGCAACGAACACAAGTTTTCGAAACTATTTCCCAAGCGATTTATCAACTATACGAAGTGCACATTACAGGTGAAATTCATACACTATAAATCTTTATTTTAAATAAAAAAATATATATATGTATATATAATATTCATTAATCAATAATAGAAAAAGAGATTGAAGCGACATGGCTGTATTTAGTAAAAAAATTCAAAGGAGAAAAAGCAAAAAAACGCAAATACCAGCCATCTGGATCAGAAAGAAAACCCGAAGTGACCTGGGAATTGTATAATGAGATGTGTTGGCTTGATCCATATCTGAGTCATGAACCGCAAATTTCTTCAGACGATGTGGAGTTTATAACAAAATCAGAAATCACCGATAAATTTTGTCGGAAACGAAAAGTAGATGATGGCGATGACTTACAAAAAGCCATTGATGAAAGCGTAAAATTGATGAAAATAATACAAAATAATGTAGCAACTACGAAGACTGATCGAATGCCAGAAAGTATTCTTTAATAATGAATAACCTATCTGTGAAAAATGTTTTACATTCAAAGCCATTTGAAGAAGAAAAACTTAACGTGAAAATGAAATTCACCATTCAGTACATCATGCAAAATGATTTTCGTCGCTACGTACCAGTAGCTTTTCGTGTTGTCAATCTCAATTTGGAAAATATGAGAAGTCATAATTTCATTCTGTGGTTTTCCAACGAGAATGAAGGTATAATTGACATTGACATCAATATGATGAGCCATAGATTAGTATTAAAAAAGATAATGCAAGAAATTAATACAATTAGAGGAAGCACATGTAGTCCTGGGCACGATTGAGGACGATAATCGCATATCAAATAATGCTACAATAAATAGATGGTCTTTGCATCAAAGCAATTGATACCGCAGTCTGTGGCCAACTCACCTGAATGTAATCAATCATTAAAATAATAAAACTCGACGGTAGTCTCGGTGAAGGAGGAGGTCAAGTGCTACGAATTTCATTATGTTTGAGTGCACTCTATAAAATTCCTATTGAGATTAGCAACATAAGAGCAGGTCGTCCAAAACCAGGTTTGTCAGCTCAGCATCTTGAAGGAGTCAAATTTTTAAAAGAAATGTGTAACGCTGAAGTGCATGGAGCTGCAATAGGCTCAACCTGCTTAACTTTCATACCAAGAGACCTTTCTTAATAAAAAACAAGAATTTATAGTAGACACCAGAACAGCTGGATGTATTGGTTTGCTCATTCAAGTTACTTTACCTTGTGCTCTATTTTCATCTAGGGCAGCAACTTATATTCTCAAAGGAGGAACTAATGTACCTTTTGGCCCTCATATAGAGTATTTAAGTATGTTTTTAGACCTCTGTTGAACAGATTTGGTGGAAACTTTGAGCTTGATGTTTATAAGAAAAGGATATTATCCTCAAGGAGGTGGAGAAGTTCATATGCGTGTAAATGCCATTCAGATTTATCTTTTTTGTAAAGGTGTATAGTTAAAGGTTTTCCAAATAGTAACTAATAAATATAACTTATTCTGAATTGAATGGTTTTTTAAAGAAAAATTAATCGTTTTTATTATATACGTTCTTTATAATATTTAAATATTTTTTTATATTGTAATACGGTTTATGTCAGGATCTTTCAAACATGAAACTACTAATAATCAATATAAATGAGTTGAGAAAATAAATATATTAAAGAAATAAGAGCAGTTAGTCTTTATTTTTAATATTTATTCTTCATTAGATATCATAAACTTATCCATAATAGTTAATATCCCATTAACACATTCCAACACATGGGTTGATGGGACATACTGCAAACTTTGCTGTATACATAGTACAAAATTATCTTTAATCTCTTCATTATCACTATCCTTCATTAAAATGTTTATATTTTCCATAGCTGTACTTGTATTTTTTAAAACTTTCATTTCTAATTCTTCGAGATGAGTTTTCTTATTAAAGTAACATTGGCTTACTGGTGGAATGATTTTATCATTCTTTTCACTACATACTTCAATATCTTGAGTTTTTGATGTTGACGGCTCATCACTTTCTGTTGATCCCAAACACTGGTATTTTTTCATGACGTGAGGGATGAGAAATTGAAGTTCATTGTATAAGTAGTACTTGCTTAAATGAGGTTTGTTAAATTTTCTAACAAAAGTCCTTCTTATATTTTCCCATTCCTTTCTTACAATAGCACCTAAAACAAAAGTAAATGCAGTTAATGTATTTTCACTCTCTGTATATAAAAAAATACTATAATAATATAAATGATAACTTACCAGTCAATAGGACATTTAACTCTTTGTCAGAATTAATTTTAGCAGCTATTTCATTGAAAGCCTTATCTTTGACTTTTATTAAATAATAGTTTTCATGTGTTTTATCATACAAACATGAATAATTTTTCAAATAAACACAAATTTTTTTATCGAGATTTATATTTCTTCCAAAAGACTCCTCCATATTGTGTAGAAACTTGAAAAAAACAAAAAAACAAATGGTATATTAGTTTTAAGTATTTAGTAACAAATACATTAGTTTTAATTTTAGATATTTATGAAAATGAATGTGCAGCAAAGCAGGTCGGATAACCTCAAATTCAGGTGTAGCACAACACTCAATGTACGTTGTACGAGGTGAAAATGGATGTATATCCTTATTCAAAATTAAATGCGTAGCAAAGCAGTTCCGATAACCTCAAATTGACAATAGTTCTTCGATTGAATTTGCCATAAATAAAAAATGAGTGGAAACACTGAAAAAGATATACTACTTGATGAAGTTATCATACAAATGGTGAAACCAAACAATTTTATTTACGATAAGTCGAATGACAAATATTATACTGAATTTAGATCGCAACGAACACAAGTTTTCGAAACTATTTCCCAAGCGATTTATCAACTATACGAAGTGCACATTACAGGTGAAATTCATACACTATAAATCTTTATTTTAAATAAAAAAATATATATATGTATATATAATATTCATTAATCAATAATAGAAAAAGAGATTGAAGCGAGATGGTTCTATTTAGTAAAAAAATTCAAAGGAGAAAAAGCAAAAAAACGCAAATACCAGCCATCTGGATCAGAAAGAAAACCCGAAGTGACCTGGGAATTGTATAATGAGATGAGTTGGCTTGATCCATATCTGAGTCATGAACTACAAATTTCTTCAGACGACGTGGAGTTTATAACAAAATCTGAAATCACCAATAAATTTTGTCGGAAACGAAAAGTAGATGATGGCGATGACTTACAAAAAACCATTGATGAAAGCGTAAAATTGATGAAAATAATACAAAATAATGTAGCAACTACCACGACTGATCGAATGCCAGAAATTGAACCATTTTTAAAATTAATTGCATCTGGTTACAGTAAAATACCAGAATCAAGAAAATACCAATGTACGAAGGAAATAATTTTGTACATTGTAGAATTTAAGAAAAATATTGAATAAAAAAACGTGCATTTATAACCTTTAATTCTTATAGTTTTGTTATTTCATTGTTTACATATAAATATATATATATATATATACTATGAAAAACAAAAGGTTTTTTTATTATAAATTTTTAATAATGCTCACCATGTTGTAGGTGTATGTTCCATGCATGTGGTACAGCAACTTTTTGTAGACGTTACCTTTTGGATTATTGAACATATTATTTGATGTGATCCTTTCCATTTTCAGTACTGTGGAACTGGAACAATTTGTCTCTACCTATACTAAGTACCCATTCACAGCTCAAAGAAAAAACTACTGCAGCAACTCTTGCTTGATGAGCCATGTATTCTCGAATGGCTGTCATACGATTGTAATCGCTTTCCAATAAAAACTCCTACAAAACCAAAAATTCGTTTGATTCACAATTTTTGAAAAAATTATAAATGAATTTGATCTTGATAAATACATTTATACTACCATTATCTAATCCAACAAACAGCTGTCTGGTTTCAGGACAAAAATCAAGAGAGGTTGGTGCTGCAACCATGTACATGCATACGCTTGGCCAGTATTGTCCTGAGTCACGTTTCAACCAAACTCTGACAGTTCTGCAATAGTAATTAGAAAATTTATTCATAACTAAAATACAGCAAAACATTGCTTAAAGGCCAGATAGATAAAGCAATCAGTCTGAATCATCCTATCTAGGAACTTGCAGATAAAGAAAGATTGTTCAGGTGTCATACAATTATTATTTACTTATAACAAAAAGCTTGCTGTTTTACCTATAATTTAATTAAATTATATATTACATGAAAAAATAGGAGTAAAAAATATGTACAATGCAAAAAATAGTCTGAAAAAAGTCTAACAAAAGATGCAAGTGACTGTACGATTGCTATTTGCATTATAAACAATGAGTCCAATAAGAGTCGAGCTAGAAGCATGCGATGTAAATAAATTAATCGTATATACATCATATAGATATGCATCGAGTATCAGAAGCATTGCAAACACAATAGAAAAGTGAGTCTGACCTGTCGTCGCAGACGCTGATGACGCCGTCAACCCTGGGAATGATAACGGCGGCATTGACGTCGTCATTGCAACCCTCGAGCTTCGACAGAAGTATAGGCTTCTTGGAGCTGAACTTGTCCTGGTTCATCCCGGGCGCGGGCTTGATTTCGGCTGCCATTGTGATTCTCTCACCTACCACCTGCCTTCAGCTACTACTGCTACTACAACTACTACTGCTGCTGCTGCTACTACTTGTCATTTGACAGTTGACGGATTTCGAAAGCCTAACTCTTCGTGCATATGACTCTAAAAAGGGATTATGAAACTTGCAATTTTATGAAAATAAAAGTAGGAATTAGTTACGAATTATTATTAATTACGAACTTACCGAATGAAAATTGGAGCAGGAACATGGAGGATAGCCAGAGCATAGAGACAGCCAGACAGGAAACTTCAAACCACGGGTACTGCCACTCCATAGATGCGTTTCTCGCATTCATTATGAAACTCGCCATTGAACACGAAATTATAGAGATGGCGTGCCCATAAAAAATCTCGGCCGGCTCGGACAGGCCCTATGGAGACAGACCCTAAGAGGTAATTAGTGAAGAGTGGATGTCATATCATACATACGGATCTGACTGGATGTACACTCTCCGTGGTAGGTGTCTGCTGAGGGGAAAGAGAAATACTTGTCATAATAGCAGGGTAACGACAAAAGCTGAACTAACTATATAACTTATTAGAATTAGAATAGCCCTACAAAGTGCACAAAAATGAATGTTCTACCTGAGTTCGCAACGGGGGGTCGTTCGAAATCGCGACACTCGCAACAAATTTTATTGCTCAAAACGCCGTCTCCCTTAATTCGTATATAAATATATAAAAAAAAAATTTTTTGCGATTAATTTCTCAACATTACTACAGTTATTTAAAGTAATATTACTGTTGGTTAAAACTTTACCCACACAATTGTACAGTACTCGCTATCATTTACTCCTGAAGGCTGTCAATCGCCTGCTCCTTTCTACCCTTAAGTATAGTGAACACCACCAGACAGATATTATTTTAATCATCTTTTCCATTCGTCCTATCTTTTCTATTTTTCATGTAAGAGAAGCAATGTATTAATATTTTATAATCGATCTACCTGAGCTCGCAACAGCTGGTCGACCGAAATCGACATGTTCGATCGGGTAATTTTCTACTTTTCAAGTCCTTAAATACATTAATTTTTTATGAAAAACTGCCCACTAAAAAATTTCTTTTGCAAATTTTTATCTCAAAATAGTCCCAAAAAGAGTTTCTCTTATATAACAAAAAAATCATATTGTTATAAGAGGAATTTTCTTATCATTAAAGACTTATTCTACATTACTGCAGTGTCTTCTTAATATAAGAGGACTTGTTCGGTGGATTTTTTTAATAACTTGACATCTATAATTAAGAATTCTGAAATAATTCAGTTTTTCATTTGCATTCATCATAACAAAGCAAGTACTCTAAATGACCTTTTACCCCGTCAATAGCTTTCCCACCAGTACAACACTACTCGTTCTCATCTATACTCATGAAGGCTCTTTACCTGTCCCATCTTCCTGCCTTTGGCTAACAAACATTTTCAGAGATTATCTGACTGAAATTTGGACACATCTTTTTAAAACTCTCCTCTTCTAACTTGGTGTTTCATTGCTGGTCGCTGGGAACGCCACTGTCAATTTTCATTTAATATTCTAAAACTACGCTTTAGTAATAATATCAGCAAGTAATTGTGTACAGAATGATTCTGATACATTCAAAGTGAAGTTGTGGGGATTTAGGGCGATTTGTGCAATGTGCACTGATTGTTTAGGAGGACGGGTATTTTGTAATAAAGAAATTAGTTAAGCTATTAATTATAAATATAATATAGCTATTATGAAATTTCGTAGTTATTTAAGTGTGTGTGTATGTGTGTATAATTTAGCTTTTCAAAAAACAATTAATAATAGCAATATTTATGATTAATAATAATCGATTTCTTTATTTTAAATTACGCGCCAGTTCAAAGTCTAGGTAATTGGCTTTAGATGGCTCTACACTTGACAGTGCACACCGGCCGGGCCGCTTTAGTGTATGCACTACGCATGCAGTCTCCATATGTACACATATATATGTATATAGTCTCGTTCAATAGCAACTGAAGGAAAATTAGGTAGTGGGGGAGAGTACGGGATATTTAAGTTTAACAAGGATTGAAGCCGGAAACAAATTAATTTTTTGTATGTTACGTAATTTGTTCATACACTAGTTTAATTTTTTTTTCTATACCAAATTTAACCATCGGCAAACAGTTAACAAATTGATATTACAAATTATTGAAGTAGACACACAGTTTTTACAAAATGGTAATGTAAATACAGTGTTTATTTTGTAAAACAATGATTGTTTTAAAATGTTTCTTAACGTTTTAGAATGGTGACAATACAGCTGCTTTCGAGGAAGCTATTAATTTGATGAAAAATAACATTGTATATAAAATAGAATATACTAAATACAATCCAAATAGAAATACTTGACCTTAACATTAATTGTACATCAAATTTTGAAGGACTTTGGTATATATAAGACATCATGTACTATAATTTCAATAAACTTGATACAACTACTCAATATCTTTTGTACGAGCCTAGAGAATATAAGGATTTCAACTAATAAAAAATATAAATTGTACTATAAGTAGGTCTTGCTACAAGTCGTTATTTCCAAATAAAGCATCTTGTGCTATCAACTCTTATTACTGTAGAGTGATAGTAACAAAAACAAATAGAAGGTTAATGTACATACTTATGCCTTGAAATCAGATGTACTTAATTTTGCAAAATTTCATGAATTTATTATTATTTTATTACCAGATGGTGTAAAAGTAAGTAAGTGTAAAGAGAGTATTGATTTATTTATTGTAATATAAGAAATAAAAGATCCGATTTAATTAAATTGAATAACATACTTATGAATTCATTGCAATTTAAACAAATTCTGAATGAAATTAATAAAGATACAACAGCTGTTACTAAAGAAATCATGTCATTCAATGTTATTCTAAAACATAACTCTCCATTTAATGATAATGTAATGGAAAGTCAATATATTTACTTTTTGTGTATGGGTGATGTGGGCAAAGCAAAGAAAATAATTTTTCTTTATGTTTTAAAAAAGCCTGCAATGTCTCAATACAGTCTTACTCTGCTTATGTATTTATATTTTCAGTGTTATATATTATACAGTTTTTTTTGGATAGGTTGAAAAGTAAATAATTTAATTTAACAGAATCTAGATCGACGTTATATTACTTTTAAATTCTAAATTCAATTGTTGCATTACAAAATCTGTAGAATTGAAAATTCAAATAATTAGTTAATTCTTAACTGAATTTAGGTATACAAATATTGTTCATTTTTTGTCAATTTAGGAAACAAGTATGAACTTCTGATTTTCCAAAAAATGGGTTCACCGACAGAGTGATTCGTCAATAAATCAGCTGACTCGTCGCAGAAAAGAAAACATTGGCTCCGTCGAGCTCTGGCGGCGTTTGCAGCTGTTCAGTTTTCGCTCGCAGTACTAGCCCAATGCCCATTAGGTATCCTTTGTCCGCCGCGCCTGCGTGGAAAATCGTTTTCTAGTCGTTTCTCCCTCCCTTTCTCCCAATCACCCGCTCTTTACCTCTCTCATCACTGCTAAATCCAGCAGTCGTGCAATCCAATCAGTGTGAGTTCGCACCTATCCAAAGATCAGTCGACTCGCAAAAGCGCCTATCCGAAAGTGGTAAGTGTGTGCAAATGCGTATAAGATATAAATTGGCTGTACGTCGGTGGCGCAGAAAGAGAGAGAGAACGGCGCATCCTCTATGTGTTTCTTTATATATGCGCTTCGTCGTCCCCCTCTCTTCTCTCCTTCTGTCTCTCTCTCTCCGCTTTCCGCCAGTACCTAGCAGCAGGCAGCAGCAGCAGTCTATCTCTCTGTCGAGTTTGTAGCGACGCCACAAAAGCTCACCGCCGCGTCCTTCCCCCTATCACTGTTTTTCTTCTGACGTAGGTGAACCAAGGATGTAGCGCCCCAGGGGATGTGCCCGCCAACCAACATACCTTGCTGACTGTTTTCACATCGAACAACGACCACGTAACTACGACGGGTGTGCGTAATGTGGACATAGCTGCGACCGATTGATTGTTGACTATGAGCGATAGACAAAGTGCCTAGGCAAATTGTTGCACCTCTCTCGCTCACTCTCGATCTCGCGATCTCTGTCTGGCCCCGTCTCACTCTCTTGCTGTCTCTCTTTGCCTCTCTCTCTGCCTCTCTCTCTCTTTCGGCGTGTTGTTTTTGCGAAGATTTTCACTCGTCTTTGCGGTCGATGCTCGACGCCGAGAGCTATGGACCCTTCGATGTACGTCGCTTATCCTCACCAGCATAATGGCGTTCCCATGGAATCTAAACTTGCCACTTACATGGTAATGTACTTTTCTTGTTTTCTTGTTCTTCTTGATGTATTTTTTTCCTTACATTTTTAAGTTTGTAATTGTTGGATATTCATTTAGAATCGCCAGTCTGTTGGAGGAGCACACACTTCAAATGTAACTAAGCAGTTGTCAAATTTGTCCTTGGATCCGTCAAAGAAAGTAGCCGTGGCTCCAGAGTATATTCCTGGACGTCAACTTGTTAATAGCAATAATGCAGCTCCACATGCTTATAATAACACCTATCATACTCCCCAAGAAAACGTTGGTGGCACAACTTATTATTATGTTCAAAATCCTGTTGTTAATCCTAATATTCAACCTACTGTTGAAGAGGGAGTTGAGATTGTGAGTGAAATGACAGCTAGTGATAGTATGTTCAATTATAATACTATTAGAAACTTATATCGATCTTCAATTTCAGGTTGGCAGTCCAGATCCTCCTCCACTAGCTTATGTCTATCCTGGAACACCATCTTATCTTCAACATCCTGTGAAACCTACAAAAGGAAACTGTAATGGCACAGAAACTTCTAGCCCTACACAACATCCAAGTTTCTTTATTAATGAAACTTTACGAATGGAAATTTTACAAAAGAATGCTCTTGCACTAGCAGTACCAGACCCAGCACAATATCCAGATTTACCCAATGAAGTGGAAAATTATCATGATCTGGTACCATTGGAAATCTTACAAAAGCATGTTTCATCTGTGCTGGGCTATCAAACATCCACATACAAGGCTACAAATATTAAAAATGGAATAAAATACTGCATTCGTCGAGTTCATGGTTAGTAACTTTTACAAATTTTTAATTGCTATGAGATTTGGAGGATGTCTTAAAAATTATGATTTATTTGTAGAATTCAGATTACCAAACACCAAATGTATGGTTCTCGTTGACATGTGGAAAAAGTTGATACATACAAATCTTGTTCAACTAAAAGAAGTTTTTACTACCAAAGCATTTGGGGACAGTTGTAAGAAAATTAAAATTATTTTTTTTGTTCTTACTAAAATTGGAGATATTAAAGTCTATGTTTTTATTTGTTTACAGCTATCATATTTGTATATGACTTTCATCCTGGCTCAGAGTCATTGTTGAATAAACATTTTTCACCAAGTGAGCTGAATGGTTACTCAGATCCATTTTCATCAGATCCAAATGCTCCAAGACCATATAGTCATACAAAGAACACAATGCTCAGGCACCAACACAATAGTATGCTACCAGAAAGCATCATTTGGAGCTACATTATTCAACTTACAGCAGCTCTTCGCGTAATTCACGCTGCTGGTAATTATGCATTTGATTCATCTTGGCACAACTATATTTCTTATCAAGGCTGAGATATCTCAAAATTTGTACTCCAAAGTAGAGTATTCCAAGTGTAAATATTCTGTTTTTAGTCAAGATAACCTGAAAAATTGAAACTTTCCATTTCAAAACGAATTATTTTGAAGCAAAGGCTTTAATCAATAAACTATGAAATAATTTGACTTGATCACGAAAGTAAACAATCGTGTGGAATAATGAGATTCAACTAGTAGTAATAAACGCACGTTACATGGCCTTTAGATTGAATCTTATATTTCATAAATTTCAGGATTAGCATACAGATGCTTGGATCCAACCAAAGTACTGTTAACTTCACGCACACGGTTGCGCCTGAGCGGGGTTTCGGTGCCCGACGTGGTTATGTTTGACAATAATCACACGAATCCACTTGCTCTTATGCCACACTATCAGCAGGAAGATCTAATTGCTCTTGGCAAGTTAGTGTTGGCGCTTGCCTGCCGTAGCCTTTTGGCCGTTCATCGAGACAACATGCAGTCGTCACTCGAGCTCGTCGCGCGCTCTTATTCTAACGATCTAAGGAATCTCATAATGTTAGTATTTCGAAGTTTTATTTTATACAGGAATAAATTTTTACCAATTTCTCCGATAAATTACAAATTATTATCTTTGCAAGTAAAATGATGATTTTATGAAAAACTTGCATATTTTGATATCTTTTATTATTACATTTAAAGTGAGTTGTTATTCAATAAAATCTACTGAACATATTCAGTTATCAGATAGATAAAATTCATTTAGCTACTTGTCTATAAAAACAAATAAATCTACTTAGTCTTAAAGTGCTATGATATAAGTCAAGAAAAACATCTTCATATGTTTTTTTTACATTCAAAAACAAGTTATTAAATGATTTTCCAGGTGCGATATTTCATTTTAATAGTAAATAAAAAAACTATTAAAATATACATTTTTCCAGGTGCATCTTATGCAAAGTGTTTCTTAATGTAAGAAACAATTGATTTTTGGAGGTTCTAAAGTTTTGAAAAATTATTAGGTTTCTTTTTAAATACCTCCTATAAGAATTTGATATCATTATTCTTCAAAAATGTTGTACAACTTTTATGCTAAGAACTAGCTAATATGTCTGGACTGAAAGCTTTATCAAAGATGGCTTTCCTATTATTCATTTGCATAATATCATTAAGTTAACATTTTGAAAATATTACAAGTACGAAAAATAAAACGGAATGTATTTAAATTTTTCAAGCAATCATATTCTTCAACCAAACTAAGTTATTTTATAGCCCTAGAATTAATTAATAAGTTGGTTTTGATCCAAGAAAATATTTTGCATAAAATATTAAAGTTTAACATATTTCATAAACTCCAATATTTCTTCCAGGTATTTATTATCAAATCAAATACGAAAAAGCGTGACAGATCTCATGCCAATGATTGGAGCTCGATTCTATACACAATTGGATGCAGCGCAACTCTGCTCGGACGTGTTGGAAAATGAGTTGACGAAAGAATTAGAAAACGGAAGACTATTCAGGCTCATCGTCAAGTTGGGCACCATAATCGAACGTCCCGAATTAGCACTTGATCCTCAATGGGCTGAGACTGGCGATCGTTATATGCTCAAGTTATTCCGAGATTACGTTTTTCATCAAATCACTGACGATGGAAGGCCTTGGTTAGATTTGGCACATGTCGTCTCGTGCTTAAACAAACTCGATGTCGGAGCACCCGATAAGGTAAAGTCTTACTCATTCGTAATCCCTCTAAGACTCATTCACTTTCGCTATTCGATTCAAGGCTTTATTTGCTAGAAAAAGCAAACGTTTATTTGTTGGAATAACATTGTTGGTATTAAAATTTTAAACTTAAAAAAATTAGCTAGAGGTTCACTATCTCTTACTTTTTCTATTTAAAATACGTATTGAATTTGCTCAATCTGAGTCAGACCCAAAACGAAGTTTTTAGATTTAGGACCAAAGTTTGCATTCGAAACAACGTTAAATTGGAGAAAATTGAAATTAGAAATTTCATAAGAGTCCATTGCACATTCGCGACTGAAATCGTAATGAGAAAATTATGCAAAACTTTCTCCAGGAGTACATGTATTAGAGAATTATTAATGTGACGCCTCTATTATTATTCTCATTAGATCTGTTTAATGTCTCGAGACGAACAAACCGTATTAATCGTAAGTTACGCGGAGCTGCGGCACTGTTTGGAGACTTCATTCAACGAGCTGGTGCAAGCAACGAAAGGCTCCGCTCAAGAGGCTGTCTAAATGATCGCAGGCGAAAATAAAAATAAAACAAACAAATATAGCCTCTCGGCACTTACCGCAAATGTGATAAAATGACATCCATGCAACCGTCAGCTCTTCGATGGACATATACTCTAGTGGTAAGATAAAGGTGAGACGAACAAAATAAACAAAAGAGAAAAGATGAAAAAAAAAACTCAAATTTGTATTAGAAAGCATTTGTTGTAAAGAATTTTTTTCATAAAAAATGAAAACATAGAAGCTACGTACAAGCAAAAAAAATTATCTGAAAAAAAGATTTAAAATCGACATACGAAAGATATTATATAGCGAGCGAGAATGTGTGAGTGACGAGCGCGAGAGTTATATAGTGGATTCATAAGTGGTGGATCGCCGGATTATTTACGTGTCTAAATGCGTTCTAGTGTTTTACAAGGACTGGAAAAAAACAATGAAATAATTGTAATATACGTATGTGCAAAATAATGAACAAAGAGAATCATGTGTTGATGTAAATTGAGATATGCATCAAATTCACGGCGCATCGGCAATGCGTTATGCTGTTCTATATTACGAATGAAGTCAACAAAACAGACAAATTGTACACAAACGAACCTTGAGCAAGAAGAAAAAATTGATACCTAACAAACGATTTTTGGTGTATAGGATAGATGATCATTAAGTTTTAGGTACAGCTCGTAAGCATTAATTTTGAAATAAATGTTTATTTTTGAAAGCAATCTTAAATAGCTGGTATTTTTAATCTTGAAAAAAGTTTACATATATATGTACAGACATGTTGTCCAGTTTTTTGAAACGAGGTCTCTTCTCCTTTCATTTTTTATTTAACAAATTAATAAGCTGGCTGTGAGCCCCCGTTAATAAAGTAGAAATAAGCCGAGTGTAAAACTAAACAGAGTACTTTCATGAAAATAAACAATATATTTCGAGGCAATCGATTAATCATAACTCCAATACGTAAAACGGAACTGTAAAATGTCTTTTACTCTCTCACTCTCTTTCTCATTTATTTGTATTTATTTAAAATTGGCATATTGTATCATAAGTTGTGCTTATAATTTAGGTTTACTTACTAAAACATAAGAACGAATAAGACGTTTCCGCATAATGTCGATAATCTACTTTGAAATTCACTCGAAAAGTATTAATAATCCAAAATTAATTTTCAAATAAAAAAATATTTTCTTTTTAAATATATTTATTTGTATGAATTGATTAATATGATATATGATCGTTTATACGACAGCTGTAATGGTCTGCTGATAAGTTATGTATATAAATATTTTTTACGTATAATTTATATTTTTACCAAAAAAGAATGAAAAATCGGAAATAAATAAATCTAAATATTAATAAATAATGTAAAAGAAGTTAAGACATATACGTAACACAACACACAAGAATGTAACCGTCGTCGTCGTCGTCGTTAGTTCCCAAAAGGTGAACTCGCATGCGAAGGGGAACTGTCGTTGATGACTTAAACTTGATCAACGAGACGGAATAACGGTATCCACGTCTGCTAATGGAAGTGTGATTTTCTCTTCTCTCGGCGTGTAGTTGCACGTGCGGGAAAAACAATTTTCGTCGAGAATCCCCTGTTGATTGCAGCTACTAGATCATCATGCGATGTGTTTCTTCTTCCAACTAAATTCGCTGTTTATCCAAATGAGATTCGTTGATTGCCATTTGCTTCAAGTACCATGCGATAGCTTTTCCATTTTAATTTCGCGTCTTGCAATACACGAGTATTATGCGTGAGAATATCAGGCATGACGAATTTTTGTTTGATTTGTACACCGATTTAAGCTGAAAACAAGTGTAATTACGTAAAAGCCAAATAACTGACGGAATTCCCACGACGTTTTCATAGTAGTTAGAGTCTTATCGGCAACCGCAACTTTGATTACGAGTCCAGGAACTAATGATTATTGTTGTTGGAGCTTATTATCGTCAACTGTTGTATATCACGATCACGCGGTCAATCTATCAATCAAAAGACAAATCGCGAACGACATCTCGAAAAACTCTGTTGCTACAGAAAGAAAGAGATCATTCGTCACGTTACACTCCACGTAACGCCAATTAAACTCGAGCATCGCGCCAATTGTCTCACGACCACAGACCACTGCAGGCCAGACGCTAAAAGAGAAAGAAAATAAGAAATAAAAAAAAGAACATGCCCGCGGCGTTGCGAAACGATACAAAACGAACTCGGAGGCGTTATACGGGCATACATACATCTATAATAACGAGGAGTCTATCGCTCGTTTGCAAAACGGGGTCGCTGCCTGCCACGAGAGTAATAACCTGGTAATAACCGAGGCTGACTTTTGTTTCCTTTTTTTCTCTCTCTCGACTTTTTCGACGCCACAGCGCGCGCTCTGTATTGGCCGTATCGTCGCTTTGTTCGTTCGGGCGTTCGTCGAAATCGCTCTGAGCGCGCGCGCGCCATCGTGCTTTCGCGTGCGGGGCATACAGCAGCAGCAGCGGCGGCGGCGGCGGCTCTCGGGCGCGCGATCACCGATGGATCGCGATGCACCGCGAGTTGCGTGCGCGGGATACCGGTTCCCAACGGCACCGCTCTTCTCGTTAGCGCCCGAGCGTTAACGAGCCGTCGCGTCGCTCGGCGTCTTTCCAAGGCGGCGAGATTGCGCGCTATCGGAGCGCGACCGCACGCGCGCGCCTCTTGTCGGCTCCAGATAGCCGCGCGGCGCGTCGGTGTGCCGCAGCGAGAAATTTCGTGGCGGAGCGTGGCCGAGCGAGAAGTCGCGCATCCGGCGATGACGATACGCGCGTCCCGAGAAACTCGACAAAAAAGCACCAAATTGCCCGGGGGAAAAGGCGCGGCGCGACCGCGCTACGCTTATACGGCTAAACAGGCGCTCGGGCGCGAGCGAGGATCGAGGAGGGCAAAAAAGCGCATCGCGGAATGCGTGTTCCGTCCCCGTGCGCGCTTTCCGAGAAGAGAGAGAGAGAGAGAGAGAGAGGTAAACAACCGGCGGATGTGTGTATATCGCCAGCGCACTTGCAGCTGCGCAGCGCGCTTTCGAGCCTTTTAGATCGCCTATGAGTTTATAGTAGTTTTGCTCTGCGTGCTCTCTTTCTCTCTCTTTCCCAAGTGCGCGACGCAGATTCGTCATCGAACACGAAACGATTCGAGCGGTCGTGGACGCTAGTCTCGAATCTTGGCAAATTGCGACTGCGAGCGTCGACGAGCATTATCATTCTTCGACAGCTCGCGACGCGCGCGATCGAACGGGCTTTCGGAAGACCGCGCGTACGGGATATATCCGGGAAAGCCCGAGTTTCGCGACGCAGGCGCGCGCCGCAACCATCCGTCGTCGGCCGCGGACACCGAGAGCGAGCGATCGGCGGTCGGGAGTCCGCGAAACGTCGGCGGAATGCCGCGCGGCAAACATCGTTGTCGGGACGCGCGATTGGCCTCTGAGAAAACTCGCCGCCGCGGCTGACCGCTTTTCCCAGGCGAAAAATTGCGCAATTGCAGCCTCAATTGGCCGCGCCGCTTCTCCGAGATGGCACACATCCTCCTCGTCTCGTCCTCCTCTTTTACTTTTTGTTTATCCGCGACGATGCGTGCCTCGTCTCTTCGTCGCTGCGCCGCAGCTTGTATCTCGGGTATCGCGCGTCAAGTTTGGCGTCCGAGCGCAGCATTCGCTTGCGGATGGTAGTGGCGCAAGCGAAACGGGCCGCGTTCGCCGAGTGCGTTGCAATTCGCGGCAAAGAGGATGCAACGATGCGTGCGAGCGTATCGTACACGGACGCGAGACGCAGCGTAGGCATCGTAGTTTGAATTGGTTCGCACACCTAAAAGGCCGCATCCGCGCACGCACAGTTGGCCGTGTGGCGCGGCGGCGAGCTTACGCACGCGAGCAGCCCCGCTGCTCACCGATCGAGCCGTGTCGCTGTCAGCCGCGCGAGCGACGCGAGCATATCGCGCATCCTCGTCCGAGCGATTCTAACCTCTCTTAATCGCGACCGGAACGGAAGAAAAAAAAATAATCTGAAATGCATCACATCCGAATGAGAGAGACGAAGGGAGAGAGATGTGGCATCGCAGCATCCCGTCGTCAGTACGTAGTAGCTTGCGCGCGCAGTCGGCGTCTGTCCCCGCCACTCGGCGCTCTCTTGGCACACACAGCCGCACGCAGTGAGCGAGAGAGAGAGAGAGAGAGTGAGAGAGGGAGAGAGAGAGAGAGAGAGAGAGAGAGAGAAAGAGGGAGAGAGCGTCGGCGTCTACTGCCCCTGGATCGAGCGCTACGCCGCCGACAAGTACGCCAGCAGCAGTCGCAGTCTGCTCGCCCATCGCTCGTCACCGCCGCAGTCCTCTCGTCGCCTCCTCGGTGTTTTCTTTCGAAGCGTCTGCGATCCTGTCTCTCCTCGCTTTTTCAGGTACGTATCGCTCAGCTGCCGTGTGCACGTACGCAAGGCAGCTTGTCGCGGAAGTCGCCATCTCGGCGATCGATGTGCTCTCTTTGGCTCTTCTCTCGCGCATTGTTTCTCTCCCGGTGACAAGTGCCGTCTCTATACCCGTACTCTCCTCGGGTGCACGAGTAGCGAAATGGCGGGGGATGGATGAGAGAGAGAGTGAGTGAGTGAGTGAGTGAGTGAGAGAGAGAGAGAGAGAGAGAGAGAGAGAGAGCGAGAAGGGCACTGATTCGTCGCGTTTGCGAAACGTCGTTCGATCTCGAAGGGTTGGCACAGCTCGCTTCCTTCAACCCGGCCGCCGCGGAAACAGACGGTCGTCCTCGTGCGACATCGCGACGTTGACGCGCGCGACAATTAATATATGGAGCTTCTCGGACGGAATGTAAACGCTACTGGCATTTCGGGGCGATCGCGGGAGAGGCAATCAGCCGCGAGAGTGATGCCGCAGGCGGAGCTTGATCCGAGGCGAAGCGCGCCGCTCCTCGGCTGGTGTCAGCGCGTCGCGGTCCGCGGAGTCCGGCGACGGGGCCGTCGACGAGGGGCCAGTCGCCCAGTCTTCCTCGGGCGCGACGTTCCCCACCGCCGGAGATCGTCGCGACTAGAGCGATCGACGGCACCAGCGCCAGCCGAAATATCCGCAGCGCTGCGCGATAAACACCTATGCGCGCCTATCCTCGGTCGCCACCCCTTTCGCGCGAGAGTGCAATGCTTTAGCTCGAGCATCGGCATGAACGTGGGAGTGCCTCCGAGATCGCGAGCTTTTTCTCGCTTCTCTACCTCTTCCCTCGTTGCCCGACGAGCGTCCGACGAGTTGTCGCCATTGTTTACTTGCGCCTTATTGTTTTGTTAATTCACGCTCCGTGCCCAACCAAGCGGCTTTATCGGATTGCCATCCACTTTGTGCCGAGTCTTTTTTTCTCTCTCTCTCTCTCTCTTTTATTTTAATTGGATGCCTCGATTGCACTCCGCGATTGGGAAAAATGTTAATTGAAATTTGCCACGGGGGCAGAGAGGATTCGGTCGGACACGCGGCATTGTGCTTTTCTTAACGCATGACGCGTCGAAAGGCGGCTCTTAATCGATGCGAGGCTCGCGTCAGCTAAGCGTGCCCTCGAAGACAGTCGTCGGTCCAGGGGAAACAAGGCAGGTGTCGATTCCTGAACGCAGCTTTCCTCCTACGCGCGATTCCACTTTTCAATGGCAACGCCGAGCTTAATATCTTCCCATTTTTTTTTATCTTACAAGTTTTCGTTGACCTTTCAAGTCTCTCTCGGCTGCCTTGCGCCATCCCTAATCTATCCAACAGCTAAATGATGTTTGTACGACATATCTGTTTAGATTTTCCCTCTCTCTCTCTCTCTCTTTCGCTCCAGAATGCTATAACTACTCTATATACGATGGGAAAACAAATAACTTTGCACTCGCTATCTTATCGTACATTTAATTCACGTGATCATCGACGCGCGCAGTTTTATTATTACTCGCTTGTACTATTTTAATTGACGAACGCGCCGTTACGACGCCGAATATTGCGCCGTCGGTCGCGAAGCGCACCGATAGCCAGCAGCAAATTGTACGGGCGGCGAGTCCGCGCGGCGGCCGACGACCGAGAGCTTCGCCGATATCCGCGGTCGCGGCGTAAAAGAAAGCTCGCGGCCGCGTGTCGACGATCGCGAGCGTAGGCAAACGGCGCCCCTCGAGGGCCGATCGATCTTGCCCGCCGCGGGAAAAGGCATACGGTAAATCGCCCGCGACCCTCCTCGCGTCTCGTATCGTACGAGACGTCCGCGAAGGCGCGCCCTACGCTGCCCGCTACCTTCGTCGTCCCTGCGGGCGGAAGTTTTCGCGCCGCGCGTGGATCGATTATCTATATATGTGTGTCTTTTTTTTTCGTTCTTCGCGACGGAACGATCGCACTGCCGTCGATGAATGGGGCCCTCTTTTCTCGCGAGAAACAACGAGCGTCGCTGTTTACCCGTAGGCGGTCTGTCGATACAATCCGCCGCGCATCGGAACGTCAGCTGCACTTTTCTCTTTGCGAGCAATCCAAGTTTTCTCTTTTTCTTTTCGTCCGCGTTATAGACGAGGATAACGTTTTCCATTGGAAACCATATCAAACACGCCCGATTACTATTCCCTACACTAGAAAAGCCCTCCGACCGTCGAACGTCACAGCCGCCCCCCCGCCTCCGGGCGGAACACGGGGAGAAAGAAAACCCCTCGCGCAATCAGAGCAGTCGTCCCCGTGAAATATGAAAAAAAATCAGCATCGTCGTTGGCCATTATCTCACTTCGCAATCACGAAAAAGAGTCGGATCCTGCAGGGATAATGAAACGACGGCTGCAGTGGTAGTCGAACGGGGAGGGGGTGGAGCGAGATTGTCGATATATGTATACTCGACCTGAATGTCGCGCGGATAAAAAAGAAGAGATAATGCGCTGCAAGGAGTCCGTCCCTGGGATATTAAAATAGACTCTCTCGCTTTCTCTGGTGCTTCTCTTTTCTCTCTCTCTCTCTCTCTCTCTCTCTCTCTCTCTCTCTTTCTCTAGACTCGCTTGGCTTTTTCTCCCTCGTTAGTTTTATTATATCAACGTCGAGAAGCGCATTTGTTATTTGCGTTTGATCGCCGTCGGGGAGACGCGCGCGAATTTAGTTTCGCATAAATTACGCTCTATAGCCGAGCGACGAGGTGTCCCCTCCGACGCAACGAAATCATTTTCAGGAAAGAGCTTTATAATCGAAACTCCAGCGCGAAAAGGGAAAAAAGAAAACAACTAAATTCAATCCACCGCGGCTCGGGAAGAAACTGCAAGCAGCAACAATTGGAACGTGCCGTACAGAAGCAAAAGTCGATTTGATACCTTCCGAGGTGAGGTTCATGAAATATTCCGTAGCAGTGTCTGGAGTTGAGGTGTCGCGCGACGAATCCTTCATTTGCCGTGCAATTAAATGCGAATTCAATTGCCAGCGAGAAGATAAAGAGAAGAACTCGTTTTAATTCTCGCGAGTGATGAACCAAGAGAGAGAGAGAGAGAGAAGAATAAAAAAAGAGCGTTTCCAAGGATAGAATCGCCGAAGATAATGTCCGGGATCGTAAAGCATCCTGAAGGCCCGCCGAGATCGCCCGAAGGTCCCAGTCGCGCGGAACTCGACGGGCCCCATCTCCCGGTAGAAAAACAGCGCCGAGCGCGCGCGAAAAAAGGACTCGCGTATTCGGTGCACGAAGCGAAGCTAAGGAACGAGGGAGAGAAAGAGACGAAGGCGAGCGCCCATGTGTATTTGCGCTCATAACGCAGACAGATAGCTTTTTTAAGACTGCCTTCCGGCAATCAAGCCGAATATTTGCCGGAAGTCGACGCTCATTGACTCCGCTCTCTCTCTCTTGCTGCGCGCAGCGCGGGGAAGGAGAGCGAGAGAGAGAGAGAGATCGTTGTCATCGTCGCCAGACGCGACATGCATTAGTCAATGACGACTATGTGCTGTTGATGCTATCAGTTCTCATCTACGCAGAGCGATACGCTAATTGCGCGCTTTCCGCGAATCCCATCTTGCCTCCTTCTCGTTGCTTGCGAAAGAGAGAAGAGAGAGAGAGAGAGGATTACGTCGCCGCTGAATTTCCGTTACCGTTCGCATTCACGGCATCGGATCTCGCGCTGCTCTTCCCACTGCAGATTGCGTCGCGCGCGAGTCTCCTTGAAACGATCGTCGCTATTCACAAAGCGCCGGCGAGCCTTCGAATTTCAATTTCATGCGGCGAGTGAGAGCTTCTCATTTGGACAGCAGTGGCCACTAATCGCGGCTCGCCGAGCGCGAATAAACGCGCTCTTCGAACTATAGCTGGGTGCGCGCGGAATATTCGAATAAGACGAGCGAGGCTCGGCACGGGTGCGCGCCACGCCGGCGAAATGTCGATCCCCACCGGAGTTCAACTTTTTTAATAAGACTCGCGCGCGGCCATTGTCTTAATCGAAAAGGGATTCCCGCGGAGCCTCGCGTGTCGTATGAAAATTTCAAGCTCGCGCCAAAGTTGGCCGGCGGCAACTTTGTCCCGCGCGAAACTCCTCGGGGCCGGGGGAGACGAGTGAAAAAAAAAAAGAAAAAAAATCAATTCGCGCAATAACTATAAAAACTCGGGGAGAAGCTCGACGACGACGACGACGAACTCCGTGTCAATAAAGCCGTCGGCTTATTACCGCCCGAGAGGAGGCAGAAAAAAAGAGAAAATCTGGCTCGCTTTCGCGTCGTTGGCTTACGGCCAACCGGGGAAAATTGGACGAAAAAAAAAAAAGAGAAAAATTCACGCCCCAGTACCATTAGGTTATTCAATTGGCGCTCGCGCTCGCCGATGTTCATTATGCCCGAAGAGCTTTCTCTCTCTCTCTCTCTCTCTCTCTAGGCTAAATAAAAATTTGCGCGCGTGACAAATCCGCTCTTTATTTTTTTTTTTATTTTGTTTCCGACGCACCGGAAGAACTTTGTTTTATTTTTTCACGTTCCGACGATTGATGCGGATCGAGCAAGCGGTGGGAATTTCAAAATATATTTTCTTTTCCGTTGAAAGACACGACTTTTTTTTTTATTTTAATTTTAACGCGCGCGATCGATTTCCAAAGTCATTATTATGGAAATCGACTTTTCGCCTGTTACTCCAGTTCTACAGCACTTCATCGTAAATTATGCCAACGATAACGTTTTGATATTCCAGAGAAAATTTAGGCGGGAAAACTTCGTTATCACGGAACTATTATACAATTAAGAGGAAAAAAGGGATTTCCAATGCTGTTTTATTCCCGCGTAATATTGTTGGTTAGTGAAAGCGTGACATTCGTTTTAACGAATCTTATTTATGAAACAAGCAAAAAGACAAAAGAAGGAAAAGTTCTTTGTCGCGGTATCAATTTTCACAGCGCACGCGAATACAGTCCATCGTTAAGCTTAGCTCGGTGCAAAGTAAAAAGAAAAAAAAAAAGCGATGGAGAAAAAGAGAGGCGCGAAGCTTCGAAAGAGAAAAGAAAGCTACTTTGCGCTCGCACGCGACTTGGGCAGTAGCCTCGAATACACTTGTCGCCTCGGCGCGCCAGCTCTCGGCGAGCGTCCGCGCGACCGCGTGATTCGGATAAGCCGCTCGCCCTGGCGGAGAAAGAGGAGGTGGGCGAGCGACAACGGCTTCCGATGCTTTCGACGTATCCACGCGTGTGACGCCGCGAGCCGCCCCTATGAATATTCAGGCTCGCTTGCGGCTAGCGTCCATCTCGTTGCTCGTACAGGCCCGAGTGGGGGCATGTATGGGCGCGCTCGAATTTGCAATTCGCCAACCGATATCCGTACCATGTCTGTGTATGTGCTCTGGACGGATCGAACGTTATGATATACACTCGCTCACTCTGTCTCTGTATGCTCACAGACGCTGCATGCGTGGACAAGATGCGGTCTGGCGCGCGAGCTTCGTCTTTTTTTTTTCCGACGTACGGGGTGTGGTTGAATATGCATCTCACTGCGCGCACCGTAGGCAAGGCTCGATGAATCTTTTTTGCAATTCACGCGCTAGTTTCGTCGACAGATACAGTATGGTTTCGCTGCGCGAGCTCTGATTTATATGTGATGCCGTTGGTGATATTTTGACGCGAAATACAGCGATTCCCAACGCGCTTTTTTCAGTCGAAATTCGGAAAGAAAAACATAAAAACTGAAGGCTAGGGAAGGAGTAAAAAAAATCCGAGCACAAAATTAAAAGCTCGGCTTCTATTGCGGAAGGGCCGCAAAAGAATTAATGCTACGCGATCGCATAAAATAATTATAAAATTCAGTCAGCCGCGAGCGATCGATCCTTCTCGCTCGCTCTCTCTCTCTCTCTCTCTCTCTCATTCCGCGGTGCGGTAAGTCATAATAATATGTTTTACGAGTAGCGCCCGCCGATCAGCGAAGCGGCACGAAACTCGGATATGCCGTGGGCCACATGCAAGGACTCCTCGGGCTCCTCAAGAACGATTATTATTCCTTCCTCGGATCAGCCCGATAACGATCTCGCGGAGTTGGACTCTTCGGAGCCGCGTGGCGTCCCCGTATACGAGAGTTTCGCGTGCCGCGACACGCAGTCGCGATCGCGCGCCGATTACGCCTACTGAACGATACGACCGTGACACAACGCAAAAATAGGAGCAATTACGCCGCGCGAGAGAGCCTCGATATTTTCCGGAGATAACCGGAGCTGCGGGCCCACTAATAGTCATTGTCTCTCTTTATTTCGGCTCGCCGCGCATCGACGAGCGCGTCCAGTCGCTCGGGCTCGACTCGCGTGCCAACGAAAGCTCGCTGCAGGGAAGCAGCCTAGCGCAGGCGAGTCGAGCTGCGATCCCTCACGCTCGGCCGCCGTATACAATGGAGCGGAGGATAAAAGAAAAGAAAAAAAAGATGGCCTGCTTCCCTATTAATTAAAATCAGTTTGCCCCGAGCGCGCTCGATCCAAGGTCTGCTCCATCAAGTTTAAACGAGAGCCTAGAGTGGCAACGATGCGCTTCTCTTCTCTTCTGTGTGTGTGTGTGTGTGTGTGTCTCTCTCTCTCTCTCTCTCCGCTCTCTCGCTCGTGCTATGCGCGCGTTTATTTTCGAACAAAGCATTCGCTGCCCGTACAAGTGTGTAGCCGGAGCTTTCAGAGTGGGACGTTGCGCATGGCACTTCCACTGACTTTCTCTCTCTCTTTGGCTCGCTCGAGCTCGTTAGATCCGCGTATAAACAACCCTTGAAAAATTTCGCCAGCGCTGAACGAGCTGCCGGTTCGAGTGAGAATTGGCTAGGGTGCGCGCGCTCTTCACCGGCACTCGGATGGGATGCGAAAGAGCGAAGCGTCGACCGATTATGGTCGGGCTTTCGAGAGGAATCGCCGCGGAGTGCGGCAAGCGCGATGCAGATGCGGCGCTCAACCTTGCCGATAAGATATTGGCAATTGTGCAAACGACGCGGCTACGCCGCGGATCGCAACGGCACGCGCATAATATTGACACTGGCGGCTATCCGAGCGAGACGAGCTACAGCCTCGGCGCAAGGAGCTTGTCCTCGCGGTCGTCGACCCGTGTCCGATGCACCGCGCGGCGACGACGCGAGGGTGGCAAAAAAGAAGGCTCGCGCGCGCGCGAGAGAGAGAGAGAGAGAGAGAGAGAGAGGCTCTCGTCGTCGGATGGCTGTTAACGAAGAGAAATTGCCGCGCGCGGGCATCAATCCCAACGACGAGTGAGAGAGAGAGAGAGAGAGAACGCGCGCGCGAGTCTGTGTGTGCGCGCAATCTAATCTCGAGTGCAAGGGTGAAAGCGCAACGACAGTTCTATTCTCGCACGTGTGCACTGGCGACGCTTCTTTCCCGCCGGTTTCCGCGTCAAGGAGATACGCTCGCGACAGAAATATACCGTGTCTCGTAATCGCGACCCGCTTAATCACCGACATGCGCGCGCCTCGCATCGCCGCAGTTCCCCGAATGTCAAGTGTCCCATTGTTGCAGAGGCCCGATGATGAAGCTCTGGTGGATTCTGCTGCTGGCGGGAGTGGCGCTGCCGATGCTGGTCGGCGCGACGAGCGACGCCGAGTCCGATATGTGGGAGGACGACGACGACGACAAGGACACCCTCGTGCGGCAAGTCCGCGGCACCAAAGGTAACCGAGTGCCGCTCGCAACTTGGCGCTGTGATGTCCCGCTTTGCGCCGACTATCCCCCGCCCCGTTTACACGGACTAGGTCGCGCGGCCTCGCCGCGACTCGCCGTACATCCGTGATTGCTTACGACGCCGGCTTTCCTGTGCGCTCCTCGAGGCAGAACCGCACAACGACGGACAGTAGCTCAGACGTAGTGTCCACTGTTTTCAGGAAACAATGGCAATGGAAACTCGCAAGCGTGCCGATACAACAAGGGCCAGTGGTCGGAATGCGACCACAAGACTAACATGAGAACTCGCACGCTGACTTTGAAAAAGGGCGACAAGACTTGCGAGCAGACCAAGGCTATCTCTAAGAAGTGCAAGAAGGACAAAGGTAAGCTTGTCACTCGCCGAGTGCGCGCTGATCGACAGTTTTTAGAAAAACAAGATCTTGATTGAAATTCGCCTCGACAGCCTGTCGGTACGAGAAGGGACAATGGAGCAGCTGTATCAATCAGGTTATTACGCGAGTGGACAATGTCAAGTCGACCAGTGATCCATCGTGCGACAAGACGCGTCGCATGACCAAGAAGTGTAAGACTGAAAATGGCGGCAAGAAAAACAATAAAGGTGTGTAATAATGTTTGTAATCGAAGCATTCGTTTATTTTCATTTATTTATTTTCAACGTCGCATTCTTCAACATAATCTCGTTGTTTGACAGATCGATCAAACAAAAAAGGAAACAAGCAGCAGCAACAGCAGCAGTAAAACAACCAACGATTTTCCGAAAGCGCCCGGGCATAGATCCATCAAAAAGACGACGAAGACGAGAGTCGCGACTGTCAGCATCCATCGAATTTCGGCGCTTCAACAATCGCGAAACGTGTAAATCCATTCTCTGTGGTCGATAATAAATAATTATTTCTTCAGACAAACAACAAACAAAAAGGTTAAAAGATCGTTTATCCTCGTCCTCGTATAAAACTCTAGCGTGTAGGCAGTTGATAAGTGTAGGTCGACTTTTTCCTCCTCAGTGTGTCTACTGTAATTAAAAAAAAAAGATACCAACATTTTTGACCGCACTTTGAAAAAGAAAAACAATTAGTATGTGTAAGAGATTAAGCGGCGCGCGCGGTCGTGTTTAAAATAATGAAATCAAAGTTGTACAGCGAAATGTTGAACCGCGACGTCAAATCATGTATCTTCCATCAGATCTTTTTCCGCATTGTAAACGACGAATGAAGCTGCCGCCATCCTTGTGCGGACAGCTTTATTTTTTGTATTTTCATGCCCCACCCTCCTCGTAGGCTTTAGACTTATTCTTCCGTAGATGTTATATCGCTCTTATAATAAAAAAGAAACTTGTAAATCTTTTTTGCGACTTTTGTTCGTCTGACTAGTAACAACTTTGTGCTGAATTCGACTCGAAAAAACAAATCTATGAAAACTATAAATGAAATATACCGACGACGTGTTTCGCCACGCAGATTCATCTTCAGTTGAGAACCAAAGCTCAAGACAAATAATAGTTTAACAAAACACTGCACAACGTATATACAGCGCGTACTTACGGTATTTTGCACTGCACTTATTCGTTTCCTTCTTTTCTCTTTGCTCGTCTGTCCGCGTTTTATTTCATCTCATTTCGTTCCAAGTGCGATCGTGCACGGGTCGCAGACAACTTGAAAAATATATCCAACCCTCCCTCTTGAAATCGTGTTTTTATTATACAATATGACAAAACGGTGTACGCCGATGACGCGATGCAAATATCTTTTTACCGATGTATTTCACGAAATAAAAAAATAACCGAGTAAATAAACAAAATATATAAATATATATAAACAATAAAAGACTGTACGAGCGATTTGTTCATTTTGCATTCGCGTCGCGTACCGGTTGAGCACAAAAATCAAAGCAAAAATGTAAGAGAGAAACAAAAAAGGTTTTCAAATGAAAATATAAGTCATTCAACGAGAAACTCATCAAAATATGTGTCTTCTTCGCAGAGCAGATATGTCAAAGGTGTTTTCTCGCGCGGTTTTCTCAATTTAAAGGGATACGTGTTATTTGTGCATAAATAAAAAGTAATGAATGAAGTGATAATTAAGTAGAGAGGAAAAAAAACGAATGAAAATGTAGCGGCTGGCATTTAATTTGTACGTCCGAGTGATTATATAATCGATTGTCAAATGTATACGATTTGTTGTACGAAAATTTTCAAATCTTTTATTATTGTGTACGATTGAATAAAAAAAAAATGAGAAAAATGAAGGTTTTTCAAAAACTTCTGCGTCGAACGTACAAATGGAGCAGCGAGTGTAATCCTTAAATCAAAAGAAATATATAAAAAAACAACAAAACAAAAAATAATAAGCAAGCTGATAGTGAATGCAAAAAACTTTTATTAGTCCTCCAAGTTTTTAGCTGGTAGATGGAATTGTAGATGACAATTAAAGAAAACAAACGCCATATCATTCAAAGTAAAAGTTTATCAAATAGCCTACATAAGAATAGTATTTACCTATGTTCTGCATGGAGAAAAATGAGCAAACGTCCCCCTTTTAATCGATATCTTTAGACGTCTATTTACGAATTGTAGATCAAAATCGCGCGAGCATCAAAATGTTGCGCGTTTCGCGAGAGTTTTTTTCTCATATAAATATATATAAATATCGATGTAAGAGTCAGTGCGACATTCGTTAAGAATGAATCGTTGTGAAAAAGTTTTTTCGATGTCTCTTTCTAACGCATTGTAACATAGCTTACGATGTTTTTTCGACTAGGAATTCAACGAACGAAGAAATGAAAAAGAAAACATTATTTTATTGAACATACGTGTTTTTCTGATAACATTACAGATTTCAACAAATAAAATTAATGTTCGAATTCGATTCTTAGTTGTAACTGATAGAGATGCGAGAGAGATAAAAAAGACAATGATTCTCGTCGTTGCACTGTTACAACGATAATCAAAATAAACATGGAAAGAACATCGGTGTTTTGTGTAGCATTTAAATTGATAATTCGACAAGGATAGGTCTGTGATCCAAGTGATAAATTTCCGAAAAAAATAGCATTGTTACACTACATATACTTTTGGAATGATTAATTGCAGGTGGTTTTTGTTACACAAGCATTGGACGGATATATATAAACCAACATTATCCTGCTCGAAATGCAAGAGGCTTTTTTTTACGAATGGTTTCATGGTAATTATTGCGTATGAATTCTATATTTTCAAGCTATAAAAACTGTTGATTACAAAAATGCATTTTATACACCTCAATGCTCTTTTAAATTCATTTATTTAATTTATTAAGTGAATTCATTACATTATATTATATAACTGCGCATCTATAAAATGAAAGTGTAACCCATTACACATGTAATGAAAATCCAATGTTGTCAATAAAACTTAAAATTATGTAAGAATTAATCTTTGCCTCATTTACCAGACGTCCTGTTCGTTTGGTTCATGTAAGACACCATTAAATATTCAATATTTAATAATAATAATACATGTTATTTTCAATGTTTAAAAATTCATGTGTATGTACATACAGAATAATAGAATGATAAATTATATGGTATAATAGATATGTAGTATTTGCATCAACTGCAGGATTGATTGCTCATTGTTTGAATATTTGATAATTAAAATAACGCACGAATAAATCATTCAAGTACCTTTCGTTTTAAAAATTAAAAATTGATGAAATTGCTATTAATTTATTTTCATTAATAGCTATTGATACGATTAACTATCCTTTGATATAAGTGATAACATAACAAATCAAAGTATTTACTTAAAAATTTATATATGAAGTAGATTTAACGAATAGAATACTTGCAGGAAGTAAAAGCGAAGTTATACATCTTCTAAGTCCTGTGCGCGAACCATACTTGAACAACAGATTCCCATCCATCAGTTGTCGAACAATTTTACTTACTACTATTCAACAAAACTTGAAAATAATGTATGTCATTTAAAAAATGTTGAATAAACTGAAAAGCTCGAGAATTCGAGCTTTTGCAAAGGTCTACTAACTTTCTAATGATAAATGCATCAACAAAAATTGTCAGTCATGTGAGAAATAATTAGTTGTCTTATTTCTCGGGCGTCGAATCCTTAGTTTAATAAATTACGTACGTAATATTTTTATTTCATAAAGTTTTATTTTATTTTTAACGGCTATAAAAGTGATACATAAAGAATAAATATTTTTTTATCTAGCAAATATGCTAGATATAGTATATAAAAGATTACAAAATTTAATACAAATATGTTTAAAAAATCTTGTATAAAAGTCATACTAGAAAAATGTATTCTTGGACGGTTTTATAGAAATGTATTTTATGCTACACATTTTTCAGATTCAATAACTTTACCAGGCAGTTTGATGAAAACATACTTACAAAATTTCTTATGTTGGTGACCAATTCCATATTTTCTTGTTCAAACAACTTAAAATTATATCATAAATTGCTTTGAGTTTTTAATGGAAAGTAAGCAGTAAACTTAATTAAACATTCTCTTTGCTGCAACTTGTAAGCATAAAAAATACTTTTTACTACTTTACATTAACATCTATTCATGGACGGAATCGTTGATTAATGCACATAAGCAAACTTTTTGTCAAAAGTCAACTACATAATAATTCAATTTTTAGTTTCTAGAGAGATAAGATTATATTAAAATTGAGATTCTCATTGCTTACAAAATCTACAAACAGGCATATTTGTGTGTGCTAATTTTAGGCACTTGGTTTGTATTAATCATTTCATTCTACTGAGACTGACAATTCACGAGTGTATGACCTACCTTCCCAATCTTGCTCATCAGGCAGTGCCTGATGTCTCAATTTACAAAGACGTGAACCACTTTTGAGTATATACATTATTACTCCCACAACAAAAAGTGTTAAAATAGCACATGCTGGCCAAAATACGTGAAAAGACATTTTTAATAAATTATTTGTGCTGCAGTCAAGATTTCACAAAGTCTCAAAAAATAATTAGATATCACTCTCTCGTTTCTGAAGTTCCATATACTGTTGTGGCTGGTAATGAGTTTCTGGTCGTTCAATTATTTCAGGATGATACTGAACCTCTTCGTGGGTCACAGCTTTGTATACTTTGATACCTTCTTCAAGTTCAGTTAAATCTAGTGGTGGATTGTTATGAGGTGTAACTGTCCAGAGAGATTGAATCCAACGATTACCTATAAACATCAAGTATTATTTGATAACTCATTGGCATGTATTTTCACAAAATTGTAAATGTTTGTGATCACTTAAACTTACCTGTATTTCTGTCGCGCCAGTAAGCACGGTATTGCGAACAGTAACAAAAAGTTACATTCAAAATTATCAAAAAAAATCCAATCACAGAACAAATGCTAATTGCTACGTAGAATGGGCTGAAGTCTCCTTTAATCCTGTTCTCTTCACTGAAGTAAGAATTATTTTTATAAGCCTCGCGATCGTCTAGAATAGACATTTCATAAACTTACTCTTACTTCTGAAAAATAAATAAAAATGAAAATTATTTACATCTAATCATCAATAAAACTACGCAGATTATCCATTGTTTGAAACATCCAGACATAATTTAAATCGATATTTCAATTCACTCAATTTAAACAAATCAAAATTCGTATAATTGCCGAGAAGCAAAGCTGCGTCAATAAACTGCAAGTCTTAACGTTATTCAATTTTACTAATTGAATTATAAAAGCAACGACAAAGCCTACAACAGTCCGCTAACGATCTTCTAACTGCGAGCACACAGTAGCTAAGAAAATTTCATTGGCACTTACCTTGGTATCGACACGACGTTCACCAGGTCGTTCTCCGCTACATTAGGGTCGCGCCCACGATGGCAATTAACTGGTAAAATGGAATGATTGTCTGATCCGATTGTGGTGCTGGCACATACGACAATCAAGTTGGGCGTGCCGCCGCTGTGCTGACTTATCCACATTATACAGAAGGTGTGTGTGCGTATGGTGGGGATGGACGCGTGGATGCGGCATGAAGCATAAAAAACACTCAAGGTGGATTAACGAGAGCCCGCGCTTTCGACAGGTGCATGCACTATATGTAGAGTATATTCTGACACTTTTTTTTTAGTTTTGATATAAAAATTATACATTATACATGCATTTCCGTTTTGTACAAAAATTAACAATTTTCAATAAATTAATTATAAATTATTTTTTTTTTTAATTTGCTAATTTGTTACTTTTAGTACATTGCCTTTTTTCATAAGTTGCTACTAAGCACATGTTTTCTAATGTACTATTAATACTTGTGTAATGTAAGAGACTGCCAGTGAACCCTAAGTCTTTCAAGTACTCTAGCCGACCCCAATTGAGTAAAGTTTTTGCTTTACGTCCTGTGGCTTCCCTTTCAGAGTCTTCATTGTCTGTATACAATTTATTGCTACATGTTGCCCAACTAGCAATTTTACAAAGAATTGGAAAATCATCCTTTGTAAAACCTTCATTTTCCAGGTAATTATGACCAACATAATCTGAATATATACATTGATGATGGCAGCAAAATGCAATAACTATGCCAGTTTTTGTGCCTACTGTGTCAGGGATTGCATTTGTTATGCATCTCAGAGCCAAGTCTATGAAATCACAAATAAATTTTGAAACCCAAATAAATTTAAAAAATTTAAATGAAAAAATAAAGATTTACCTGTAGCTGCACCACAGACGTGCTTGGCTACTCCCACCCAACATTGCTTTTCCTTAACCTCAGGAATATCACTTAATTTCAAATCGGCAATGTCTGCTCTAACTCTGACAACTTTAATCTTAGAATTCTGGTCTTTCAATTTATTATCCAATTTATGTCTGTGATTAGAGCGGTCAACCAACAAAATTGAAGAATTAGTTTGATTTTTCATTGCTTGTGCTAGCCAGTATGACAATTTACCTATAATGTCTTCTTTTATAGTAATTGTATAAATTAATTTAAATTTAGATAGAAAAATATAATACATACCACGACCAGCTCCAAATTCAATAAAACACGTATTTTCGTGAATTAGGTTAGCTTGTTTTAAATGTCCTAACAGAGATGCTGTTTGTTTCAAATGCCTTTTGGCTTCTCGACCATTAATTGGATTTTTCAATTCTTGTTCTAATACCTCATGGTTCAGTATTTTCTCTGGTATCTCTGGTAACTTGACTAAAAAATAAATTACATCAATGATGATACAATCTCAATTAAAGTTAAAATTTTTAAAGCAAAGTAGGAACAAAGTATGTTTATCTTACCATATGCATTTTTTATTTTATTAAGTACACTATAAATGATACTTTTATTAACTGAAGAAAGAAAGAAAGGTATATCATCGGGAAATTCCTCTGGCTCACCTAAATTTATACCTTTGACAACATATAGTGGCTGCATATCTTGCTTATTCTTAGCATTGCAAACTTTTAAGTGTTTTTGTAGTTTAGATTGAAAACAAGTACTGATAAGAGAAGAAAGATCTATCAGTTCTTTAAAAAATTATAAAATCAAGTAAAAAATCGTTCTGTACTTTTCTTTTACTACTTACTGAGATGAATCAAGTGGACATGGTATCCTTCTTTGATTAAATTCAAGTGAAGATAAATGTTCTCCACAAAATCTCGTGTCCTTTTTCACTGTCATTCGGCAAAAGCGATTTTTTCGGTTCAAGAAAAACTGACAGTGCTTTGGATCAGTCATTGTTGTGAAAACTGAATAAAAAAATTACTGCAAAAGAAATATTACACTTTTATTATGAGAGTTTGATTTTTGTTAACGGTTATGATTTATTAATATTATAAAAATAATATTTATGATTTATCAAAACTTTTTTAAGTGAAATTCTACACTAACAAGACGTTTTCCAAAATGTTCAGATATAGGTTAGGTCGTCCAAGGACTATTCGTCAAACACAAGAAAATTTAAATTGTTGCAACTAAAGTGATATAAACGAATTATAATCAAAAATTGACGACTGTTAACAATTACTTATTAAAAATAATTGGAGCGTAAAGAGTCACAGCTGCAAAGGATCAAGTACGATCAGCAATAACTAGCAGACTATTTGTAAACGCAAATTAAAACAAAAGGAAGTTCTCAACGCGCGGCACTCGCGCTCGTGTGGTTCTCAAACGTTTACGTGAACCGTGGCGAGGCGCGAATCCATCTCGAACAAAGGGGGAGAGAGAGAAAAAAGAAGAAGCACTGTGGCGGCGGCGGCAAGTGGAAGCACCTGCACCGCGTCGTTATCCCGAGGTTTCCTCGCACGTACTGCAGTTGAGAACCACCAAGCGGCTTTTCTTTGCTCCCCGAGGATGCGCCGTCACCTCCTAGACAACGTGTGAGTGTCTGGCGTGTAGATTCGAAAAAAATGCCAGAGCGTTGTTTACTGTGGATGCTAGATAATTAGAACAGGACTAGAGTGACTTTTTTTTCTTTTACAGTTTATGGTTCCTATGAGAGGAGAAAGTAGCTACCATGGCTATAAACAACAGCTACTTTGCCATGCCTATGAACATGGATAGGGTTTGCAGGATATGTTTGTCAGAGAATACCAATTTGTCACCAATATTCTGTAACAATCAGGATACTAATAACCTTGTAGATCTACCACAAAAAATTCAGATTTGTGGAGATATTGAGTGCCACGAGCAAGATGGTTTGCCTTCAATGATTTGCGATGTTTGTATATACAAGGCTAATTTTGCTCACGAGTTCAGACAATTGTGCCAGCTCTCTGATGCTAGATTGAGACTATATTATAATAAACCTTCTAAGTATAGTACTGCCGTAAGTTTTGAATATATCTTATCCTAAAGTAGTAAAATTGTATTGTTTCACTAAAAAAAGTTTGCTTTTCAGGATCCTATTACGGAAGATGTAAAAAAGGATGAAGTATTACAAAGTGATTATTTTTCCAAGCAAGAAGTAATCAGTAGTCAGCAGTACCATGATACAATGTCAACTGAAACTTATACAACCGAACCCCAAGCCAATTCAGTTGTAACAACAATTGAATCAGCTATGCCTTCCGTTAACATATCTGTTGAAGATGAAAAATTATTTCATTTGAGCTTCGAAGAGCAAACCAAGGAGGTTGACAAAAATGTAATTGTACCTTGTGATACCCAATCAGTGACATGTACTCAAGAAATGATTCCTGTTACTACAAATTTAATCGATGATGTTTGCACCATTGAAACCAGTATGAGTACTACTGATAATGAAGTGAAAGATGAAGTTACATACTTCAACTACATTACAAAAGATAATCAAAGCATTGAACAAAACAATGATCTGGAGAAACAAACGTTATCTGACGTGGCCCAGGTAGAAAATAATTATGTAGAGCCACTGACTAGCAATAATCAAGCTATAGATGACATGAAGTTTAGATGTGAGAAGTGTTTGAAGTTTTATACAACTGAAAAAGGATTAAAAAAACATTTAGAAAGCCATGAGAATCAACATAAATGCGAGGTCTGCTTAAAGGAGTTTGTCAAGTTGGATGCCTTGGAAAAGCATAGGAACACTCACTCTACGAAACCGCACGCCTGCAAGGAATGCAACGCAAGTTTTAATAAATCCTCGAGCCTCGTGAAACACATGAAGGTTCATGTGAAATCCAGCGAGCATAAAACCGAAGTTTTTCTAACAGAGACGACAACAATAAAGAGCGACTCGGATTCGGATGACGATCAACGCGAAGAGAACGGTTTCGAGAATGCTCCAGAGATTTTCAAGTGCGACGAGTGTGGTCAGCAATGTTCAACTCTGAAGAATCTCAAACGTCACACTTTAATCCACGGCGAGAGAAAATACTCATGCACCGTTTGTAAAAAATGGTTCTTCCGTCCGGATACGTTGAAAAAGCATGCTGAGCGTCACGGTCACGGTCTACTCGACAATCTCAATGACAGCAATAAGTTGTATGAATCGGATGACGATTCATTTCCCAGTGCCGATAAGGATGTGAAAAAGGAAGACAGTGACGAAGACGGTGCAGCTACGGGCGAGTACAAGTGTCAGTACTGCGACAAGGTGGTAGCTTCGAAGAAAGGCCTTCGTCGGCATGTGGTCATGCACAAGCCCAAACCTGAGCCTGCAGTTTGTGAGGTCTGCAAAAAGGTGTATGCAAGTCGAGCTCGTCTTGCTCTTCATCAGAAAACCCATGCCAAACCGAAGGAGAAGGTACCACGAGAATACCTTTGCCACATATGCAGCAAAGTCTATCCCAGCAATTCATCTCTCACCTACCACATGCGCACTCATACGGGCATTAAGCCTCACGTCTGTAAAATCTGCAATAGTGGCTTCACCACCACGACAAGTCTAACGAATCACATTCGCATTCACACCGGGGACAAACCATTCGTTTGCCATGTTTGCAGCGCAGCTTTTGCTGTAAGCTCTGCATTCAGACGACACCTTACAAGGCACACTGGCGAAGCCAATTACTTGTGCAAAACTTGTGGCAAAGCCTTCAAACGACTGAGTACTCTGAAGGAACATACGTACACCCACTCGGGTGAGAAGCCATACGTTTGCAAGACCTGCGGTGCTGCTTACAGTCACAGCGGCAGTCTATTCGCGCATCAAAAGCGCTGCCGTGCTCAATTCAATGAAATGGTTATTGACGAACATCATCATTCACCTGTGACTGCTGCTAGCCATCATCACATTCACGTAAACAGCGTGCAGTCGGCTGTGCGCTCGCTCACTGTGATAGGCCAGATGTACTGACCTGCTGCCTAACTATCTCTATATTTTTTCATACGGACACTTTTTTTATCGTTAGTTTTTTTCGACATTGTAACATAGTTTAATAAAACATCTAAGGTTCTATTAAAATAGTTATACTTTTTTATTGTAACAAATTTTAGAAGCTAATATTTAAGAATAATGACAATTCGTCTCTCGGTTACTTGCTGCTGTGGCAAAAATCGCCTTTCCTTTCTAGAATAGCCTTTTTCCGTAGAACACGGTACCTTCGCCACACTGATGCTCGTGTTCTCCTCAGCATTATCGCTAACTCGGCAAACTTACGGTCTTGTTCATTTATATCATTTTTTTTGTTTTCTGCCTTCTTTTTCTCGTAATCTTCGACGTATTCCATAATTGTTCTATCTTCATCTGATTCGTACCTACAAATTATTTTTTATTTAGAAAAAAATAAATACTACAGTTTTGAATAGATTGATTGAATTCATACCTGCACGTTTTATGTGGTTCAAACAAGATTTTAAATCTCTGAAAAACACTGTATAGACATCTATCAGGAAGACCATGAGCTAAGCATTGTATAAATTTTCTTCTGTTGTATTGATTCAAGTAAAAGATTTTGCTTTTATGCTTCATAAAGAGGAAAGGCCTTGGATTTTTTGAATCCCAATCATTATCCTATAGCGTAATAAAGAATATTTTTAGTTTATAAGTAAATAAATCAGTTATTACTATTCTTAGTTATCTAAATACCTGACAAAATATTTTCCAGTTTCTTTTAATTTTTTTATCTTCTTCGTGACTGAATTTACCATGTTTCAATGGTATATACTCTTCAAACTCTTCTCTTTCATTGTCGGACATGGTGCGAGTACCAGCGGTACTCTCGATTTTATGTTGAGAAAGTATGGGATATCTTGCTACAACTAACATATTAGCTAATTTCTGAAACATCATGACAATCATTTAAGTTTAACATAATTACAATTTTTTGCCAAATAATTAGAAAAACAAACTAAAAATATTTTGCATTACCAATCTTTCTTCTTCAGTTGGTTTATACTTCGAATAACTACAATTCTGGCTCATTTCATTTAAATCTTCTTCCTCAGCCATATCATCAGAACTTACATTTTCCGCTTCGTGATTCGATTCAGAAAGCGACGAAGTAATTTTTCTGCACGTTCTGAGGTGCTTTTCCTTGTAGACACTTTTGTTTTTTTTGTTTTTAACTATAGGATTTGTAATTTTGAGTTTTTCTAAATTTGAAAAGAAAGATTTTTTAATAAATTTAAAAGTTAAAAGTAAAAACAATATTTTATAAAAACATAAGTTATCTGAATAATATTCAGTAAAATATAAAATATTTCAAAAAAATACTTTTATCATGATTGTCTGTTTTTATAGTTTCTTGTGTTAAACTCTTCTTAAAATCGCTTATCTTTGTACTTCGTTTCTCTTGACAATCAGATTCAGAATTGGAAGAGACAGTCTTTAATTCTTTGTTAATATCTCCTTTAGTTATATCTAAAATTGCAAATTTTAAAGTGTTCATAAAACTTTATGAAATTTATATTCACTTAAATAATATTTAGCATGTATATGAAATATTTCATAAGAATACCCTTATTAAGATTAGCTTTTTTTACATCTTGTGTTTCTTCTACATCAGAATCTGATTCATGAATTTCAATTTTCATGAGTTTTACTGCATTTCTATATTTTGATTTTACACCTATAATTCAAAAGATAAGATTATAAATTGCAAAACAAAGAAACTTATTCAATTGTTTTTAGTACGTACAAACAACTTTAAATTTTTTTTTATTAATTTTTGGCTTCACATTATTTTTCTCTGGTGATATATCTTCGGAATTTGATTTGATATCAGGAATGTTAGATTTTGAATTTGAAAGGCTTGAGTTATCATTATTTAAACTTTCATTCATGTATTTTTGTAGCCCTGTCAAGTCTAAAATATAATGTCAGTTAAAATATTTAATTCAAATCTTGTAAATACATTTTTGAACTTTAACTACCATCATCTAAATTATCGTCTATCATCAATGGTGATTCATTTGAATCAACAGAATTTGAACTTTTGTCACCATTTCCTTTCAACTGTTCAGTACCTATATATGTATAAGAAGTACAATTGGTTTAATATTTCAAGTTCTACTATAATTTTGTTGTGATACATGTATAAATAAATGAAAACCTTCTCCAGCTTTTAAATTATTTTGCCCAATCACGGACTTGTCTGTGCTGCTTGTTCTTGTTATCAGATGTTTTTTCATCAAACTCTTCGATTCTATTATTTGTTTTTTCTGATTAATTTTATTTGTAGAAGTTTCATTATCTGATTCAAATTCTGAACATGAACTATATTTTTGAATTTTCCCTGATTTTACCTTTGAAGAACCTAAAAATAAAAAATTATCAGTATTTTACAATTGTAGTAAAAAATAAAACATATTACCATAAGTTTTCCTATTTTTCGCATAATCAATTTTACGTTTCCTTAAATTCGGCATATTGCTAAAAATAACTTTTTTCAAATGACGGATATTATAAAAAAATTAATGATCAACTAGAACTTTAATAAGTAATTATTTGTTTACATTTTATAGGTTATATTTTACGAACTATATATTTATACACAACTCAATACACTTATAATAAACGTTTATTTTCTTATCACATTTTGAAACGAACATTGAACTTGAAAATTCAATTATTAACAAAAATCACAATATCATGCTATAAATTACAGATTTCACGTATAATGGTGTTATAATTCACACGTACTGTGTAATAGTACTATATAGAATAGAATGCCGAAAAACGAAACACCCTATAGCACAGCGCTCAGGAACGTTCTGCATTAGAAGACAACAGATGTTCGATAATAGATTTTTTTTCATTCCCAATTGTATAATTTTCCTAAATTATGCTGCAGTATATGCATTGAACAATTTGATATACTATTTCATTGACGGTTCATTGATTACTGCCTGTTACTGCCTCTGTAAAACTATACGTCTATACAGTTTAAATTGCCGATAATTGGTACATTGACTAATGTCAAATATTATAACTTGATAGCTGCCGGTAATACGGACACTTACCCTTTACCTCGAGGTGGAATAATGGAATTACTCTATACGAGTATATTATTTCATAAGATTGTTTTTAACAATTAAATTGATTAGATAAGACTCGGCTGTTTATAAAAAAATACGATAGGAGAAAGCTCAAATGTTCGCAGTGTGGATTACTACATTACAAAATGATAACATACAAAGTTTTATTAATTCTTTGGTTTTCTGTGATATATTCTTTTTGTGAAAACTCCTATTATAAAGGTTCTGATTCAAACATTGATGGCTTACAAATTTATGAGTTCAACAAAAGGTATGTGCCTACATGGGAAAGCTTAGATAGTAGACCAATTCCACCTTGGTTTGATGATGCCAAATTCGGTATTTTTATCCACTGGGGTGTGTTTAGTGTACCAAGCTTTGGTTCAGAATGGTTTTGGACAAACTGGGAAAGTATGTTGAAAAACATTCTTGTGTATCTTTTCTACATGTCTAATATATTTTTTTAATTATTTAAAGATGGAGTTCAAAAATATATAGATTTTATGAAACAAAATTACAAGCCAAGTTTTACATACCAAGATTTTGCTAGAGATTTCACTGCAGAATTTTACAATGCTACTCAGTGGAGTGAAATGTTTGAAGCATCAGGGGCACAGTATATTGTTCTCACAAGCAAGCATCATGAAGGATATACACTATGGCCATCCAAATATTCATTTAGTTGGAATGCAAAGGATGTTGGTCCACACAGAGATTTATTAGGTAATGAGTTAATGTAATAATTATCACAAATTTTTTAGGGTATAAATTTTCACATTTCTTTTTATTACTTTCTTAGGAGAATTAGCAACAGCAATAAGGAAAAATACAAAATTAAGATTTGGACTTTATCATTCATTATTTGAGTGGTATAATCCTTTGTATCTACATGATAAAAAAAATAATTTTTCCACTAATCTTTTTGTAACAAAGAAAGTTTTGACCGAAATGAAAGAATTGATTGAAACTTACCAGCCAGAAGTGTTGTGGTCAGATGGTGATTGGGAAACCACAGAAAAATATTGGAAGTCTAAAGAATTTTTAGCTTGGCTCTACAGTGAAAGTCCTGTTAAAGAAACTATTGTGGTCAATGACAGATGGGGGCAAAATACATCTTGTCAACATGGAGATTTTTATAATTGTCAAGATCGTTATAATCCTGGTATTTTTGTTTGTTTGTTGAATTAATAACATCAATTTATTCTGGGTACTTGAGTGATTCTTATTATATTGTATGATAAGAGCCACAATCAGGTCATATTAATCCTTAAGGAAATTAGTAAAAATATATTAATATATTCACTATATGTTAGTAAAACGAAAAGATGATTAAATCAGACATATTCTTGTGTTACTCACTTTTGATTAAGTTACCATAAAAAACAATTTAGTTTAATTAAATAATTAACCAATTAACGCGTTTTTATAGGGATTCTACAAAAGCATAAATGGGAAAATGCCATGACTATTGACAAACGTTCATGGGGTTTTAGAAGGAATGCTCCATTAGAAGATTACTATACTCTCAAAGAGCTCGTTAAAGAGCTTGTCATTACCGTAAGCACTGGTGGTAATCTCTTGATGAACGTTGGTCCAACAAAAGATGGTATCATATCACCGATTTTCGAGGAAAGATTACGCGGCATGGGTAATTAAAGAAATCACCTCGTTATTCATTTAATCTAGCTTATGCAGATATTTTTAAGGGCATTATATTCTATGACAGGACGTTGGCTAAAAACTAACGGCGAAGCAATTTATAAAACTAAACCATGGATATTGCAAAATGACACTATAAATAGCCATGTATGGTACACTAGTAGCAAAATCAATAATGATCTGTTTGCTACTCTACTTTCTTGGCCAAATAATAACACCGTAAGACTGAGTCTTCTTATTAAAACTACTAATAAAACAAAAATATCGCTTTTAAATAGCCAAGAGAACAAACTGAAAGTAAGTATTTGACGTTCCGATTTTATTTTAAAAATTATAATAATATTGAATTTGATAATGTTGAAATATTTTTTAGTGGCTTCAAAAACCAGATGCTCTTTACATCTTCTTACCAGTTATAGTTCCAACGGAAGAACCAGCTTGGGTATTGCGTTTAACTAACTTGAATGAGTGAATAATAAAAAGGACTTTTTCTATGTTCTATTTCTTTGTCTATCATATTAAAAAAGATATATTGATTCAATTCATATATCTGTATAAGTCACTTTTGTGGAAAACAAAATCGGACAGGATAGCCGTTATTGATAAGTTTACAAACTATGTTCTAAACTTTTGATAAAATATATCAAGTCGCGAATTACTAGAAATATCATTTTTCTCGGGCTGGAAGATTCTTATTCAAATGATAGCACAGATAACAAAGCTATATTCATTCGAAACGAAAAACCGGAGTAGATAGTATTTTATAGAAACTGAATACTTGGAGATTGTTACTGAATAACAATATTAAACCTATTTGGAATATATTCAAATGTTATATTTATTTAATAAGTTTCACAAAAGTCTGTACATGAGCAGTACAAAATATAAACTTTTTATCTTGAAAATAGTGTAATACAACTGATAAACATCTTAATACATCAGGAATTCAGTTAAGTATAAATATATTTTATAAATGCTTATAAAAATTGGCATTTACACGGTTATTTATCACGATAGATAATTAGCTTCCAGCATATCTTAGATTTCAGATACTTCGTATAAATAAGCTCCCAGCAACTTTGTCTGAAAACAAATAAGATATTGTCTAATTAATCACTGCCGATGAATGGACTTTATCGAATCTTATAAATATTGAAGGTCTACTTACTCCCTCGATGTAATTGCGCACGTTTAATTTCTCATTTTGCGAGTGCGCACCATCATCTCCACAGCCAATGGGCAGCAGCAAAACATTCTTACCAGTGACTTCCTGGAAAGTTAGCGTAACGGGAATGGAACCTCCCTCACGAGTAATATCTGGGTCGACCTTGTAGACGTGTTTTGTAGCCAATCTTGCGGCAACGTAGTGAGGGTGATCAGGGTTTGACGACCACGGTCTTCCAGCATGAGCCATATTTACCTGCATCTTATTTGGGCTACGACGTGCTTGCCATTGCTTCTGAATATAGGCGACAACTTTCTTTTCAACTTCTTCGGGTGTCATGTCCGGCACAATTCGCAGAGAGAACTTGCCGATCACAGTGCCAGGAATCACAGTTTTCTCACCAGGCTCATAGAAAGCACCTTCGATACCGTGCAGTGAGAGAGTTGGGTTGCGCCATCGATGCATCAGCAATTGTTTCTAAAATATAAAACTTAATTGTATACATCATCTATGAAAGAAAAAACATGAAATTACTTTTTCCGGTACCTTGTCTTCCTTATGAGCTAGCCTTGTAGCACCGCAGGAATCCCTGTACTCATCCACATCAAACTCGATATCATCATAAATTATCAACTCCTCGGATGTTACCTTTGGGACGTTATCGTAAATTCCATCAACTAGTATTTTACCATTAACGTCAACCAAAGTATTCATTAAATAAATTAGATCCGCCATGGCCTCATGGACAGTTCCACCAAAAGTTCCACTGTGAAGATCCTTGGCTGCACACCTCACTTTTACATGGAAGTAGCAAACACCCCTTAGACCATAAGTAATGCAAGGCTTGGTTGTACCCAACCAGTAGTTGTCGGATATACAAACATAATCAATTCCCTTTAAGAATGAATCTTTGCGAGACCAGAGAAGTTCATCAAGACCTTCGCTGCCGCTTTCTTCCATTCCTTCAAAGACAAACTGCAAGCAATAATCAACTTTAGAATCATTACAAAAAAAATTATATGAAAAAAATATTAGGTATTATACCTTCAGGTTGACAGGAATGTCTTCTCCAATGGCTTGATAGCCTTGAATTGCATGCAACCAGCAGAGAACTGGTCCTTTGTCATCAGTACTTCCTCTACCATACAATTTATCATCTTTCTCAACAAGTTCAAAAGGTTCAGTATCCCAACCATCTTCTTTTAGTGCAGGTTGAACATCCAAATGTCCATAGATGAGTACTGTCTTCTTTTTAGGATCATTACCTAAGGAACCAAGTAAGGCAGGTGGAAGCGGGATTTCATTTCCATTGAGAAGCTTTTGAGTACCAAGTTCAGCCAATTCTGTAGTAGCACCAAGTTGCTTGAATTGGGCCTCTGCCCACTTCATCATTTTAATAATTTCATTTCTACTCTCTGGCCAAGCTGACACAGATTTGATAGCAACAGCTTCTCTCAAGTTGTTAATGTACTTGACTTTGTTGCTATCTATATGCCTATAATTACAAAATGATAAATTGGTGTTTGCTTTACAAGAATTCTATAATGTTTATTTTATGTTAATAAGTAAATTTGATTAAAAATTTGTTTTACATTTGTACTGTCTTGTAACTCTCTATGCAGATTTAATTAATAGATAAGAAAATAGTCATCATAATAAACTTACTTGAACAGCTTAACTAATGTCGATGGTAGTGTCATGATATATTTGTTAAACAATAACTGTGCGCAAAAATTCAACAATCAAATAATCTCTTCAGTAAAGAGGATACGCAAACGATAAATGCTCCGAACAGCAACGGACCTGGCTACTTGAAAGTTCGATAGTTCTCTTCAAGTTTATCTTATCGCATGAACATTCCGCTAACTGCGGTAATCATAAAAAGTAAATTAGCTAGAGAAAATTGTTATTCGTCAAACTTTCCACTCATTCATCCATAATTGATCAGTGATAAAACCGCGGTTGCCGGGTACTCACTCTGTAAGGGTCTGTCTCCATAGGGCCTGTCCGAGCCGGCCGAGATTTTTTATGGGCACGCCATCTCTATAATTTCGTGTTCAATGGCGAGTTTCATAATGAATGCGAGAAACGCATCTATGGAGTGGCAGTACCCGTGGTTTGAAGTTTCCTGTCTGGCTGTCTCTATGCTCTGGCTATCCTCCATGTTCCTGCTCCAATTTTCATTCGGTAAGTTCGTAATTAATAATAATTCGTAACTAATTCCTACTTTTATTTTCATAAAATTGCAAGTTTCATAATCCCTTTTTAGAGTCATATGCACGAAGAGTTAGGCTTTCGAAATCCGTCAACTGTCAAATGACAAGTAGTAGCAGCAGCAGCAGTAGTAGTTGTAGTAGCAGTAGTAGCTGAAGGTAGGTGGTAGGTGAGAGAATCACAATGGCAGCCGAAATCAAGCCCGCGCCCGGGATGAACCAGGACAAGTTCAGCTCCAAGAAGCCTATACTTCTGTCGAAGCTCGAGGGTTGCAATGACGACGTCAATGCCGCCGTTATCATTCCCAGGGTTGACGGCGTCATCAGCGTCTGCGACGACAGGTCAGACTCACTTTTCTATTGTGTTTGCAATGCTTCTGATACTCGATGCATATCTATATGATGTATATACGATTAATTTATTTACATCGCATGCTTCTAGCTCGACTCTTATTGGACTCATTGTTTATAATGCAAATAGCAATCGTACAGTCACTTGCATCTTTTGTTAGACTTTTTTCAGACTATTTTTTGCATTGTACATATTTTTTACTCCTATTTTTTCATGTAATATATAATTTAATTAAATTATAGGTAAAACAGCAAGCTTTTTGTTATAAGTAAATAATAATTGTATGACACCTGAACAATCTTTCTTTATCTGCAAGTTCCTAGATAGGATGATTCAGACTGATTGCTTTATCTATCTGGCCTTTAAGCAATGTTTTGCTGTATTTTAGTTATGAATAAATTTTCTAATTACTATTGCAGAACTGTCAGAGTTTGGTTGAAACGTGACTCAGGACAATACTGGCCAAGCGTATGCATGTACATGGTTGCAGCACCAACCTCTCTTGATTTTTGTCCTGAAACCAGACAGCTGTTTGTTGGATTAGATAATGGCAGTATAAATGTATTTATCAAGATCAAATTCATTTATAATTTCTTAAAAAATTGTGAATCAAACGAATTTTTGGTTTTGTAGGAGTTTTTATTGGAAAGCGATTACAATCGTATGACAGCCATTCGAGAATACACGGCTCATCAAGCAAGAGTTGCTGCAGTAGTTTTTTCTTTGAGCTGTGAATGGGTACTTAGTATAGGTAGAGACAAATTGTTCCAGTTCCACAGTACTGAAAATGGAAAGGATCACATCAAATAATATGTTCAATAATCCAAAAGGTAACGTCTACAAAAAGTTGCTGTACCACATGCATGGAACATACACCTACAACATGGTGAGCATTATTAATTTTAAAAATGGTTCAATTTCTGGCATTCGATCAATCTTGGTAGTTGCTACATTATTTTGTATTATTTTCATCAATTTCACGCTTTCATCAATGGCTTTTTGTAAGCCATCGCCATCATCTACTTTTCGTTTCCGACAAAATTTATAGTGTCAAGACCAAGCAATAAGATGCATAACATGAAAAGGTTAGATAGGTTAGAAATAATCAACTACAAGAGGTTTTATTTTATTATTTTAAATTTATTAATAATCATATGTTAAATCATTATCAGATGTTTAAACGTGAGAAAACAACCTAACATCTCGAATAATATTTTTGGCATCATCCCACAGGTGTCTACTGGTGAAACATGCAGCATGCCATTTTTCAACGAGCTCCTTTGTCGCAATAGGAGTTGAAGACGATTTAAGTTCCCTCAAGAATGCCCTCAATTTTCTCAAGGGAACATTAATTACATTCAGGTGAGTTGGCCACAGACTGCGGTATAAATTGCTTTGATGCAAAGACCATCTATTTGTTGTAGCATTATTTGATATGCGATTATCGTCCTCAATCGTGCCCAGGACTCTACATGTGCTTCCTCCAATTGTATTAATTTCTTGCATTATCTTTTTTAATACTAATCTATGGCTCATCATATTGATGTCAATGTCAATTATACCTTCATTCTCGTTGGAAAACCACAGAATGAAATTATGACTTCTCATATTTTCCAAATTGAGATTGACAACACGAAAAGCTACTGGTACGTAGCGACGAAAATCATTTTGCATGATGTACTGAATGGTGAATTTCATTTTCACGTTAAGTTTTTCTTCTTCAAATGGCTTTGAATGTAAAACATTTTTCACAGATAGGTTATTCATTATTAAAGAATACTTTCGGTCAGAATCAATCGGAATTTATTTCTTTATAAAAACTGCCTTGACACAATGAAGGTTCAATGCACACTGTAGTGGGCATGCACGCGTCCTGAAACAAAGAAAATAAAATCACCAATCTCGGCTTTTCATTGGATCATAACCCATTAACGTGCAACATAGGCGGTACAACTGAGCATTGCATACGCTATATATTTTTACTCATTATTTTTCATAAAAAAGTTATATACAATTATTTTTTATTCTAAACTTTGTGTTTATTCGCTGAATTTATAATAAATATTTTTATTTTTACAGATTTTAATTATGAGACTAGATGAACGAAAAGTTATGAGAATTTGGACATTAATGCAGGTTATACTTGTTTCGCTTAAAACATTAAAAGTTATAAAAAAAAAGAAGAAGGCCTTGCGGAGATGGTGGGTGAAGCCACATATCGTACCGAGAATAAGGAATATTATAGGAGCATTTGCTACAGTATGCCAATATTTACAAATCAATGATCACGAAGAGTTTACAAATCAATTTAAGATGACACCAGGCAATTTTCAAGAGTTGTATACGTTAATTGCTGATCAGTTGCAGAAGCAGTATCATATTAGAGAGCCAATTTCTGCATATATTCGACTGGCTATAACAATACAGTAACTATTTATATACAATTATGTCAAGTATTTTCATCTCATAATAAAAATAAATATTAATTTTTATTAAAATTTCAGTTATTTCGTTCAAGGAGGAAATGCTTTAACTTATTGCGCGCACTACCGAATTGGAAAAGCTACATTTTTTAAAATCATACACGAAACGTGCTACGTTATTACTTCAGTTCTGCTGCCAATTTACGTGAAATTTCCCAACGAACGGGATTGGTTACGTATTGCCCAGGAATTTGAAGACAGATGGAATTTTCCGAATTGTGTTGGAGCTCTAGACGGGAAGCACATGCGAATAAAAAGACCAGCTCATGCTGGAAGTGTTTTTTATAACTACAAAAAATTTCATAGTTTAGTTTTGATAGCAATCAGCGATGCACAAAGTAGATTTGTTTGGTTCACCCTTGGTGATGGTGGTAAGAATAAATTTTTTAAAACAATAAAGACAGAGTAATTTAATTAATTTATATGTAATAATTTCTTTATGTTGTAGGTTCGTTCAGCGACTCCAGTGTCTTTCAAAATACTAATTTTTATAACAAAATTTTGAACAATGAATTGAACTTACCTGCTCCAACAAAGTTGCCTAACAGTGACAGCTCATCACCTTTCGTAATAGTCGCTGACGAGATTTTTGGTTTGGGATTTAACTTGATGAAACCGTACAATAGAAGATTGCTGCAGTCAAATCAAGAAAGAATTTTTAATTATAGATTGAGCCGAGCCAGATTCACTATAGAACGTGCATTTGGAATACTTTGTGCAAAATTTCAGTTATTGAATAGTGCTTTAGCTCATAATTTAGATAAGAATAAATTAATTATAAGCGCTTGTTTAGTGTTACATAATTTTTTAATTACGAAAAATGTAATCAACGTTGATGACGATTTTAGACACTTAGATAGGCAAATTAATCAGAATGTTATGCGAAACCCTATTTTTATTCGGCAAAACTTGGCAGAATATTTCAGCAATGAGGGAGCTGTTCCCTGGCAAAATAATTATATTTAAAGATAAATAATCTATATTAACAAAATAGAAATAAGAAGGCAGTTTTTATAAAGAAATAAATTCCGATTGATTCTGATCGATTGACTCCTCCATATTGTGTAGAAACTTGAAAAAAACAAAAAAACAAATGGTATATTAGTTTTAAGTATTTAGTAACAAATACATTAGTCTTAATTTTAGATATTTATGAAAATGAATGCGTAGCAAAGCAGTTCCGATAACCTCAAATTGACAATAGTTCTTCGATTCAATTTGCCATAAATAAAAAATGAGTGGAAACACTGAAAAAGATATACTACTTGATGAAGTTATCATACAAATCGTGAAACCAAATAATTTTATTTACGATAAGTCGAATGATAAATACTATACTGAATTTAGATCGCAACGAACACAAGTTTTCGAAACTATTTCCCAAGCGATTTATCAACTATACGAAGTGCACATTACAGGTGAAATTCATACACTATAAATCTTTATTTTAAATAAAAAAATATATATATGTATATATAATATTCATTAATCAATAATAGAAAAAGAGATTGAAGCGACATGGCTGTATTTAGTAAAAAAATTCAAAGGAGAAAAAGCAAAAAAACGCAAATACCAGCCATCTGGATCAGAAAGAAAACCCGAAGTGACCTGGGAATTGTATAATGAGATGTGTTGGCTTGATCCATATCTGAGTCATGAACCGCAAATTTCTTCAGACGATGTGGAGTTTATAACAAAATCAGAAATCACCGATAAATTTTGTCGGAAACGAAAAGTAGATGATGGCGATGACTTACAAAAAGCCATTGATGAAAGCGTAAAATTGATGAAAATAATACAAAATAATGTAGCAACTACGAAGACTGATCGAATGCCAGAAAGTATTCTTTAATAATGAATAACCTATCTGTGAAAAATGTTTTACATTCAAAGCCATTTGAAGAAGAAAAACTTAACGTGAAAATGAAATTCACCATTCAGTACATCATGCAAAATGATTTTCGTCGCTACGTACCAGTAGCTTTTCGTGTTGTCAATCTCAATTTGGAAAATATGAGAAGTCATAATTTCATTCTGTGGTTTTCCAACGAGAATGAAGGTATAATTGACATTGACATCAATATGATGAGCCATAGATTAGTATTAAAAAAGATAATGCAAGAAATTAATACAATTAGAGGAAGCACATGTAGTCCTGGGCACGATTGAGGACGATAATCGCATATCAAATAATGCTACAATAAATAGATGGTCTTTGCATCAAAGCAATTGATACCGCAGTCTGTGGCCAACTCACCTGAATGTAATCAATCATTAAAATAATAAAACTCGACGGTAGTCTCGGTGAAGGAGGAGGTCAAGTGCTACGAATTTCATTATGTTTGAGTGCACTCTATAAAATTCCTATTGAGATTAGCAACATAAGAGCAGGTCGTCCAAAACCAGGTTTGTCAGCTCAGCATCTTGAAGGAGTCAAATTTTTAAAAGAAATGTGTAACGCTGAAGTGCATGGAGCTGCAATAGGCTCAACCTGCTTAACTTTCATACCAAGAGACCTTTCTTAATAAAAAACAAGAATTTATAGTAGACACCAGAACAGCTGGATGTATTGGTTTGCTCATTCAAGTTACTTTACCTTGTGCTCTATTTTCATCTAGGGCAGCAACTTATATTCTCAAAGGAGGAACTAATGTACCTTTTGGCCCTCATATAGAGTATTTAAGTATGTTTTTAGACCTCTGTTGAACAGATTTGGTGGAAACTTTGAGCTTGATGTTTATAAGAAAAGGATATTATCCTCAAGGAGGTGGAGAAGTTCATATGCGTGTAAATGCCATTCAGATTTATCTTTTTTGTAAAGGTGTATAGTTAAAGGTTTTCCAAATAGTAACTAATAAATATAACTTATTCTGAATTGAATGGTTTTTTAAAGAAAAATTAATCGTTTTTATTATATACGTTCTTTATAATATTTAAATATTTTTTTATATTGTAATACGGTTTATGTCAGGATCTTTCAAACATGAAACTACTAATAATCAATATAAATGAGTTGAGAAAATAAATATATTAAAGAAATAAGAGCAGTTAGTCTTTATTTTTAATATTTATTCTTCATTAGATATCATAAACTTATCCATAATAGTTAATATCCCATTAACACATTCCAACACATGGGTTGATGGGACATACTGCAAACTTTGCTGTATACATAGTACAAAATTATCTTTAATCTCTTCATTATCACTATCCTTCATTAAAATGTTTATATTTTCCATAGCTGTACTTGTATTTTTTAAAACTTTCATTTCTAATTCTTCGAGATGAGTTTTCTTATTAAAGTAACATTGGCTTACTGGTGGAATGATTTTATCATTCTTTTCACTACATACTTCAATATCTTGAGTTTTTGATGTTGACGGCTCATCACTTTCTGTTGATCCCAAACACTGGTATTTTTTCATGACGTGAGGGATGAGAAATTGAAGTTCATTGTATAAGTAGTACTTGCTTAAATGAGGTTTGTTAAATTTTCTAACAAAAGTCCTTCTTATATTTTCCCATTCCTTTCTTACAATAGCACCTAAAACAAAAGTAAATGCAGTTAATGTATTTTCACTCTCTGTATATAAAAAAATACTATAATAATATAAATGATAACTTACCAGTCAATAGGACATTTAACTCTTTGTCAGAATTAATTTTAGCAGCTATTTCATTGAAAGCCTTATCTTTGACTTTTATTAAATAATAGTTTTCATGTGTTTTATCATACAAACATGAATAATTTTTCAAATAAACACAAATTTTTTTATCGAGATTTATATTTCTTCCAAAAGACTCCTCCATATTGTGTAGAAACTTGAAAAAAACAAAAAAACAAATGGTATATTAGTTTTAAGTATTTAGTAACAAATACATTAGTTTTAATTTTAGATATTTATGAAAATGAATGTGCAGCAAAGCAGGTCGGATAACCTCAAATTCAGGTGTAGCACAACACTCAATGTACGTTGTACGAGGTGAAAATGGATGTATATCCTTATTCAAAATTAAATGCGTAGCAAAGCAGTTCCGATAACCTCAAATTGACAATAGTTCTTCGATTGAATTTGCCATAAATAAAAAATGAGTGGAAACACTGAAAAAGATATACTACTTGATGAAGTTATCATACAAATGGTGAAACCAAACAATTTTATTTACGATAAGTCGAATGACAAATATTATACTGAATTTAGATCGCAACGAACACAAGTTTTCGAAACTATTTCCCAAGCGATTTATCAACTATACGAAGTGCACATTACAGGTGAAATTCATACACTATAAATCTTTATTTTAAATAAAAAAATATATATATGTATATATAATATTCATTAATCAATAATAGAAAAAGAGATTGAAGCGAGATGGTTCTATTTAGTAAAAAAATTCAAAGGAGAAAAAGCAAAAAAACGCAAATACCAGCCATCTGGATCAGAAAGAAAACCCGAAGTGACCTGGGAATTGTATAATGAGATGAGTTGGCTTGATCCATATCTGAGTCATGAACTACAAATTTCTTCAGACGACGTGGAGTTTATAACAAAATCTGAAATCACCAATAAATTTTGTCGGAAACGAAAAGTAGATGATGGCGATGACTTACAAAAAACCATTGATGAAAGCGTAAAATTGATGAAAATAATACAAAATAATGTAGCAACTACCACGACTGATCGAATGCCAGAAATTGAACCATTTTTAAAATTAATTGCATCTGGTTACAGTAAAATACCAGAATCAAGAAAATACCAATGTACGAAGGAAATAATTTTGTACATTGTAGAATTTAAGAAAAATATTGAATAAAAAAACGTGCATTTATAACCTTTAATTCTTATAGTTTTGTTATTTCATTGTTTACATATAAATATATATATATATATATACTATGAAAAACAAAAGGTTTTTTTATTATAAATTTTTAATAATGCTCACCATGTTGTAGGTGTATGTTCCATGCATGTGGTACAGCAACTTTTTGTAGACGTTACCTTTTGGATTATTGAACATATTATTTGATGTGATCCTTTCCATTTTCAGTACTGTGGAACTGGAACAATTTGTCTCTACCTATACTAAGTACCCATTCACAGCTCAAAGAAAAAACTACTGCAGCAACTCTTGCTTGATGAGCCATGTATTCTCGAATGGCTGTCATACGATTGTAATCGCTTTCCAATAAAAACTCCTACAAAACCAAAAATTCGTTTGATTCACAATTTTTGAAAAAATTATAAATGAATTTGATCTTGATAAATACATTTATACTACCATTATCTAATCCAACAAACAGCTGTCTGGTTTCAGGACAAAAATCAAGAGAGATTGGTGCTGCAACCATGTACATGCATACGCTTGGCCAGTATTGTCCTGAGTCACGTTTCAACCAAACTCTGACAGTTCTGCAATAGTAATTAGAAAATTTATTCATAACTAAAATACAGCAAAACATTGCTTAAAGGCCAGATAGATAAAGCAATCAGTCTGAATCATCCTATCTAAGAACTTGCAGATAAAGAAAGATTGTTCAGGTGTCATACAATTATTATTTACTTATAACAAAAAGCTTGCTGTTTTACCTATAATTTAATTAAATTATATATTACATGAAAAAATAGGAGTAAAAAATATGTACAATGCAAAAAATAGTCTGAAAAAAGTCTAACAAAAGATGCAAGTGACTGTACGATTGCTATTTGCATTATAAACAATGAGTCCAATAAGAGTCGAGCTAGAAGCATGCGATGTAAATAAATTAATCGTATATACATCATATAGATATGCATCGAGTATCAGAAGCATTGCAAACACAATAGAAAAGTGAGTCTGACCTGTCGTCGCAGACGCTGATGACGCCGTCAACCCTGGGAATGATAACGGCGGCATTGACGTCGTCATTGCAACCTTCGAGCTTCGACAGAAGTATAGGCTTCTTGGAGCTGAACTTGTCCTGGTTCATCCCGGGCGCGGGCTTGATTTCGGCTGCCATTGTGATTCTCTCACCTACCACCTGCCCTCAGCTACTACTGCTACTACAACTACTACTGCTGCTGCTGCTACTACTTATCATTTGACAGTTGACGGATTTCGAAAGCCTAACTCTTCGTGCATATGACTCTAAAAAGGGATTATGAAACTTGCAATTTTATGAAAATAAAAGTAGGAATTATTTACGAATTATTATTAATTACGAACTTACCGAATGAAAATTGGAGCAGGAACATGGAGGATAGCCAGAGCATAGAGACAGCCAGACAGGAAACTTCAAACCACGGGTACTGCCACTCCATAGATGCGTTTCTCGCATTCACTATGAAACTCGCCATTGAACACGAAATTATAGAGATGGCGTGCCCATAAAAAATCTCGGCCGGCTCGGACAGGCCCTATGGAGACAGACCCTGACAGGATGCCGATGAGTCAAATAAGTAATGGGTATGCGAAAAAGCACTCACTTCTCACTAGCAGCAACTACATTACCGCCGCTACTGCCGCTACGAATCTAACCTCAACATTTGAGAAATATAGCGTGTCGCATGCGATCGACGATAAACATAACATTTATATTCGCTATTGGCTTGCTGCTATTCTTGTAAAGTAAAATATGTACCATATTCAATTAACTAATTTTTAAAAAGATTATAGCATTATCAAAGACATTTAAAGCCGTTGATTAATTTTTTAACACAAGAAAAAAATAAAAAAACGTCTTCCACGGTAGGTTATACAACAATCTGAAATGTTCAACTTTTTCTAAAATTATTAGTGCAGTTTCTGTATTTACATCATTTTATACTGCTTTTTAAGATGGAGCCGGGTTTCCCGGAGGAGCATTCCAATTGGGAAGACAATATGAATCGAGGAGATGATATCAGTGGTGAGGATCCTTCTGACAATCCTCAACAGGTTCTCAAAGACTGTCTCGACAGATTCAAAACACCTGATTATATTATGGAGCCTGGTATCTTTACACAACTCAAAAGGTTTACATCATTTTTAGTTTAACCTACAATTAAAGAACGTGATTTGATTTTATTATTTGTAACAGATACTTCCAAGCTGGTGGCAACCCAGAAACAGTTATCGAATTGTTATCGCAAAACTATACAGCATGCGCTCAAATGGCAAACTTGCTGGCAGAATGGTTAATTCTTGCTGGAGTAAAAGTAACAGAAGTACAGGCAATGGTAGAAAATAATTTAAAAGACATGATTCTAAAGAATTTTGATCCTAAGAAAGCTGATAAAATTTTCACTGAGGAGGGAGAGGTATGTTATTCCCATTAAAGCTGCATAACATCCAAAGAAATTTTGTCTAATTGTTATGTGATTTCAGACACCAGCATGGTTGACAGAGATGATTCAGCATCCTACTTGGAGATCGCTTATTTACAGACTTGCTGAAGAATATCCTGATTGTCTGATGTTAAATTTTACCATAAAGGTAATACTGTGTTTTGTACTCATTTTAAAAATGAAAAATCAACTGAACATTGTTCAAGTTTATTAAAATGTTTTTATTTTAATATTTTTAAAGCTCATTTCTGATGCTGGATTCCAAGGAGAAATCACAAGCATTTCAACGGCTGCTCAACAAATTGAAGTATTCTCTCGCGTCTTGAAAACTGCTATTGCTAGCTTCCTTAGAAATACTGAAAACTGGCAGCAGAGTATTCAAGAGTGTGCTGTTAGTAGAACTTCTCTTACTTACACCAAGTTAAATGTTCAATTTTACTAATAAATTTACTTTCAGAAAATGGTATGTCATGGACAGCACACATATGTTTATAGTCAAGTGTTACTTCATATTCTGGCTCAAGAACCGAAAGGTGGATATATGATGAAAAGATTATCGCAGGAAATTACCAAGTGTGCTCAGCAAAAGTAATTTTACTCTGTCAATTTTAGAATTTATAAAATCATATTTGAAACATTATTACACAAAAATTTTATAATTATTTTAGTCGACATGATGTTACACCAATAACAATGGCACTCAATGGAACTACAAATAGTCCTGTGGCTTGTCAAGCTTTGGCATCTATGTTATCAAAAAATACATTGAATCCAGCAGATATAACAGTTTTATACAAAAATTACTCAGCGGAACAGCCACCTCCTGTAGAACTTATAAGAAACCCACAATTCTTAGGTATATAAAATGTTTAGTAAAATCAATTATTCAAAGATAAAATGAAATCAATGAAAATTATGTTTTATAGAACTTTTAGTTGACACTTTATTCAAACCAGGAGTTAAAATTAATGTTGACCACAAATCAAAATATATTTACTTATTGGCATATGCAGCTAGTGTATATGAAACATTAATTAGAAAAGGAGGGCAAAGAAAAATTCATAAAGATGAATTGCAGCCTACAATACAATCTATTGAGAAGGTTCATAATACATGCAATACCAATAAAGGATCTACTGAACTTATAGCTGAAGTAAACAATTTATATTCATGTATACGGTGAGTTCAAATTATCTTAAACAGATTTTTAATTTCTACTTCTATAAAGTAAACGAAAACTAAACTTTCTGTTTATTAGTTTTCCAGTTGTTAGCGTAGGAGTAATAAGATGGGTAGAGTGTACAGTAACAGAACCATCATATTTCAAATTGTGTACAGAACACTGTCCTATACATTTAGCATTGCTTGATGAAGTTGTTTCATGCCATAATTTACTGCATCCTAAAGTTCTCAAGCTTCTGATACAATTATTTGAAAGCAAACAGGATGAGCTGGAAATTTTAGTGCAGTTAGAAATGAAAAAAATGTTAATTGATAGAATGGTGAATTTGCTGAGTAAAGGTTGTGTGGTGCCAGTAGTTTCATATATTAAACAGTGTTGGCAGAGAGGGGACACTGACATATCGTTAATTAGATACTTTGTAACAGAGGTAAATTTTAACCTAAATACTCAATCATTTTTAATTTCAACAAAAATAAATGTAATCATAATTATTAAAACGACCTATAGGTGTTGGAAGCAATTGAACCTCCATATTCAGGAGAATTTGTTCAACTCTTTTTACCAATGGTAGAGAATGAAGAGATAACTGGTACCATGAGAGGAGATGGCGATAATGATTTAGTATCTGAATTCATAAGTACATATAAATTTTAATTCTACTTTTTTAAATTAACAATTCAAAATTTTTTTATTTATGAATTAATCTCATTACAGTATATTGCAAAGCTCAAGCTCCAGTGAGATAATCCAGGGAATATTTTTGAACATTATCAAAAAAGTACAAATAAAGGATATTTTAATATTTTATTGAAAAACAAAATAATTGGACTTTCCAACAGTTGAATGGATATTCTTTGAACATTCTGAAAAGCTATTTATTGATGGTCTCCATTCATCTAGGGTTCTGTAACAAGTAAAACAAAACCAAAAGAAATTGTTAGTGGTGCTCATTTATATTTGTATAAGAGAAAAATTTGGTTACAAGACTGACAAGGTACTGTTACAGCTAATGTCAGAGTAAAATTAGTAAGAAAACTAATTTTAAGATGTAAATATTTTTAATAAAATTCAATTTTGTAACTTATATATCCTATTATTGTTAGTAGTGTTATATGGATTTAAAACAAACCAAAAAGTATTATAGCCATAAAAACTTGAAATAAATTTCAAATAGAAAATTTCACTCAAAAAGCATATTAAGTATTATTATATTATTTAGGTAAATTAAATATTTCACTCTGTTTCTGCAATAAAAACTTACTCAACCCTACTTATCTATCTCAACTTTGAACTTTACGACTTTTCACCTGCAATAGTAATTTATGTAAATTTATGGTAATTTATTTGTGAATACATCTCTCTCCCAATTAATCGATTTAGTTAATAATATCAAAAATATAATTGATAATTGGAAATGTATACGCACTGGCTGGTTTGCCATCCTTCCACTGGGTGAACTTAACATTGATTTCATCTCGTTTGGCAGCATCAAGCTTTGCATCGCCTTTGAGAACTTGCCGAACCAACCTAGCAGCAATCTGAGAGTAGTTGATGTAACTAAAATAATCGAAGATTCCCATAAATTATACATTCAAGCAAGATGGTTATTAAAATTAAGTCAGTTATCAAGTATTATCAATGTTATTGTTACATAACCACTAACACACTTGTAAATCAAAAATAAATTCTTTAAATTCTTTTGATTATTCAATATAACGTCAGTGCTAGGACAAACATACTGCATTGAAAAGTAATTCTAAAAAAATCTTACTTCAAACCCGCTTGCCTCCACGCCGACATCGTTAGCTTTCTTTATTATCTTTATACGAAAGTGGATCGAAGAAAAAGGTTATATTCGTACTCTACTAAGCTGCTTCGGTCGCCCAGCATGTGTAGGCGAATGTGGATCGATTTTCAACAACGGAAGTAGCGCCCTCATTTTGGAACGCGCGTATTTTCAAATGAGTTTCTGGTTTTTAAATACCTCATCGCACTGCCAAACATTGCCACTGTTATTTGTCTGATATCTGAACGCGATGTTATTGATTATTAATTGCTCTACACTTATTTTAATCACATCGAAACTCTTATCTGAATCTGTTGTTTAATAATGATTAAATCTCAAAATACATAAGAAAATACATTGTTGGTTATGATAATATAATTTTGACTTTATTTGAAAATGACAGCGGTCGTAAATCATTCGAGCGTTTTTAATTATTGAGAGTTCTCAACTTTTTTTAAACACATAATGTAATATATACTCTGAAAAATCATCAATTTAGGCTCTGCCTGTAAACTTTTCCACGCTTACCAAAAATCACAACGTTTCAGCTGACATAGTCACTGCTAAGATGGCACATCGTATTCGGTCATCACAATTGTGTCAACTGTGAAGTACTCTTTGATAAAATAAATCATAGCAGGGGAACTACAATTTGATCAATCGAGATTCTGGATAATCACCAGCGATAATGGTAATTTTTACTTTCCAGCGAAATTCCGCAGCTGCAAATCTTTCGCGAATGCAAAATAATTCTGAAATGGAAAGTTTTGTGAAATATATAATATGCGCTCACCTTGTTAAAACAAGTTAATAACGTCGCAAATGTTTTCATTCGCGCATCCAAGTGCTTCGATGTTCGTCGTTATCGCTTGGCGATATCCATCGCACGTTTGTACCGCGGATATTAAATAAATGACGGGCGCTAACTGGTGAGAAATAAACTTGTTTCAAGTTGTCATGATGAGATTCGACTTTTCAAAATTTATCGACGTCCGGCGCAAGAACGCGTATTCGCAAAGAGTGCGTGGCCAATCGCAGTGTGGCGATTTGTTTCGGGCAACCACCCGAACGGTCTGTTCGACATTGAAATCTCTGCTCTCGAACGCGCGCTGCAAACGAGCCTCGCTCGTCGTTTCCTCGCGCAAGAGGAGAGCGCATCGCGAGGACGATCCACCCGTCGGCGCCGTCGAACTTGAACCGTGCAGCGCGTCAATTGCTCGCCCAACGAACTCTAATTGCTCGCGTCGTAGCCAAGAAGCGGGAGAGCGAGACATGAAAAAGCGCAAAGAAGCGCCCGCAGGCAATTTGAAGCGATTGTCGGCGCGAGTACTGGCAGGACGATTGCGCAGGGCAGTTCGATCGGTGCGCAACGGGAAACGCTCGCGGATACGGCCGTACGGACGACTGCGCTATTGACGCGCGAGTCGGTGAGAAAGGGCGGATATACAGGCGGCGTCCGGCGACGAGTGGAGACTCGCCGCGAGAAGCGTATCTACGCGTCGATCGAGACGAGCATACCCGCGGTGCGTGGCTGCCACGGCGAGCGACTTCGCGTCGTGGAACGGTCGTCGCCGTCTCTGGCCGGAAAGAGCGCGATCATCGTGGACTCAATGAAAATAAGCTCGTCGACGCGTACAGCCGTACTCCGTACGGAGTGCGGAGCCGTGAGTACACCTGCGTTCACGTGCGTATAGCTGCTCCCACTCTCTCTCTCCCCTCGCTCTAGTGTCGGAGCGCAGTTGCGCGCGCGACGAAGTCTCAGTCGCCCGCGCCGTTTGATGCCGAGCTGTCGCGCGCGAAACGCAGCTGCGACGACGATGGCGGTGGACGAAACCGACGACGTCGCCGACAAGGTGAGTCCGAGGCGTACACGTGCGCGGCGCGAGCTTTTCTATCGATCGCAGAACCCTTGGCTGCTGCGGCTTTGGAAAAGTCAAGCGCGCGCTCGATAACGACTCGATTGCCGCGGACTAATTTGATGGCTATCTGCCACGGCGATAGGCCGACACCGAATTCCACGGTTGCGAGATAATCGAGCGACATACGATCTTATCGAACGCGTGACCACCGTGGAAGCTCGCTCGACGTTGCTTCGTCAGCGGGGCTCGAGCGATGAAAATATCGCGCGCGCGCACTTACTCTTCTTAGGCGCAAAACCGGTTGGACTGCACTGCGGGTCCCGTTACGAATATTGAGCGTATTTGAAACCGTCGTTTGTTTAGTCTTTGCGCGCGCGCGCGTGTAGTTCAAGCAATTGCACGCTCGAAATTGCAGTCGCGTGGTTTTACAACGTAGCCGTTATCGTTGACGCACGAATTTGCTGAACGAAAAGGAAAAAAAAATTTAATTTCATCTTCCAGAAAATGAAGTACCCCAAGTCGGTGTTCTTCATCATCCTCAATGAATTCTGCGAGAGATTCAGTTTCTATGGCATGAGAGGTGAGTATCTCCTTGAGAGTTATTTTGAAGGGAAATCGCCAATGACACTTTCACATAGTGTTGCCATCGGTGCTTGGTTGTAAGCTCAATTCTCAAGCGAGCTTATGTTTTTATCGAAGGCGTTTATTTACGTACAACCAGAGACTATTTACAGCAGTTCTATTTTTTTAGCATCAACAATTGAAAGGTAACTATTCCAGGTCACTGCACCTCTTTCAATGTGCTTTTAATGTGCTCGACTGTATTGCGCACGTTTAAAGTCACAATGGCACATTGGATACCAATGACAGAAAACGGCAACGAAAAAAAAATGATAGAATTACTAGGCTTATCTGCTTGGAAAAACGAGCGTGTCGTGTGATTATACATGCAACGTTATCGCCTGAGCAAGTGCCCTCCTCAGTTTCCGGAGATTACAGTTTTGCAGTGCGCGCGATAATAACAATCACTGCGAAATCATTGAAACAATTTCACTGGGCAAACGCTTGCCGAGGCATCCGCCGTCGCCGGCCACTTACGAAGCAAACTCGCACGCGGTAAATTGCGAAAGTCGCGTAACAATTGCAACGCTCTACGAGTGCGCGCAGCCCGTAAACAGATCATGGATTCGCGCGAGAGCGCAATCACCCTGAGAAACGTTGACCGATTCCCGCCTGTCGCGAGTCGTCCGGGCGCGAAGGGCGCGGTGGCCGACTTTCGTTGGGCTCGTCGTCGAGCAGAGCAATCCGACGCGGCTGTCGTTCACGCGCGCATACCACGGCCAAAGCAGCGGATCGCATCCCGATAACCATGATAACGAGACGAGCCTGAGCTATTTCAAAATTTGCAGCATGCCTGTCGCACTACTTCAAGGAGATCCTGCTGTACGAGGAGAAGACGGCGACGGTCATGTATCACACGTTCACCATGTTCGCCTTCTTCTTCCCGCTCATCGGCGCGATGATCGCGGACTCGTGGCTCGGCAAGTTTCGCACGATCTTCTACCTCAGCATCGTCTACGCGATCGGCCAGCTGCTGCTCTCGGTCAGCTCCGTGCCGGCGCTTCATCTGCCAGTCAGGTACGTCGCGGTCGCCGTACGACGACTTTCGCCGTGTTTGACACACTTACTCCTCTGCATTGCCGAGTGACTCGACGCTCCGATGCGCGTTTGTTCGATCGAGCGAGATAATCGCGTCATTGTCGAAAGCTTGTTTTTAATTAGGCGCCGACGCGCAACGCGACGGATTAAAAGCCCGATTAATTGCAATTATGGTAATCTCTGTCGTCGCGACTGGGTCAGTTTATTGAAATTATGCTAATGCGATTGAACGCCGTGCGCTCCGGGATTCGATGAGCGACGGATTGTAAATATTATCACCAACATTGCGATTCTTCAAGCGTCATTTGCATTCACATGCCGATTCGCGCCTCGGAGTCTCGCGGATCAAGCTGTGGAAGCTAGCTATCGGTTGACGACGGTAACGTGCTCGGGAAGATTATTCGCACTGAGCGGAACGGCAAAGGATAATGCGAAAGAGCCGACGAAAACATTTATCGAATCTCGAGCGTCTAGGCATCATCGTTCACGCAGTCGAACGAAGAAATAAAAAATGAAAAAAAAAATAAAAAAAAAAAATAAATAACGAGCAACAGGTCACTCGCCGCGTGGTACACAAAAGCGCGAGAGCTCGAGCGTGACACTTTCCCGGTACCGCGCGTTTCGCAACCTCCACATTGCGACAATTGCCACGTCGTCTGCTTGTCCTCGCAGGGCGATCACCATCCTGGGTTTGTTCCTGATAGCCGTGGGCACGGGCGGTATAAAGCCATGCGTGTCGGCCTTCGGCGGCGACCAATTCAAATTGCCCGAGCAGGAGGTCTACCTGACGACGTTCTTCTCCCTGTTCTACCTGGCCATCAACTCGGGCTCTCTGATCTCCACCTTCATCACGCCCATACTGCGCAAGGACGTCCACTGCTTCGACCAAGAATCCTGCTATCCTCTGGCCTTTTTCGTGCCGTCCGTGCTCATGATCTTGTCTATCGGTACGTATATCGGCATTGCTGTTCCGTCTTAGGCAACTCGGCTCTAATTCCCTGCTTTCTCTCGCTCGCACGCTGCTCTCGACAGTCATATTCTTCGCCGGGAAACGGCTGTACAAGGTGAAGCCACCCGAGGGCAACATGGTGCTCAAGGTTGCAAAATGCATCACGGTAAGTGCAGGCTTGCTTAGCGAGCGAGGCCGACGACAACAGGTGAAATCAACGTCCTCGCCGGACGGCCGAAATCGCACTGAGAAAAAGAAAAAAACAAACGCAAAAGAGCTAAGTCGACGCGCGGGCGCATAAATTTATGCCGAACGCTCGCCGTTCGCGACGCGATTGGCGACCCAAGCGAAGCGAGGCTTACGTAAGTTTACGAGTTTGCGCAATCACGCGAACTGTACCTTGCGATGCTCGCGCATTTGGAATGGCAATGTACAGCGATGGTTGCGCGCGGGCAAAGAGGATGTACCTTGAAACCGCCGATGCGATTTCTAGTGCGTGGCTCGTTATTTTTATAGCACGCCGTTGGTCGCAAAATATCATCCAAGTCGAACAAACGCGAGCACTGGCTCGACTACGCAGACGACAAGTACGACGATCGCTTCATCGAAGACATCAAGTCCGTATTCAAGGTTATCAAGCTGTTCCTCCCCTTGCCGTTCTTCTGGGCGCTGTTCGATCAACAAGGTTCGAGATGGACTTTCCAAGCTGATCGCATGAATGGCTACGTGTTTGGCTACGTCATCAAACCCGATCAGTTCCAAGTGGTCAATCCATTGCTGATCGTCCTTTTCATTCCGATCTTCCAATTTGCCATCTATCCGGTAATCGAGAAGTTTTTGTTCATCAATACCCCGCTGAAGAAACTTACTACTGGCGGTATTCTTGCTGGATTGTCGTTCATTATTTCTGCTATTATAGAGTTTCAAATTGAGGTACGTTCATAATTTCTAACCAAGCGTCATTTATAAACTGAATTTTCAACAGTCGAAATTAGCTGTCATTTAGTTCTATTTTTGCAATTAGCAAATAACACCGGCAATCCTCGACCACTGAACTTACATATGTTCGTCAAATCTTACAGTCCATAGACTCTGTGCAACCGTCCAAGGGTTTAACCCAAGTGAGATTTTACAATGTGATGAACTGCAGGGCCGACGTTGAGTTTGGCGAGCTTCGATTTGTGTTGGATGCCTTGGAATCGTATCAAAACCTTCGTATCTCTGTGAATGGAACGAGAGAATTACAGCTACAAGCTACGTTTAAAAACTGCCCAGAACTGCCCGATCCAAATACCATCGGTACATATTTTAGATTAGATCCAATTTAGATATTATTGTCATTACCAATTCTTGGCAAATCCAGTAATTTTCGATTTTTCTCTCAAAGTGAATGAAACACTGACTCTGATAGAAGAGAGAGCAATGTCATGGGGTTTCACGAAAACGGGTCTGGAGAAAGTGTCCGCGTCGGATTCCGTCCATAAGTCGCAATCAGGAGAGCCCAACGTGAGAGCACTGATCTATCGAGACTCGAGCATCACGGGCAACTTGTTGAGATTCATTGGCAAGAAAAAGGACTTTGAGCTGAAGCTGCCGAAAGACTTCAATACTAGCGACTATGTGATTATCGAACACGAGAAATACAACGTTACCTTCGATGACCAGCTCATCGCCGACAACGTGGATTTCGAATACGGCGCTGCCTACACCATCGTCGGTAGTATCACGAAAGATCGCAAGGATCTCAGATTTGTCATGGACGCCGAACCGGATCTCGTTCATATGTTCTGGCTGCTGCCGCAGTACATTGTCATCACTATGGGCGAAATCATGTTCTCCATCACGGGTCTGGAGTTTGCATTCACGCAGGCGCCGGTCAGCATGAAGTCACTACTTCAGGCATGCTGGCTGTTGACCGTCGCCGCGGGCAATCTCATTGTGGTCATCATTGCCGAGTCGCAATTCTTTAATAGACAGGTGAGCAAAGGCAGCGCTTCTTTCTCTTCTCCGAGTTGTTCATTCAAAATACCGTGATACATCTTTTGAGCATTCATTTTCCATGATAACTTTGAATTACAATGCCAGTTCGTTCATTAATGCTTAGGACCGAAAGTTAACGACTGAAAATATTGAGTAGGTTTTTAAATGTAATCCCAAATTCGATCGAACTGGTAATCTTTCCACCGGTACTAAGCGTTCTATTATAGCTTTAGCATGATCGAATTATCGCAAACTAAACACGTTAATCGATCATTCGCAAGCAAACGTCACTGATTAGAATGACTGCGATTGACATTTGTTTTTCTGCTCAGGTCTACGAATTCTTCCTGTTCGCCGGACTGATGTTCGCCGACATGTTCATATTCGCGATTATGGCCAAATTCTACGAGTACGTGGATGTGTCTTCGAGCGACGACAATTCCATCGACGACGACGACGACGACGACGTCGAAGATACCGAATTGAAGAAGAGAGCAGTGCACGATAGTAACTCGGCCGATCTTTGATTTGATGAAAAAAAAACAAAACAAAAGAAAGATTATACGTTGTGAATGTTCATTTACGACCGTGATAAAAAAAATCAAACCGGATTTTCGTGGTATAGCTACCAAACGACGTTTAGATTTTGAACAATGGAGATTATGCATTTCTTTCTCGCCGATCGTCGCATTTAATCACGCGCGATTTCAGACTGTCGACGGCGAGAGATGCAATTTCGACAGCTGTCACTGAACCCTTAAACGATGCGACCGCTGCGTCTTTTACCAGCTGCGCTGAAAAAAGAACACGACGCTCCATCCCGGTGATTAAGACAATGGGTTCGCTTCTGCTGCCGCTGAATTGTTCGATCAATTTGTTATCTCGTTCCTCGTTATTTCTTTTCCTGTTTTTTTTTGTTATTATTATGAAGTGCTTGCTGGATAAAATGTTATTTGTGCAAATGCAGCTGAATCGTTGTAAAAAAAAGAAGCATTTAAAAGAAAAAAAAGAGACGATATTTTCTATACGTGTATCACAGTGTATTACAACAATGCTGCACGCGAGCGATTCGAGAGTCAATCGTCTCGTGATGTGCTTTCATGTAGGATCAAATAATGAATACAATTCAGTTAGGATCTATATTATATCTCAATTTTATTGACACTTTTGTTCTTTGGCGCAAAAAATATCGACAAACTCCTCTTCTGCTTCTCACTTAAAATTTTTCCCATTTGCGCATTTCGCCCCGCCTGATAAAGTGAATAATGGTAATTCATCGACCGGAGCAAAGAAAAGAGAGATCTTTCGAAATGAGTCTCCGCTCGCAAGGAACCCCCCTCCCCCCAAGTAACACATTCCGCGCACAACGACGAGTTGTTTATTATATTTATATCACGAGGACTTGTCGGCGCAATTATTGCAAAACTACAACGGCTGACAATTTCAATTGGCTGAAGGTTCGTTTCGTATGCAGGTGTGTGCGTGTATGTGTTTATTGTTTACTTGTTGCTCTCTCTCTCACTCTCTCTCTCTCTCTCTCTCTCTCTCTCTTCATTATACATATCGTATAGAGTCTCACCAACTTTGTATTTTGTTGCCGCCACCATTCGCATCGCTTTATATATCTTACGAAGATTATAACCTAGTTTGTGATAAGCGTTATTATCAATAATGTTATCGCGAGAAAACGTTTTTATTAGCCGATTACAAGCTATATGCGCGAGTCTCTCCGTGCGTGTACGTGAGTCTGTGTGTTTGTATGTGTGTTTGCGCGGCAGTAATTGCCGTTGTCGTCGTCGGATTTATTTCGTATAATATACATTTCGGAACAAAAACGATTCGCATTTGGAGCGAGCAATAAAGAGAAAGAAAAATATTCAAGTTTGCTTAGTGGTTGTTTTTTCTTTTTTTCTGGTTTTTATATATAATATACACCTCGGTGCTTTTCTGTCGGTTCGACAGTCTTCACACCTTATTCCAAAATATCGTAAATATAAAATACGCAATAGCTTTTTGACACATATTTAGTAAATTTAGAAGACTACGAGTAACCCTGTTTTCTTATTTATCATTTATTAACAAATGCATTTGACTAAAAACTTATCTAAATAATGCAGTTCTTCGATTTACAGATAAATCTTATTTACTTATTTATTTTTCGAGGAAGCTTCAAGTTTCCGACAGGATCGAGTTTTGAATGATCAAATCAATGTCGCGCGTCGTTCTCGACGTACACTCTAACGATACCGATCGCCTCCGACAATCTTTAAAAGATTTTCAATTCCTATATATTCTTTTCCATCCGAAATTTATGGCTTTTAACATGGTAATCAGAGAAAACTTTTAAACAAGCGGTACAGCGCGGCAAACAAAAATGGCACAATAGTAGAGAAACGATACTACTACAAAAGCTTCGGTATTCACATTATTATTTATATTGTAAATTCAATTAAAATTGCATGTGCTCGCAGTCTTATGATTCCCTTTTGCATTCAAATGATCATTCAATAACCGGGCATTGTCGTCCGTGTATATATATATATATACATATATATCAGTTCTCTCAATAAACCATACAGCAAGCTACGAGTTATACGCACGAAATACAAAGCGGTTTCAGAACGAGAGAAATGTAGAGCGTATGTAAGAATCGAAAGGAGACAAAAGAGATGGAACGAGGAAAACAAAACGGCTGCGCTCGCGGAAAACAAGAGCGAAATACTTATCGAAACATCACATGTACAGCTTAGGAGCAATTGTTTCATATTGTTTTTACGCAATCGTACATACGTGGAAGTCCATCTTTTTTCTCTTTTTTTTTTACTTTTTTTATTCTTTTTTTTTTGGCTTATTCGTCATTTATTATAATATATACTTTTACATATTCTTTGGTCATCTAGCCGCATATCTTCAGTTTTAATTCGCGAACGAGCTACGTTCCTACTGTTAGCACTCTCGAACGAAGGAGGAGAGAAAGTTGCAAAACGATAATGATAACGGTACGTAATTGCACGAGCAGTCGAGCTGAAAAGGAAGAGGAATCGAGGCTGCTTGCACTCTTTTTTTTTCTTTTTTCTATTTTTTCTTTCGCGTGTACGCTTTGCAAGGGTATCGGAGCAGAAGTGTCTGGCATCGGCAGGTACGTTTATGCGCGAGCCGTCGCACGTGCGATGACGATGATCATGTTCTTGTAGACAGTTTGTGAGCCTCTCTTCTCTAATATGATACAGTGGTGCGCCTTTTTTCCCTTTTTTCTTTGCGGCAAGCTCAGCCGAGGAGTTGCCTTCGTCGAGAGCTCATTTGCGCTTTATTTACAATTGCGACGCGGCGGCTGGTAACTCTGCTCGATCTCCTTACAGTGCTACGCCAATGTTTGCGCCAACCGAGCAACTACGTAACTTTCTTGAGATCGCTGCAGATTCGGATGGCCTTAACGGACAAGATCGCTTATTATTAAATATTGCACGTGTGTATCTGTGAATTGGAGCAATCGTTGAGGTTAAATTTAGATGAGCTGGCATTTTCTTTTTCTTTTCTTTCTTTTTTGTTCTTTTTAAGAGCCAATCGCCGAATGAATTATTTTCACCTCGAAAATACACAGCTAAGTTCGGGCTCGACGTGTTGCAAGACTTGGAAGGAAACAGCAGCCCGACCAGATCGTCGCAGTCGATAAACCCAACCCACCAATCAAGAATCGCTTAATCGGCATGTAGTATTTTCGGAAAGCAAGAGAAAAAGGAAGCATGTCGACCTCTCCCTGCCCACGCCGATATCGCGCAAACTTGCGCAGTTTAGGAAAGAAAAGCGGCTCTCAGCACGTGCTTGCGCGTGTGTGTGCATGCGTTTGTGTGTGTGTGTGTATGTATGTGTGAGTGAGCGAGTGAGGCAGGAAATCGGTTAAAATCACAGTCGCGGGACTCTCGCGTGTATCGCCCCCAATTCTCGCATTATTATTTTTGTATTCGGGCTCCTCTCGACGTACAAGCTGCGTCCGAAAAAGCCCGGGTCGCGCGTGCCGCATAGAAAACAGCGACCGCTGCCCGCTCGCCTATCGACCACGAGAGCAGTCGTCGGCGTCCCGCGCAATTGTACAAAGTCCCGAGTTAAATGCAGATCTCGTCCTAAGCTTGCACACACGTCACGGAGCTGGTTAGCTGTTGGGCGGCTCCTCGTCTTTGACCTCCTCGACCTTGTCGGTGGCGACGTCCTCGTCGACCTCGTCGTCCTCGTCGTCGGCGTCGTTCTTGCCGAGGGCTTCGGACGACGTTGCTGCTGCTGCTGCTGCTGCTGCTGCTGCTGTTGTTGTTGTCACTGCCACTACTGCTGCTGCCGGCGGCGACGAGGCCTGCGAGCACAGAACAGAGCCGCAGTTGAGATAACGCGCGTCGGCGTGTTCGTGTGCGGGAGCGTTATGCGGCATGCGCGGCGTTAGTCATTGACCGCTAGAGTGGCGCGTTGCCAGCGCATCGCCACTGCAGTATCCTTTTCAATTTAAAAACGCCCCGATTAACGGCCAATGAGTTAGATCGAGCCGCGGCCAGAGCTTTTCGATTGCCCTTTTCGTTCTTTTTACTTGCTCTCGGTTGCCGAGGACGAGTTTTGACTCTCTCTCTCTCTCTCTCTCTCTCTCTCTCTCTCTCTCTCTCTCTCTCTCTCTCTCTCTCTCTCTCTCTCTCTCTCTCTCTCTCTCTCTCTCTCTCTCTCTCTCTCTCTCTCTCTCTCTCTCTTTTCCTGATTCGAGCGGAGGGATGAAGCTTCTATTTGGGACGCTCGCGACGACGACTTTTCTGCGGCGCGCGTTTGTTCTGCTCCAGTTCGACTGTAATCGAAAGAGACTTTTCCGGTATTGCTATCGTTCGCCGAGAGCGGCAAGTTTTCAGTTCAGAGCTTCTTTCGCTCGGCACTATCAGACCAGACTACCCGATGACGTTTCTCGGTTGATCGACATCGACTTCGCGGCTGAACTTAGCGCCATTCCCCTGCGCCGTCTCTCTCTCTCTCTCTCTCTCTCTCTTTCTTTCTCGTTCGCAGCAAGAGTGCAAATTAGCGGCCGGTTGGAAACTTCGTTTTTGGCGCAAACGAGATGTCTCGCGACGGGGCAACAATTGCCGCGAGTCGTCGCGGAAGTGGCAGCGGGCGCGAGAAAGCTCGCGATCGAGAGCGCCTCCAAGCAGGCGGTTACGTAACGACTCGACGCGGCACGCGAAAGGGGAATCGATCGATTCCGGGGGCGAAATCAAGCGCGGATACTTCCGCGAGCACTCACCGCAGTCTCGTCCTCCGTGTCGTCCATTATCCTGGGCTGGAGCCTGGCAAGTTCGGCGGGCGAGGCGAGATTGCGGTTGCCGCTGCCGTTGCTGTCGGGCACCGAATTGCCACCGTCGCTCACCAGCAGCGAGTTGTTCGAGTCCGAGCTCGCCTCGATCTCCTTCGACGACGACTTGGACGACGACGACTTGGACTTCGGCGTGGTCGTCTGGTTCTTGTGCTCGGCCGCCTCGGCGTTGCTTATGTTGTCCTGCTTCTTCCACTTGGTGCGACGGTTTTGAAACCAAATCTTCACCTGTCGACAAACACCATTCTCTTATTTTCGCTTCGATTAACCTGCCTCGACGGCGACGTGCGCTTTAATGCAAAGCGCAGACCCGCGCTACAGTTTCATCAGCGCGATCGCTCGACATTCGCGAGCCATCGATATTTTGTTTCGACCGACCAATCATGCGAAATTGACGTTTGATTAATCTCGACAAACACTCATTCATAACGTTTATCCCATTAAATAAAAATTAGTTCGACACACTTTACAAAGGAAGCCTGGCACGTGCCACTATTTGTCGTTTCGCTTAATCATTCGAAATCGCTACCTATCATTCGTGTCCGAATTTCAAATATTCAATACGCGACATTCCCCGCGAGAGTTTAATGAAAAAATAAAAGAGCGCGGCGAAAAAGATTTACAAGTCGTGGAATATGAAACGTGGAAAATCTGTTAAATATAAAAAAAAGCACGACAAGCTCATCGGATCGTTTTAATTGAATTGCCACGTGTCCCAGTTCGCGAAAAGAGAGAGTGAGTGAGAGGGAGAGGGAGGGGGAGAGGGATAAACACACAATTAGATAGACGTACCGCGTGACGGGGAACGAAAAGGCACAGTTGTAAATGACACACAGCTATACGCGTACGACCAGTCAAAAGAGCGTAAAACGCGAAAAAAAATCTACGTATATATATGTGCGTGTATGTATATATATTTTTTTTTCATCCCGCTCAACGACGCCGCGCGAGTGCTCGCATTTGTTTTAATTACTCCGCTCGTGGCGCGCGATGCGAATATTCGCTCCGGAGAAATTCACTTGAATCTCGCGCGCGCTTTGAAAAAAGAAAAAAAAAGGGAAGAGAGACGCGAAAATATATAAACTTTTCGACTGGCGAAACTTGGCGCGAAATTATTTTATGGACGTTTCCGCTGCTCGTTACTCGCCCGCGAATAGTCGCCGGTTGAAGTATGCGGCAACTTTATTAATAAAAGCGTTGGGAATCTAATTGCGCGCGGCTGTCGTTCGCGCTGCAGTCAGTTCGATCTGGCCCCGACGGCGCGAGCTCACCCGCGAGGCGCATCTCTCGAAAGGGCAACCCGCGCGCCGGTCGACAATGACTTCCTGGATCCTGCGCGCGGGCAAAGAAGTCCGCGCGCGAGCGCCCGGTCAATTGAAACGCGCCGGACGCGTGCAATATCCGCGCGCGAATCAGCATCGTGCGGATCCTCCGCGGCGTAGAGGATGGCGCGGATTAGGGCTCGCGCGTGCGCGGCCAATTGTCGCCGATTGCAGCTAATGGCCCCCCGATGCTCTTTCTTGCTGCGCGCGCGCGAGGGGGACGGCTGAGGTGCGGGGGGGGGGGGGCATTATGTTAATCGGCGACACGGATTTGGCGTGGCTCATCGAGCGACGACACTTCGTCCGCAGACGCGCGCTGATTAAGCTGCCTGTATAAATATCGGGCGCGCGCGTGTGCGCCTGCTTGTTTTACGGCCGCGCCGGTTTGTTTCATCGATTGCTCGCTCGCGACAATTAAATATTCATTGATAACCGTGTGCCTCCCCCCCCTATGAATTTTGTAACGAGCACGGGCAGGCGATACTCGCTCGTTTATTTTCTCATTTTTTTAACTTGTCGGATTTTAGGCTTGAATTGTCGAGTGTTGACGGCGCGCATATATGCATGTATACCGAGCGATTTGGGATCAAGTCACATAGCGCTCTTTACCTGTCCTTCTTTTCTATCATTACCAATTAGACGCGCGCGGGGAGGCCGGGGGGATGACAAACGCTAAGCGCGTACCTGTGTCTCGGTGACGTTGAGAAGCTTGGCCATCTCGGCGCGCTCGGAGGAGCTCAGGTACTTCTTGACCTCGAACTGCTTCTCCAGCTCGAAGATCTGGCGGCCGGTGAAGGTGGTGCGCGCTTTCTTCTTTTTCCTCTCGGCGGCGTCCGCGTCCTCGGGCAGCGAGTCGACGGTGGATGCCACCGACGGCGGTCTGGTGTTGGCCGCGTCCAGCGACTTGACCGAGGCCGACGACGAGGTCGACGCGGCCGGCGTGTCCTTCGCCACGGCCGCCGCGGCTGTCGCTATCGTGGACGCCACCGCGGCTAGCGGCGTCGACGTCGCCGTCAACGAGTTGGCCGAGTCCGGGCGCTTTCGCTTGCTGCTCGAGCCGCTCGACTTGCCGCTGGTCTCTGCGCGACACGCAAAGCAAATCCAGGTCAGCAGAGGCGCTGAGCATCGCCGAGGTGCGCCTCGCGCGAGCGCGAGCCTGGCAATTATCGCGGGCGCCAGTTGCGAGGCGGCTGATTAAGCATTCCATTGAGCTAATTAAGCTCTCTCTCTCTCTCTCTCTCTGGCGCGCGGCCGAGCTCTTGAGCGCGCGAGTCACGCGGCTTTTCTATCCTCTAGCGCCGCTCGCGCTCGGCCGTCGAATACCTCTTTGTTTCGCGACCCGCGGCCAATTGACGCGCTCCGCCGGCGCGTCGGATTTCGCTCGCTCGCGCCTCAATAGCCTCAGCGACAGCGAGTGCCAGTCGGCGTCGGCCGCGCGAGTTTCGTCCCGATGCAAATAAGCCGCGTCTATTTAAAGTCCATCGGCACGTGCGACAAGTCGACTCGGCCTTAATAATCGACGAGCGATTCGATAACGAGGCGGAAACGCGCGGAGAGGGAGAGCGAGAGAGAGAGAGAGAGAGAGAGAGAGAGAGAGAGAGCGCGTGATCGATCGCGGGAGACAAATCGAAGCCAATGAAAGGGAAGAAAGAGCGCGGCAATAGTCCATTTCCCGGGGCTCGCTGGGGTGACAAGATAAAGAGGCTCGGCAGCGCGCGGCTGCTCTTTCGCCGGCTTTATTAGCCTGTAACATCGGCTTTGTTCCGGAGAAGTGGTCAAACACAGCAGCGGCGGCGGCGGCGGCGGCGGTGGCGGCGGGAGCACCGAGCGAGCGAGCGGCGAGCGAGGGGAAGTCGGAGGGAGGGAAGCTGCGCGGACCTAACGATCTGTCGTCTGGCTCATGCCTGCGCGCTCGTAGCAGCGTCGGGTTATCGATTATCCGCCGCATCACCGCAGAACGCCAGTTCACGCTAATTAGCTGCTCCGCTACGCTGTGCTCCTGGCATCTCTCTCTCTCTCTCTCTCTCTCTCTCTCTCTCTCTCTCTCTCTCTCTCTCTCTCTCTCTCGCATTAATGGGATCAACATTGGCGCGTATATACGCCAGCAGAAATTTTCAGTGCTGGTGGGGATGCGGCGTTTGGAAACAATATACATATACACACGTCGACGCGCCACTCAATTTATTCCAATTGCCCAGCAGAGAGATAGAGAGCGGGGCGCGTGCCTGCGGCCGACTATACATATTTTATTGCTTCGAGAGAGCTGCTGCTGTACTGCCGCTGCACTGTCGGCATAGAAAGAGAGACAGAGAGAGATTCGTTTTTTTTGTTTTTATTCGCTGCGTTGTTAAGTGCGCACATCACCGGTTAAAACCTCTTTCTGCATTGTTTTCTCTCTCCCTCTCCGCGTGCAGCAGTTTTCGCTCGACCTTTGTTTCTTTTTTCCTTTTTTTCTTTTCGTAGGGGTGGCCTGCTGCTCCGATCGTTTCGTAGAGTGGCGCGCGGCTCGGGGGATCCCGTCCACCGGAGCGCGAGTGACGGCCGCGCAAAAGCCAAAGGCGGCCCCGCGTCCGACGCGGACGCGGCTTCCCGACGCGAGATCAACAGTTTGCCTCCGCCGCGCGAGCTTCGGAGGCGAGTCGAAAGTCCCAGCGCGAGCGGTCCGCGCCGCGCGGCGATCGTACGGACAATTGGCGCTGCACTCGGCGGCCAGGCATCTTGGGCGAGCGGCTCGTCGAGACAGAACGCGGCCGGAGCTGTGGGTTGGGGGGGGGGGGGGGGGGGGGAGAGCACGACCAAGCCGCTTCCCAAGCTAATTCGCAAAGTCGACTCGGCGTGAAACGATCGCTTTGCCGCGCGCCACGCCGACGACGATCAAAAGCGCTCGCTCACCTATAAATATCCCCTCTGCCCTCCCCGAGCCCCCTGCCGCTCCCCCGGAGTGGCCGCCGCGGCAGTCGCGCGGCGCGAGGCGGAGCACCTTGAGAAGTAGCCGCGGCGCGGCCATTAAAATAATTATTTGGCGAAAAAGCCCGGCAGTGCGCGGGAGAGGAAGACGATATAACGTTCTCTCGGCAATTTATCATCGCCATTCAGTGTCGTTAAGCCCCCGCTCGGCGCGCGCGCGAGACGTTGAACCTCTCTGTCTGTCTGTCTGTCTGTCTCTCTCTCTCTCTCTCGCGAGCTCCGGGGAAGCTGCCGCTGCAGGCTAATTATAACCAGCCGAACAAATTGCCTCGTTGCCTCGCCACCGCGATACGCGCCTCGCTCCCCTTTTTAATAGCTCAGCGCCACTTTGCGAGCGACAGAGGAGAGAGAGAGCCACCTTAATTAGCGAGCGAGCAGTTAACCTCTTTACGCAAAAATTTCCGACTATCGGCTATCGGCGATTCCGCTTCGCGCTCGTGATTCCGCGCCGCCGCCGACGCTCGTCGTTGTTTCAGGTGACGATCGCTAATTCACTTCGACCTCTCGCTCTATCTCGCTTTCCTTTTTCCTCCGCCGTGCCTTGCGGGGAAAATTCGATTTGTCAGCGCGCGCTCGGATTTATTTTATGGCCGACTGAAATATCAATCAAGAGCTCCTTGTTTTGCCGTTAGCCTATATGCGAGAGAAGACCGAGCCGTCAGCGACAGCAAAGCAAAGGCAATCGCTTGACGCATAAAAGGCGATCGCGCCGCGCGACAAACGAATCCGCGCGTATGACACTGACAGCCTTTAGCGTCGAGAGGAGAGAGAGAGAGAGAGAGAGAGAGAGAGAGAGAGAGAGAGGAAATCCGAGTACACGACCAGCGCGCGCGAGAGAGAGGGAAAAGGCAATAACTAATTTGTCGCGACTGGACGTTTCAATTATAACGCTCACGGGGCAGGGGAGGGCGAAAAAAAATACTCGGCTGCGCGCGTGTATCCATGTCTTCGATGGAGCTCGCCCCGACACACAGGCGCGCTCGCGTTTAGGGGTGTTAATTGGGCGGTGTATCGGTCGCCAGCCAGCCAGCGTGCAGCCAGGCTTACTTAGTATTCGATGAGCCGGCGAGTTGCAAACCGATCAATAGCCTCCCCCCTCGTTCCAGCGAGCGGATGCCACGCGCGCCATCGCTCCAAATTAATCTCTCTCTCTCTCTCTCTTTCTCTCTCTGTTCGTGTATACGCGCGCGCGCCAGCCAGCCAACCAGCCGGAGAGAGAGAGAGAGAGAGTGACAATGCAGCCGTGTTATCGTTCTCTTTCGAAATGGCGGCGTTCGAGCACCGCGGCCCGCCGAGAGAGAGACTGCTAAATCGAAGTGTACACCGCCCCGTCGCCGCTTTCGTTAGTGCTGTCTCGCGGATTGAAGCCTCCGGCCGCTGGAATTCCAACCTCGCGAGCGCGCGGCCCGAGAAAAAGAGGTCGAAAGCGCGCGGCGGGCGCTAAATCGCCAACCAGTTGCACTAATTAAAAGTCTCGCGCGAGAAAGAAAAGGGGAGGGGGGAGGGGAGGGAGAAACACGAAACGAGAAAGAAATGAAAAAGAAAAACGAAACGAGAGAAGCAGCGAGCGGGCGATCGCGCTGGGCGGTGGTGACTCGGACGCCAGCGCGGATAAAACTGCACGCGGAGCAATTAAAGAGGCGCGCTGCTCGCGAGGCTTATTAAACGCGGCTTGAATGTTTGATGGGGCTTTTATCGGGTGAGCGAGCTAAGCGCCGCGAGTGAGAGCGAGAGAGAGAGATCGATAGCCGGCGCGTGTGCTTGCGCTTTAGCTTGTGCTCTCGCTTGCGCGCGCGCACACTAACCGGGAGAGAGAGAGAGAGAGAGAATGTTTTGGCGCGCTCTCCCCTATTACCAGCGCACGTACACACACGCACGCACACACAAACACACACACACACACACAAAGGCGCGCAAACTGCGAGCGAGAGAGTCATCGATTTCATAGCACGCACGCGCAGCAGACACCTCTGATTGGTGACGAATGCCGCCCGCGTCCCTCGTACGCTTCGCCTGCTCACCGTCCGCACGAATGTATCCGCGCGACGAGGAGATCAATCGTACAAAGCGGCGCTCTTTCAATTGCTTCTAATTATAAGGAATGAATGGTCGAGAGAGAAAGAGAGAGAGAGAGAGAGAACGTGTTAAGAGGCAGTTTCGGAGTGACTATCTACCTCACCGCCGACGCGCATAGTTTATGAACCTGTGGCTTCGGCAAACTTTTGCCCCCTCCCCCCCCCTCGGCGCTCCTCTAACTGAAAGAATGAACCGACGAACGCGAGCGAGAGAACGTAATTGGCCCGAGTGCGCGCGTGTGTGCACGCGACGACGCCGTGGCATGGAATTAATTGCCAGGGGGGGCTGCGAAGAAGAAGAGCCGCTTTAAACGATCGATTCTTTTTTCTCGTATTCTTTTCTCCTTTGCGAGCTCGCTTATTCGCGATGAATTGCGAGAGAGAGAGAGAGAGAGAGAGAGAGACGCGGGCGCGCTTTTAGATTGCTCTCGAATTAGCTCTCAATTAGCCTAGATTTTCACTCTCGCGAGAGGGAGAGAGAGTTTGTTGCAACAATGGGATGCGGAATTTTCTTGAGAAGTTTCTTTCTCGGTGATTGAATAGAGACGGTTTGTATCCCGGTGAGAGAGCTTTTGTGTAGATTTTCGTGTGTGTATATATATATATATATATATATATTTACACTTCCCCGCGGGATCGCTATCGCGTAGCTTCAAAGCTCGGGGAGAAGGAAAAATCCGCGCTGTATAAGCAATTAGCGACGATCGATGAAAGCTCTCGCGCATCGTCGAGCGGAGTTTTCAATCCGACGCAACAATCGCCGCTACCATCATCGAGCCAACACAAAGCGCTCTCGCTCCCCCTCTCTCTCTCTCTCTCTCTCTCTTTCCGCTCTCGGCGCAGCAGGCCGTTTGGCTTCTGGCGTCGAAATTGCCTGCCCCTGGCGTGGTAGGGGAAGAGCGAGCAACACTATTAAGAATTGACGATGATGCAGATGCGCTCTTTAACCACGCTCGCTCAGCCCATCGACGGCTTAATCGCCGTGGCTGCCGGATTTATTCGTTTTACAGCGCTCCCGTGCTGCGCCTCGCGCATCGATTATCGTTTCGTACGGACGCACGAAATTCCCGTGCACGCGCGCTATGCGGGCCGCGCCGCTGACAAAAAGCCGGCACGCACTTAGGCGGCACGGGCGTTTGATTTACGCCGAGGGCCCGCGCTTCCTTCGCTTAATCGCTCCTCTTTCCTCGTTCGGCGCGCCGTTTAACGCGCATATTTTACAACCGCGAGCTCACTTTAAAAGAATACGCGGGGTGTAACGTTACGACGTGTATTTTTAAATCAAGGACCCGTGCAAGCCCGTGCGAGCGAGTGTGCGCCATTTTTCTTTTTTCTTTTTTTTTTTTTCTTTTCTGATACACTTTTGCTCTCCGAGCTCTTTAAATAAAAGGAGAAAGTGAGACCTCGTAACTATATGGTAAACAGTGTGTGTATAACTTAATCACACGCGATGTCTATTCTTCAACGATTATTACACTTGGAAAACGTGAATAAATATATATACATCGCTCGCGCTGAATACGTGTGAATATATATACACACACAGGTGCCAGCGACGACGATGCGAAAGAGCTCCGCAACTTGTCAGGCATATTAAATTCTACTTGGGGAATTTATTATTAACAAGTTGCGCGCGCGCGAAACTCGGCAGCGCCCCGAGCCTCTTTGGCGCTGAAAGCTCGCCGAGCGATCGTTCGATCGACTTAGTCGCGCTTTTCCGGGAAAGCCAACTGCTGGCGTGCCGCGGGCACGGGACCGCCGCGACGCCCCGAAAATGCGCGCGCGACTGCATAATTAGCTCGCAGCCCGCCGAAACGGGGCGAGCGGCTCGTGCCCCGTGCCGCGCGCCGACGTAATCGTTTTATTGGCTTTCCATCCGTCGCGTAATCCACTTGCGCATCTCGGCGAAAATGTTGGCCGCGCGGCCGGCAAACAAAGCGTAATCGAATCGCTCTCTTGGCACGGATAAACAGCGGCGCGCGCCGGTATAAAAATACGAGACGCGAGCGCGCAAGACAGCGAAAGAGAGAGAGAGAGAGAGAGAGAGAGAGAGCGGGGCACGTCGCGCGTCCAGCGAGCCTCGGAAAGTCAACGCTGAAACGACCAACCTTTGACGGGCGATCTGGCGGTGGCGGCGGCGGCGGCGGCGGCGGCGGCGGCAGCCGCGGCGGCCAGCTTGCTGGCCTGCTGGCTGAGCAGCTCCGTGGCGGTCTGGCCGTTGTGCGGGAACGGATGGTGGTGGTGCAGCGCGAAGATGAAGGGGTCGCCGGGCGGCTCCCGGAAGGGCTGCTGCTGCGCGCAGCCGAGCGCCGACGAGGACGAGGAGGAGGACGAGGGCGACCTGGCGGCGCGCCGGGAGCCCGTGGACAGGTTGAGCGGCCGGTCGTCGCAGTCGTCGGCCGAGCTGGCCGCCAGGTAGCCGGCCGCGGAGGCCGGCGACGCGATCGGCGAGGCCGGGCTGGGCGTGCAGGGCGGCGACGTGAGGCTGGCCTGCGAACACGCCGGGTCGTGAGCAGCGCGCGGCGCCGGACGCGCGCTCCTCGCCGCGGGCCTCACCGTGTGCACGGACGCGGGCGAGTGCGCCGGCAGCGGCGAGTAGATCGGCAGCGGCGCCCGGATCAGCGGGCTCGCGGCCAGCCGGCGGGGCGTCGGCGCGAGCAGCTTGCCCCTGGCGGCGGCGGCCGCGGCGCCCCAGCCGAGGATGTCGCTGATGCGGTGCGGCGTGGGCGTCCGCGGCGGCGTGGCGTAGACGTGCTCGTGCCAGGAGGCCACGTGCATCGACCGGATCAGGCCGCCCTTCACGCCGGCCTCGCCGCCGGGGCCGTCGCTCGGCCCGCGCCCGGCCCCGGTCGCGCTGCCCGCGGAGGACGGCTCGTCGGCGTCCGACGGCATCTCACTGCTGGCAGGTGCTCGGCCGCCGCCAGCCCCAGCGCCGCGCAGACGGGCCACCAACACCTCGGCCATAGACTCCGCTTCTTGCTTGGCCGAGCGTCCGCTCGCAGCCGCGCATTCGGACTCGCTGTCGCCCTATCGCGGCTGCTGCTGCTGCTGCTGCTGCTGCTGCTGCTGCTGCTGCTGCTGTCGCTGCGGGTTCGCGCGCATCGAGGCCCCGGTTGTCCACAGCGCCGCGACTGAAAGCACAGAATCGCGTTGGCTTTGTTTACGTGCGCGCGCCGGCTCACGTGCGGCCGACTGTCTCCGCCTCGCGTGGGCGCTTTATCGCCCGCGCGGCCCCGGTCGATCGCCAGCCACCTCGAGCGCTGCGCCATCGGGAATAGACAAAAGGGGGGCATTTACGCGAGAGCGCCGGCTATGTCGCGCGCGAACGCGCGATACTATAATTAGTGTGCACTTAAGGGCTGACTCTAGCTCTCTCGCTCTCGACTCGTGCCCGACGAAACGCTTCAAAAATCAGTCGATCCGTCGCGGAGAATGGACCGATAGTTATTCGAGCGCAGAGCCGAGCCGAGCCGGGAGAGGAGCTTTGTGTACATTGCGATAGCGCTGCGTCGACGACGAAAGCTCGATTATTCAAAGGGGTCGCTGGAAGGGGGCAGGGGCGGGGGGCGCAGCGTTTTGAAGTCAGCTCGACCGTTCCGTTCGTCGCAGCCGGCATCCAGCACTCACCGGAGTCGCTCATCTCTGCGGCAGCTCGCCGTGCTTTTTCCCCGCGGCGGCACACCTCACTGCAACGTCATCGTCGCACAAGAACCGACAGCAACGACGCACCAACGAGCGCGCGCAAAAACAAGTAACAGGTGTTGCGAGGGCGCGCGCTCTCCTCGGCCTCTCGCGCTGTCGGTGCCGCACGTGCTCCTCGCCGGTGTGCGTGTGTGCGTGTGTGTGCGCCCTCGCGACGACGCGCGTACGCAGCGGTGGCTGATCCCCTTGTGGACCGCGGCTCGCGGACTGGACGAGGCGAGACTGCGAGTACGCCCGGCGCTCGCCGACTGACTACTACTACGCTATTCTTGATGGGCTGCGCCGCCGCCGCCGCCGTCGCCGCTGCCGCTGCCGCTGCCGCCGCCGCCGCCGCCGCCGCCGCTTAGCTCGCTCTTTGAGCCGCGCGGGGGCGGATGGGACGTGACGCGCGAGCGCGCGCGCGCAGCTTTCCGGGGCTGCCGCGGCTCTTATTTACCCGCTCGATCCCTTCGCTGTCGAGCGCTGCCTCTCGAGTCGAGTCTCGTTGCAATCGCAAGCGGCCGCGCGAGCTTGCGACGAGAGACCGAGCGAGCGAGAGAGGGAGAGACGAACAGAGAGAGAGAGAGTGAGAGAGAGAGAGAGAGAGCACGGCCGCGACGAGGACAAAGGCACTCCGCGCGACGGCGCGCCGATCGACTGCAAGCTCGCTCCGTGCGCCACTCTCTCGCTCGCCGCGGCGCGCCGATTATCGACGCGGGTAAGCGCTCGCGCGCGACGCCAGTGCGCTGCCGCCATCTCGCGAGCCCCGCCACGGGCCGACCGCAGCGTCGATAAGCACGGCGCGGTCGGCCAGACAGGGAGCCGCGCGTCCGCTCGTTTTCGTATAATTAACGATGTAGGTGTGTGCGTACTGGCGTGCCGCGGGTGGTAATCGCGCACGCGATTCTTAACGAGATGATTCTCGAGTTTCGCGCGAGCAGCGTTGTTTTTTTTTCTTTTTCTTTTTTGTTTTTCCTCCTAACGCTCCCGTCGGAATTCGTCGCCTCTTTCGTAACGCATCGACGAGAACGTCAGCGAGCGAATGCGTGATTGTCTAGATGTCTATCTGCGCGTGAGATTACGGCTCTTTGGAATTATCGTCCGATAACGGTGGTTGCGGATGATTTATTGCCGTGTAATCCTTTTCTTACGCGCGAGGGTAATAAAGATCGCTCCGTATTCGTAATTCGTAATTCTCGTGATATAGTCGTATTTCCAGCAGAAAACCAGCCGATTTCTCGGTTCTCAAGGCGATTCGCCCGGGAACGGCTGCTTTTTTAATCGAAGATCGATCCGTCGATCGACGTTACGTAAAGCCACGCTATTCGTCCAAAATCGCATGACGGTGAGCAGTTTTGGAATAATATTTGCTCCGGCATTCAAGTGATCCCAAACAGAGATTGGCATTGTCAGCAAACGAGCGCTTAATAGAATTATCGCCACTTATCGATCTACAACTTTGCGGCGCGTCGAAAATTCCGACACCGCCGCTACTCAGGCGTCTGCTCCATTGTGTCGAACAATGCGAATTAGCTCGTTGAAGACGAGCGAGCGACAACGAGAGGCGTCATTATGCAACGCCCTTCGAAAGAAATCTCGGCGCTCGCGCGGCAGCGCACAAAAGGGCGCCGCGTGGACGCGACAATCTTGCGCGCTGAATAATGCATGCAGCGGCGAAAACACGGTCGAATCGGTCGCCGCGCGCGTGCCGCGGGGTCAACAACTGCCTTTCGTTCTGCTTTTCCGTTTCGTTTCTCGCGAGGCCCGCGCGCCAGCCTTTTCCCGTGGTGCGACCGCGCAGCTTGTCTTTCCGGCGTCCGATCGCGCGGAAAAGCCGCGGCGACTGCCCCAGATGGCTGCGTCTCGAGGCTCGCGTGCGCGACGGACAAGTTCCACAGTCGTGGATCGTTGATCGCAACCCTGGCACAGGCTGCGCGTCCGAAAAAGGGCCTGAGCCGGCGCGCGGCAGGGCCACGCGGGTCTTCCTGCTGACCGGTTATGCATTAAACATTACGTACGCGCTCGAAGGCTGCCACGTGGCTGCACTGCCGTATTTCACTTTGCCGTGGATTATTTTCGGAGGACAGCTTTGTTTTTGCCGTCGCGGGTGTTCTCCATTGTTGTCGCTCGTCACGCTCGGCTAATTGATCGGAATCGCGCGCGTCGAGGAAGCAAAGCGCGAAAAAAACATCCGCGCGCACGACAAAAACGATAAAGCGAAGAGAGAACAACGCGCAGCTGCTAGGTCAGTCCCGATTGTCGGGCTATTACTTCCTTTCGCGCGTGGCGTCGCTTTGAGAATTATATCGGCAACGAGGTCTAATGGCTTTCGGCAGTGCGCGCGGAGAGCGACGCGACCACGGAGCTGCTAAGACGGAAGCGCTCGTCTCGCTCTCCCGAGGGTTTCGCGCGCCAATCTCGGGAGGTTCCGGTGAAGTGAGCGCGCTTCCGATCGCCTCGGCCGTATATACGAGCGGAATCGCTTAATTTTCGTTCAGAGCCGTCGTGGTCGGCGTTCGGGCAGCCGCGCTCGTTGCGGGCGCTCGCGCAAAGGTAAATAGCGCGCTCGCGGCATGAACGAGCGCCGATGTGGCTGTGTGCGCGCGCGCGCGCGCGAGCTCGTACATATTCGCCGAAATCGCCGCGGCCAAGCGTCATTATCATTCCGACGGCGCTATTGACAGGCAAGGTCAGCGTCATTTCCTCGCGTTTGTTACCGGGTTGCGTCACCGCGGTCTCTACGCTCTTCCGTCGCGCCAAGTCAACGATTTCTTCGCGCTCACCCGGCGCGTAATGACCCGCCGCGCAGCCGAGTTTCGCAAATAAACGATGCGAGAGGAAGCCCGCGATCCGACAATCCAGCGCGCCGGTTGATTAACGACGGAGGAAAAATCCATATCCGGTGGTGCGCCCTGCGTGCCTCGGGGTAGTCGTCGGACCTGCGTCTTAACGGTTTCCCGAAAAACTCGTCGCCGTTGGACGTTGCTCCGCGAACGGAGGGATGAGCTGCCGCCGAAGTCGAAGAGCGGTCGTACTTGGCGTGGCGTCGTAAGGACGCGCGATTCGCTCGGTGGATTGTGCATTAAAATCGGCGACGCCACCCTGATTCGACCGACGAAGAGAGAGAGAGAAATTACGAGGTGAAACAACGCGCGAAACCTATAACGACGCTCGCAAGCCACAAGGACGAGAAATCAATGGAGCCGTGACGATAGACGGCGGATCGGGGATATCGTCCTGCCGGCCGAACGAGTCGACGACTGGTCAGGGCCGCGTGTGATTTATTTGCCACACTTTTCCTTCCATTGGTATCTATATCTCTGCGAAGAAGCGGATGCCTAATTTTTCCTTCTTTGCTTAACGAACGCGTAATTGGCGCGCGCGCGTGTTGGTATTTTTATAGCTTGGAGTGCAAATCTCGCGTGGGTGATCGTTTGCTCTTCGGCGGAATCGGTTGGCCGTCTGTCTTTCCGCTTTCCAACTGTCAACGCCGTCGTTGTCGCAGCACGAATCGCCTTGGCGGCGAATTAACATAGAATAGTTAAGTGCCTCTTATGCGTTGTCGATATATCCGCGGCTTTATGTAAAGTCTGAATTGAAGTGCAAACGAATTCCGTAAAGAATAAAAAAAGAGAGCAAAAAACTATACTCCTCGTAAAGTTTCGTTCGGAAGAGCTCGCTTGCCATCTCGCCACGCTCGCGAGTACCAATTAGCTGTTATAATAGCGCAGCGCTTTTTTAGCGCGCGACATTTTCTTGAACTTTTCAGCCTGCGCACTCGGACTCCGCGCTGCTAACGAGCGTTGATAATTGCCTTATCAATGCCCGAGCTTTCCAGAAATAGACCGAGGATCGCGCTGCGCGCTTTTCCGCGCGATCGAGCGCCGAAAAAAAAGGCGTTCGCGTTAACAAACGACGCGCAACGATCGAAAGCTCCGTGGACGGGGCGGGGCGGAAGGGGGGGAATAAGAGTGCGAGCGCGCGCGCGTTTCTTTCGCTATAAGCGCGACGTCGCTGGCAGCAAAAGCAAATACTCTCATTCTCGAATTAGCCCGGTTACATAGCATCGCGCAGCAGCGGTTATATGCGCTTCGCGTGCCGGCGGAACGGGAGCCGACTTCAATTTGCTCGCACCGCACGTGTTCGCGCGCGGCGGAGATGAGATGCGCGCACCTTTCGCGCCGCGGCCGCCGCGTCTCGTTTCGTCGCGCCTCCGCGCGACGGAAGCGCGACACGGCGCTCGGAATTCGGGAGAACAGAGAGAGAGAGAGAGAGAGAGAGAGAGAGAGAGGCTGCCGCGCGGCGTCCTATCTCGGAAGAGTGTATTTTGCATTCGCGCACGCGACAGCCGACGGCTAATCGGCGAATTTCAGCGAGGGAATGCGGCGCGCGCACGACACTCGTCCCACGGGTACATCGGCTGTTGTGAAATTAAAATTGCCGCGATAAAGGCTACGGGCGCAGGCACGTTACGTCAGGGATTAGTAATGCCTCGCGACTGTTGCGTTCGACGTGCGATTGAATTAAAAAAAAAAATCATTCCGAGCTACCGTTGCCGTCATTAATGCCGGTGCGAGAGAGAAAAAAAAGTGAGTGCGTATCCTTCGGGTATGCGGCTATGATAAGAATCCGATCGTTCTCTCAGCAACGCGTAGCAACACGCGAGAGATCTGCAATGAATCGACATTGTGCAACAACGCGCGCGCTCGTGATTCTATAATTCTTTTTTTTTTCTAATGACGATCTATTTTGCAGAAATTCTTATTATATCCTCGACGCGGTCTCTAAGAAACTGTTAACTCGCGTAAGAAATAAAAGGCGACACGCGAGCTTTGTCTTCTCACGATCCTCGTTCGCGGAGCGAAAAATACACACAACATACACACACACACGCGAGCCGGGAGCTCGGCGAGCGAGAGGCGATTCGTCGACCGAATGTCGTCCCGCGCGCGCGTCGAGCGACGTCGCCGTCACTTGGTTCGCTCGACAACAAAAGCTATCTCTAATAGAGTCTCAATGAGTTTTGCGCGGTAGTTGGCCTTATTTACCTTTTGAAAGGAAAGAAAGAGAAACGGTCGCCAGTGACAATGCACCTGTGTCAATAAACACGATCGCGACTCGGTGGAGCAACCGGGATGTATTTATTAAAAGCGGCAGGCGAACGATCGCAAGGCTCCCTCTCGCCCGTTATCTTGGTCACCTCGACGGGACTTTTCCATCGGCGCCACGAACTTGGAAATCGAAAGCGATACTGCGCGCGCCGTGCTCGCGATGTTCATTATGATAATTGCCCTCGCGGCGGCTGATGTTGAATCGGTGATGTAACTCAATTGCCGGCTGAAGCTACGATTAAAAAATGCCTTCGCCAGCCGACGCCCCAGAGCGAGGGAGTGGGAGAGACGCAAAAAAGGAGGAAGCTGTATAGAAACGCAGATAAATGTGCGTTTTCTTTTTGCTCTTCTTTACGGGCGCGTTACCAAGGTCGCGCGCGTCTTATCTGCGGCCGCGCAAGGGCAAAACTCGCGAGCATTTTTCTTATTATCTCGGTGCCGATGGCAATTAGAAAGCGAGTGTCCACTCGTACCGATGACAAGTCAGACGAGTGGTTTCTTCCACTTGGTCGTGGGTACCGTTCCCCGTGTAGTTACGCGTCTGCCGTCCGTCATCGGCCGAACGAAAATCGGTCGGGAATGAGGAAAGCTCGAGCGAGGAGTCGCCGGGACTAGCGCGCGGACTATCCGCACGCGGACGAGCTGCGGCATGCATTTCTATATATGTACGCGATCGCCCAAGTCCGCGCGAGTCGCGCGGAGCTCGCGCCTATTATTGGACGCGCGCGCCGCCCGAGAGTGGATGTAGGGCAGAGCGAGCAGCGAAGGTGTTACGGCGAAAGCGCGCGGCGGCGCGCCCTTCAATTAAGTGCCGCCGGCGCGATCGACGATCGGGCGTTCTTCTGCTCTCTCTCTCTCTCTCTCTCTCTCACTCGCCGAGTCGCGAGCATCGCGCGGCCGTCTGGTCCCGCTGATTGATAGTGTTGAGTTTCAGCGCTATTTTTGTCGACGCGCGCGCAGCGATTTGCCGCCCCGGAGAACGGCGCGCGTATCACGACTAATCGCCCGAGCGTTTCGAAAGTAAAGGCTCCGTCTAAAATTACCGAGGCCGAGACCGCCCTCCGCGATTTCCAAGCGTCGATCGCCGGGATTTTTCATTGGCTCGCTGCGTCGATATCGAATTAGCATTAGCCGAGCGTCGCCAACGGCCAAGACGAGAAAAAACGCGCGAAGACGCGTATAGGTGTGCGTCCCGAAGAAGCTGCGATGGCGCCAACTATGCGGCGAGCCCGCGGAAAGTTTCGCGACGCTTTCGCCTCTTTGTTTTCGCATTTTCCGCGAGCGAATCGCTGCCGCGGCCGCGGAGATAACGAGAGCGCGGCGCTCCGGTTAGCAGTCGGCCTGTCGGGGCGCGAGGAGCGACCGCGCAGGCAAGGAACGGAGGCGCGCCGATAAGCCGCGCGCGGCCCGCCTCAAATGCAACGACATCAGCGGCGAGCGTCGCGCTGGCTCCGCAGCTGATTGCGCGGCTTTCTCCGAACCGAGCCGCGAGCTGCTCGGGACAAAGCCGAGCGCGTTTCCGTCCGGGTCAGCGTTTCGCTGCGGCGGGCTCGTCGCCGCGGGCGGTGGCCCTCGGCGCCGGCACTCGCGCGGCTTCTTCCGGGGAAATTCCACTGAGGCCGCGGCACGGCGAGCGCGCCTCGCCCTCGGTAAAACTTTCCGCTCGGCGCTCCGAGAGAACGGCCGAGCGAAGAGCCGAGCGAAGAGCCGAGCGAAGAGCCGTGCGAGACCCTCCGGCGTTCCCACACGCGCGCGCGCACATGTCCGGGCGCGCGAGAGAGCGAGAGCGAGCGATGAAAAAAGACGCCGGAGTGTCGGTGCTCCCGAAAGCGTCCGCGCACACGTGCTTTCTGCCCCTTCTCGCCCTCCCCCCTCGGCGGCGGCGCGGCCGCAGGCAGGCGCTACCGCGCTCGCCAGTCCCGGCGCGACGTCCGACGCGCGAGCAGCACGCGCAGTCAGCAGCGCGCAACGACGGCGCCGTCAACTTGGAGGAGGCTTCGCACCGGCTGGCCTGGCTCATCGATGGACAGGTGACCCCGGACGCTCCGATCGACCGACCGTTGCGCCCGCTGCGAGCCAAGGTCAGTCTCGTCCCGTCTCGGCCGATCGGCCGGCCGGCCTCGCCGCGCGTTCGGGACCGCGAGGCAGCGGCGCCGAATTCGGGCCGAAACGAGAAAACGAATCGGCGACCTTGCCAGGACCACGTGCACGCGCGCGCGCGCGCGCGAGGGAGAGAGGAACGAGACCTCTGTAAACACGAACGCGCGCACATGTGGCGCGTAGACTCGTTTTTCGTTTGTCCCGCACCGGAAGTCGCTCGCCCGCGAGGGCGGACGGTCAATCGAACGCGGCGCGCTCCTTCCCTTTTTCTCCCCGTCCCGTCTCGTTCGCGGAACGCCACGGGGCGATAGCGCCGTCCTCCTCGCATCTGCCGCGCACTCGAGTGCAAAGTGCGAGAAACTCTGCCTTATCGCCGGCCGGACGATAGCGCGGCGTTAATTAACGCGCGTCGCCAGCAGCCGCAGCGGGCTTTTGCGGTTTTGGCGCGACACGGCGTATTTTTAGTCGGGCGGGCCTCGGTTTTTCTTCGTGGCGCGCGCTGCAGCGAATCTCCCGGCTCGATTTATTTTCGCGAGTGTCGGTCGTGTTGCAACTGCGCTCCGCGCTGCTGTGCTCGCTCCCAAGGACGCGCGACCGAGCGCCAATGTTTGCGCGTCGGATGGCACTCCTCGGATATAGGCTGCTTATCGCTCGATCGACCGACTTTCGGAGATCGATCCAAGATTTTCCTCGCTAAGCTCAACAACGAAAGGAAATAAAAAAAAAAAAAGAAATAAATCGCGTCGCGCATGCTAAAGCGAAACGGCACAGCGTCGAATGTAAATATTTACGTCGAGATAATCGTCCGTTCGCCAGTTATACGTAAACACAGATATAGGAAAAATTGAATATCAATTATCGAATGTAAGCGAGATTATAACTCTGCACTTTTCCGGTGTGCACTGTGTGTTTCCCTGGCGCGACCTTGTCGAGAGAAGGAAAGTTGTTATCGGTAATAATCGAGTGCACTCCGTTTCGATAAACTAATCCCCGTCGACGATGCTCTTGGTGTTCGTCAATTTTCTCTTTTTACCTCAAAGGTGAATTGAATTTCGGGATCGGCTAGAGCAACAGACGACAACGAATCGAGCTATCGTCAATATTTGGTGCGCAGCGATTGTTTCCCCGATTGCACAGCCGCAGACGGAACGCTTATCTCTCTCTGTCTGTGTTCGGGCGCGAATGCACGATCGCAAAGACAATACCTCATTTCTCGCGCGGCGAGAGCGATTAGAGCGCACGCTTATGCGAAAAAAAAAAGAGGTCAGACGCCGTAAAAAGCCACGCGCCGCGGCAGCGCCGACGAACGCACATATAAAAGGCAATCCGGTCGCGTACGTTGACGCGCGCGCCGCTGCATAATGCCGAGAGACGAGAAAGAAGAGGAGAGAAAGAAAAAGGCGCGCGCGCACGGGAAAAGCAGAGCCTCGCGATTCGCCGGCGACGCAGCGCGAGCGAGAATTCAAAGTAAGCGACGACATTGTCGCGCGTAGACGAGCGGCTCTCGGGAAAACTTTCCACGTGTTCGTTCATACCGCGAGCGCGCGCGGAATCGTCGGGCGGCGGGAGGGGGAGAGGCCACACGTAACTTCGCCGATCGCCGATTATCCGTTGCGCAACATCGGCGTTGCGCTGCCGGCTCGCGGCGCGATCCCCTTTGCGCCTCGCTCCGTGCGCCTTTCTCCCGTGGCGCTCGCTTCCACCGCCCACGCGGATCCGATCGCCGAGCTCGCGTCGCCTCCAACGTCGCCGGCGGCCGACGTGCCCCCTCGGGCCGAGTGCCGTTGGCGACGGGCGCGCGCGCGCGCGCGAGACGACGCGTCTGTTGCAATATCGCGTCGCTTCGATTAAGCATCTATTTTCGTATCGGGGCGCGAAAGTCATTGCCAAGCGGGCGTGTAAGCGCGGCCGGGCCGTAGGCGCCTCCCCGAACGGCGATTCTCGCAGCTTCGGTATCGGCCAAGGTCGAGGCGCGCGAAGCTCGGCCGGAAGGTACGACCGTCGCTCACGACCAACTCGTAACGCGCGGATCCGCTCGCCTCGAGTCGACCGCGAGCGCGGCAATTAAGCTCCGCGCGAGGAATATAAATTCGCTCTGATCGAGGGAAGCGGAAGGAGCCTCGCGGCGAGCCTCTGCGCGCGTCAGTTGGACGGAGCGCTTGGATTTTTTCCCAAAAGCGCTTTGCAGTCGAGTCTATTATAGCCGCGACTGTTGCCGATCCGTCCGCTGCGTCATTCTAAGCGCTGCGCGTTGTATTTTTCCCCGGCAACGCGGCGACTATTAGCTCCTTAGCCGTCGGGTGACAAGTGACAAAAAACAAACTGAATCACAGCAAATTGCAGGCAATTGCGGGCGCGGAGTGCGAATGAAAAAAAAATCAGAAAAAGAAAGAAACAAAAGAGAAACAAAAGAGAAACAAAAAAGAAACAATAAAAGAAAAGGAGAGAAAAACGTTTACGACCAATTGACCGGGTAGACTTTCCTAAGGCGCATTTTTTGAACGCGCGCGGCCCCTCCATTGTGCGCCAGAGAGGCTCGTTATCAGTCGTCTCGGTAGCGTTCGTCATAATTCGTGCTATCAACCTTCGTCGTGCCGGGCGTGCGTGATTTCCGCTGACTAATCCGCGCGGAACCTCGTCTGCCGCGCTCCTTCTCCCTTAGCTTCTCGTGCGCGAGAGTCGCGCCGAAGAAACGCGCTCGGCATCGGGGCGCGATTCGCGATCGAACGGGCGCTACGGCGAGCGCGATAGCCGGCCGCCCGTCGGAATAGCCCGCGAGAATTAGCGCCAAGGTATTATTATATTTGCTCGCGAGCCGCGCCAACTGCGCGCGCGCGAGCGCGACGAGCAAACAATCCTCCCGCGGAATATTTGCACTTTCGAGAGATGACACGCGCGCAACACGGACGAGTCCGCGCGGAATAATATTATCGCGATTGCCATCGGATCGCTGTATTTCTCATCGGGACGCCGATGAACGCACCGCCGAGTGTTCGCGGAACTCGGAGTGCAGCTATTTTTCGCTCCGAATATCAATCTCGGAGACGATTCTTCGAAGGCAATTAGCCAGCAAACACTGTATGCCCGAAGTACGGCGATAGTCGTTATCTAAGGCCCGCGTGGATCGCGTTCAATACACGTGTGCGTGTACACGCGTAAAATGCGACCACGACACCGATAAAAATCGACGCGCGAACAAAATAAGCGAAGAAATATGATTTGTGACGTTATTAGGTATAACAAATGTCTTTGGCGAGGAGTGGGGCCCTCGACGCTTATCTCACCTCAAGTATAACGACTCTGCGGCGGACTTCAGCGGACACTTGGACACGGACACGCCGAGAGTGAAGTCGCACGATGGAGTCGGTGCGTCATTGTTCGGAGTGTCAATGATTTTGTCGTGTTGAACGTCGCTCACCTCCCGTAGTCGCATTTTCACTAGCTGCACTTGCGCTTTCATTGCTTTTCCCGTGACCGAATCTGCTAACTGGACAGCACCGTAGTCTCGGGCGTCGAGCTTTCCGTAGTACGAGAAAGACTTGGAACCGTCGGGCGCGTCGCGCGGCGAAGGTGTGCAATGACGTTTGTTGGCTTGCAGATGGAGTTACACACGAAAAGGCCCAGTCAAGACACTGACAGGCACGCCAAGTCCACCGCCAAGGACATGTCGTCCAACGACACTCTCAATGGGTAAGTCAAACGCCGCATTATCCTTGGGAATGTAGAGCAACTATCGTCCTCGTGCATTCCGACTCGAGCAGTCGCGAGAAAGATCGCAGTGGTCGTGTCTCGTTACTTCGTCCTCGGGACCAAGACGTAATTGTTTGCATAATACAAGTCGACGGCACGATAAAATCGCCTCGCCGATCGGCATCGGTCTAAGCGCGTCACGCGGCGCGCACGCCGGACGACTGCTCTCGCCGGCGCGCCACCTAAATGCGAGTCGCGCTTGCAGAAACGGCAACACGTACGGGGCCTTCCAGTCGAAGGACCCGATCCTGCAACTCGACAAGGACGTGGAGGCGAGGGTTAACGGGACCGGTGGCGACGGCCACGGCGGTGCCACGGCCCACACCACCGGCTACATAGAGACCCTCATGCACCACTTCAAGGGCAACGTGGGATCCGGCATTTTCGCCCTGGGCGACGCTTTCAAGAACGCCGGCCTCGCCCTGGCGCCGCCGCTCACCATCTTCCTCGGCTTCATTTGCATTCACGCCCAGCACATACTCGTGAGTATCGTCGTCGCTCCGACTGAGCTGCGATCGGGATCTCGCAACGACCGTCAACCGTTGTTCCGCTTGGCCGTTTCCGCAGCTCAACTGCAACGACGAGGTGCAGCGACGGCTGGGCTCATCGCTGGAGACGCAGCCAGGCTACGCGGCCACGGTGGAGCTGTGCTTCGCCACTGGACCGCTCGCCCTGCGAAAGTACTCGGTCTTCATGAGGTAATGCGCGCACGCACCAAATCGAAATCTTGCACCATCACGACTCATCAGCGAAAATACGAACTGAAAATGAAAAAAAAAATCGAAAAAACGAAAAAACGAAAAAACGAAAAAAACGAAAAAAACGAAAAAACGAAAAAAACGAAAAAAAAAGAAAGATGGATAGAAAAAGAACGACGCCGTACGTCGACAAATTGTTTCGCTTCTGTCATCCCTCCCCCGCCCTTGTTCGATTGACGGCCATAGCACATAAGCACACTCGAGAAATCGCAGACTCGTCGCAGCGGATTGTCGAGTGGGGACGAGGAGATAACGTGTAGAATCGAGAGACGCTGCCCAATTGAGCTTTCCCTCCTCGCGAGCGACGATGCGAGCGTTTGCCCAGGGGCGTTTGCCTTGCGTGCGCTCCTTACCGACAGTGTTGTGGCGAGGTTAATTGCGTTGTAAAAGACGATGCTCGAGAGAAGGTTTTTTTGTTCTGCGTTCTGTTTGCAGGCCGAAAGCCTCTGATATCTCAGAGACTCTCTAGCTCGAATAGCGCAAGCAGGTTCGCGCGCAGCGCGCCGCGGCGAGCACTTATTTCGCAGGCCGAGCTGTGCGAGTTGCGGCGATGATGGTACGTCCAATTTAGGCATTTATCGCGACTGATGGTAAGCTATCTCTCACACATATACGATCGTTATTTATGCATAAGCATCGTCTTTTTTATTACATGTACATGTCAATTTTGTGTGTATGCCTTTTACAATCTGTTTCAGCATTTACTTCCTATTTCTAGCCGATGGATGTCTATATCTTATATAAATGCATCATGACTTTGTTTTTTATTATTACAGCCAATATTTATAAATAAATGTTTCCGTTCAATTCGGCAGCGTCGGTGTCAGCGTTATTACTCTCTTAAGCTCACGCTTTCGACGATTGTTTTCACACCTCATAGGCTCCATATATTTTAATATTGTTTCTCATCATCGCACGTTTTTGTTCGAAACGAAAGTCAGCCCGCGGTATCGCTATTGTATAAGAAGATCGACGTGTTTCCCGCATCACACGCCAACAGCACGCTCTCTCTCTCTCTTTCTCTCTCTATATGTCCTTATATCTCACAACCCCGCAAGAAAAAAAATAATAAAAAGAAAGAAAAAGAGAAAAGAAAAGTGCACCAAAACATACGAGTGGACGGTGGCCGATCGCTGACCAAAGAACTTTTGTATTTTTGCAGAAAATTAGTGAATCTGTTTCTGTGCGTGACGCAGCTTGGCTTCTGTTGCGTCTACTTCGTCTTCATATCCACGAACATGCAGCAGGTGAGTCTCGGGCGTGCGGTACGCGCGCGCCGACGCGGGATATTTTTGGCCGTGGCGACGCTCCGCTTTTCCGCGTCGAAGCGGGCTTGCGCAACGCGAGGGAAGCCGACCCGCGCTGCCGAACTGACGATCGGCTCTCCGTGCTCGTTGCAGGTGATGAGCGTCTGGGGCATCGAACTCGACCTCCATCTGCACATGGCGATCGTCCTGGTGCCCATAATGTTCAGCACGTGGATACGCAACCTCAAGTTCCTCGTGCCGCTGTCCTCGCTGGCCAACTTCTTGATCATCGCGGGCTACGCGGCCACGATCTACATCATGTGCCACGATCTGCCGGCTATTTCCGAGAGGCGATACGTGGCGGATTGGAACAAGCTGCCGCTGTTCTTTGGCACCGTCATTTACTCCTTTGAGGGTATCACTCTGGTTGGTGGATTTTGCACGTCTTCTATTTTTAAGCGTTTACTCTCTCTCTCTCTCTCTCTCTCTCTCTCTCTCTCTCTCTCTCTCTCTCTCTCTCTCTCCTCGCTTCACACGGGCTTGCTTTTAATTCTCGAGGAACTTGGACACTGGGCTACTTTAACATGACATGACGTTTCGACGCTAAAATAAAATTCGCGACAGCTCAGCAGCGTAGTTGGGTTTTACTTTTGAGCTTTATCGCTAATTATTCGCCTAACTGCTGAAAGGATAAAGCATTATTTGTAATTCGGCTGAGATAATTTTGTACAAAGTAAATTACTTTCCTCGTAACCGATACATTTCCACGTTGTTCAGTGAAAATTAACGCTCTCGATAAGCAGTCGATGCAATTGCGCAAAACTAATTTAAGTGGATGCACGCGCGTGTTTTGACACGAGCATGCGGGACGTACGCGGTGCGAAAGGATGCACCGTGCGTAGAAAACCCCACGAATGAAACAAAGCATCCACGCGCGGACGCTAACGACATCGTCGTTTTTCGTATGCAGGTATTGCCGCTAAAGAACGAGATGAAAAAGCCGAGGAACTTCGACAAGCCGCTGGGCGTGCTAAACGTCGGAATGGTAATCGTCGGCATGATGTTCGTCGTGCTTGGTTTCCTCGCTTACCTCAAGTACGGCGACGACATTCAGGGTTCGGTCACGCTCAACCTCGAGCCCAAGGCAGATACGTAAGTCCAACTGCAGTTTGCTCCTTCTTTCCAATAACCGCAAAATGTTCTGTTTTCATTCGTCGCCAAACCTTCTCGTGAGAGTGATTTTTTTTTTCTTCTCGAAGCAAACGAAAAAATAACCACTTTTTCCAAGGAAAACAAAAAAAAAAAGAAACTAATTTTCTTTTATCGTTCGAACGATGACGCTTTTTTAGTTTTTTTTTTCGCCTCCGCAAGACGGCGACTTTGCTCGCGCCGTATATCGCCTGAAGATTTTCAACGCGCTTTTTCAGAATACGACTTAATAAATCGAGAATTTATATGTATTTAACGTTAAAGGTTACTGAAGGAAGGATTAAATGTCCACAACAGGTTAATATCGCAGTAAGACGTGTGCTGAGCATGACTTGTTTTAGTTAGCATTTTGCCTTGCAGCATGTGTGCACGATATTGCTTGTCTGATTTATCGAGCAAAGTGCCTTGAAAGTGAAACATAAAAACACGCAACATTGTATTTGAGTGGCACAGTTAACTAATTGCGTATTCAATAGCTAGACAGCTCATATTTTGACAAGCACACCTGGGCTACGCACGCAATAACCTTATTGAAAATTGTTTGTTCAGTCTACCTCAATGCATCAAACTGGCTATATCCTTAAGTATCCTGTTGACGTACGCTCTGCAGTTCTACGTACCGATCGCCATTATGTGGCCCGAGTTCGAACGTCAATTCGGCCCGTGCCGTTGGCCCGTGGCTAGTGAAATCATGTTCCGAACGACTCTTTGCTTCATCACTTGTAAGTATTTGCAATCCCGAGGAAACCAATTTGCTCGACGACAAATTAAATGTCCGTTCGTTTGCGCAGTTGTCCTGGCGGAAGCGATCCCGAAGCTGGGCCTGTTCATCTCCCTGGTCGGGGCAGTGAGCAGCACAGCTCTGGCTCTCCTATTCCCGCCGATAATCGAGATCGTAGTATGCTGGCAGAACGCGTCTATGGACAAACTAACAATCACCAAAGACATTGTGATTCTGACGATCGGACTTCTCGGCTGCGCCACCGGTACCTACGAGAGCGTCAGCCAAATTATCAAAGCATTTAGCCAAAATTTGTAGAGCCGAGAACGCAACGATGGGAAGAGATACGGGCGCGTGCGTGCGCCATTGGAACTTTAGCCTTCGCACCTTGGTACTTCCATTCTCTCGTTTGATCGTTTCTGTTATCTCTTCCCGGAATCTTTCTACAAGAGTGAACAAAAAGCAAAATTTTTATTTAGAACAAAAATCGCACATCATTTTATCGAGCTCCATTCGCCGTAGTTATTTCATCGCATACAATAATAATTAAAGAAGCGACGGCAATATAAACAATGATTTGTAAGACGGTGCTGCATGACCGCGTTACGATAATTTTCACATCGATCGTGTGTGTATAGCTTTATACATAGCGACCTGTCGTGTTTTTTTAGAGTATATATAAATCTTTCTCTTGTTCTTTTTCATCATTAGTTGTGTAATGAAGTATTGAAGTTGCACTTTTAATACTCGTACTCATTTCTTTTTTGTAGTTAGGCGTGTAAAAAATGTACAAAAAATCTCTCGCTACATATGTACTATTTTTAATGTTAAGGAAATTTTTTAGACATACTGCTCACTAGATATGGGCAACTTAGCGTTTAAGGTCTTAAAACTGTGAATTTATATACACGTCACGTAAGAATCATATATTTATTATTTACATGAATTTTGAAAAGACTCTGAACAAAAACAAAAAAAAAATACACTAAATAAAATGGATGAATAGTTTTGCTAATAATATTAGATGATTATTCTTGAAAGAAAACAAAAAAATATGAATAAAATGCTATTTTGCAATACATCGATTTTAATATTTGATTAAAACAATTAGCCAATGAATTACATCGATGAAAAATATAAACGTTCAGTAAGTTATAAAAATATATATAAGTATGGCGAAGAAGAATGATCTCGTAAAAAAAGCATGCTTCATATCACTCAAACCACATTGACCGTAGAACAAATTTATTCCAATGCCGCCAGAGCCATTATAGTAAAGCCAACCTCTTCTGGATCTCGGCTCATATACTCTTTGCACACTCGAGCAGCGTCTTCCAAGAATGTTTCCGTGTTCGACGGCCCGTGGTTGATTGGGTATGGCTTTCTACCATCTGAAATAACATGTTCCGATTTTATCTCGTCATATACGATAATATTCAGTCTGATTTTACATCTGCTATTTGTTAATTTACCTAGTTCCCATATCGATCCGTTTCTCTCAACAAATGCTACAAAATGATGAAACACTTTTTCATCCTCACCAGGTGCCTAAAGAGCAAATACGAAATGTATGAATTATTTAAATAATAATAAATATATGAATTATTTAAATCAATGACAATGTAGAAAGAAAATATTTACTTCAGTTTGCCCCTCATGAGCAGAGTCTTCATGAGTCACACTTATTCCTTGAGCCTCGACAAGCTTCTCACCCCTCTTTTCAGAAGTTAAGTCTTTTGTATCATCAATAAATTTTTTCAGTTCTCCATCTTCTAACTCAATCCTTAAAAAAAAGTAAATCATAAATTTATAGTGCTCTGATCACATTTTTATTGAATGACTGAATTATGCTTATGAGTCAATACTTACTTATCAAGTTTATTTGCAACACTGTGCAATAAAGCTATTGTTCCACAAGCATTTGATACATACTGAGCTAAGTGGTAAATTTTGTCAGAACCACTACCACTTTCTTTTTCAGTTTTTTCCAACTCAATTTTGAATGATTCAGACTATTATGTTAAATAAATAATATTGCATGAATTTGCTTTTTGTTTATACTTCCAACTTGGTAAACAAATTATATATATATAAGCTTGAGAATAGTACAATCCTGTACTAGGTATTTATATAAAGATCATGCTTGCCAAGTTGAAAAAATATTAATGAATAAGTTTCAAAATGAGAATTTCAATAAGTAGAAAAATATTAAAAATGTATCATACCTTTGGAGTCATGGGATAAAGCAATATCATTGCCAAAACAGGTTTTGGTAGCATTTCCAACATATCTAAATCCAAACTATATACATCTACTAGACCCCATTGTTTTGGAACACCAAGCTTATGCAAAAGCTAAAAAAAATAGTACAAATAAATGAGTTTCTTTCAGTCTCCTTATAAAAAATTAGTCAACACCTTTGACATGTTTACCGAACAGTTTGAAAAGTATTCCTACCTTAGTCATAACCTAAAAACATAAAACAATCCGTTAATAAAGTTTTACTCTGATTTTACGTAAATTATCCATAAAATGTTGCTACTAACCTCTGGATTAGATTCAAGCGGTACCCAAGCCATTTTTTATTGTGCAAAAAAGTGTTAAATAACACTTATATTCTTTTATAGCAATTCGCCGACTACAGTGAATCGTCAAATTTTATTCTTATAAAATTGCACCAAATCCGAATATATATATCTATATATATAGATGATCTGTATGCGTAGCTATGAAGAAAGTGATGAGTGCAAAATATTCAAAACTATTACATAAATATCCTGTAAATCAAATCAAACAATTGTGTATGAATATTGCATTTGCTACCACCGCTTTGTTATAGGTTTACTGTGTTTTTTCAAATGGCTTTTAAACAACTAGATAATAATAAACAAATCGCTATGTTATTCATAAAAAACCGATTGTACTTTGTAATACCATTACTTAGTAATAACATATTAAATATTTAATTACTTCCAAAATATAACTATTTGTATAATAATTGTTTTTCGAAAATTTAACAACAAACGTCACCAGTATTCCAACAAGTAACAACAATAACCAATTGCTGATTGTTTATATTGATGGCACACCGCATAAATCAATCATTTTGCACTATTGTTTACCTGCGGACACACCCTTTTGTTTCCAACGAATTTCAAAAACTGCTAGCTAGAATTCGATAATACCGACTTTAGATACGAACGCAGAAGAGATCGATGCTTGGAGAATGAAAACAGAACTGGAAGAGTGCAGCACCTGCTTTGATCTTACGAATTTTGTGATTCTCACACACTGATCAACAGTACTCACGGTCACGGTGTCGTATAAGATTGCATGATGAAAAGGAAAATATAACCTGCAATATTTGAATTGCACAATTTATTGAATTAAAAATTTTGAAACGAAAAGTGTATTGTTAAAGATGAATTATTCGCCGGTAGATAATATACATGAGTTACCGGAACAACGAACTAATCAAAAATTTGAACCGGTAACACAATTTGATAATTATAAAAAAATTAAACAATGATTACTGTTTTTATAAAAAGCTCAAACAGCCTTGTTTGGAAAGATACTTTTGTTTAAAACATTCTGTAACTTAAATTTTTGAAGTTTTTGTATTCAGTAAATATATTTTCTTCTAAAATTAATTAATTTTTTTTCTTAGTTGGTGTTAACACCTGAAGAAATTAGAGTACTGGAAGATTGTGGAAGAGAAGGAGTAATAAAAAGAGCAATTCCTTTGGGAGTAATATTTGGAATTGGTGGAATGATGGGTGCAAAGGCAGGTCCTCTCATGAGTTCCAAATATGGACTTAAACCTGCTGTTATAGGACTTGGAGTGATTGGATATTTTATTGGTAGAATTTCATATAGTAAACTTTGCTTTAACAGAGTTTTACAAGTACCTGATGGCAATCTGCGTAAATTTTATGATCAAAAAAGATCAAGAGGGTAAAGAATGCTGTTCCATTTCAAGCTGGAATGATTATAGTAATATTTCTGATTTATATATTTTTTTAGAGAATATGTTGATCCTGCAGAAAATTATTATGCTACTGTTGAACCTAAATACGAACCAAATCTCTCAGGACAAATTACTAATTCTGACATTGACATACCATCAATCAACAGTTTTGATACAACTCCTTCTGGTAAATTGTTATCTTAATATTAATTAAAGATAGAAATGTTTAAGTGCACATATATAAGAAAAATGTTCTGTTCTTTTCAGATTACTATTCTGAAAATACAGATGCTCCAAAAGATGCTCCACCTCAAAATTACACTTCATATGATGATTTGAGAAGACAGAATAGAGAAGAATATTCAAAAAAGTAATACAAGTGAAAATTATTTATTTATTTATAACTTATATGATTCTACATCAGCTTTATTAATCAGATTTTTTTTTTCTAGAATGTATAGTGATACTGTAAGAAGGTAAAAATATTGTCATTACTTGTTTTTCTTTATAATTGTTAGAGCTGTTGAATTAATGATGAATAAATTTTACTATAGGACTTATCCACAAGAAGCACCAGTTAGGAGGCCACCACCACCACCACCACAAGCTCAACCTTTGGAACAACCAAGGGGTATAAAGACTAAATATGGAGATATATGGGATGCTTAAAGTTATTACATGGTAAATAGTTGAAGTGTGTGCATAAAGTAAAATGTAAGATAAAATGGATTATTAATTTTTAAAGTCTCTAAGGAGATTTTTATAAATAACGTAATGTTTAATAAAGTATTGAATTATTTTGAATATTGAATAGTTTTTACAATTTTACAATCCTTTAGAATTGTCAATATAACAGCATTTAAATTTCTGAGTAGATTTCCCGATAAATATGTTATTAAAATACTTTTTTAATTATTTAAGTAAAGCTAAAAATAATTTATTTCTTAAGGGCTAATAATACTGTCTACAGTGTGAAAAAATATCTTTGATATGTCTATAAAGTATATTAACTTATGATATATGGATATTAAGTTATCGTTTAATTATTTAAAATTTATTTTCAAATTGGGAAGGAAATATTCAAGAAATAGTGCTTTTGTAAAGAAATTACATCCCATATTGATTTCTTCAGAATAATGTTTAAACTTGGAACTAGAATTAATAAGTAGATCGATTTCTAAGGGATTTTCATTTAAAATACTTACTGTTTTTTTGGAGGTGAGGAAAATAATAGATTATATTTAATCGTTTAACGATTCAATCTTTATTTATTATTACTTTTGTTACTAATTTTCTCAACGAGTCACGTTGAACACGATACAGACTAGGCTCTCTTTTATCGTATCATCAACCTTCACTCGTACGCTTATATACACACATATCTATGTATAATAGCTTTTTAATGAATAAGTTTCCTTTTATTGTGTGTCCTTTTTTTTATACTCCTTTTAAATGTAAAAATTTCTTTTTCGCAAATCACACGAAGACTGAGACAGAGAGAATACAGTAATAATAATAGTAATAATAATATATGTATGTATAACGCATTTACAATGTGACGAAGTCATCGCCTCGAGCGGATATCCGTCGCGAGTTGCTCTCTGTACACAGATAACAAAGTCTTGAAGAGGATAGAAGAAGAGAAGAAATGATATGTACGCTAAACTCTCTCGGCTGACACTTTCACCGGACGCGACCGGCAAAAGCGCTTCTCTCTCTCTCTCTCTCTGTTGTTCGATACATAAAACTTACACGTATACGATAACGGGACAATGCGTAAGTTCGAAGTCTTTGGGAATACGGTGCTTTTCATGCCGCTTGCGCTCACTCATGTAACACATGCTCTCACGACTCTCTCGGAATATATATATCAATTATTTAAGTAGCACGTTTTCGTTTTGTCTGCTGGACTAGCGACGCTCGCATCCTTCTTAAGGCACTAGTGTGTGTGTGTGTGTGTGCGTGTGTGTGCGTGTGTGTGCGTGTGTGTGCGTGTGTGTGCGTGTGTGTGCGTGTGTGTGCGTGCGCGCGCGCGCGTGTGTTCTTACTTTTTTTAGTCGGTGTTTAAATTTAACATCTTAACATTGAGCTTTCAAATTTGGTGCCGTACAATAGTCAAACTCTTTACCATCGATTTTATTTGTGCGACAACAGTTTTTAAAATTTTTTTGTTTGTTCTATTTTTATTTTTTTTTGTTTTTTTCTGCTAGAATATGATGATTCGTGACGAAAGAGTCTTTGACAGTGTTCAATATAAGCTCTCTCACAGATTTCTCAAGAAGGAAAGACCAATCGCCGAATCCTGCGTATACGCGGTATTTAAAAATCTATAATATTTTTGTAAGTAAGTTTCTAACTGTCCTATTATTCGTAATCAAACATTCAAGTGAGATATTTGTGTGTTTTCTTTTGCTGCTGTATACATCTATCCATATAGAGATGATTCGTGGGTATAGTACATTCAAAGTTGAAAGTGCTCGTGAGAGACGTGGAATGGGTGGGCCAGCCACCGAAAGCGCGCCGACAACGAAGTGTAAAAATAAAAAAAAAAAGGAAAAAAGAAATCATATTACCCGGTAAAGCCGTAAAATTTTAGTCCAATAATCAACAACAAACTATTGCGAAGAAGGGACGGCAACATAATCACCAGTGCACTTTCCGATAAAATTTAAAAAAACACATATGCAACATAATACTTCGAAAAGATAAGAAATAATGCGCGCAAAAAATACTATATACGCAATTGCACATTGTAAAAGAAAAAAACCGTCCACGCTCGAGGACATTAAGTAATCATTGCCGATAAAATTGCACTCTAACATGTAACTTATAACTCATACTTTCCTAACGACATAATAAAAAAAGATATACATACAAAATAATAAATAATATAATACTGCGTCTATAAGACATTAAAATTTTTTCAGGAATTAAACACTCGTACTCCGAAAAAAAAGAACAGTTGTCGGCACGCGCGTATCTACGGAATACGAAGTTCAGCGTCGCACAAAAGCTCACAGACATTACAATCGCAACCACGAGAGATTCGTGAAAAACAAAGAATCGCTCTTATCACTTGGGATGCTGCTTGGGCAGGTGTCGCTTCATGTGCAGAGCGAGGTGGTCGCTCCGCGCGAACGAGCGCTCGCAGACGGCACATTTGAAGGGTTTGGCTCCGGTGTGCTTCCTGTAGTGTCTCGTCAGCTCGTCGCTGCGGGCGAACCGCCACTCGCACTCGGGCCACTGGCATTGGTACGGCTTCTCACCTGCGTCGACAAACGGTCGTTAGCGATTTGATTGCGAAGAGAAGCGAGAAGCAAAGCCGATAAATAGCCGCGCCGTGTGCACTTGCCGAATCGTGAGAGGTCGGCGAACCGTCGGCGAAGACAAAAAAAATCACACACGCGAACCTGCGGCTCCGCTGCGCACTCGATCGGCGTTGGAAAAGCATCCGCCTCTCTAAATCTGCATGAAAACGAGAGAGAGAGAGAGAGAGAGAGAGAGAGAGAGAGAGAGAGCGGGCGCGAGCGAGATTGGCGCAAGAGGCGTGTATTGGTTGCAACGTTCATTAGAGCATTCGTCGGATTTCGGGCGATCAATTAACACACGCGCGCGCGCGGACAGCACAAAGCCCCGTCGTCTTCACTTTCACCCCCTCGGCGCGCGCGTGAGAAAAACACCCGCGCTAGAGAGAAGGGGCAATTAAGCGATACCGGCGCCCGTTGCGCAACCGGCATCTCCGCCGACGCCGAGTCACGACCGAGCCGCACAAAGAGTTCAAAGGAGCAACTCGGAGAGGAATGCATACACTCTCGCTCGCGCGCGCGCGATTAGGCAACTCCTATCTTTCTCTCCGCGCGCTGAGCCTCAATAAAAACGGAATCGTGATCGCTAAAAGTAACAGCGCTCTGCCGCCAGCGAGAAGCCGCCTTTCCAATTGGCGAAAGGTCCGCCGTCGCCTCGTGTCATCTCTCTCTCTCTCTCTCTCTCTTTCTCTATTCCGCGCTACCGAGCAACTAATTGTGTACAGGAGACAAAGCTCGTCTGACCTTTGCGCCACGGAGACTCGGAATGCGAGCTGCTCTCGAGAGCGCAATTTGCAATTCGAAAGTTGAGGCGCGTGTTGCGCAAATTGCCTGAACCGAGGCTCATTGTGTGCTGATGCGCGAGGGTGGCAATGACGGCCAGGCCGCTCGATGCCATCATGCCGCGGCCGACGCAACGATGAATCATCTTCGACTAGTATCGGCAGTCGTCTCGACGAGCGTTTCGGGAGCGCGATCTCGACCGCGAGTCCCCGAAGAACGATCGGCGCTTCCGTGGCACTGCGCCGTCACGGTCGAGCCGCTCGAATAGTCGTGGCGACGAAAAGAGCGGCGAAGGCACGAAAGGAGGCGAACCCAATTAAGCGATTGTTTACTCGCGAGAAATTACTGTTTTCGCGAAAAAAAAAAAAAAAAAAAAAAAAAAAAAAAAAAAAAAAAAAAAAAAAAAAAAAACTAATGTACGCCTTTTTTCCGTCTCCGAGCGATCGACGAGTATCTCTCTGATCCGGGCGATCGGCAATCAATCACCATTCCTCGATGGAATATCAATATCGCGCAACGTTAACAAAACAAAAGTGAAGTCGATCGTCAATGAAGACACGCGCGAGCGCTCGCCGGTGAAAAATCAAGACGCGCAGATCGTTCTCTGAAATCGGCGCGTCCGGCGAGCGCGTCAGCACACCTGCGGAAGGCGCGCGCATCTCCGCGCACGCAGCTTTTCAATGGACTGCTATCCCGTTCGGAAGACGGCACGGCGGCGCGTGGAATGCCGCTCGCCTCGCTCTATGCTTCATTCACGAGCGCCACGTGCCCGAGGCTCTCAACCCGTTAGTCCACGAAAGAACTCGAGAGAGAGAGAGAGAGAGAGAGAGAGAGAGAGAGAGAGAGAGAGAGAGAGAGAGAGAGAGAGAGAGAGAGAGAGAGAGAGAGAGAGAGATTATACGTATAGGACGTACGATATGCTGATGAGACGCGCGCGCGCAGACACGCCGATGAACGAAACGCTGTTTGTTCCACTTTTTTTTTCCTCTACCCGAGAGAGGAAGGAAGTGAGATAAGGACAAGTGTTTCGGGGACGAGCCGTGACGTGCGTCTGTCCGACGCGTTCGAGCGAGCCATCGACGCGATTGTCCCGTTGACAGCGACCCGGACAAGGAGCAGCAGGTCGAACGAACGCCGCGGTAACGTAAAATACCGTCGGCAAGAGTGAATCGTTAACCTCCCTGCCCCCCTCCATCTGTATCTCGCGGCGCAAAAAGCGAAACTCGGCGCAGCCGGCAATTAACGATATGCAACAATAGAACCCGCGCTCGTTTCGCTGGACGCTCCGCTCGTAAAAAAAAGTGTCATTATCGAGCTCGCGCCACGCCCGTGCGCGTACATGCAAATAACAACGTGCGCTCACCCGTGTGGATTCGCTGGTGAGCCTTGAGATGCGAGCTCTTCGTGTAGACCTTCGTGCAGCCTGCGAAGGAGAGAAAAGAATGTTTTTCTTTTTCTGTTTTTCCTCTTGGAATCGTTACCGACACGCCGAATGTCGAGGCGAGGGCCGCCGCGACACTCGGCATCGGGGAGGAGGGCGAGAGTAGAAGCTCACCGATGAAATCACAATGGTGAACCCGTCGCTTCTCGAGCTCGGGATTGTTCCTCCTGTTGTACTTGGTGGTGCCAACGCCCGTGTGTATCCGATGCGACGGCGGATTTGGCGGCGGAGGCGCCGCCGGCGCCGGCGCCGCTCGCTGCTGCTGCTGCTGCTGTAGCAGCGACGGCTGCGGGTACGGCGGCGGTGGCGTCCGTCGTGGCGGTCCGCCGAGCGGCGAGCCCGGGTCCGAGATCGGCGGTGTCAACGGCGACACGTACATCAAGCGCGTCATCGAGCCGTACAACGACGGCTGCTGCTGCTGTTGCTGCTGCTGCTGCTGCTGCTGCTGCTGCTGGTCGACGTTGCTGTTGTTGTTTGTGCTGTTGCTGTTGCTGGAAGTCGAAAGCATTTCCAGTGATGGAAGACTGGTATACGCACGCAAGTCGCGCGTTTCCGGACGGAAGTGCAATTCGAGCGGTACTTTATTCGGCTCAATTTCACAATTTTATTTTCACAGTTGTCGCGTCTTACTTCGACCGTAGACGATTAGAAAATCGTGTCTATGGACATTGTGCCAACGATGCAACTCAGCAGTGATCGAGTTTCACGGAAAAATGTCATGATTTTGGTAGCCACGCGCGCGGGTACGTGGGGCAATCGAATGCGTTTGTGTTTCTCTTTACCCATCGACTTGTTTCGCACAACTCGGCAGTCCTGAGATGCGGAAGAAACGGAAGAACGCCGACTTACTGCGTGCTACTGTTGTTGTTGCTCGCGCTGGGATTGTTATTATTGGTGCAGGGGAAGAGCTTGAAAGCAGCCGTGGGCCTGTGATGAAGCGACGCCCTCGCGTTGGCGTAATTCGACGAGGACGAGGACGAGGTCGGCGCCTCCAGCAGATGCAGGGTCGGCAGAGTGGATTGCGGCTCACTCTTGACATCCTGGTGCGGCGACAGTACGGGCTGTGGCGACGACAGGGAGGTAGGCGCTTGCTGATCGTCCGTCACGTTCTCCAGCTTGACGTGCAACTGTGCCCAAATACACACGCACGGCTGCGTTTATTTATCGCGGACAAAATACTTATAGTTTGCCCGTGATAAGAAGACAGCAAGAGCGAGAGGTACGTACGTGCGAGGTCTGCGACTGGCCGAGCATGTCGGCATTTTCGGGGTCGAGCTTCTGTATGCTGGAAGTGATGTCCTCCCAGAGCGGCGGCCTGAGGAACACGTCGTCGTCGGGCTGCTGCTGCGTCGTCGTCGTCGTCGTCGTCGTCGACTGCTGTGGCTGTGTCGTCGCGCCGCTACCTCCTCGCACGAAGCTCGCCTGCGGCCGACAGCTCGCGTCGTCGAAGAATTCGTCCATCGTGCCGCTGCCATCCTTCTCGTCTTCGTCGAGCCTCTGCAGTCTTTCCAGGTCTTGTCTGCATAGCAGCGTGTCCAGGTCCGACGACTGCAATGTTCCAAACGAAAATTCGCAAATTTACATGACGATCTCCGGGCATTTACCGTTACGCACGTGGCCTTTTTTTAATTCAATGCGCAATGATCAAAGAGGGGGAGAGAGAGAGAGAGAGAGAGAGAGAGAAATGCAGAAAGACGTTACTGATTCGCATTTCGCAGGAATTTCGCATGACTCTGTCAGCTGCATTTCGGCCGAGCAAACGTCACATCTGCCTAATCGAGGCGAAGATTTTGCGAAGACTTTCTCGAAATCTCGGAGCATCGCGGCAGGACGAGCGCAAGTGCATCAATCGAGCGGGCGCGTACACATACGAGAGAGCGGGGAGGGGAAATTAATACACATTCAAGTGCGGGCGAGGCGTGTGCTCAAGCTATCGAAAACAAACAGCGCGCGCGGCAAATAACGTATTCCCGCGCCAAAAGTTATTTTCCACGAAGCCCGCGTTCGCCAGCAGCGAGCGAGTCCTCGCGATCGCGCCTGACTTGCATTACGTTGATCGCGCGCGGCCGATAGAGCCGTTTAGCATGCGCCGCGCGGGCGAGCCAAGGGAGGGGGGGGGGGGGGCGGCGAGGGACGCGCACGCGAGGACGATCGGCCGGCTGACCGAGCGCGCGTCATCGCCGGCGTGATTTGTGCCCCCTGTCCGCCCTCGGGGCCCCGCGCGTGCGTGCGCGCGGGGGACGCCCTTCCTCGTTCTTTTTTCCGTTCTTTCCCGCGCCGCCGAGGGACCGGCTTGAGTTACGAGGCGCGATTCTTCATTATCATTAAACGGCGCGCCGGACCCGATATTCGTATTGACACGGTAAAAAAATTTTCTCTCTCTCTCTCTCTCTTTATCGACGAGAGCTCGGGACGCGCGATAAGCTATCGACGCGGCATCGTTAAAAATAACCCGCCGCGAGAGGACAATTTTCGAAGTTTGCTTTGGCCGCGCGATAGCCGCGATATGCGAATCCGCGCCGAAGCTTCGCAACGATTTCGAGGTGATGCGCCGAGTAACGCGCCGATTGTCCTGCCGAACTCGCGGGTCGCCTCGAAGAGAGCGTGCGAGCTTGTCCCTCCCCTGGTCCCTCCCCCTTCCCCCCCAAAAAAGGAAAAAAAAATAACAAAGCAGGCGTCTCGAGGCGTGAGAACCCACGAAAAATAATGAGCGACCTCCCAAGCGCGCGCGCGTCGATAAGGGACGTCTCTTTAGAAAAAACCGCATCGCCCGGAGGATGATTCAATTTCACCGCAGCGCCTCGTAATGCGTGTCGCGATTCGGAGATTAATAGAATCCGAAAGTGTAATCACAGGGTTGCGCGCGCGTGTCCCTCTTTCTCCTTCGGCGCTCGCACGCACGCAGATACACACAGACACGCGCGCATCCGGCCATTAGAGAGAGGGTAATCATAGACGCGGGGTCAAGGCGGGTTAATAACGCGGACACCCACGCGCCGCCACTCACCTTCGCTTTGGTAACAATGGGCGCTCGACCGCTACGTATAGCGCTGCGATACGCAAAATCGTGCAGGCGCGGAGCGAGCGGCGTTGTCGCGTTGAGATCTCAATTCGATTGGCTCGGCGGCGGCACGACGGCGTAAGCGCGCCCGATAGCGCGAGGCGGACGAGGCCCACGCGGAAAAGGGCGCCGAGACGCTGTTCGCTGCTCGATATTCCCGTCGGTCCCCGGTTTCGCGCGCATCGTCGTGGCCGCGGCGCTGGAAAACGCGCGAATTTCGCGAAAGGAGCGCGAGCTCGCGACGGAGCAGGGAGCGAGCGAAGAAAATCGCGGTGGCACGAGCGCCCATTGGCGGTCGTCGTTTGCGGCCAGCGGAGCGAAAAAGAGAGAGAGAGAGAGAGAGAGAGAGAGAGAGAGAGAGAGAGAGAGAGAGAGAGAGAGAGAGAGAGAGAGAAAAGAAAAAAAAGAAAAAAAGAAGCGGAGTGTGTGCGCGGCAGCGGCCATTTTGCCGGGCCGGCCGAGCGTAGCGCATCAGGCCACACCCTTTGACCTAAAGCCTCGATCGATGCTCGCCTGCGCCGCCGAGCGACAACGACGCGCAGAGAACGACGAGCTTGCTCGTGTGTTTTCTTTTATTCTCTCGGCGCGCGCGACAGGTGATCGGCCGAGATGGATAACGAGGGCTCCTGCTCGAGGATTATAATATTTATGCGCGCGGGAGGAGATTAGTCGCGGGTGCGTGATTGATATGGGCGATCGGAGAATGAAAAGGGACAGATATGACTCCGAGTCGAGAGCTTTTGGCTTTTCTCTTTTGAGGCCAAGCGGAAGTTGCTCCGGTATTGTTCGGGAGACTTGGACGGTTGAGAGGAGAGAAAGTGGGATGTTTCACTGTTTGGCTGATCGATATATATATATTTTTTTTCTTGAATCATCGGGGCGTAGCTGCTTCGAAATTTTTCTTACGACGTGTACTTTAGATCTCGTCGATAGTGTGGATGAACAACCGTGCGTTATTGCTTTCTGCTGGTCGTATTGTGCACCAAAACTTCGATGAAGATACGAATACTCGTGCAAGGATTGCCCGAAAGTTCTCGTGGAAAAGAGAGCCGTGTAGCTTGGCTCTGCTCGGTTAGAACAAAAAAACGTCAACTCATATCACGCCTATCTAATTAGGCTTACGTATACACAGCATTATGATGAATGCCCTGTAATTTACCATGTAGAGTGCCAATTTCTCATGGAAAGCTCTGCATTTGGAGTTTTATACCTCTATAAACTTATTAACGGATCACTGCTTTCAGTGTGTTTGAAAATTCACCCGACTGCTTTGCGGTTTTTCTCTGGAAGCCATATTCTTCAGCATTATACCGCATTCCTGAATCTTTGAGAACTTGGACTTTCAGGTTTTTTTTCACCTGCGAATGAAGTCTTTTTTGTTTTTGATGAAACGCGCATAAAAAGGTTGTATGCCGTTAAGGGTAATTGTATGTGGTTTTGCAAACTTAATATCTGCTATTTTTTCCCATTGGCTACCTTTCGAGGCTTAAATTTTGCACAAGTGTTTATGTCGAAACGTTTAAAAGGTTTCAATTTAACTTTACGCGCGCGCGCTCCTTAAACGCTCAATGAGCGCGAGTTGAATTACTCACGTTCTTTTGGCGTGTTACACGTAATGAGAACTGCCGAGTCTCGGCCTGCTTACGTGCATTGAGCGCTTTGCGATACCACTGATCACCCCGGAATCGCATTGTAGCTTCCGCGGTACGATTAAAAGTAGTGGCGAAACTCGCTCTGGAAAGTAGGTGATTTGGCGTATAAACGAGCGGCGGCAGCGCGAAATTGCGCCGATTCGATTCGCGACGCGTAGAGATAATTAGGCGACGCGCGAGTCAGGGTCTCGCCGCTGCCCAAGCGGATCGAGCCGATTTTTACTCGAGCGAGCAGCGTAATAACCGCTGAAATTGCGGGCGGCGCAATTTCTCATTCGTCCGTGCCGCGAAGCGAGCGCGACGTGCGCCTCGGCAGTCGTAATTTGCACCGATAATGCCGCGCGTCCTTATCGTGGCGCTTATCGCCAAAATATTCGCCGTCGCTATCTTGCCCCGGCGGTCTCGTCGCGTCCGGCTATACTTCGAGCCTGCGAAAGTTTTATTTCCACGGATTCCGAGCGATCGCGACACGTGTACTCTCTTTCTGTTTCCTTTGCGATCGAGTGCTGTTTTCCTGCGCTACAATGTCAAGCCGCTTGCGAAGCGCTCTTATCAATCGAAAACACAGAGTCCACAAAACGTGTTATTATTGCGAAACGACGTCTAAATTCTCGCGCGTACACCCCCCCCCCCCCCCAAAAAGGTCAACGCTGCAGTACGCGTATCGATATGAGATCTCGCGCGCGCGCGCGCGCAACTGACTCCTCACGTGTCTAGTATTTATAGCGCGATAAGCCGCGGTGGCAGCTTCTCCGCCTGCCGACCTCGCTCGTTAAATCCTATCGCGGTGGGGCCGATGGAATCAGGAGCACCAGGTGCGAATTACGAGACGCAAGGGGGGTCAGTCGGCGACGGCAGCTGACTCTTTCCGAACGCTAATCACGCTAATGCACCGCTCACGATCATCCTCTTTCTCTCTCTCTCTCTCTCTCTCGTTTTTATTTCAGCGAGTCACGCGCCAGTTCGACTTTTCTTGCCTCGATGCTGTGACTCGGCGCTTTTTTTTCTCCTCGCCCGCCGAGGCATTAATGGGAAAATTAGTCACGGCTCGTTTAGCGCCTGTCAAAATTCAATCCGGACGCGGGTATGTTTTCGTTTTTTTTTTTGAAGAGGTGACAATATCAACTAATGAACGGATAATTGACTAAACGATTTCATTTTGTAAGCACGCGCCGTAATTGACGTTCGTTTTGTATTGCGTGATTGACTCATATTATATATGTATCGTGGTTATGGGATTGGGAGGCACGGTATTCCATTATCGAACGCGTAATCGTCGTATCTAGATGTGGATCGAGAACTGGATTATACGTATCACTTCGTCGATGCTATATTTTTATCGTTGACAGAACGATCGGCGTTTATCGGTAAACTGCTGCGCAAGTAAAAATAAAAGCAAAACCCATCGAGCACTTAGCCGGCTATTGCGCTGGGCGCTCGTTCGACTCGTCCGCGATGAAATTCCGGCGGCGATCGCGCGCAGAAGCTCCGCAATCGCGATCCGTCAGCCGGCGGCGGCGGCGGCGGCGGCGGCGCGTCGATAACACGAGCGCGTCAGCGTGTCAAAGCGGCGTCCGGGAGAGGTGTACCATGCAGGCGGGGCCACGCCCGCGACGAAAGCGCGTCGAGCCCGCGAAACAAGCGGAACAAGCGCCGCCGGCGCATTTCGGCTGCTTTTCCCGACGAAAGTCAATCCACTCAGCGGCGGGGCGCGATATCGGATCGGAGGATCGGTCGCGTGCCGGCGTTCATTAAGTCATCCCTGCGGACGAGCGAGCGGGTCGTGAGGGGCCGACGCGCGCCGATAAATTAATTAGGGAAAATCGCGCGCGGCGACGACTGGCAAATGCTCTCGGCGGCAGCGTACGTTCAAGGCGAGCGTGAAAATCACGCCCCCCCCCCCCCCCGTGAGAGCTTGCAGCTAGCTGGCGGCATTGCGCTTTTCATTGCGGGGTACGTTCGGCCGTGCATCGAGCTTGTGGGGAGAGCGTCGACGCCGGTCAACGAGGCCCAATGTTCCGTTCACCGCGCAGTAGCCTGTGTTTGAAGGACACGTCTACGTTCCCCGCCGCGCGCGAAAGCCCAAAATCCGCCGACGAAAATACAACGCGTGCGAGCTTGCGTCAGTATAGCCTCGTAAATTGAAGATCGATACGTAAAAGAAAGAAGCTCGCCGCTCGCTCGGAAGCTTCTGGGTGTACGTGCCCGGAGGAAGGGGGGAGTATGGCGAGGGAAACCTAACACCAGAGAGCGAGAGAGAGAGACGCTAATGCACTTTTAATTAATTAAATGGGCTTCGCGTGCCAGCTGTCCGCACTCACTGCAAACTCATTCGCTTCTATCGCCGTCTTCTTTTTTTCTACCCCCTTTCGTGATGATACCCGCAGTCGTCGGCTGAAACACATCAACTTATCGATCAGCTTATTCAGCCCCGCGAGCCTGTGTACGCGTGCGCGTGAGATCGATGAAATATCGCGGCGAGTACAATGGAATCTGGATATTGTGCTTTTGAATTTGTGCTCGTTGTTGCTGTTGTTGCCACTGTCGCGGGAGGTCTTTAGCGCGTCACGGTCGACGTTACACGAATTAGTTTGGGCCGTTATCGTATAGCAAAGTACACACACGAGATGAGAAAATTGTTATCTGGCGTGAGGTCGGTTTTTTCTTTCGACGCGCGTGCAACAACGTTGGAAATATTGAATTAATTATCCAGGCATTCTGATATTGTGTGTCAATATTGTAAGCTTAAATAAACACGCACTTGATACCGAGAAATTGCCAATGGTAATATTTTTCTCGCAATTATGATTACATCTGAACGAACGCGCGTCAGAAAGGAATAAAAAAAAAGGAAAAAAGCAAAAGCAGCCTGGACTCTTTCGAAACGAGCGACTCCATAATTAAGCAGTCGCGGGGCGCGGGAGCAAAAGCATCGTCGGCGCGGAAAAATCGCGACGTCTCCTCCGCACGGTGAAAGCCGTCTCGAGCCTCGCGAGCCCATAAATTGCCGCTTTAAAACTGGTATCGCTTTTTTTCTCCCTCTTCTCGCATCCAGTTGCCACACGACGACATCGTAAATGCTACTTTTATCGCGCTCTTTAAGACCCGGTGATTAATACGCCATTTATGAAATTATCATAAGAAACAATAAAAAGTAAAAAGTAAAAAAAGGAAAATGAAAATAAGCATAGAGGGAAAACGGTGAAAGAGCGTCGCGCGTACATTAGGAAGTGGCGCGAGTCCCCGGCGTGAACAGGGCGTCTTCCTTCCTGGCGGCCCGGATTCACCGATGCCGTGCCGTTCGCGCGCGCGACCGTAATTAAAGTCGGCGGCGTTGATTTAGTCGTCGCTTTGCAAGCTCTCGCTCCTCCCCCCGTAAATCCCGTCTCGCGCTCTGCGCGCGCGCCTACGGAAAATTTATACGCTCCTCTCGCCTCTCCTTTTCGCCGCGGAATCGGCCTGAATGGGGCCCGCGCGACGCTGCTCTTCTTTTGGCGGGGTTCAAAGAGGCGGATCGCGCGTCGCTTTGTTTTCGCTTTTTATGCCGAGCTGCGCGCGCGCGCGCGCCAGAGATTCGCACGAGACGAGCACAGCTGTTAGCTCGGCGCGGCGCGCGTCTTCGTATTTTTTTTTCTTCTTCTTTCCGAGTCGACCACAATGGCAATGGCACGGTATAATGCGAACTGTTCAATTCGAGAGAGTGAATTATGGCGAATTTGAAGTGGAGCAGGGCTGGCGCGGCGGTGACACTGTGATGTGGACCTGAGCGCGCGATTTGCACAAACACGCGCTCGCCCCATGGTGAATTTAAATGAAACTACGTGCGAGATGGGATGTATCAGCCGATCCAAGGGTCTATGTTTTCACTGTGAGATTGCTCGGCGAATTCGTTGATGTTTATCGGTAAGAATGCGTGTCATTAAAGCCAAATGAAGACGTGCCAAACCAAAAATATCCCATGTTTTATTCGAATTTCTAAACATCTGGGAATATTCCAAGTCGCGCTCTAAATTTGCTTTCGCACAGTGCAAAACATTATTAAAACCGTTAATGTTGAATTCAGATAACTGCATATTTTTCCGCAACTAATAGTCAGAATTCATATCAATTGCGAAATTGGCAATTCAAAAAAAAAAAAAAATTCAAATCAGCTGTTTTGAGTATCGATAACGAAAGTTTATTGTGACAGTTTTTGAATAAGTCTTGTATTTAAAGACGGGAACGAGACGCATCCGGTCATTGTTGGTCTTCTTGTGAAAACAACAACTAAATTTGCATTTACACCTAATTAAAGCTGTTTGCACTTTTATATATTCGTACGTCATCCAATGCATACAATGTCATAAATTGACACACCCCCCATTTTTTTCCTAACATTCGACTGCAGTTATTTAAACGGATATTTTAAATTTTTAAATGAAAACGCCAGAAAATTATAGGATCGAAAAATCTCAATGCTAATCTTGATAATTCAATAATTTAACGAGTCAGCGGTTAGTTGAAAAGAGCTAAATTTTAATAACTTTCTTTACACCTTTAGCGTGGAATAAAAACATTAACTTATCGATTTTACTGTACACTGTAATGCAGGAAAAACATTGCAATCCCAATCAGCTCCAATAAATCTATCATCAACATATCGAGCCAGCGATTGATTCGCCCTTGCCGTAGCGTGTGTACGCTTCTTTTACTGTTTATTAAAGAAAGATATCCGAACGATCGATCGTGAATTTGAATAGTTGAACGGCGTGAGTGCGCATGCGCTAACCAATTTACGTCAATCAGCCAAGTGCGCGCGTGTGTGCTTGTGCCGCATATAAGCTGATGGTCACTCGCTGGCAATCACAGAGTCTTTTGTAGACCGAACGAACGGTTGGCGTTGTGTATATATATAAATACAGGTTGTTATGCATGTATTAGGTGTGGTGTAATCGACAAGCTGAGTTTCCACTGGCGCGTCTGCGCTTGCGCGCGAGCCGAGGAGAGAGTCCAGTGCGGTGCGTAGGCAGTATAGCAAAGAGCGTGCGTGTTGCAGACGAAGAAGTGCAGACAGTCCGGTGCGGACGGGACGACGCCAGAACAGTGCTCAGCTACGCGGCCATCACGTGTTTGCGCTCCTCCTGGCGCCGCTCGCAAAACGCCACTCCGCTCGACCGCCAGCCGAAGAGCTTCACGCCAGGTTCTGTCATCGGGTAGGTTATCCGCTTCTCGCCCGAGCGAGCCAGCTCCCGGTACGTTCCAGTCTGTTTACCATCCTCGATCGTGCCCCCTAAGCTGCTGAGTCAGTGTTGTGCGTGCGATAGAGACAGACCGCCGTGTACGTGTGTACGCGAGCGAGTGCGTGTGTCGCGTAACTTTCCGCGTCGGCGAGCTGCTTGCCTGTGTGTGCGCGCGCGATTGGGTCAATTCGCTTCGCTCGTTCTCGCCCTCTCTGCATTTAGAGCGCTCTTCTACACCTTTTTTGGGGGCGACAGGCCAAGCTGCTCTGCTGTCCTTCTCGTACGTATAGGTGCGCGCGTGGCTGCGTGCACTGCCCCCTTCTCACCCCTTGCTCGTCTTCCTTACGTAATTCATTGTGGGCGCGATAAGCCGCACGACGGATGAACTTTGTACCGGACCGGAATAACGCTGAACTTTGAACTTTCTGCAAGATTAATACCAGACAATGTTATCGTCTTGCCTGTTTGTCTATATTTATTTTTGCGTTATTCAACCGCCGGCCGAATGTTTATTAATAGTTTGCAAATTATTTGACAATGTTTCGTAACGCTTTACTCATTTTACCCCCACCCGATGCGCCCAATGTCGCTTCTCGGTGCTTTTGTACATCTGTTTCTGCTTTATTTTTCTGCTAGAGTTGTGTAACTGAGCGTTGCGAAATTCGCGTATTCGATGTTAAAAGAAGAAAAAATAACTTTGCGTAACGACGTTAACCTTTCACTTCTTCGGCCGACGAAAAATCGTAAAGTGAAAAAAAGATGGAAGCTGTATATCTGTCATCGGGCGGTCGTGGCGCGCGCGCTCGTCGTTGTCGTCGTTTAATTAGCACTGCGCTACGCTGCGCGAGTCTCCATTAAAAACGAAATTAATAAAATTGCAGCGCAGGCGCCCCTCGAAAACAGGGTCGCAGTCTTCGTGTTGTCCGGATAATAATCCGAAGAGGAAGGCGTAGGCAGAGAGGAAGCGGCACCGAGAGCAGGATTCGGGAGAAGCGCGCGCATTAGAGAATGTATTCGATAAGGAAAGCCAACAAGATGCTGGCAAGGCGCCGAGTGACGCTGCGCTTCTGGAACGCCCCGAGCAGCAGCTTCGGCACGGACGTGGAGTACAAGCCGATCCGCAGCGTGCTGGTGGCCAATCGCGGCGAGATCGCCATTCGGGTGTTCCGCGCCTGCACGGAGCTGGGCATCCGCTCGGTGGCCATCTACTCCGAGCAGGACAAGATGCAGATGCACCGGCAGAAGGCCGACGAGAGCTACATCGTGGGCCGCGGCATGCCGCCCGTGCAGGCCTACCTCGACATCCCGGAGATCATCCGCGTGGCCCGTGAGAACGACGTGGATGCCATTCACCCCGGTTACGGCTTCCTCTCGGAGCGCTCCGACTTCGCGCAATCGGTCATCGACGCCGGTATCCGTTTCATCGGGCCCAAGCCCAGCGTGGTCCGCCAGATGGGAGACAAGGTTGCCGCGCGGCAGGCCGCCATCGGTGCCGGCGTGCCGATCGTCCCGGGCACCGACGGCCCCGTGACCACCTCCGACGAGGCCCTGGAGTTCTGCAACAAGTACGGCCTGCCGGTGATCTTCAAGGCTGCCTACGGCGGCGGCGGTCGCGGCATGCGGGTCGTGCGCAAGATGGAGGAGGTGCGCGAGATGTTCGACCGCGCCTCGTCGGAGGCCAAGGCCGCCTTCGGTGACGGCGCCATGTTCATCGAGAAGTTCATCGAGCGGCCGCGCCACATCGAGGTCCAGCTCCTCGGCGACCACGCCGGCAACGTGGTCCACCTGTACGAGCGCGACTGCTCCGTTCAGCGTCGCCACCAGAAAGTCGTGGAGATCGCGCCAGCGCCGATGCTCGACCCGAAGGTGCGCCAGGCGATGACCGATCACGCCGTGAAGCTCGCCAGGCACGTCGGCTACTCGAACGCCGGCACCGTCGAGTTCCTCGCCGACGAGCGTGGCAACTTCTTCTTCATCGAGGTGAACGCCAGGCTGCAGGTCGAGCACACCGTCACCGAGGAGATCACCGGCATCGATCTCGTCCAGTCGCAGATCAGGGTCGCCGAGGGCATGACTCTGCCGGAGCTCGGCATGACCCAGGAGAACATCACGCCCCAAGGCTTCGCCATCCAGTGCCGAGTGACCACCGAGGACCCAGCCAAGAACTTCCAGCCGGACTCCGGCAGAATCGAAGTGTTCCGCTCGGGCGAGGGTATGGGGATTCGACTGGACAGCGCCTCCGCCTACGCGGGCGCCATTATCTCGCCTTACTACGACTCGTTGCTCGTCAAGGTGATCGCCCACGCGGCCGACTTGCAGTCGTCGTGCGCCAAGATGAATCGTGCGCTGCGCGAGTTTCGCGTCCGCGGCGTCAAGACCAACATCCCCTTCCTGCTGAACGTGCTGGAGAACCAGAAGTTCCTGAATGGCGTGGTCGACACCTACTTCATCGACGAGAACCCGCAGCTGTTCCAATTCCAGCCCACGCAGAATCGCGCTCAGAAGCTCCTCAACTACATCGGCACCGTGCTCGTCAACGGGCCCAGCACACCTCTGGCCACGCCGCTGAAACCAGCGGAGATTGGACCGCACGTTCCTCAACTCGATATCGACGACTTGAAGCCGCCTCAAGGCTTCCGACAGATTCTCAAGGAGAAGGGACCGGAAGCGTTCGCCAAAGCAGTGCGCGCTCACAATGGGTTGCTGCTGATGGACACCACGTACCGAGACGCTCATCAATCGCTGTTGGCCACTCGAGTGCGCACCCACGATCTGCTGCTCATTTCACCGTTCGTCGCGCACAAGTTCAACAGACTGTACGCCCTGGAGAACTGGGGCGGCGCGACGTTCGACGTCGCCTTGCGCTTCCTGCACGAGTGCCCTTGGGAGAGGCTCGAGGACATGCGTAAAGTCATCCCCAACATTCCGTTCCAAATGCTGTTGCGCGGTGCCAACGCGGTCGGTTACACCAACTACCCCGACAACGTTGTGTTCAAGTTCTGCGAGCTGGCCGTGCAGACCGGCATGGACATCTTCCGCGTGTTCGACTCGCTGAACTATCTGCCGAACTTGATACTCGGCATGGAGGCGGCCGGTAAAGCCGGTGGCGTCGTCGAGGCAGCCATCTCCTACACCGGTGACGTGAGCGATCCGCAAAGGCGTAAGTACGACCTTAACTACTACGCTGGTCTGGTCGATGAGCTGGTGAAAGCCGGTACCCACGTGCTCTCCATCAAGGACATGGCCGGACTGCTCAAGCCCAAAGCAGCTCATCTGCTAGTTGACGCGATTCGCCAGAGGCATCCAGACCTGCCCATTCACATTCACACGCACGACACTTCTGGTTGTGGCGTTGCGTCCATGCTTGCTTGCGCCGAAGCCGGGGCCGATGTCGTTGACGTGGCAGTCGACAGCATGTCCGGCATGACCAGTCAGCCATCGATGGGCGCGATCGTCGCCTCGCTGCAGTCGTCGCCGCTCGACACGCAATTTGACCTTCGCGATGTGTCCGAGTACTCTGCCTACTGGGAGCAGACGCGCACGCTGTACGCGCCGTTCGAGTGCACCACCACTATGAAGAGCGGCAACGCCGACGTCTACCTCAACGAGATTCCCGGCGGTCAGTACACCAACTTGCAATTCCAGGCTTACAGTCTTGGCCTCGGTGAGTTCTTCGAGGACGTCAAGAAGGCGTACCGCGAGGCTAATCTCTTGCTCGGAGACATCATCAAGGTCACGCCGAGCTCCAAGGTCGTTGGTGATCTCGCGCAATTCATGGTGCAGAATAAGCTAAAGGCCGACGAGGTGCTCGAGCGCGCCGAAGAATTGTCCTTCCCCAAATCCGTCGTGGAGTTCTTGCAGGGTGCTATTGGTATACCTTACCAAGGGTTCCCGGAACCGCTGCGCTCCAAGGTCCTCAAAGATATGCCGCGCATCGAGGGCCGTCCAGGTGAATCTCTTCCTCCGCTCGACCTTGCCGCGCTCAAGTCCGAGCTTCAGGAGACCTATCCGCAGATCAGCGACAGAGACGTTATGTCGGCAGCTCTTTATCCACAAGTCACTAAAGACTATCTCAACTTCCGCGATACCTTCGGACCCGTTGACAAACTCGATACCAGGATCTTCCTTACCGGGCCGAAAGCTGGCGAGGAATTCGAGGTGACGATCGAGAAGGGTAAGACACTCGGTATCAAGACACTCGCCGTTGCCGAGGATCTCACAGCTAATGGCGAACGAGAGGTATTCTTCGAAATGAACGGCCAGTTGCGTTCGGTCTTCATCAAGGACAAGGAAGCTGTCAAGGAATTGCATATTCACCCGAAGGCAAACAAGGGTGATAAGAAACAAGTTGGTGCACCGATGCCCGGCAGCGTCATCGATATTCGCGTCAAAGTCGGTGACACCGTAGAGAAGGGCGCCGCTCTCGTCGTTCTTTCGGCTATGAAAATGGAAATGGTTGTGCAAGCACCTCAAGCTGGAAAAATCAAGAGCCTTGACATCACTCAAGGAATGAAGCTCGAGGGCGAAGATCTCATTTGCACTATGGAATAAATAGACCCAGTGCCTTCCTTTCTTTCCCTTGTAACTACCCGCCATGTTCGTCTCTTAAGGAATGGGTACACTGAACGAAAACCTAATGACCGTAGAAGAAACCAACGACTTTTTTGTTATTGTATATATTCTATCTATACGTGAACTTTTATTTTCGAACGTATATTCTATGCGAAACGAAACGAATTTAATATTATGTTACGTACGATCGTTGAACGATTATATTTTATTGTGATTCTAGTAGAGAACTAATCTGAAGTATTGTAACGAATGACTTTTGATAGTGAAAAAAATACCTTTCTAGCACAAGAAAACATTTTTGTAGCACAAAAATTGTAATTTTTTAATTATGTAACAGAGCTCATACGCACCGGTGATAAATGAATTTTTGAGAGCTCAAATTTTATACTCATTCTCCATGAAAGATACTCTGATCTGTAAATAGCGATTTTTTCTTTTATTATCCTCCGTTTTACTCGTACAATGAATAAAAATGTATCTATTTTTTTTCAAATTTTCAGCATTTCTTTTCAAAACATCATGTAATTTTATCTTATTAATAAATCGTAGCCAGACGATTCGACAACGATTTTCTCCTGAAAAGTTTATATTTTAAGAACTACGTTGTTATATGTTAAAGCAGTTAATGACTGAATTTTCCAATATGTAAAGCACTGTATTTTTGTGAACCTTCGATAATGTAGAATTTACTGAAAACATTCCTTCCTAGACGAAATAAGTCAATTTCAGTGTGCTCTCTTCTTAATGTTGCGATACATAAATTTGCGCGAATTCCTTCATTCAATTAGTTATGCTTGTTCGCATCAACTTGGAATAATTGATTGGCCATATAATCAAATTGATAACTGTGCATTTGTTAAGTACCTTTATGTTATGTATAGATAGCTAAGGAGGTTGTAAACCGTATAACTATACGACTCTACTTACAGGAAATTAATTGTTCCTTATAAAACTTCCATCGATTCCAATTTGTGAAAGAATTCTAATCGATGAACTAAGCCAGAAATTCAAAAAATGTCCCGGTGAATAGAAATAAATCTTCGTTAAAAGTTCGATTTGCTTACGATGGTGCATTATCGGTAAATAGTGATAGTCAATAAAAAAAATGAGACCCCGAAACCCGCATTATGCAATATTATGCATTAATCCATCCAATGATTATGTTCTCTATTTTACTATACATGTACATTCAAACTCTATACTTTGGCCTTCAAATCAAAAGAAATTCAGTGATAAGTCATCTTTAAAAGATCATGTTTTTATATTGTAAACTGACTATCTTCAATTTGAAGTATAAATTTGATGACAATAAATTAACAAAAAATATGAAATACTTATAGTTTAGTTACTTCACATACACGTAGGTAAAGTTGAAAATCAACATTGAATTATTACTGTGATCGAAGCTGTTGAAAATTAAAACGATTCTATATTTTCGTTTTATCTCTCCTGTTTATATAACATACGTTGTAGGAGTTTAAAGTAGAATATAAGAACATTTACGTCAGTTCATGTATATCTACGCATATTTTTCTCGCATTTGTATATCTTGCGAATACACTTGTAAATTTTATTTTAGTCAGATTGGGGGTCATGTGTGCGATAAAATTGAGCGACATGTATGCTTTTGTCGATATTAAAAAAAAATGTCAATAACGATTGGAAATAATTCACAGAATGAAATATCAAATTTCAGGACCACGATCACTGGTGAATCTCTTAAACGTAATATTTCCATGACAGACATCAGACTAATATAAATAATTAATAACAATGTCATGGTTCCAAAACCATTTTTTTCATATTTCCTACTTAAAAAGACTGTAATTTCTCCGCAAAAAAATCTGATACCATCGTTTGTTCGAAGGACGGTCAATTACTTTAGAATAATAAATTTAGAACAGATAAGAAAATACCTGAAAAGACAATTTTTGTAATAGGTGGATAGTTGCTACCATTTTGCACCATACTTGGCACTCAATTTATACCCTGCTTTTGAGAAACATATATATTGGGGCTAAGAACTTGTCAATATGTAAACTGAACGATTTGACCTACCTCAATTTCCGTGGTAATACATATTTTATTACGGACATTTACGACCCAGTGGCTTTTCCTGGACTTTTTCCCTTTAGGCAACTCCAGAAAAAAGGGATATTACTGACAACGATAGCTTCAGAAAGCTAATCATCGAGAGTCACCTGCGCGCACATAAGTGCACTTGACGTTCGACAGAAAAAGATGAAAAATGAATCTTCGCAGCGTGCTCCCACGCGCGTCCTTCGATAGCTACCGAGAGCCCGACGGACATAGATTGTTGATAGTGTATATACACATACATATACATACATATATATGTGTGTGTGTGTGTGTGTGTGTGTGTGTATGTGTGTGTGAATGTATATGCGTATATAGTTTGTTGCATCGCTGTATATTTTATTGTACATATACGTAGAGAGAAATGGCAAATGTAAAAGATAGAGAAAACAGAGGTATGATATTGCATTGTTGTGCGCGCGCTGCGTAGTTTTTAGTATACTATATGCATGCATAATGTATGCGCGCGGAGAAGGCTTAAGCGCCTGAAGCGATTATGATTGCACATGTAGGTGGGCATGCTCTGTTTTCAGAGCCCTGTGTTTCGTCCCCATCGTCTTTACCGTTTTTTTTCTGCTGTTTTTGGGAAATAAATGAGTACAACAAAGATACATCCTTGGCTTTTATTATTTCTGTGCACTCTCACGGGTATATCTAGGTGCTCCTGCAAGCGATTTGGTTGAATAAAGAATACTCATGCGGACTAAGAGTCTGAGACTGAAGAAAAGATTTTTTAACGTCCTCTTTAATTGAACGTTATTTATTTATGCATTTTAATTGTAGACATTTGATATTTTTACAGAATTTAATAAAAAGATTGAAAAGTTAGCGTTCTCTGGAAAAGATTATACGTTCAATTTATTTTCATCGCGGTTTCCTACATTATGTATTTTAGATTTTCAAGTTTCGCTTACGAATTAATGACAATGTTATATTTCTTTAAATTCAGGAATGACGAGGGAAACATCAGATAAGTATAATTAGGTTCACTGCAATGCAAAGAGAATAAAAAAACCCTTGCGTCTCTAGCGACTTAAAGACGCTCGAATGTTGTTTTGAAAAACGTCGCTCTCAAGATCTAGTCGGACGGCGCGTTACGCGCACGCGAGGCAAAAATATGCAAATTGTATCAAAACGGTAGGAAATCTATGTTTTCCTCGAGCGGCAGCGGCTCGCGAGATATATACGCGAAACTCGCGGGATATATGGGATATGCAGGCGACAAAAACAGGTTCGATTTATCAAGCGCCAATGAGCGAAGAAGAAACAAAAAGGATGTCGCGCGCGGAGACACGCGGCGCGCACGCGGATCTTTCGCGGGCGGAAAGGGGCGAAAAAATGCCCGGTCGAGGGCCATTATTTATACGAGCACGTCTCTCGCGATAGACGCGCGCACGCGAGGCGAGCGTCCGCGGGCCGCGCGGGGCGCAACTGTACGCTTTCAGCCGCGATTAATCATCGGTCGATTCAATTAACGAGCGGCGTGGCCGTCCTCGTCGGGTAGCCACGCGCCGTTCGGACATTGGCCGGCGGAGCGCGGCGAAACGCGACTTCCGCTGCGGGAAGGTGAACGCGCGCAGCCCCTAAGCGTCTAATCGGCCGCGCGCTGCGTCAAGGCTCGTTAGCCGTCTGACGATATTTCGCCGCGCGTATATGCATATTTGGGCGCGGAGGGAGGATTTATGCGCTCGCTCGGCGCGAGCCGATAAATTTCGGCGGCAGCTCGCTCTCCTTTTTCTTTTTTCTTTCCTTTCTGTTTTCTTCTTTATTTCTCGCTCCTCTTCCTCCGGTTAGCGACACGCGCGACAGAGCAAAAGATATCTCCTCTTTTTTACATATACTTATGTACGCGCGTGTAGAATGCAGCTCGGGCGTCGCTCTCTTTTTCGCCCTTTTGCTCCTCGAATAGAAATCATCACTTCTCGTTGGCGGCGTTAAATATGGCGCGGCCCAGTATTGTCGGGCTGATTTATTGCGGTTAGCTAAGGCATATCGGCATTTTTTTTTCCCCCTCCCCGTTCTCGTGTTTTCTTTTTTCTTTCATTTTCGTCGCGCCGCTTTTTCGTTAGACGTCTCGCGCAGCTCGCTGGCTTTTAACGCGCTGTATTTGCATTTATCTGCATTTCGCTCTTGTATCGCTCGCGAGTATCGTCCAAATTGCCGTTTTATTTGTCGCTTGAGCGCGGCTTTACGGCTGGCGCACTCTCGCAACGTCGTCGACGGATACGGGCGAGCGCGCGCGCTCCCGGTGATTTAAGATTATGCAAAGGATAATCGAAAAACTGGCCGCAATGCGAAGATGATAAATCGAGCGTTTCAGCTCTGAAAAGTAGCGTATCGGCGTTTCTCCAATTACAAATTTATTACTACGGGCGGCGAACCGTCGCATACCGATCGCCATATTATTTATAAAGTTTAATTTACAAAAGAGCCCATAGACGAAATCGACACGCTTCGCAAATGAAACGAAAAAAAAAAAAGATGAGCCAGCCGCAACTCAAGAGCTTCTCTGCTTACGGCGCGCAAACACAGTCGAGAGAGAGAGAGGAAAGAGGAGCAAGGGCAGACGCATAGAAAAGGAGTCAAGGAACCCGAAATATGCCTGTTGGGCGGCAGTAATTTTTTGTCGCGCGCACTCGTTAATTAAATGGTTTGCCGAGCGTCGCTCCAATTTCGCACACGCAGGCACGCAAATATTCAATCAGAGAGAGAGAGAGAGAGAGAGAGAGAGAGAAGGCGCTGCGCAAGCAAGAAGGGAGAAATACGCAGCGAAGACGATTAGAACGAATGGGCTGTATAAATCAGGCCCCTCGTTGGTGAGCCGAGTTTCTTGTACGGGACCCATGCGGGGAAATGGACTGCAGGTTCCGATGCCTCTCTTTCTTTCTCTCTCTCTCTCTTTCTGGCCTTTACACGCCAATGATAATGCGGGAATTTTCGAGAGCGAGAGAAAGTTTCGTCAGCGACGCGTCGAAAACCTCGGGGCTATCGATGCGAGTCCTCGGTAATTAGAGTGGATGCGCGGACAACGCCCGAGTCCGCGTGCGTACATGAGAGTATTCTTCGCGCGAGACGCGTGATCGATCGGCGCAGCTCAGCGCGAAAGCAGACGGAATCGGCGGCCGCAAGCGCGCGCCTCTGAATATCGCCCCATAAATATTCATACTTCCTGCGGTAAATAACTCGGCGCGGCGCGATAGAGTCCGCGCGCGCGCCAAGATCGTGGCGCGCCGCCGCGGGTCCTCCGCTGTACAGCGGGAACGAGAGAAAGAGTCGGGACAGCTCTTTTTCCCGTGACGAGAAAAGAAAGTGCCGAATGCGCATCCGGCCCTCGCGTATAGAGCCCATCTTCGTCCCGGTGACTGTTTGCCGATCATCGGCGGGCGCTCGTGCTGCGTTTCCTGTGAGTCAACGACGCGCTTTTTGTGTACTTACTCTATGCGCGCGCGCGGAGTCGCGCGAAAAAGAAAGACGGGCCAAGGAAGAAAAAGAATGAAGAAGGAGAGAGAAAAAAAAAAAGAAACGGTAAAAGATAAGGACTTCTTTTCGAAAGGAAATTTCGTCGTGTGGACCATCTAGACAATAACGCGGGTTATTTTTAGGTGATACACGCGCGCGGAGCGGGGAGACGCGCTCGGGCAGGTATGTTAATTCGCGCTGATGAGCCCATCAAGGTACATGCGCGGATAAGCGCAAGCATACACGCCGACACGGGCAGCGAGAGAGACGAGATTGCTTCTTCTTCTCGTTTTTTTTGGGGGGGGGGGGGGGGGGGGAAGAGGACTACGCTGACGCGTGATGGACGCCGTACGCTTCAACGCCCGAATGACGTTGGACTGGTCCCGTGCCGTTGATTACGTTGGACGCTTCGGTTTAGAGCGGCCGACTCGGGGAAGATGTCGGAGGCGCGCGTAAGCTCGCGTAACGTTCTCGCTCTTGTAGTCCGCGAAAACGCAGTGGCAGGACGCGCAGTCCGAAACCGGGCTGGAAGAGTGGCTCGCGGTGCGCCATTATTCCTCGGCGAGCGAACAAAGCGGCAGCAACAATCTAAGCAACGCGCAATCCCAACGAAAAGGCCGCGCTCGTTCGGGATTATATGGGTATCCGTCACGGTCGCGCGCTCGCGCACCGGAAGAGCTTCCCACTTCTCCGCGACGGCGTATCGCGGGCAAAAAAGGAGGGGGAGCAGCCGAGTTGCGTTCGCGGTGCGCGCGCGCTGACAATAGGACCTCGCCGAGCGAGAGAGAGAGAGAGAGAGAGAAAAAATGGAGTACGTACGCGGGCGGCGCTACAAGTGCAGGCTGGGCGGCGCGTTAAATTAGCGAGCGGCAAATCAGCGAGCGCCGCGGAAGCCGAACAATGCCACAGCTCGGACCAGCCTCCCGCTGCGGGACGCGCGCGCCGCGATCCAGATCCGGGGGCTTTTGTCGCGATACGCTGCGCCCCGAGGCAGGAAGTTGCGCGCGCGCCGGCACTTCGGACGCGCGGCGTGTCGCGGCGAACGGACTTTCCGCAGAAGCTGCCGTTGCGATTCGAACGCCCGGGCAAGGTCACGTTATCGAGGCGTCGGCGCACTGCCTGGCGGGCTTTCCGTGAGGCTCTGCCGAGCTTGTAATTCAAATGTCGCGTGTTTCGAGCAGCCGTGTCGTTGATACCCCCAAACAGTTTTCTCAGTTGCACGAATGGAAGTTCATTCGGTCGCTTCAAGATGCTCTTTCTATTAGCGAAATAAAACGCCAAAACGGCAAGATAAAAACGTGACAACGAACGATAATCTTCATTTATTTACATGTACAAGCCAACATGATAATAAAAAGACACCCCTGAATAACTGTAAACAAATCCATCAAGATTTCAATTTTTCAAAATTCCGACTTTTTTCAAATTTCTTGAGAATTTGTGAAATGCCGAGATGATTTTTCGAAGATCTCAAAGCACGCGATAATCCCTTAAAATTTGCAAGTGCAAGTCTCGTCAAACGCGCTTCGCGTGCTTATCTTTCATTTGTACTAATATTTAGTTGCATGAGCTTGAATCAACATCAAAATTATTGACAGGCAAAAATAAAAATTTGTAAATACATTATATACATAAAACAATTATATGCTTCTACACGCTTAACCCGTCGATATTAATTGGTATATAAAAATTAAATTGTAATTATATTCGTAGATTTAATTATAATTTCAAATCTAATAACGTAGCAGATTTTGTTTTTTCTTTTTCGTTTTCTAAATAAATTGAACCCTCAATTGCGCCTGACGGTTTCTTTTTTTTTAATTTCTAACACAAATTTGCCGACGATTCGAAACCTTTTGCACGATATTCCCATATCAATAGATATTTTTTGTGGACAAAAATACTGGAAGTCAGTTTCGGCTAACTTGGCGCAGACTAAATTTCACAATTATCATTTTCAACTATTAACGGAATTGTCATCTTTCATTCATTTATTACATATTTTATTTAATATTTAATATTAGAAATTGTGAAAATTTTTTCGAAAAATTACTACACCACATCAGTCAAAGTTACTACACAGTATTTCATGTAAAACAATGATTTACGATTCTCTTTGTTGTTGATTATACTTATTCGAAGCTAA